CTGACTAAATTTTTATTTAATATAAAAAATGTGGTGTTGAGATAATTAGTTAATTGATCATGATATCCGGTTCTTGGTGTTTTGGTCGGGGTGGCCGGTCTGTGGGGGTGGCCAGTCTTTGGGTGACGGACGTTAAATTACAAAACAATGCAAAGCTCATGTATGCCAAGCCAATAGCGAAGCTGCTAAAACGCCCGGAGAGGCAGTGCCGGGACCCCTGCAGCGCGGATGGTCGCCCATTGGCTTGGTGCTTAGATGCAGGTTGCTGACCCAATTGCTTCAGCCCTGAAAACTCTCTCGACTGTGATGAGAAAGCTAAAGAGGTGATACAGCTTGGGGGAGCTAAATATGAAGGAGTGGCGCTCAAGTTTGTGTTTTCGTTTCTGGACTTTATATCTTGGCTTGTTTTCTTTTTATTTGTGGTGTGGTTTGACACTTCTCAACACTGTTGGTCTCCGACTTTTGGCGGCGATTTTCGAATCTTTGTGTAACTTACACACATCCTCAGTCCTGCATTCTTCGACATACTCTTAACATTTACAACTCTCAACATACGAAAATGTACGAACTTGAGAAATATTGGATCGCTCACGGGGCCATGGTCTTCATTGGAGCATGGATTCCCTCTGTCGTTCTATTCTTCTGCAGTTTCTGTCTCGTCCGCCGTAAGAGGGATCCTGCGAGAACTGCTTTCACGTATCTCAAGTTGGCTCTTTTGGTGTTCTCAGGGTATGCTCCCATCCTCTGCTACTTGTTTGATGAAGTAGAATAACTGACGCATCTTAGCTATGCCTTCTTCGAATTCGCCTCATACGTCGTCTCAGTCGTTCACTCCCAATTATACTACGGCGGGAGAATCGACAGTGACTTTGACTCGCACTACTCGAAAACCCTGCTCGTCACCGTGCAGGTCCTCGCTACCCTTGCGCTCATTTACGATATGGTCACCGATATTCTCATCATGATCATTCTCCTCCGTCTCGGCACCGGTATCGTCATGGTTCAGACAGGCCGCCCCGACCCCAAGGGCAAGATCCTTCGCCTTGTCTCATACATCGCAGCAGCTATCCTATTTATTCTCGCTTTGACCGCCTTCGGTCTTCGAATTAGATATGTGTATGAAGTTTTCTTCAACGATGTTCGCGTTGGTGCGGATAGCTACACCAAATCTCGACAGATTGCTTTCTCTTTCAGTGTTTTGGTCTTTGTCATTTCTCTTGCCATTGTTGCGCGGGCAATTATGATCAAGGTTCAATCAAAGGGCGAGAATGCTCTTACTTGGTGCTCAAACATGTTCATCGCCGCCTCCGTTGTTTGGCTCATGCGCACAACGTTCAATATGGCGTCGACAGCTGCTTGGACCAATCTGAGCAGTGCGTACCACGATCGTGAGTACAAGTACGCTTACTACATCCTCGAAGTCGTCTTTGGAATTTGGCCTCAATTCGTTGTCCTCTGCTTGGTTTTCGCTATTGGTCGTGCTAGGAACAATGGTATTTGGTCGAAGCAGGAGCAGGAGCCTGTGAAGGGTGTTGAGGCTGGGGAGCGTACGGCTTGGGGTTATGGACAGGTTGCTCCTCAGGCGCAGAATGCTGTACCTATGCCTCAGCAGCAGCATTACCCGCAGCCTGAACAGCAGCATCTGGCTCAGGGGTATGGTCCTCAGCAACAAATGCCCCAGCAGCAAAACGGCTACTATGCACCACAACAACCTCAATATGCGGCGTATGATGCTATATCTCCCGTGTCTCAGCCCAGATCACCGCCTCCTCATGAGGAGATAGTGGGCTTGAACCACCAGGCTGACGGTACTCCTCCCCAGGTACCAGCTCAGCCTTACCCGGAGAAGCATTAGGCGTACTGGGACAGATAATGAATCGCTTTATGACGGAGAATGGGCGTGAATGAATTTGGACAACTGCAACAGATATGATACCACCCTTCTATACTTTATGATATTCAGTACATCTCAAATCTACCACATCAACAGAATGTCTAAAATCTCGTGAAATCGTCTAGTCCACATCTGAGAACTCAGCTGGAGCAACGAATGGGCCATCTTCACCCATGGTACCCGTTACGTATCTTGTTAAGTTAGTACAAAAATCCCACGTGAACAATTGATGGCTAGACTCACTTTGTATGGCTTCCTCGCGCAGCTAGTTGTCCCTTGCTATTGGTGAATGTCACCTGCGTGAAAGCAAGTGTCTTGCCAATCTTGTCGAGAGTGGCAGTGCCCTTGAGGACGTCTCCTGGGCGGCCTCCGGGGCTCAGATATGTCACTGCCAAGTCAGCAAAGTCGTACGTGATTGAGAGAGCTACGTACCGTTCAGATCGGTTGATACGCCTGTTGCAAAGCGGCCTGACGAGGCGACTGCGAGTGAGCCACCAAGATCGACGAGACTGGCAAGTGTACCACCATGGAGCGTTTGAAGGCGGTTCTGGATGAGATTAGTGAGAGCTCATTTGTGATGAGGTGAGAAACGAACGGTGTGTTCTTTTTGGATGTCAAGCTCGAAGTCGACTCTGCCTTCTGTCGCGCTAATGACACGGAACTGCACCACGTCAATACACATCTCAGATTCATTGTTCCGGTGTCTATACATGTTTTCCTAGAAGACTAAAGACAACGGAGTCAGTATCGGGATCTTATCACGGAATGCCGGGTCTCCATCGGTGGCTTGGGGTACATACCGAGGCTCAAGACCAGAGTCTGCCATGAAGGAGCGCACGACCTGGAACACAATCACGAGTTAATTGCCAAGCTTTGAGAAAGACGTGAGTCGTATGAGTTGCAATTGGCTGTGCAATGCATGCGCCTCGAGGTGCCTTGGGTGTACGCACCGCCTGTGTGAATTTCGTAGGATTGAGCTTTCTTGACATTGTGACGGGCGAGATGAAGCAATCTGCGTCGGATCTTTCAGTGTCTGAGATATGAGGTCCAATAAATGAAGGGTACTATCACGCCTGTCGTGTAGTATGAGAGATGTTGAGAGAAGCTCGAGATATGGGAACGGAGTTCGAGATGGATTAACCGAGTTCCGGGGTAATGATTGACCCCCGCCAACGGAACGGCCCCACCATCCAAATTGACGTAATCAGGCTTCACGATGACCTCCCTCACACTCCGAGCGGGTATCTGCCTTCTAAATGCATTTGAATGGAAGGATGTAGGAAGGCTTTGAAGTCAGGGCGCTCTCAAACTTCACATCTGAGGTGGTTGTCTTGTCCCCGCCTGCACAAGCTTCCTCTGCCTCCAGAACGTTCGACTTCAGTCAGTCAACTCCCCGCCGACGTCGCTCGGAGGCGCGACGTTCAAGAGAGGACGTGGAGATATGAATCCGATTTCATCATTCAGTAGCCATCACTCTCTAAGTAGAGTACTCAGATGGACAGGTTGCTTCACTCTGGAAGTTGTTATCAAATTTCAGGCTTTCATTCGGTTAATACACTCTTTTCTGATTCCCGTATCCATTTGGGGTTTTATGGGCTTCTTTATAGAGTACTGATTTGTTGAGCACAAGTTTCGAGGGGAGAACCGGAGTGACAGAGCAATAGTCTGTTAGTTTCAATTTGGGTATCTGTCAATCTGATCTGTGCTAATTGGGGGGAGTATCGTCTAGTATCATCAATCTCATCTCTCATATCCGTACGCCATTTTCACCATGCAGATTCCTGCCCAGATGTCCCATACGCCATTGCCAATATCCTCCATGTAAGCAGTCTCCAGTTTGATCCAGCTTCAACTCCAGTACGAAACCCCAAAATGTTCTTCCCATGTACGCCATGACATCTTCACTCCATTTCGTCGTCTCCCAAGAGCTCCGCGAGGTCATTGTAGGAATCATCATCGTCCTCCTCAACGTCCTCCATGTCGTCGTCCTCTCCATCGCTACCCTGGTCGCTGTCAGGCTCCGAGTTGGCATCCTTATCTGCTGCCACTTGTTGCTGCCATTTCTGCTCCCAGTCGCGGAGGTTGGCTCGGACGTGTCCCTGAAGCTCAGTTTTCTTCTGCTTTAAACCACTGTCGGCTGGACTGTTGTCAATCAGATTGTCGATTAGGCTGTCCACTCGTTCCTTAAGGTTCTTGATACTTTCACGAATAACCAGATCCAGTCGTGTTCTGGTCTCACGCTTCTTTTCTTCAAGCTTCTCGTTAAGACAGTCCGTCATCTGGTAGCACATGGTGTCGCTTTGACCCTCAACGCCTGACACGTTATGCGCTCGTCGTTTCGCATATGAGCCAGTTCCAGCTATCGGGGTCTGGTCAGTCATATTCTTTGTCCAAATGAAAGGTTTGGTATGGCGGTACTTACTTATCATGAGACCATTGTCGAAAATTGGTTTCATTTCTCGCATCAGGAAGGCTTTAGCATCCATCGTTACCATGGAAGCTTCTCTGGACAGGTCTTCAATGTGGGTGCGAATCTTGTTCACGGACATGCGCTCAATGCTTGACATCATTGATATCAAGTCTTGGAAGCTCAGCTCCAGGGCTGGGAACTTCTCTCTGATAGCTTGCTCGAGTTTCTTTGTGTAGGGCGCCCAACCTTTCTTGAAAGCAGATTCCATGGCAACCCCGATCCGGCGCAGTTGCTGGTTCATCTCTTCATCCCATTCTTTTGAAACTGTTCTGAGAACGGGAGAAGCCCTGTTGATTTGGTGAGTTTAGAACATGATCAGCAAATTGCACATCACTTACATGTCGTCCATCCAACTATAAGTCATAGACGTTTGGCCTTTCGAAGTGTAGTCGTCACCGCCACGCCTCATGATGGCACCGTAGGTGTTCCAGTACATGAAACCACTCATCTCATTGTTGGGTTCCTTCAGTGACCAGTTGGTTGCAATGCGGCTGGCCTCAGCCCTGAACTTGCGCTCGGCCATCCTTCGATTCATAAGAGGATCAAGCATGTCAATCTTGGCAGACTCAGCGGAAATGAGCATACTCAGTGACTGGCTCATAGTTAGTGACCCGAAAGATATATGTTTCAGAGTTCATATCGTTTGCGTTCAATACTTACAACAGCAATGCTCTGATGGACAGGACCCAGAGCTTTCTGGACGTCGTCATGAGTGACACTAAAGTCTGCATCCTGGCCTTTCTCGTTGGAGTAGATTCTCATCAAGTCCATGAGATTCTGGTACTTGCTCAGCATATCGTCCAAGTGGTTCTCACGCTTGCTGAGAGTTGCTTCGAGGAGCCATCTCTGTGCGGCCGGAACTCCAGTAGCCTCAAGTGTTGGATATCCTTTCACTGAAGCAGTATCATCTGCCAGTTTCCAGAACGCTTCGGTAGAGACAGGAAACATGGAAAGTACATGATTGCCCTGGTCAGTCCGATTGAGCTCTCTCTGTCTGGCATCGTATTTCTCCTGGATGTGCGCCTTGACAAAACGGTTTCGTTCCTCGATAGCTCGCTGGTGCAGCCAGTGGTCGATGTCGAAAATCTCCTGGCCGAGTTCTTGCGCACGCGCTCGGCCCTTCTCAAGCAGCCTCGACATCTTTTTGACAGCTTCAAATTGGTCCCTGGCGTTTGCTTGGAGTTTCTCGATGTTCTTTCGGCACAGCTCTGGATCATCTAAGGTTCTATGTTAGCATTGGCTTTCGATTCGGAGGCTGTCATACCTTGGGACTGGTTAGTCTGGTTCTTTGCAGCTTCGGAGTATGCGTCTCGTGCCTTCTTCTCATCAACCTTTGCCTTTTTGATATCGATGGCAAGCTTTTTGATTCCGTTCTGTACCCTGGCCCTTTTTTCAGTGAGTCCCTTCAACTGATCGAATTTGTCTTTCATTTCTGGGTCATGATGTTGCTCAAGTAAGTCCGAAATGTATCCGTCCACAGAAAGATGGTCCGTCTTTGACAGTATGATGCCGAAACCATGGCCATCATATTTTCCACGAATCTTCATCTGGGCTTCGTCGAAGCCGCTCTGCATGAGAATCTGGCTTTGGTTCTCATCTGCAGCTCTCATGATGGGGCTAACCACCAAGCGCACATCCAGGCGATGTGAATACTTCTTCGCAATCTCTGAGCGAGAAGGTGTCGAATCACTGCATCCAGGAAGGTCGACAAGCGTCATTCCCGACTTGAGGATATCAGATTTGACAAACATGTGAACATCTTTGACAATAGGCCAAATAGAAAACATTCGATCTGACCCAAACTTGGAAGCTCTGGAAGTCATGAATGGCTTGACGTCGCTTCGAAGATCCTTCAAGACTGATCGTTTGAACTCAATCATGCCTTGGCGCAAGTATTGATGAGCTCGTGGGTTCGTTTTGAGAATTTGTTGTACCAGAGGCATGTATGATGCGACAGCGCCTTGTCGTTGCACAGCAGCCTCAAGATAGTCTCGCTCGAGGCCCCAGACAGCCTTGATCTTGGCCATCTCATACTTGATGCGATAGTCAATGGTGTCCCTTGCCTCGGCTTCCTCGTCCGGATCAGCATTGTTCTGCGAAGCTTGACGATCTAAAAGAGACTTGATGTCTTTCAGCACCGACTCAAACATTGCCCCGATGTCGCTGAGTTTTTGGAAGGTGACCTTGGCACGAAACAGATGTCCAGGCGCATCATCCCAATTCCATGAGACCTTTGCAACAGTCGCAGTGGCGGCTCCCTGGTGACCCGATGGGAACAGCTCCGGAATCTCGAGCAGTGAATCCAGGAAAGAAGATTTGCCGGCTCCGGTAGGACCTTCGACGCCGATAAGAATCTTGAGGTTCTGGTGTTGTTCGCCCAGCGCGGCTGCAAGAAAGTTAGCAACTTTAATCGCAACAGAAATGTAGACCTGAAGATACTCACCGTGTTCTTTCAACCATCGCTCGATGAGTGGCTGTCCAGCCATTACTGCATTTCCACTCCCTTGTTGAAGTTGGCGGAGGGTGGACTCCAGTGTCTTGCGGACTTTGGCAGTGCCGTCTTCGGCAATCTTCAGCGCATCCTCCTTGATCTTCATGCGCTCGACATGATCAAAGGCCTCGCAAGTTGTCCACGGAAACACCAGTGGCGCAGGCGCGACAGCATTGCCCTCACCTGCCTGGCGCTTTGACTGAACCTGCTCGGCTTCTGGCTCGAACTCCGAGTCCAGCTCGCGTTTCATTCTAGCGAGGTCAGCGATGGACCACCTTGCCATGCTATGGGCTGTCGAATGATGATTGTACGTCTGTAAGAAATTATGTGAGTATCTTGGTGAAGGCGACTTGCAATGATAAGAATGATAGGGATGAAATGTATGGAAGAGGAGGAATGAAAGCAAGAACTTCTGGTGAAGAGTAGGTGAACCGCGATGAGGGGATGGGAATGTGACAGATGAGACGAGTGTTGGTAGACGAAAGAAAGAACTGGATGATTGATGCCAAGGAGCAGAAGAAATGTAGAGGGCGAGGCACATAAGAACCATGGAGAGAAAGAGTAGGAATATTTAGATAGCCTCAAATAACATACCTATCAAGATGAAGTATACTAATGATCGATTTCCAAGGCGTGAGCGAAGCTATCGTGATATTTTGAGATGAAGTTGGGAAGAGATGAGAATGATGCGTGGCGATACACCAGAATAAAGTGATGATCAGGTGTTGGTTTAAAGGAATCAGGAGTTAAAAGATATAACGAGGAAACCCTCGCGCTGGGCTTGTGAATTATTGTTGTCTCCGAATCGCTATTGTTTAGTGCAGACTAGGCTGCCTTCCAATCCTCCAGCATGCAAAATAAGAACAATAGCTAAAGAATTCCTGGCCCGCGCAACGAGCTTCCCAGCCCACAGGTAAAGGTCAGTTCTACTGCTTTACCGCTTTACAGGCCGGGGTATTCTGTCAATTCTAGGCGTTCTCTACATGCATTGACTCTTAGATTTCGTCACTCCTTACTATGGAATCTCATTTATGAACTGATTCATCTGGATTGTCACAAATCAACCCGCCAACGCGTTGACTAGATAGATGAGACGTCGAAGAAGGCTATCGTTCCATTAACTCGCGTATGATGGTTGCTGATCCGGTAGATACTGCATTGAAACCAGCCATAAAAGTAAAACTCTGCCTCTCCAGTCCGGGTATTAAGCATAGCGAAGGAGCAAAAAGAGGAAAAGACACCAAAAGACATACAACACCAGGTATTCGCTGGTCGTCACCGACCCAACTACTAATCCGGCGCTTCGTGGCTTGACTCTGGGGGAGCGAACGGGACCCCGTATTTTCCACGAGCTATGGTCGTATGTGCCCATCAACACACGATGTCCAATCCAAAAATCCATGGTGTTGAGGCTGAGGTGGGTTCGCTTATCTAACCCATCTAATGCCTGACCCAATCTCCACCCCGACAAATGCCAACGTCAGCGACCACAGCTACTCTGCCCTTTCATTTCATGTAATATCGCCCATATTCGTATCTGCGCGCATGAAATCTGTGCTGTCGCCCGTGTCACTGCCCTCCGACTTCCTGGCGTAACCAGGCACCAAAGATTCGCCTTGTGTCGGCACGGCGCTGAATCTGCTTTTATAGAAAGAATCTCCCCTTGATGCGTGTAGATGAAGTCGACCTTTTAAAAAACCTTTAGATCGGTATCTATGAGCTGAATGATTGTAAGAACGAGCCATACGCAGCCCAGCTCAGAGAGGCGATAGCACTCGACGTCCGCATTTCTTCGATGATAAGTGCGGGTCATATCCCAAATGCCTCAACGAATTGTCAGCCATCAACGACGTCTACTAAAGCTCGCCCCCTTTTCACTCCAGCGTATAGACCACTTCATAAATGGCTACCATTATGCCTCGCGGACATCGCTCCGCCACAGAATATCGTTTCGGCGAGGAACAGGCCGATACCATTGCTCGCACTGCCGCCTACCACCTCAAAGACTATTGTCTCTCCGTGATCTGGTTCTCACCTAGTGAACACTTCGATATTCATCAGTCAATAGCAACACCCTTCCAGCGGACTTCTAGTTTCGGACTTGGCTCCCTCGACCAGCTACCACTGGAGCTCCTGCGTGACACGTTGGTCCGTCTTGATGCGCATTCTCTGTTCAAGTTTCGACAAACGAATCTTCGATCGCGACAGGCGGTAGACTTTCTCAAGCAGTATCAGCTAATATTCTTGCACGAACTGAACCCCTTATGCGCTTTGTTACGAACGCGACTTGCTGTTGACATTTCTCTACTCGACTTTTACAATGCCCTATGTCTCAAGTCTTGTGGTCTTTGCCGCGAATTTGGCGGGTTCATATCCCTACTAACATGGAATCGATGCTGTTTCAAATGCCTCAAGGAAGCTCCGGAGACTCAAGTGCAAACCCATTCAGCTGCCCGAAAGGAATTCCGCTTGACGAGGGTCGAGTTGGACCAACTGAGGTCATTCAAAACTTTGCCTGGAATATACTCGATGGAGGAATCCGTGCACAAATCCCGCATTGCTATCGTGTCTTTCCATCAGTCTAGTTTGATTTGCAGACAGCAGTCCTATGTGCCAAGGCAAGCCCAGCTAGCGAGCTCAGAACGCAATAGAAAGTTCAACTTTATGGGGTCATGCGCACTTCCGTATTATGATACACGAACCGGCAATGTCGAACACGGAATGTCGTGTGCTGGGTGTCAACTTGCTCCCGAAAAAGACATCATCGGCACCAAAGGCGAGAAATGGGCATTCGAGGCTCGAGACAAGTTATATGCGCGAGATGGCTTCTTGGAACATTTTCGATGGTGTGAACAGGCACAGCTGCTGTGGAAATCGAGCTGCGAAGGGAAAACCAAGCCAACAGAACTGCCAGAGGCTGCTCGAAGAGGCGGCTACTTCAATAAGAGAGTATAAAAGGGATATGAAACAGTAGATGGCCAAATCCTTGGCTCATTCTTTGATAAGCCGGTGGCATTTGATGTTCGTATCTTGGCGCACTGGGCACTAGATGAACCCCATCACCTTTTTGCGCTGCACGTATATCTGATAAACTTGGAAAGTAGTGTTGGAAGGCCGGTTCTGAACGCTTGACCTTTGATGATGTAATGTAGTAACATATTGGTTGCGGAACATTAACGCTGCTACTGTGTAGGTGATGGCCTGCAACGGACAAGCTGTCGAGCTACATGTTGTCTCGAGTTCTGTTAACCCTGGAGTCATTTAGGAGCCTTTTGATTGGCGGCTCCAACCAGCTAAGACAAGGACTGAACAGCAATGCAGGCAGTAGAAACGGTGGGCTGGCCTATCATGGCTGTCATTTTGTCCATGGAAGTGGATGATGGTGATTCTTTTGAAAGTAAATACCGACTGCGAACCGGAAACCAAGTCAAGTACCTCATCTCTCCTAGAACATTTGAAAAAGATAGGTTTCGTTCCCTACTCAGTCCCTACCTGTCTTTCTCGCAAGGCGGAATGAACCGCAGTCCTCATCTCGAAAGACGAAACCAGCGGCGAGTTGAAAGTTGTCATCTCGAACCAAGCACTAGTTGGCGTCAGGTGTCGATGGCATCATACTAAGTTGATTACCTTGAGTTGGAGAGGACCAAAAGGCTCACGGCAATGGCTTTCGAAAAACGGCTCATTCGATTCTCCCCGTGAGAAAGTCCATTTGTGGAGGTAAGAATAGGGAATAAAGCCAAAAGGTTCCTTCACTAAAAACTGCTTCTTCATGCGTGCTACGAAACCTTCTTAATAATCTAACTTTGACACTGGTTCCTCTTCATGATTGTTCTTGATCGGTGAAGATCTCCCAGGTGCTGCCTTTTCATCTGCCCACAGAGGCTGGTCGTCAAAGCTAAACTTAAGGATTTCCGGACGTTGATAATGGCCAGCGGCATCAACCCAAACCTTGACCTGCCCAAGCTGCGACAGGTCCACCTCAGCCTTGACAAGCTTCTCTTCAGCACCAGTATGGGGCCCAGCAAGAAATGAGCAAAACGGATGAATAACAGCTGACCACCCCCCGCCCGCCTTGACAAACTCCTGCTTGCCTAGATTCTTCTCCATCCACTCGAGACAAGTATCGTCAACATAGTTAGACGCGGTGATGACAAAGACTTGAGCTGTGAGGGCATGTGCCTTCATCAAAGCCTCGATTTGAGAATCAGCCACGGCTTCGAAGCCAGCCATGGTAGACAAGGCCGGCCAAGCACCGGCGTGGATGTGTTCATGCTGAGTGATGAGCGCTTGGCGCGCACCGTTCATGGTATGTTCCCAACAGCAAAGACCACCGAGGTTGAAAGGCCGTCCTGAAGCTGTCAGCCTGTATGTTCGTAACGTATGACCACCACCTTGTGCCCAAACAGAGCGTTCAACATATGTTGGCTGCAGCTTGCGGTGCACGCCCAACAAAGTGCCATTTGCATCGATGTTGACTTGGGAATTGAAGAGCGTGTAACCTTGAGCTATGCGCTCTGAAATACCAAGGCTGATGGCTACACCAGTGCGGCGGCAGGCAGACGAGATGCGTGCGATTTCGTCGCCGTCTTGGACAACGACGCTCTCATCGGCATATTTGGCGAGAGCCCCTACTTGTTGGAGGGGTGGGTAGCACTCTATCCAATACTTGGCCATGTTAGCCATGCCACTGCAGCACCGAGGGCGAATAATGGAGGACGTACCGGATATCCAGGAATAAACGTCTCAGGGAAGACTAGAAGCTCAATACTCTCCTTACTCGCTTGCTCAATCAAGTTGATAACCTTGTCGGTAGTAGCGGCCTTATTCATGAACACGGGCGCGGCGTGTACCGCTGCGACGACGACTTTGTAATCCATGGAAGGAAGGCTAGGGACTTGGGATATTAAATTATGAACGAAATAGAGCGACGGACGCAAATTGTGAGTCAATGGCGAGGCAAAGAATGAAATCAGGATAACCTTGCAGAGTTTCAATGTATGAAATGGCAACGAGGGGTCATAGGATATTCACGGGATATTTCCGCGTTGCTAGCCAGTGAAGGGCCTCTTGGCTGACCCATGAACGTATGATATGCTGCAGGGAATGATTACGGGTCTACAATTGGGTAGCAACGACTGGGTTGCAAGCTTATGAACCCCACGTTCCGGGAAGGGCCCGACCCATGGGCGAGAGTTGGCTTAGGCTATGGTGATTGTACAGTACCTATGCTATCACGCATATTTGTTTGTAACGTATGTCAATATACAAGATGGTGACACACGCTTTAAGTTACAAGTTCTCCTTCCAGCCACCAATAGGTACACCAAGCCTCTCAACTCAAGTTTCCCCTCCTAGAACCGCAGCTACGACAACACAGCACACCAATCGGCCATCGTCTATATCTGTGCAGTCAGCGTTTTGTGGACGGTTGCTACCTAAACAAAGGCCATGGCCTTGGGTACTTGCGCCAAAGCTTACAGGACCCTCGAGACTGTCGAGATATGGAAGCATATTGGAGATCAAAGGGTGACCTCGCTGCTTACCATGCGTCAGGTGTCGAATAAGTACTAAGGGCTCGCCTGATGGACCGAATCTGTCTGAGAAAGACGAGTGAAGATACAAGTAACTGCCAGGGCGGGCGGTACCTTCTTAATCAAACTTACCAACACCATCAACCTGGAAGTGTGATCTATAGCACGGTTCCGGCCGACTTTGGTCATAAGCGTTCCAGTCTAGTACTGAACTCCGATACCACATCCGAGACTAGCGGATCAAAAACACCCGACGGTATATATACGGACATTAAGCGGTGGATAAGTCCAAGTCTCTAAGCGGCATATGGACGGTCATCGAACGGGGATTCAGCTGCCCTCAGCAATCCAACTTTTGTCCAGCCTCCAGGTTGAAGGAAATTGCCAAGGCGGTACTAGCTGTACATAAGAACGACTATATGCTCATTCTGGAATGAAATGAATGCAGAGACTTTGAAAAACCACTGAGATCTCTATAGGTATATCCGAACATGCGCATCGACATTCTGGGAACGGCTGCATCAACAGTTCTCTTGGGCCTAAACACAGTACCAGTACAGGCTCTGAGACCTTGCCCCCTCTTTGGACCAGATTTGCCCATTCCGACAGCGCTGAGTGATGATGTTTCCATCAGAAATGCCCTGTCCGAAATCCTGCAGCTTGTTCCAAGCCTCGACATTGACTTCCAGAACACATCTTTCTCTATCGACATCTATCCAGCGGCAGACCAACGACCCCTTTTCAGCTACCATCACTCGGCTCCAACTCTGCAGAAGCACGGTCACGGCGTCCAAGCCGTCAACGACACGACAGTGTATCGCATAGGTAGCATTTCCAAATTGCTCACAGCTTATGCCTACCTACTTGAGGTTGGAGATGTGTCGTTCAACCAGCCAGTCACGCGTTACGTACCTGAGCTGGCAGATATTTCTGCAAGGCTAAGGAACAAGTCAGCCTCTGCTCTTCAATATGTGGACTGGGACGCCATAACCATCGGCGCGCTCGCATCTCACATGGCTGGCATACCGCGAGACTTTCCGAGCCCTGCGTCAGCGGACCGCCAGCTAGCACGGTTGGGATTTCCGCCAGTCCGGGCAGTAGATTTCGCCTACTGTGGGAAAAGCGTCTTGTATCCCTGCAACCGCACTGGTATGTATCTCTTGTGGCTACGAGTTCGTTGTCTCGCACAATGTTGACACCTATCAATAGCCTTCTTTGACGCCATACAGACACGTCACCCAGTCGAAGCGGCCTTTTTAACGCCTATATACTCCAACATTGGTTACCAAATCATGGCTTATGCGCTTGAGAATATAACTGGAACAACGTATCCTGATATTCTATCGCGCCAACTTATCCTCCCTCTCGGTTTGAATTCCACGAGTTATGCTAAGCCAGCCAACACCGACTCGTCTGTCATACCTGATAGCCCTAGCAGTTCTTGGTATGATGTCGACACGCGTGATGAGGGACCAGCCGCAGGAATATATTCGTCGATTGCGGACCTACGCAGGATCGGGCAGTCGATCTTGACGTATGAGATGTTGTCGCCCTCCCAAACCCGACGATGGATGAAACCCCTTAGTTTTACTTCTGATCCACAGGTTGCAGTCGGTGCGCCATGGGAGATTGCTCGTGTTACATCTACCACCAACAGAGCCAGCTGGATGTACACGAAGGGTGGTCAGCTGGGGATGTACAGCAGTCTGATGGCTTTGCTACCTGATTGGGGCGTCGGACTCACTGTTCTAGCCGCGGGGACCGGCGCTTCGGGGGTGGTGGGCATGATTCCGGGTGCGATGGTTTCAAAGCTTGTTCCTGCTTTGGAGCAGGCTGCTAAGCGACAAGCAAGACAAAGTTACAGTGGCCGCTACGGAGACGAAAGAAATGGCATGACGGTAGCTGTGCAAGACAGTCTACCGGGACTAGGCGTCACGTCTTGGTTTTTCGATGGCCGTGACATGTTTGATTCGATCCGACTGATGGTCTCAGGGTCGTCGACTGGATCAGGGAACGTCAGCATGAGATTGTACCCGACGGGGTTGCAGACGCAAACAGACGGAAAGGCTAGACTTGAGAGTTGGCGGGCGGTCTACGAGATCATTGACGCCGCCTCTCCACCCAGTCCGTACTGTGCTAGCTGGTTCGGCGTAGATTCAGTCACGTATGGAGGCGTATCTATCGACGAGTTTGTCATCGATCTTTCGGCGGACGGCACTTCTCAGGGTATCACCATAAGCGCCTTTGATACTCGGCTTGAAAGGGTACGGCGTTGATTTAGTGCCGACGTGGTGGTTTTCGGTAGTGTGCATGTGGGCACGTTAAGCCTTAGTTGCTCCTATCGACGTATATCTATAGTTAGATTTATCATCTGTTCATATACATTCTTGACGCCTTCGCCTTTATTCTGTAATCTTCGCTGGTTTCAGAACGATAAGATCGGATGTTTACATTCTTAGGCCTTGTGTTAATCTATCCGTCGAAAGTTGTCTCTAGTCAAGAGATGTGTTATTTGCAGTTGAGGCTTGTGGCTGAGAGCTTACATCACCACAGAGAACTTAGTCTCCAGTCAAGAGGGGCTCGGCGGTGACCAAACGGGACTTATACAGGCGGGTATATCATTCGCCTGGATGACGAGACGGCCTGACACGTGGGACCGAGTAACTCGAACCGTTGAATACTAGTGGAGCGAGGAGGATACTCAATAAATTGATTTATCACGCTAGGGAAACCAAATTTCATAGGGGGAAGGGTAGAAAATCTAACGGGATATATGCCATCCTACATACATACCTGTTGGCGAGCGGGGGCTTAGCGGATGTTTAAAGGAGATTAAGCGGATAACGCGTAAGGCCCCTGGCCCCTCGCCATATCCCACCTATTCTAAATATATTAGAATCTTTTATGACACTTTGATCCACTGTTCGACCTCATACTCCTTCTATTTGCTTTCTTTCCTCCAGCTCAAACATCCCTTCTAGTTTCAACTTCCTGACTGTGTGGCCATGAACACAACTACATCACTACCGAACAGCATCGAAGCTATGGGATTCTCGCCGCTTCTGGCCCCGAATGCAATTTTTCTCTCTTTCTACTCGATTTTACTTCTTCTGCATGTTCTCATCGCTCTTCGCTTCTGGCGTTTCTATGGGTACTCAATTGGGATGGTCTGTGGCATCTTACTAGAACTTGTGGGATATTGTGGAAAGGTTCAACTTTCACATAATCGAGACAACAAGGACGGGTATATCATGTAAACTCCAGCTCCCACCCCTTTTGTCTGTGCTTTTTATTAGAATTAGTTCTAATGGCCATGAGCAGGTATATCATCGGCCTCACACTTGGCCCGACTTTTCTATCCTCTGCCCTCTATCTCAATATCAGCACACTACAGCAACGCTTTTCATCATCTCAGTTCACGCGCATCAGCCCTCGCCTCTTTGCATCTCTCTTTATTATCGGCGATTTTATATGTCTTTGCTTCATAGGATGCGGCGGCTCTCTTGCGGCTATATTCGCAGAGAATCCAATTGGTGTAGACCTCATGATCACCGGCTTAGCTGTTCAGGTCCTGTTCACGACTGTCTTCTGTCTCGCACTTTGGGCTATTTACCACCGGGCTTGGCATGACATTCTCCAAGAGAAGAGGCATCTTTACGTAATAGGTGAGAACATCCTGGTGTCGTGCAATTTCAACGACTAATGAGTGTGGTTTGCAGGCTTGGCGGTAGCCTCCGCCTGTCTCTTTGTCCGGTCATGCTGGCGATGTGCAGAGTTAAGCGGAGGTTTTAACGGCCCGCTCGCATCAATGGAAGGCGTATTCTTTGCACTAGACAGCGTACCGATAGTAGTCATGACTGTCACCCTGACCATCCTTCACCCTGAGCTATGGCTGAGGGCCTGCAAGGCTAGCTCAGGAAAGCTTGTTTGTGCCGGGAACTATAGTATGGAGTATGTCCAGACAAAAGATTGAGAATGTATCATGCCTCCTACTATAATATTTGGCTTAGATTTTGATATAATTATAGAAACGCTGATTGACTATTAGCCCCCGAAATTTGCTATTAGTAATAGTATCTTTCACTCCCTGGAGAATAGATTTCTAAAGACCTTTAATTAATACAAACCCCGTAATACGCTATACAACAAATAGGCCTCTGGCGTTTCTTGTTTTTTCCCCTGCCTTTTCTTCTTGTCCCTTTTCGAGATATCACAAAGCTAATAAGAGGGCCTGGCATAAACGATAAACATTCATAAAATACTAGAAAGAGTACCAGAGAATTTTTCAAAGAAAGGTCATAAAGTTCATGACAAGGTCATTCATTCATCAACCGCTGTTGGCGCTTTTGATTATTTCCTTGAAAGACGAGAGCTGCTCATCCAACTTCTCGACCAAGCGTGATGTATCCTTGTGCGATCCTGCAGTTGCCACGGCATCTTTCAATAATGCCGCCCCTGCCGCAAAGCTTTCTGCCCCTTGCGTTAAAGAGTGATCCCCGTGACTTGCGCGATCTTGTGGGTGGGTACTGACGGAGGCCTTGTTGAAATTCACGAGTCTCTTTCCACGGTCGCTCAGCCAATAAGCAGTGCCAGCACATATATCGCGCAGAATGTCTGGGGAAAGGTCAATCAGGGGATATTTAACAGTGCCTTGAGGTGTGTTCTGGCATATGTTCTGTGACTGGAGCCATGTAGTAGCTTCTATTATTTCGTTCGCCATTTTCAAGGTCTGGTATTCGATAAGGTGATTCAGCATAACCGCCTCTAATGAGATAGGTTTATTTATCCCACATTCTGAAGCACATCTTTCGATCTGCATGTAGCAGTTGTGTTCGAGAAACAGAAGGACAGCCTGTTGCAGCTGGCGCACTTGGGACAGTTTCCCAATACCGCGGTCAGCAGGTAGGCTGGTGTCTCGTTCAGTGTCGCTATGCAAGTACGGGGGCAATGTCCTACGCCACTCCGCCAGTTGCCCGTATAACTTGACCACATCTTGGTGGCTGACATTTACATGTCCAGCAGCAACACCCAGAAATTCATGGTATATCTTTCTTGCAATGATGGCCAGGGCGAGTATGGCATCTAGATATGTTCTCTCTTCATGCTCTGGTAGTTGCTCGACAATCTCAGTGTGGCCGTCCCTGATACGAGACGGAGATTTTTGGTCGAGGGCGCGGAACGCATCTTTGCCATACACGTACCAGAAAAGCAACCTTTTTCGCTCTTCTGCCCCATGCAGAGGTGCGGAGAGGCCTTCCGGTAGGGACGCGTGGCAAAGGATTTGATACTGGAGTGTCATGAGGACCAGGCAGTCGTATGTTAGGAAAAGGCTGCCAAGCTGGGAATGGAGCGATGTGTTGACATCCTCATCTGGTTCGTAGGAAAAGTCAACCATGAGAGCCAGAGCTTCGAGGTCGTCCAGTCTGATTGATTGCTTGTCCCCTGCAGCTGATCGTGCCTCGAGCCATGCTCGTCTGAACTCGCTCGCCAGCTGCTGCTGCACCGGCCATTTTTGCACTGTCGATATGAAGGGGCATCCTCGGCATGCGACAGCGTACACCAAGGCAGGGCTGGCTCTGTGGCTCGTGTAGTCAGCCTGAAATGCGTTTCGGTCTAGTATCGGAATAGCTAGCGACGCCAGGTCAAAGTAAGCGTGGATAGCTGCTTTGAGAGTGCTCGGATCAAGCTCGAGGATTTCATAAGGGTTTTTTAAAGCACCTGCTACCTCCTCGCTGGCGTATATCTGAGGAGTGTTAGGCATATTGTCGAAGCTATAGTCGTGCGTAAAGACACTGTCAAGAAATGAGATACTCTCGGCTCCCAGATCCCAGCCAATTTCTTGCCATGCAGACTCAGAGTCAACAGCTGGATATTGTACGCTTGCGTCGAGAGGCGACGCCTGAGTCTGGGGTAGGACGGAGATAGTCTCCTTATTGACAAGACTGGTGTCATTGGTACTGCCGGGAGGATTACCACCATCGGCCGCCTGCCCCTCATCGGGACTGGATGAGATCCGGCCAGCAGCAGGGCGGGCATCAAGGCGCATGCTCCGTCTGGCTCGATCGCGGTTGTCGGGATTTGCAGTACAAGCTATATGTCTTATGTGGCAATGCGAACATTGAACATGGCCTTCGGATTGACGAGACACCCAATCGCACCTGACCTTGCGCCGAAAGCAAAAGTCACAAGACTGGCGCTTGATACCACGCTTCAGATACATGGGGCCGTGGAAAATAGAGCAAATCAAAAGATGATCAAGGTGCGGGAGAAACAGTTGGAGGTTGAAAGGAAAATGGCCGTCGTTCCACCTAGTTTTCGGGACTTAAGCGGCAGAAAGACGGGTATATGCACGGGACACCAGGTAACTACCTAGCTAAACAAGGTGCTAGACCCAACACGTCGTTGACGCGAGGGTTGAGATTTGTTCTACTCGATGAAGGTCGGTATGGCGAAGTGAAGTGTAGCCGGCCAGTGAGGAGCTGCTGTCATTGCCAGCCGAGTTAACGGAGCAAACTGGGCAACTACCTATGGAATTGAAGTAAGGCCTGCTAACTGTTGGTTGGCCTCATGGGACCAGACTTTAATTAATAGGAAAATAATTTTTTAAGGGTAGTACCAATAAAGGCTTAGTAAACTTCTTTATTTACTGATTTTATAATGTTGTACGAAAGTAACAAGTTGTAATGTCAATTCGGTTCGAATAACAGGCGTCACGGCCTGGAGCCAGGCCTGAGGGAACATGAAAACTTGAGACCTTAATGGAAGATGCCAAAATAAGCACATCAAATAGTCCCCTAAGTTTATGGTAGTTTACCTAAGTCTTTTTATCATCTGGGAAAAAGATCCTAAGTTTTCTTTCCTCTCTCAGCCTGGGGCTGACTACTAATGTAGGGTAGGTTGGGGTCTCTAGCTGCTTACCTAACCCAATCTTAGTCATCCAAAGAACTCCAACAACGCGCACCCCTGACACGTCTCCTCAAGCACCACGATACCATCACAGTTCCTCCCCCGCGCTCATTCCAACACCACGCTCCTTAACACCGCCAAGATGACTCGCGCTCAGCAGACCATTTCTCTCGCCCTCTTGGTTTCCTCCGTATGTTTTGTCTGAATGTCTTGGTGGAATTCAACTAATGCTGTACAGCTCTACCTTGCGCTCTTCCTTGAGCTCATCCCTCTTCCTCCTCTGATCCAGGAGCAGATCGTCCCTGTTGTACGTCCACTCCCCAACAGACTTCCTTATGGTCAATTATCTAACCCGCACTTCTGCAGCTCCCCTTCTGGGCTCTGGTCTCCTTCGGCGCATACCTCCTCTTCCGTCTCGGCTTCGGCATCCTCACCTTCAACGACGTCCCCAACGCACACAAGGAGCTCACGGCGGAGATTGAGCAGGCCAAGGTTGAGCTCCGACAGCTCGGCGTCACTGTCGACTAAATTGGCGAAAAGCACCCACACACACGATGATCTAAACGGCTATAGAAGGGTTAGGGGGGATTGGTAGATGAGTTTACAAAACTTTAATTACAATACTCTGGTATCTTGTTCTTGCGACCTGCGCAGAGGAATTCTACACATCGTACGCCTATCCATGTGAGGTTTGCCATCTAGATGGACTCTATCATGATTGCTCGCCGGCAATAAGTGCTACAATTGTTCGTACAGCTGTTTCGGGTTCTTCGTGTCCGTGTACAAGTTCTTCAAAAAGTTTGGGAATATTTGCAAGTGATCCTCGTTCGTCTGTTTGGTGCCCTGTGATCGTCAGTAATTGGTTACATCGTGGGAGTCATGCGTGTACTCACATTTTCCTGGGGCGCCAACCAGGACAGACAGCCTGTTTTGCGCTTCTCCAGTCCAGTCAAACTCGGTCTTCCATCCCAGTCGTACCGTTGAGCCTGACTCCTCTGCATCGCCGTACGGAATTGATATATCGAAGTGTTGCTGGCCCAAACAGCGAATGAGGTCTGCTCTCTTGACAGATTCTACTCGTGTCGGCTCATCCTCATCCGAGTCCTCGCCACTGTTCCTCCTGCGTCTGTGTTTCTTTGAGCGCATTCGAGCTGCAGCCTCCGATACACCGTCCTTCAAGCCTAGACTTTGTTCCAACTGGCACCAGAAGCCTGCTCTATCGATAGCGACTCGAAGCCACTCACCCATAGCCCACGAAAGGATGCCGATATTGCGTTGCATGGAACGGTTGCAGTCACCTGTGCAGATCTTGCGAATGAAAGGACCGAGCTCAGACTTTGCAGCTGGTTCCAAGGCTGTGACGCCGAGATCAAGAACCGTAAGGTCTGTGGCATTGACTGTCATCTCAATCTTGGCTGTAAAGATTCCCGGTATCTCGCGTGATCGAAGTGTGATGGAATAATGTTGCCTCAACGGCTCTCCATCAGCCTCTGGTAATACGGACGTGTTGGATGTCATGGAGAATGGAGTAAAAAGTTCAAGATAGGGCAGCTCCTCTGTTGCTGTCATGGCCACGGGATGATGTGACTTGAGATCAGGCTGCTTCTCTTCGACAGATGGTCGGACCACTGGGGCTGTAGGCTTGCTGAAAGGCAACAGGGCGGCAGGATTCAGCGCCGCTTGTAATAATTGCTGCGATGCTGTTTTACTCTGTTCGAAACCAGTAGACATCAGGTGGCGCTCGATGAGGCTGATGACCTCGTCTTGATTTGTCGGTGCAAGGGTGCGACTGGACTGTTGCATCAAACGAATGCGCTCGTTCTCTTTTCGCGCAATTTCAAGGTCCTTCTTCAAAACTTGGATCTCCCTCTGAACTCTATCCCGTTCCTTCTTCTTCTCTGCATCTGGATCAAAGGCTCGGGGCTGTCTAACCTCTGTAGCTTTGGCTTTAACAGGCGGTTGCTCTCTCAGCGCTGATCCGGCTTGAGCGAAGCTCTTCCTTGGCTTCTCCAACAGACGCGACGGTGGTTTTGCTAATGGCGACTCTCGTTGTTGTGAAAACTCTCGGAATCGAACCGGGCTGTTCTGGAAGCTCTTTCGTGGTCCTGTATCGCGTGGTGGTAGTCGAGGTACTGGTTGTGAGGCTGATGGGGCGGCGTCTTGCGAGTTCGGTTGGACCAACGGTGGTATTCTTGGAGGCAGCATTGAAGCTGGCGGGGGCGAGGATGAGAAATCTGGCAAAGGTGGTGGTGGACTCGGAGAGTCTCGTTCTGGTTCGGGATCAGGCTGGGGATCGGCTTCTAGTTCTGACCCTGATTCTTGTTCCGGCTCCGCTTCTGATTCTTGTTCTACGCCTTGCTCAGACTCTTCCTCCAGTTCTTCCTCCACTTCTTCCTCCACTTCAGGCTCTGGCGCCGGGGCAACTTCAGCTAGCGAAGGTGACCTGATGGGAGATGAAGATCGAGCCGGGATCTCAAGGTTATATGAAGAAAACGACCGAGCTGGTGACGGACTTCCAGCCGCTGATGGGGGATTGGCTGGCGACGTCTCTTCCGCAGGCGCAAGTTCCTCAGACTGAATGGGAGTGTTTTCCTCAGGCTCAACCATAGGCTCATCCGAAGGCAATCCAAGGTGAGGTTCTGGCATAGAAGCAGGCGGCGCAGGAGGCGAACTCGCCTCGATCGCAGGCGGTAACTCAGGCTGCGGCATCGAAGCGGAAGGCACATCAACATCCATCCTAATCCCAGCCTGCGGTGATCTTCTCAAGACCTTCCCTCGAAACGGATTAAAATCATCACCCTCCGCCCTCGCACCCGCTCTCGAAGACGTCCTCCTCGCAGCAGAAGCCATTCCCCCTCCCACACGTCTGATCGATCCTGGCGTCGTATCCTCAGGGCGCGTAGGCGTAGGAGCATCGCTAACAATCCTACTCGTCGCCAAGCGCGCTGCAAGAGTTTCTGAAGGACTATCAAAAGTAAATTGACCCGAAGCTCTAGCACTCGGTAATTTTTGTGGTGATCTTGATCGTCGGCGCTCAAATGCTTCAGGGTTATTTCGTGACATGCTTGCTTTGGTTGGTGATGCATATGATGGCCGTCTTCTCTGCGGTGACGCGGGTTCTTCAGAGGCGCCGATATTTAGAGAAGTGCGCGGCGAAGTACGCCGTCGCTTTGGCGCAGATTCTTCCATTGTATTTGATTTATGTACGATTTAAGGACCTTGGTTATACCATTTGGCGATGTTGGATTGTCTTGAGGATAATTGGTGGTCGCATTGGTTCGTGTTTACTTTAAGTGATCCTATCGCGTCTGCGGAAGTGGGCCTCACCGCTTACCGAAACGGGCAAAATGTTTTCGCGATGCCAAATGTGGATTGAGGTTACACAAATGTCTTCCAAAGACCTGGGGGCTGCAAGCTGACAGCAGAAAGACCAAAAGCGCTATTATTGAGGCCATATTAGTGTTCTCATATCCAAAGAGGTCCAAAATGATAGTAATGACAGAGCCAGCAACAGAGCCAGCAACAACCCCAGGTGATTTCACAGCCCAGTATCTTGAATAATCACGTGCCTCTTCAATTGTTCGGAGCGCTCATGGGCCTTCAAGTCCTGATGGTGCAGACTGACTACATAACCAAGTATGTCTTACAACTGGAAGTTTAAGTATCAGATCTATGTACAGAGGCCAACCTCTGAAATTATCCTGACTCTAAAGTTATCACGAAATTGAATCTCAACTCACATATAAGAGGTTCATTCCGCCCCCCACACACCCCAGTTTTCGCTAGCTTCACCCCCAGCCGATGACGTCCGAGGCAAAAATGACGGACTTCCGACCCTCAACACCAACTTTCTCGGCTCTCGCTATTTGCATTACCAACCCAACTTCCTCACTTTTTCGCTCGCCACTCCTCTTCTCTCAACACCCGAAAACCCCTCGCACCATACCCGTATAGATATCAATTAGACAGCGCCGATTCACAATGTCATTACCGTCCAGATTACTACCTCGGTTACGGCCCCTAATACCCTCACGAAGCATCGTCAGCGCCGCACCAAAACGCATAGAAGACTGGCCGCAGCGCAATTCCCTTGGTCCATACTACGAAGTAATCCTCAACAACCCTTCTCAAATCCCAATCGACAAACCAGAAGTCCCCCCTAAAACAGCAGACCCCTCAGTGCAATCCGAGTTCCCCACGAAAACCGCTGTGCAAACACCAGAAGAAAAAGCACGTTTAGTCTTTGGCTCACGCCTCTTCGGCTCTGCGGAGAAAGACGAGCGCCTAGCAGCACGACAAGCAAAAGCGACATACATAGCTGGCGTTCTCGTACCGCCTAAGCCCGTTGAGCCGGATAATTGCTGCATGAGCGGCTGTGTGAACTGCGTGTATGACCAGTACCGCGATGAATTGGAGGAGTGGCAGCTCAAGAACGCAGAGGCACAAGCTGCGCTGAGAAAACACGAGGGATCTATGGATTCGGACGGTGGAGGGTCAGAGTCGAATTGGGTCGCGCCAGAGGTCGGCAAGGCCAAGATTGCGAAGGACTTTTGGGACGAGGAGCTGTATGCGGATTTGCCAGTTGGGATTAGAGAGTTTATGAAGACGGAAAAGCTTTTGAAGAAGAGGCATGAGAGTGAAAGGACCGAGGAGAACTGAGTGAAGTGTGGGTTGGAAAGGTTAGTTGGGTTGAGACACGGTGGAAAAGCTTATACCCCTTTTTTGCATTTTATTTATTGGGGTCTTGGATGATAGAGTTGATGATTAGACTATAGACATGAACATCTGTATTATAAACCTTCAGAATGGGAGAACTTTGGTATCGCAAACTTTGGACTTGGTATATAAGACTCGTGCTGGTCCGTTTCTATTGCCAATTCTTTTGCACCTTCAACATATTCTGCTTCGTCCACGATTCACATCCACCCCAAGGGCGTTTATCCTGAAGCACGAGCAAACCATTTCACTCTAACACCGCGAAACCTCAACAACCTCTTTATCATGGCTGGCGAAACAGACACTCCCGATAACACCATGCTGCTCGCTTCAATGAACCGCCTCCCTGACGTCGTTACCCTAATTACACAAGTAGACAACACGACTGAGACACAGAGAAGAGACCCCAAATACACTCTCAGCACAGAGTGGGACTGCCCTCCCGACAAACTCGCTTCTTACGACGGTGGCATCTACTGGTACTTCTGGGCATTAAGCTCTCCAGCGGAATACCAACTCACAAAGCCGCCCTCCCACAACGGCTCAAACATGCACACAGTCCAAGTCGGATGTAGACAATATGCCGCCAAAATATCCAACCATCCTGAGGCTATCACGAAGGAGGTGAAAAACCATATATCCGTCGTAAAGAAAATGCGTCTCGAATGGGACGTAGCGACACGGGACTTTTATGAGGTACACGAAGATGCTCCATCACAAAGAAGCACAGGATCAGGACGTCGTCACAAGAACAAAGGAAAGCATCGTCCCAGGCGATTCGATGGGCCTGCTCAGCTCTGCATCCCGGATTTTGAGTCCGAGATTATCCAGCATGATCATGAAGGACAAGATATCGCAACAGCAGGATATGTTACCAGCTTCATTCCACCTTTCCACCCGGTCCACGTCCGCGCTCTTGTCGACACATTTCTCGATCCCAGTATTCGCGAGTCAGTCAAGGATGATCCGAACCTGTCGAACGTCAGGTTTCGAGTCCACCTCGGCATGATGTCACCTCCAGAAGAACCCATAAGTGCAAGACTCCTTTCCCGCCCCGTGTATCTCGATCAGCTCATGCGTGAGGCAGAGGAACCCCTGGAAATATGGTGTGAGCAGATGGGCATAGCTCTGGCAATCCTCCACTGGGAGTGCAGGTTAGATGCAGCTGGCGTCAAGTTCTATCTTGCACCTGACAAGAGAAATCGTATGAAGCTGTGGATGACCAACTTTGGCGACTGCAAGCCTCTGCAATCAGGCCAAGACGAAACAAAGGCGATGGCCAAAGCTGTCTATGACAACTCAGCATGGCCGCGATCTCCGATAACCCGAAACAAGGCCGTTGGGGAGCAGTACTGGCTGGCGATGTGTGCTTACGAGAGCTTCACCTTGGCGTACGCTATGGCAAGCGAGAAGATCTTGGCACAGAACTCGACGGAATACGTCAAGGGCTATCCGACCCGTTTCATTCGCAAGCTGACGTTCATAAGTCCAGGCACGAGTCCAGTTATGAACGAGATCCAGGACAAACTGAAAAGAATAAGTCTGAAGTTCTGGAGGAGGAGGAAGGCGACATAGAATCGAGCATCTAGTGTATTAGATGTTAGCAGGCGCAAGATTTCATCGCATTTTAGGTCAAGCGGGTTCTGGTTTGTGTCTGATGCTGTTTGGGTAGCAACATTGTATAGGTAATCTTTTGAACCGATAGTTCAGGAATCTCATTCATCATGTTTATGATATCTTGTTTAAATCTGTGCGCCATTTTCCCAACTCCAAATTCTCAGAAAACACTTAGTTGCTCTTGGTCTGCAGGCTGGCGTTCCTGTCATGCTCGTCGATGTCGATGGCCTCCCAGGGGTAGTTGATCCAGACGTCTCCAACAGTCTCGGCAGCGGAGTAACGGGTGGCGAGCATGTCATCGGGGAGCTTTCCCTTCTTGGGCTTGTCCTTGTTCTATAATTTTGTTAGTTTGGACTTGTAGTTTTGGTACCGTGCTACATACGTGGAGGACAAAGATGCTAAACTCAGTCTTGGGAGCAGGAGCGCCCTCGCCCATGCGCTGACGAGCAATCTCAACATCCTTCTCAAGCTCCTTAACAGCGTACTCGAGGGTTGTTCGGGTATCGTCGACCTCGTCAACGATAAGGATTCGCTTTCCGACGAGGTTCTCCATCTCGCCGAGAGCGGTCAAGTCGAGCCACTGTGTTCGGGTGACCTTTGTGCCAGGGGCCTCGACCTCATCGTTGCCGAGAGACTCGTAGAGAGAGAGACCGATGGCCTGGATGGGGATGTTGGGAGAGCCGGCCTTCTTGAGGAAAGATCGGAGGATTCGAGCGGGAACGTAACCACCGCCACCGATGGCGATCAGAAGCTGAGGCTGGAAGTCGGCGAGAAGCTTCTCAGCGGACTTTTGGCACATCTTGTGCACCTGGAGTAGCTGTCAGCAACTGAATTTTGGAGTATCTTGTGTCATAGCTAGTGATCAGAGATTTATGCGTTATTGCACTGCTGCCAGCAAACAGTGTTCCATCCAGCTCGTAATACTGTCGCATAGCTGGACTTTTCATGATGCGCATCACAACCCATCATCAAGGCGGGGTGGCGGGGTAAATTGTCCTTACATCGTTGTATGTGACGTAGAGCTTCTCGACCATTTTTGCGGTATTTACACGTCGCACGGAGCGTAATCTAGTATATAGAAGAATGAAATGAAAGAGTCGCGACGGGGACAGATGAAGAGATATTAATGCCCAAGAAAAAGAAGGAAGGAGAGAAAAAAGAAGGAAAAGAAAAAAAAAAGTAGGGCCGAGGCAACCGCGCCTGCAAGAATTAGGGATCTTCAGGCAATTTTTTAGACATCTCCACATCATCGCTGGACGGATCCACTATAATATTCGGAGTCCGCCGATGCTTAAAAAAGACCTTAATTAAATCCGAGAAACCCAAGAATATTCGTAAAATGTATATAATAACGATAACTAGGCAGACGAGGAGTAGATCATTTCTACAGGAGAGAATGCCTCAAGGAGGGAAGAGTGCTTTAAGGCCCAAGCTCTTGGTGCCTGGAAGCCAAAGGTGTGAGTTGGTTGGCAAAGTGATCCAGGCATGACCTTATTTACTGTCCACCTTGTCTTTAGATCATGCCTTTTATATCCTTGATTAATGTTAGAAAAGATGCACAAGTGCGTTGCACTCTGGCTTGCGGCCGAGAATTCATGTCATTCTCCTTGTTCTGTAGGTATTCGAACCTCCACTCCATGGAACTTATGGTATAGGGTGACCACTTGCAAAGAACAACTGTTGTATCACTCTTCCCAACGATCAGAATTGCAGCCTGGAACTACTATTAGTGGGGTTTTATGTGTATGCCTGAGATTGCATCCACGAATAAAAGATCGTATATTTACAGCGACCATGTTTGCGTTCCCATAGGACACAAAATGTCCTACACTAGCTGCAACGGAACTGCCTTAGTGAACAAACATCATTTGCGCAACCGGTCACCATGGCTGCGCATCTCTTTATTAGGCATAGAATCGAACACGCCTTTTCAGCTCGTATTTATATTCAAGTTTTGAGTTTGTGATGGTGAGAGCAATCACTGGTCATTATGTGCCAACAATCATGACTTCAAGTGTAGTTGGCATGGATGTTTTCATCGCAGGAGCTTGCTAACAAACCAGGCTTCCTTCTGCCTATCCTGCTTCACAAGACAACAAACTCAACAAACATGCAACCCATGAGCCAGCTCCTATTTCTTCAGATATCCAATTTTAGACGGATCAATAGTACCAAAATATGTCCAAGCTTCTATTACTGACCCTCAGCCTCTTACACGCAATCCCACGAGGTAGTCTACCCCGCAACATTGGAGATGCCTCGCAGTCCGCCATGTGCCACTACGGCCAACCACAAGCTCCCTCCTCACAAAAATCTTACCTGTTTCGGGCAAGTATCATGTCTGCCTTGGCCCACCAGCTCAGCCCATGAAACACTGTTTCGCCCGCAAAGGGATCCGACAATCTGGAGTCATCTTAAGGCAGACATATCTCTCCAATCTCTCAACATTAGTCTCTTTAGTGTCAATGCTACCTCTCCGTATTCGTGCGGCCAAACAATCTGCCTGGCGAATCACCTTGGCGAGCATGGGTACAGCCATGTGGTCCGTTCGATATGACAGGCGGATCGTGACATGGGGTTAGCTTACAATCGGTCAGACTCATACAATCCTTCTGTAGGACCCAAGATTGGCATTCACTGGGAACATGTTACTTATTAAAATGCTAGCTTTCGCTGACTAGTCAGCTTACACTCAGCATCTCAACTCTTTCTTCTCATCTCATTGAGACTGTGAGATCTAGCATCCGTTTGACACGGTAGTAATAGCCCATCATGGTTGTAAGTACCATTAAGTCTTCCAAGGACTACCGTCTACTGACAATATGCAGAGAGTACCCATCTTTCGCAGTCTCGTCACTGGCTCCAAGAGCACCAATGACGAGAAGCCCGAGGTAACCTCCGAAAAGGAACAGGTTCAACCCATCGGGACCATCTCAGATAAAGATGCGATTCTTCGTCTAGAGCCTGTACCAAACAGAAAAGGTCTCTTGATCAAGATCGAACCACCAAAAGAACCATCCGTCAAGATCCCCCATGTCCCTTGCGATATTGTCCTTGTCATTGATGTCTCCGGATCCATGGTATCTGCAGCGCCTGTCCCTGGAGAAAGCGATGAGAGCAATGGTTTATCTGTTCTTGACCTCACAAAGCATGCTGCACTCACCATCATCGAGTCGATGAACGAAAACGATCGTCTTGGTATTGTCACCTTCGCTTCGAAGGCTAAGGTTCTTCAACCTCTTATTCCTATGAACAAAGAGAACAAAGCTCGATCGCTGAAGAATGTCAAGAGCATGAAACCTCTTGATGCTACCAACCTATGGCAAGGCCTGCTTGACGGTATCAAGCTGTTCAATACTGGAGAGTCATCTACCAATGTCCCTGCCATCATGATCCTCACCGACGGCATGCCAAACCACATGTAAGTCCCCCTTCATCTCCCCTCAACCGCACATGCTCATTCTTGCAGGAACCCGGCAGCAGGCTTCGTCCCCAAGATCCGCGCAATGGGTCCCCTCCCAGCCTCAATCCACACCTTCGGCTTCGGCTACAGTCTCCGCTCCGGCCTTCTCAAGTCCATCGCCGAGATTGGCGGCGGCAACTACGCCTTTATCCCTGATGCCGGTATGATCGGTACAGTATTCGTCCACGCTGTCGCAAACCTCCAGAGCACATTCGCAACTCGCGCTGTTCTCAAGCTCTCATACACCAGGCCCTTGGAGTTATACGAGACAACTGGGCCGTCCGTGGACCAGATCGTCCCTGTGTTTGCCGATGACTCGGAAGATAGCCAGGTTGAGCTTACGATAAACCTGGGGAATCTGCAGTTTGGACAGTCTCGCGATGTTTTTCTTAGCACTAATGGTCTCAAGGAACTTGAGTTCCTGAATGAAGAGAATCCAACTCGCGCTCTTGTCGATGCGCATTTGACATACGTCAAGCCTGGGGATTGTCTCAAGAGTCGCAAGGTCCTTGAGTCAATGCTGTCAAAAGACGCTGATTTCATTCCCGTGGCAAGTAACCAGCGAAGTATTCTGGAGTACAGCGACCTACCTGCCTCTGAGATCGCATACCATGAGTCGAGGTCTCTAATCTGTAACTTCATCTCGACCATGTTTCCTATTGGGGTAGATGGTGAGCACGGCATCACACGGGGTATGAAGAATAAGCGCGAAGACCTTCGAACTTGGATCGATACCCTTCCCGCCAAGAACTTTGACGACGTGAAGAACCAATCTCTCATGAAAGATGTATCAGCCGATGAACCCCAAGGTCAAGTCTCCATGGCTATCGAAAGTAAAGAATACTTCAACAGATGGGGATGTCATTTCCTCCCATCTCTCCTCAACGCCCATACCCGCCAAGTCTGCAACTCTTTCAAAGACCCTGGCCCTCTTCAATACAGCACTGAAAGCCCTCTATTCATCTCCTGCCGCGACGCACTTGACCAAATCTTCGATAATCTCCCCGCCCCCGAACCTTCACGACACGTGCACGCTAGAGGCGGTCGTTCACGAGGTTCATCCACAGGCATCAGCATGAGTTCATACCGCAACTCCAGCGGCGTCTGCTTCGCAGGCTCCACAGTTGTCGCACTCGCTTCTGGCCGAACGGTGCAGATCCGAAAACTTCGACGCGGCATGAAAGTCCGTACACCTCGTGGTTCGCGCCGTGTCGCCATGGTTCTCAAAACCCCCGTCGAGAGCGAGATCCTGTGTCGCGTGGGCAAAGTTCTCGTCACACCGTGGCATCCTGTGTCTTCCGACGGAAAACGCTGGGGCTTTCCCGCCAACGAAGCTGATGGCGTTGTGATGTATACTGGATGTATTTACTCTGTTCTTCTGGAGCGCGATGCTAGTTCTTCTGCGCATGCTATTCGCGTTGGAGATATGTGGGGTGTAACTCTGGGACACGGATTGACTACGGGATCTGATGTTCGCGCTCATACGTTCTTTGGGGACTATAACGCTGTTGGTAAGGGTTTGTTGAGTCTTCCTCGCCGTGCACACGGGATCGTCATCGGTGGTGGTGTGGAGAGGGACGAGGAAACTGGTCTGGTCACCAGCTTCAGACAGCCCAACAAGTAAACGATAATCAGTATTCGTAAAACATCAATAGAGACAATCACTTTTCTCACGATCAAACTGCTTATATGTTTCCCACCATTTTTATATATTATTCACAATCTATGCCATGCCCAATCCCTTTTATCCCAACATTTTATCTCAAACGCCCGAACTCCCTAACTCCTAGAACTCCCAAAATCCACTCCTTGAACTCCTCAAATAGTACAAATTCTCGGCTTCTTTCTCTCAACCTCCCCGTCCAAATCATCTTCACTACTTCTCTTCAGTGTCTCCAGCGCTCTACATGCAGCGATCTGAAGATACCTAATTGGTGAAGGGGCATGAAGAAACGCCTGCTCTGCCAGTTTCTCCACCCCCTTCGGTCTCTTCCTCTCAATCTCCCCATCCAAATCCTCTTCACTCTTCCTCTTCAAGCTCTGCTTTGCATTAGGTGCAATGGGGTGAAGATCCTCCACTGGTGAAGGGACATGGAGAAACTCCTGCTCTGCCGGTTTCTCCGTTCCAGTGAAGCTATAATCATTCCATGGAGCCTCGTGCTGATCGCTGAACAGGTTCCCAGGCATGACTTCCTTAGATATAGGTTGAGTTTGCCATGGGGGAATGACCTGTCCAGCCTCTCCCCTGTATGGAAGAGCTGTCGGACTGTTAGGCACGTCCCTAGGGCTCATGTAACTGTCCTTCGGAGGCATGACCCGCTGGACCACTCCCTCGCACGGAAGAGTCTTCGGGCTCATAGGCGGTTCAATAATAGTAGTGCAGTTGTGCCAATCAATATCCTGCCATCCCATATCCGGTTCCTGACCGTAAGGAATGACCCATGGAGGAATTTCTGGACCCGAACTCGACGAAAGCGATGAATTGGGTTGCCCAGAAGGCTCAGCTTCAATCCGAGCCAGTCGTCGAGCCTTGTCATTAAACACGTCCGCCCATTGTCCAGGATAAGGCAGCACCTCAATCTTCTCCTGATCTTCAGGATCCCACGTAGCAGAGGGTTTAGAAGAATACGGCCTCGTGTTAGGTGGCGCAGGCGATGTCCAAAGCGTGTCGTCCTTTGCAGGTTCAGGACGAGGGGCTCGGTACTGGGCGTAATAAGGATGCCATCGCAGAATATCATCCTGCCGGTCAAGATTATCGACCCAAGCAAACGGAATACAACTGAATTGCGGAAACCCTTTCTGTAGCGTATGACATTCCTGGAAGCAATCTCGCCAAGGATGGACGCGCAGGAGAGAAGCTGGGCAGACTTCCATACAGCCTACATTCGCCAGAATCTCCCACGCTTCCATCAATCCCACAAACTGATGATGAGCTTCACTCCACATCTCGTAGAGATCGCCATGTTCAATGAATAGATCTGCCTCTTCCTCAGGACAGCATGTCTGGTTGAGGAGGATATACTCAACAAGCTTCTCGGCGTCCTGCTCAAGCTCATACATCGCCGCGCCGGCTTCAAAGAACTGATACCGAATATCCTCCTCGTACGCGAAAACATCCGTGTTCATCTCGAGGGTCGCCCAATCCTCAATGGGTTCCATTTGGTGTAGTATACCGGATTCGTACATGAGGTGAGGATGAATGTTTATGTGGTAGGCCTGCCTTCCACGACATATATCCCGCGGATCTTTTGCATTGCAGAAGAAGATCTGGCCAGGCGAGCAACAGTCGCCATGGTAAGCACATGTTGCGTCGCGAAAGGGCCGGTGGTGCTCGCAGTTCCCGGGTGGTTCGAGCGGATGGTAGACTGTTCCGCCGGTAGTAGTGTTGATGATCGCTGGACGACGGGTCTCGCAGCGCGTGATGTGGATGACCTGTATGTAGCACATGGTGTTGGAGCGTGTATTGATATGTCAGTGAGTAACGTGTTGTGTAGCTTCGAGAGACTGATTGAAGCTGGTAAAGTAAGTGAATGGCATGGTGAAGTGCTTTTAACGATTGGTACTGAGGTCTGTGGGCGAAATGATAGATCATGTTCTGCAGGTGTATTGTTGTTCAGGTGGTGAAGACAAAGCAATGGTCGGTTTTGCAGGGGGGGTCAAAGAAGTCGTTCATTGAAGAAAGGGACCTGTCTTTCAGGCCAGCGAACACTTCTCTGTAACAACACCTGAATGAGGCTTGTTCGCTTGTTCACTTACTCACTCAACAATGTTCATTTCTGATTCATGTCAACTGTCTCTTTGACCAACATCGCTGACTCACTCAACTACCTCCTTGGAATAACCACCAACGGATCCTGTCCCTTCCTCAACGCCGTCATGAGCAACTGCATCCTCCCATCAACCCGTCTATCCAGAATCTCACAAGCCTTTTCTGGCGTCAATCCCTTCTGCTCACACATTTCCTCCACCTTTCTCACAACCTTCTGTCTCACACCAACGTAATTACTCGCATACTTGCGCTCCTGCAACGTTCCCATTCGCCATCTCGTGCTGTACTTTTCTTCGAGTGATTGAATCGATGGATTTCCGTTGCTGCCGTGCTTCCACTCTTGCCATACTAATGCGACGGTCTTGGGCATGCGGTGGTATTTGAACTTGCGCCTGGGCGGACCGCTGGCGTACCGATATGCAACGGAGCGAGGGGCGGAGTATCGTGTTTTTGTTGTTTCGAGATCTTCGTCTGAGAGGGATGACGATGGTGTTGCTGGGGCATTTGGGATATCCTCCGTCTCATCGTCACTGTCATCGTCCACCTCCTCCTCCCCTTCAACCTCAGGATCAGGAGTGAAGTCAAGGTCCTTGTCCTCTCCACCGCTCAAGTCAGCCCCTGCATACGGAGAATTCCTCGTGTTGATGGCAGTCCACGATGAAGTATTACGAAGTCGAACACTCCGTAGAGTTGCCCTTGTTTGTCGCTTGAGCTCTCGATGTGGCCTCAAAGGGGGATTCTTGCGTTTTGGTGCTCGTCGCCCAGTGCTTCGTACAGGAGGTGCTTCCGGGTCTGGCGTTGATGGTAATTCATCAACGCTCACGTGTCGAATGACTTCCGCTGTTTCTTGAACCTCATCTTCATCATCAAAGACCATAGGCTCAGTAGTCGGCTGTTCCACGCTTTGTTGAACTGGCATGTAATTCTCCGCTACAAGCCCTCTGACCTCAGCAAGATGTTCTCCCCCAAATGCCTTTGCAATCTCGATTTCAGCACCTCCGCCAATTGCAAACTTCCCTTCCTTCACATCCCTCATAAACCCAACGAATCCATCCATGAGAACAACATGCATCTGCAGTCTCCTCTCCATCTCACCCATCTTCCTCATCATCTCCTCATTCTGACTCGCCAACTCCTCTGTTCTTTGTCTCTCAGCCTCCAACTCCGCCGCGTAATGCTCCTGCATATTCACAACAATCCTCGCAAGACTCATCGGAACTTTTTCCACCTCCCGATCAATCTCCTCCTCCCTGGCCAGTGGAGCCACAAATGCTAGTGATTTGCGCCGGGTCGGGAGTATCGTTTGACAAGGCTCCGAAGCTGACCTCCGGAGTGGGCCCTCGGAATCGGAGCGGCTCGTGGCCGGCGTTTCATTCGGCGAGATGAGCATCATGGGCTGTTTCTTGCAGATCGGCTCTGACATTATGAATCGGCTGTTAAAATTGCAGTATTCAGAAATTGGTCGGTCAATTGAGAGGCCCGGTCATTATATCATCATCAAGCTCTTGAACAACGCTCGGTCCAAGCTATTGAACACCCGGAGAACAAAGAACAACGGGTCACGGACCTCACCAGGTTGAACATGTTTGCCTAAAAGTCAATCATTCTTGTCTTTAAACAATACTAACTATGCTTATGGTATAAATAGTAATAAATGCCGAAGTATCTGGTAAATAGTAACTCGCAGGTAAATAAAATAAATAAAGAATAAACTTCCCTCACCAGAATAGAAGCTTCATGCAACATCTCTTCATCTAGATCATACTTTCTTTCCTTCTTTCGCTCCGAATGCTATCAAATCATTATCTTCTTGTATCATGCAGGTGTCCTTCTGTAAAATTAACTCGATGTAAAAGCCAACGGGTATATAACGCCAACGATGCGATGCGATATGCGGGTGTAGGGGTGTTTCTTTGTTCGTGGTTGGGTTTGTTCAGATGTAGGCCGTAGGTTGAGCATCGACCTTTCTGCGGCGCCAGAATTTCCATCCCTTGCGTCGCCGCACAGACTTTCCTCCCGCCTTCTCAGCATGATCATCCTCAAGTTCAAGTCTATACCTTCTCACGCTGCCCGAATCATCATCGAACGAGACATGTTTATTCTCGCACGACACAAAACAATCCGGGACAAGATGTCTGAGCACCCAGCCTTTCACACCGCGCGTCGCAGCGTCGATGGCGGCGTATTCAAGACGGCGGGTGCGGTCGCTGGTCCAGTAGTGTGTTGTCTGAGGCGGTGGTGAGGGAATGGGCGTGGGTTGAACGCGGCGGTCGGGAACGGTGTCGGCGAGCTGGATGGGATCTGGCGATGGGAAGTGGAAGAATGCGGCGGATTGCTTGGGTGGAGAAGTAGCTGTTGCGGTGCGTACGAGGTGGAGGGATTGGTTGGATGTGCGTGTTGGTTGAACGGGGTGAGTCTTTGCTGCTCGACGGAGTGAAGGGCGACGATCTCTGAAACGAGATCTGACTCCTGAGCCGTTGCTACTACCACTACCACTACCATCCTTGGAAGAACCATTTGACGAGCGTCGGCCAACAAGAAGGTGAGCGTTGTTAATAGTAGACCCGCCGTGGGAAGTATTAGAAGTAGAGGTTCGTCGGGGCGTGTTTGACTCATAGCCCGAATCCTGTCGCTGCATCTTTGCTGTGCCAGGTCGACGCTCTCTCACCCAGTCCTTGCTACTCGGAGCTTCACGCTGCTGGCGCTGAAGCTCATGTTGAAGATGCTCGAGGTGTTGAAGACTGGTTGTATCGTGGGTGACGGGTGGTCGAGGGGGAGACATGGGTTCAAACAACTCCGTGTCTGCGAAGCTATGGTATGTCGTACCTGAAGCTCGCGACTCAGACCTTTCCTCCATGATGGGCGAACATCCGACGATACCAGGCTGACCAGTCGAAGTATAAGGCAAGGTGAATGAAGGTGAGATTAGTGTGTTGTGTGTCGTTCCAGTAAAAGAAGGTAAATGGGTGTATGATGAGGTAGAGGGTATTCACAACAGCACCCGTTTACTAATAATCCCCCAAGAACGGCAGACACAATCTCCGACCCAGTCCAGCCAAGGTCCGTAGTCACCAACAAAAAAACGAGAGACAAAGTAATGAATATATAAAAAAGGAGAAGGGGGATAAGCTTTCCACTTCTATTCCGCGGTGAAGCGAAGCGAAGGCGAAAAAACCTGGTTGCGGGAGAAACAATAAGAACCAAAAGTTGCGGTCTGCCTTCTCTTGTTATTTAACTTAACCCGAGTTGAACCCCAGTCGAGAAAAAGTTCAGGGCCCTAGCAGGGGCTCTAAGCGGGATGCTGGGGACCAGGGGTGTTGGATTGGCCTCTGGGCGGTGAAAGGATATGCACGACGGTGGTGGTGTCATGTACCTAAGGAATAGCGTTGATGAATAGGACGAGTTGGTGTTTTGACGGTGGATAATGTTTTGTAATGGTGAGTGAGTGGGAAAGTCGGGAGTAAAAGCCGGGTAGTATTTGCGTTTTGGTGGGTTGGAGTGAAGTGAGGTTAATTATGAGTAACAATAAGCTTAAGCAGCTACAAAGTGAGTGTAGACAAACACAATATGAGTGTCTGTCTACTTGACTCTCAATCTGCTCTGCCTTGCTCTATCACACGTCGACAATCCCGAATCGAATGATATTGACGATCTCAAGCGGTGCGTTGTTTTAGTCAACTTCGGTCCTGTTTTTTCTCTCTTCAACAAGCCCATCCCGTTAGTCCAAACCGTCAACCGATCACAACAAGAAAAATATCACCTTACCCAAACTTTGGCCAGGCCAGTGGAGCTCTTTTGTTACTCAATTGGTGGAGTTGCGGTATGACCCACGACGGCTTTGCGCGTTGACGATCGGCTGCGGGACCGGAAGAGAAAGGAAGTTATGGGGCTTTGCAGAAAGAGGTGGACCGAGAAAAAGCGAAAATGTGAAGTGCAGAGACGAAGGGAAGATATTGAGGATGTTTCTATATGAAGGTATCGAATGTGAAGCAGGGAATCATATGACGTGGACGGCTTGTAGGACCAGTGTTGGATATTCATCTTCACATGCTCAGCTCTGCTTCATGAGAGTGAGAATGAGAGACATGGGCTTGTATCACTGTATCCCCCGACACAAAAGAGTCCGAGTGTCTGGGGGTGGCCCGGCATGATGCCCGCCTCTAGTGTCTCTGACTCCTCCTCGCCTCTGTATTTTCATCAGCTCAGGAACAGCACAAGTCGGCGGGTTACGGAACAAACATACCGAAAGGCCTGAAGGAATAAGCAGTCTATCGATCTCGTCTGCAGGGACTGACATTTTTTCCTCTACACCTCTTTTGACACAAACAAGTTAGCAGGGTTGGTCCCACGTCACGCAGGCGAGCGACAGGGGTTAATTGGGACTTGGCTTTTGGGCGGCCCGCTCTCGCGTTGCTGCGCCTTTTTTCTGTCGGTCCGTCCGCTGGCGTTTACACTCTCTACGCCGTGCTCTGTTTCTCTGTAGGATTGCACAAGACTTGACTTGAAGCCTTGCCATCCATAGTAGCTGAATAATGTACTCACAAAGCCGACTGAGTGATATTCATGATCACAGTCTCAAGTTTATTATGCTTCAAGGTATCCACGTGTCAAACATCAAGTGGGACACAAATACCGATGCATAACCCATCCATGCCTGCATACAATCGACCCGTCAATAGCTGAACCTGATATGCAAATCATCCAAGGTCTCATTTTCGTCCGTTCTTTTTCGCACTGATCAGCTTCGATCCAGAAGTCACAGACCAGTTTCACAGAGCGCCTAAAATCACTCAATGGCGGGGTGTGATCCCAGCGTCTGAAACACAGACCTCTTTTTGTACGCCGGGTCTTCCCGTGGCTACTAAGGTATTTTGACGCCGTCGCTGAAAATGGGGTTCAGTTACGAGAGGAATCGTGATGGGGTAAAGGTCTTGGCGAGCGCTTGGAACCTGTTGATAGGGGATCCCCAGAAATAGAAGATGCATGACAACTCACTTTGTCCCTGTGCCTGTGCCTGAATCATCGAGCACCTATCATCGGTGTATTTCGCAGCATGTGAAGATAGGATGAGCAGCCGAGGGTTTCATCCAGATCAGATTTCTGTGCATCTGATGCAATAAAACGACAACACCCTCTTTTTGCATGACCATTCCTCGTCGTGGTAGAGGTCTCGTGCTGCACATGATAACTTTGAGGGCTCTTGGGGTGCCACGCCCAGGAACGAAAAAACAGACAGCCACCTACGAGCTGTGCCTCAAAAAGCTGCAAGTTAATCTCTAACCACCAACAAATCACTGCATGTTCCAAAACCCTTTCTTTTTATAAAGGCCTATCTTTTCCTTATGCCCATTAAAGAGATGTTGTTTGAGACAGATGACGCGCCCGACACCGGAACCAATAGAGTCGTATCGATTGCGAAAATTGAACTTCACATGTTTTTTTAACAATGTGACGCTGTTTATGCACCTTGACGATCGGTGGCTTGGTCATGTGCACAAGTGAAGCCGGTTACGGATGGGTGATCGGCAGAGAGTGTTAAGAATGGCAGTGGTGATTGGGAATGTGGAAGAATGTTGATACGGGCTGAGACATTGGACGCCTTGCAGGTGATGAGTTGGACGTTTGAGTTTGTCGACGTCGGTCAATGCGATTTTGCTTGCGTGTTGCGTCATGACATTCGGTGAAGACCTTGGGGAATACATTACGAATACAATGGGGATGGGATTGAGGATCAGGAATTCGTTAGTCTGGGCTTTCTGGGCATCTTGGCCTTGAGCATGAAGGAGAGCCACCAGTCAGGACGGCGACATCGCGATGATTAGGGACTTCGAGGGGTCCTCGTGGCTGGTCTCTCTCTGCTTGGTCAACATATTCCCTTTCGTAAACGCTGCCCAGTCGTAAGATGCAGAAGCTCCAGACGCCCAATTAATGGAAACTGCCTTGACCGCATTGATATTGTTCAGCATGCTGCTTAAGGTAGGGGAGGTAAAAGAGCTTGACACCTCGATCCTAAGCGACAAAAGATTTAGGTAAAGATCAGTACGAGCTTGTAGGACTCTTTAATGAGTTGATTTTGGCACCCTATTTGATGGTCTAAAGTCTTCTTGCTTCCTGACGAGGACCGCACAATGGTCCCAAACAACTAAGATACTCGATCTACCTTGTTGGACGTCATATACGAGCTATCCAATCGCCGACAAGATATTATTCGGAAAGCCTCACTCCTCACTTCGTAAACCCATCTTTCTGACCACAGTGGTATAGGGTAGTGCTCCTAAAATAGCATCATCACAAAGCTGAGATTAAGTTCAGCCATCTCAATGCTCAAGACCATTCTACCAATTGAGCACAGCCTACTTACTCCGTAGAATCAGCCGTCGTAAATGCCTTCCAGACCTTCAGTGGCTGCGCCCATTTGAGCAAGATTCCCTCGCATCTAGTGACACCTCCACCAATTACAACCCGGCCCATCCGGAGATTTCATCACGTAATCTAACCTTACCCTGCTGGCTAAGCTAGCTCTCATTCCAACACGAGGCATCTCACTTCTTCCTCTTCTTTATGTTATCGTAATGGATTTGTTAAGAAGACACGGCGGTCATGGACACGGTCACGAAGAGGAGGAGCATGGCCACGGTCATGGGCATCAGAGTGAAGATTCAGTGAGACAGCACTTTCTCGCGTGTCTTTACTGGTATGTCTTGGCGATGGTGTTGATAATTGGTTCTGTCTCACGATTGATCTCTATTTTCATCGCTAAACAACGGTATGTTGACTCAAAATGACGAGGGGATAGGGCTGAGACATTCCAGGATAAAAAGAAGAGATGCTGGGGCCAGTTCAGATACGTCAATCTCGACGGTAGAGAAGTTGGTAGATGCGCCAAAGGCTCTTGCATCAAGAGTATTTCGACTTCCAGTTCGGTCAGCGATTTTCCCAGTTCGCAAGACAATCGTCGTTGTCGCGTACACAGCGTTCGTGGCGGGCCTTGTAACATACAAGTCCATTCACCACGACGCCAATTTCCACGAGCGCATTGCGTTTCGCGCAGCTTGGATAACTGCAACACAGACTTCACTACCCTTCCTCCTAGCTGTGCGCGTCAATCCAATTGGTCTGTTACTGGGAACTTCGTACGAGAGGCTCAATTGGTTTCACCGATGGGCATCAAGGGTCTTCTTCGCAAGCGCAACCATCCACGGCGGCTTCTTCGCATGGGAATGGCTAGCCGCCAGCTTCTTCTGGACCGAGATCAAGACCGTCAAGATGGTACTCCCAGGAATTGGAGCGTGGTTCATCCTAGCTTGGACGGTTGTGTCAACCCTACCCTTCTTCCGACGTATGAAGTACGAACTCTTCGTGGCACAGCATATCATCTCAGTCGTACTGCTTCTCGTCTTTTTGGTCCTTCACGTTCCAGACCACCATCTCTTCAGCATCTGGTGCGCCGTGGGCGTATTTGCATACGATGTAGTAACACGTTCGGCGAACCCGATCTGGCGGAATCTTCGGCTCCGGGTTTCGGCGAATACATCTGTACGATATGCATACGACGCCAGTATCCAAGCAGTCGACGACGAACTAACGGTCATGACTATTCGAAACGTTGGGTTTCGCTGGAAGCCTGGGCAGCATGTTCTGATTTGGTCGCCGACTTTTCGATGGGAGACACCGCATCCGTTTACGATTGCTAATATTCCGGATTCTGAAGACAAGAGTCAGGATGTTCAGCTTACGATCAAGACGAAGACCGGATTGACGAGGGATCTTAATGATTGGGCGAGAAGGACGGGATTGAGGGGTGATAATGGGAGTATGAGGGTTATGGTAACAGGACCTTTTGGCACGGTGCCTAATTGGAAGCAGTATGAGAATGTTGTTCTTGTCGCTGCGTCGACGGGAGGATCGTTCACCACGCCTGTTCTCGAAGATTTGCTTTCGACACGATCGCCCGGGTGTGTTCGTAAGATCAACGCCTTGTACATTGTTCGTCGGAAGGCGCATGCGGAACCATATCTTCAGCGTGTTTCGCGCGTGCTGTCGAGGGCGAAGGAGATGGGATTATCTGTGAATGTTCAAGTCGCCATTACGAAGGGGGCTGGTACTGTTTCCGATGCCGTCCTTCGTGATGACGCGAACGCAAGTCGTGAAAGATTGATCGAAGAGCCCACGAGAGGACCGAGTGTCGAACTGGAGCGCTTCTCAATAGACTCCAGTGCCTCGTCGGAGAGTGGAAGAGAAGAACAGTTGCTGAAGGAGGAGATGGACATGGACTTTGATGGGGCGCATGCCTCGGCTATCGAACATACAGATGGTCGACCCGAGATCACGACGTTCATCAGAACGGCTGTTGGTAGTGTACCGGGTAATGTTGCTGTCGCTGTGTGTGGCGGTGATGCGATCGAGAAGGTTGTCAAGACGAGTGTTGCGTCGATGAGAAGGGAGAGGAGTAGGGATGGAGCAGGCGTTGGGGACATATACTTGCATGTTGAGCGATCTGATATTTAAGCGCAGGTATTAATGTTAATTTTGTAACAACGAATGATGCTTGACTCCTCGGTAGGCAAGAGGAGGCAAGAAAACTTAGGACCTCTCTTCTAAGTGATGACAAGACTTAGCTTAGCATACCTTGATACCGGTTTATTTTAGGATCCTGGTTTAATATAAGAAGTTTTCTTGCTCCCTGGGGCCAGGTTGACTTCAGTGGATGGTTCTCATCGCCCAGTAACCTGAATGTTAGCCATCGCTGAGTTCCAAAGTCTCAGAGTTCTATCCTCAGGCCTTCACGGCTGAACTCTGAAAGCAGCCAGTGGCAGCTCGACGCCTTGTGTACAGCCGCGCGAACTGCGAGGTCATCGCAGCTGCCACTGCCAGAGCAGTGACAGAACAGCAAGCCGAATCATCATCCCCCCCTGAACAATACATCACCATAACAAGACGGGATGAACTCAAACCTTTACTCCTCCACCCACACACGCACATCTCCTTGGAGTTTTATTCTTCACAAACCACCACCACAACATACAACCCTCATTAACACAAGAATACACTACACCGAGCACAAACAACCTTCGCTGTAACAGCTCGTCATCATGTCTACTCAGCACAACTACCTCGACGACGACGATGACTTCTCGGAGTTCTACAACAACCCCCTCTACAAGCGCGTCTCCGACCTGACCCCCCATGAGCGAAAGTATGCTTGCCCACCTCCTCCTCGTCCTTCACCCCTTCGAGACACTGCCCCCAAAGTCTCCTCCCGAAAGCCCTCCCCTCGCAAGGACGCCGCTGCTATCAAGGACTCTATCCGAAAGTACTCCTTCAAGAAGCCCCGACAGACCCCAGACAAGGAGTATGCCCCCGAGCCAGAGGAAGCTGACTCTGCACTCCACGACTCGACCGCCAACCGCGACTTCCAGCAAAACGTCGCTCGCGTCCTCGGCCCCGAGCACGTCGGAAAGTACGAGAACTGCGCTGACATGGCGAACAAGGCCAAGGAGGAGCTTGAGGACAAGCCTGAGGGAAGTCATCACCTCGGACGTCCCTGGAACAAGGAGGAGTTTGACAAGGCTGCGAGATTGACGCAGTAGGGAGTTGATTCAGCGACTGTCAAGGCGCTCGTTGGGGTTCCCGATGACCCGGTCACGGACAAGATCGAGAAGCAATTCTAGGAGATTATGGGCGATGAGGAGATGATTTTGGAAGGAGGTGAGGCTCTGGAGGGAGAGATTCTGGAGGAGGTTGAGATTGTGGATTGGAAGAAGGCAAAGTCCCGGAATGGGTGATATGGGACGAGGCGACGAAAGTTCATGATTCGGATATGGCAGATGAGCGACAGGCTCAGCAGCGTTAAGGAACGCTCAGTCAGGAGTACTCGATGTTAGCTATTACGATAGCTTAAGCCAGACAATTGGTCGTGTAGTTGACCCCAGTTATTCGCATTGCCAGAGGTGACAGTTTTATTCACTAATCTAGCTCAGACTTTGGACAGTACAGTTTCGACTGAACAGTGAATGACACTCGAAGCTTTGGGCTACTTCGGCGAGTCAAATTACAGCCCGTCCTTGATGCGCTGAATGAAAGCTTGGGGAGTTGCCAGCCGTGAGTTTTGACAGCATCATCACAGTCAAACTGACGTTTCGATAGCATTATCACCCTCGAACCTCCCCCTGAATAAGACGCGAAGTGAAGTTAGCAGCTAGTCAGAATGGGATATGCAGTCCCTTGGTTCCACTGTATCACTCTGAATCCCCTCACTGCGATAGTTATTCATGGACAATTCGCTCGCAGCAATAGGTGATATAAGGAGGCTTTGGGCGCCGTAACAATGTGCTGGTCCATCAACACAAGAATCACATTATAACAAAGACGCTATATCATCACAACAACACATCCACTACACCGAACTAAAACCACAATGCCTAACCAACGAGTCCCTGACGAGGAGGCCCGCATGATTGCCAAGATCTACTCGACCGACTTCTACAGGAAAGTAAGCGACCTCGCGCGCAATCCCAGCGGTACTGTCTATGATCCCACCATGGGTCCTCCCCCTCCATCCCCAGCCTTCAAAGAATTCCGTCCTATGCCTCCAAGCTCTCAAGCTCCACGACCGGACACACCTCGCCCAGAGGATCACTATGGAGCCGGAATGATTATCCCAGGGAAGGCGGTTGTCAACGACAACTGGGAAGAAAACTTGCGACGCGTCATCGGCCCGAATTACGGTGGCTACCGCTGGAAGAGTCTAGGAGACATGACGATGAGATGCTGGCAGCACGTCCGAGAGAAGGGAAACCGAACCCAGAGGGGCACAAAATGGAGTATGGACGAGATTGAGCGTTACGGGAGACTCTCAGTCTGGGGCGTTCATAAGGATGTGATTGGAGCACTCATGGGCTGGCCAGTTAATCCACAATGGACTCGTGAGGAGGAAGATCACTTCGAGGCGGCTGTTCAGGATGAGTTGAGGTATATTCCTGTAACGCAGCAGGAGGCTGCGGCCAATGTTGTGGAACGTCAGCAAGAACCCCATGAAGAATAGTGAGCGACACACGATTGCGTTGTAGGGGGATGGAGACAAGGGATGAGACGAACATGGTGGACGTTGGTGGCCGATGGCTTGATACAGTTGGAGAGAAAGACAGAACTCTAGCTTAATGAGATGTCAGAAAGGAAGATAGACAACCAGGCAGTTTCTTTGATTTCAGACAACCTGTTCCCAGACATGTTCGGAGCTGTTATTGTGATGACCTCGCTGTAGGCCACTTACTGCTTGCCGATTGACCTACACAGGTCAGGGGCGCAAAGCGACTCGAGGCCCCTAATAGCAATGGGTTGACAGAGAACTAAAGTCATAAGTAATGAAAGGATTAAATAGTATTGGGATATCTTAGGGTAGTTCTGACAGAGGGCCAGAGATGGAAGACTAAATCGTCATTATCACCCAACGAATGCTTCGCACAAGGAGAAAGTAATACTAAAGAACTCCGCAATGCTTCAGCAACGTGGATTTTGCCATTCGGCCTTTGTTCCGTCAAGAAAATCAGGGCATGAACTCGCAAGTCGCAACTTCCTCCAACCAAGCGATTGCCGTCCAGGTGCGCGCTCCTGCATACCTAGGTAGAGCCAACGATCGGTTTCTCACTCTTCCATCAGACATTCATTAAATTAGATCATCACCATAAGCATTATTCCAGTATGCAATATGCCTTCTGAAAGAGCGCAATCGCCTTCATCACCCGCCGGTGTACCTCCTCCACCATCGCGAGGCATCCAAAAAAAGAAAACAGCGCAATCGCTCTTTACGATATTCGCTCCCAAATCGAGCCCTTTTCAGTTCACCACCTCCGAGGAATACCACTCCCGCCTTCTCGTACACGGGGCACACAATTGGACCAATCCCCGCCGCAATGCCGAACCTACCAAGCTTCGCCAGCCGAGCTCCCGCCCCCCCAGACCGGCGAGTCGATGTGAACTAGCGACAAAACACCACACGCATTCTCGGCCCCCTGGCTCAACATGGATGGCACAACGTGTCAATGATGATACGCTGGTGCTTATATTGTGTTCAGTACGAGCATACTGGATTAGGAAGGGTTTAGAACCTCAGAGAACTGGAAATGGCTGCGAGGTTAAGTGCATGGAAGGTGCCATGCTTTGTTAAGCATGCTATACTAGGGTACACCTTCGGCAGAGCCTCATGGTGAGGATCTTGAAGTATTCAAACGATGGCGGAAGGAGGAAGAGGATATATTGGGGGAGATACACAAGCTGGGAGGCTTTGAAGGTTTTAGGTATGGGCAGCAAGGCAATCGTCCTCTAGGGGAGAGATCAGAGAGGGTTGGCAACAGTACCAGGAATCCGTATGAGACAGAGGAGAATATATTGGAGGAGATACACGAACTGGGAAGGTTCGAAGACTTTGGGTATGGGCAGCAAACTAATCGTCCCCAAGAAGAGAGATCCGAGATGGTTGGTAACAGTACCAGGGATCCGGATGAGACAGCAGAGGATGAAAAAGATGAGTAGCATTAGTTAACAGAATATGCCATGACTATGCCCGGTTTTGTATCACTAGAACTTAAAAACTGTAGACCGATCCTTAGTGACAAAAATACCTAGTAAAATGGCATAAGCTTAGGCAAGTTCGGTATAGATTTAGTGGAACTTTGAACCAGTGCTTTTTGGCACCTCAATTCACGGGCAGAAGTTTTCTTGCTCCCTGGGGGAGACAAAGAGCAAACTCAACATAGTAAACGATCCGAACTTACCCAAATGTTTCTGCTCACTAAGATCAAGATCGAGGCCAATTACCAGAACTTACAGTCTAACGCTGAAGCTACCACCGAATGGTGAAATGAGAGCACTCCATACTTTTACCCCAGATCTTACCCTTGTCCCGACGAACCTAAGGGGAGATTCAAGAGCGGTGATTCGAGAATGATTGCCGACCAAAATTTCCGGGGTAAGATAAAACGGCACCGAGGCGCTAGACCCCGGATGAAAAAGAAGCGCCGTCTTCAGGACGGGCTGTTCTAGAATTTCCATGGCTTGCGATCTGTGTGTATGTTTTGGAGGCTGATAACCGAGTGATGCCGATGGTGGTCTGTGCTCATCTCGGCCGGGCGGAAGATGGGGCGCATGGTTTTTTGGAGAAGATGGCGGGGATCCACAATGCGGGCTCGGAGGTGATGAGCGGCGGAAGAGCCGGTGTACAATTACAGTTGTAAAGCTCACCGGAAAAGTATTTCACATAATGGAGTTGAATAGAGATATCATCAGGTCAAAAAAGTCAAGGTGAGCAGTTGTGAGGCCACGAGATATAAAGTCAAGGATGTGTAGGAGAATCAGGCCACACGCATATATTGCCTAATAGTGTCAAGACCGATGCACTCTCCTCTCGGCAACGTCGGTAGATCTGGAGATCAACTGCATCAGCAAGTCATTCTCTCTACGTGGGCTACACTGTTTCTCCCTATGATATAACGGAATTGTAAATCCGGTGCTTGGCAGAACTTCCCTTCTCTCCGCGTTGTACCTCTTCGCTGAACCAAAAGGCACAACGGTACCTGGATGCAAATTTGGAGAATGACACTGAAGCTGTCCACTATAACCGACGGGCCAACCACTGAAAGCGATGCATCCCCGCTCTGAAGACTCGGTGGGTTTCGGTGATCCACCCCTCGTCACCGTCACCCCGACGAATCCAATTGAGTGACCTCCACTAACCAAGGTTGGAGTTGTCTTCTCTTTCTTCCCTCTTATTTATCCTTTCCTTCTCCTCCTCTTTTTTTTACTCTTCCTCCTTGAACGGAACAATCTCCCCTCTTTCTTCTTTTTTTTTTTTTTGGTACATTTTGCTCTCAGATCATCATGGCTTCACCTGTTGCTTCTGCGGCCCTCAAGGCGCGCGTTCGCAATCCCGCTATGCTCAAGAAGCTTGCGCGACCTGAGGATCTGATGCACCACTTTCCCAATGGCTCTTATATCGGCTGGTCTGGCTTTACAGCTGTTGGATACCCCAAGTACGTTTATCCACCATTCCTGCACAGCTCACTGCTCTACAATTGAGTTGAGTGTTGAGTTTCAGACTCCGCACCGGCTATTATCGTCATTACCCGAGCTTGGCGCAAACAATACAACTGACAATCGCAACAGGAAGGTTCCCACTGCTATGGCCGACTACGTCGAGCAGAACAACCTCCAGAGCAAGATGAAGTACTCCCTGTTCGTCGGCGCCTCGGCCGGTTCCGAGACGGAGAACCGATGGGCTGCTCTCGACATGATCAACCGACGAAGCCCTCACCAGGTCGGCAAGGACATCGCCAAGGGAATCAACTCTGGACGAATCAACTTTTTCGACAAGCATTTGTCCATGTTCCCCTCTGATCTTGTCTATGTACGTAACTCCAAAGCACAGAATGGAAATTTGTTGATTGCGGCCCCACCATTCGGCTTCGCTTTAATCTCCTACCGAGCTATTGCGGCTCCGATAAGACAATCGGCTGATAATTTGACTCTAGGGTTTCTACACCAAGGATCGATCAAACAGCAACCTTGATGTCACCGTCGTTGAAGCGACAGATATTCTCGAGGATGGCAGCTTTGTTCCCGGCGCCTCTGTTGGTGCTACTCCTGAGTTGATCCAGATGGCTGACAAGGTACGTCACCGCCAAGCTTGAGCCCGCATCGCCAACTTCTAGTTACTGACAATTGCGCTTGGTAGATCATCATCGAGGTCAACACCGCCATCCCCTCTTTCAAGGGTCTCCACGATATTACCTTCACCGACGTTCCTCCCCACCGCACTCCCTACAACATCACCGCTGTCGAGGATCGCATTGGTTCCCCCTCAGTAAAGGTCGACCCCTCAAAGGTCGTCGCTATCGTCGAGTCTGATTACTGGGATGCCACCGGTCCCAACGCCGATGCCGACGAGTCATCTCGCCAGATCGCCGGCCACCTGATTGAGTTCTTCGAGCACGAGGTTGCCCAGGGCCGCATGCCCGCCAACCTTCTGCCTCTCCAGTCCGGTATCGGCAACGTCGCCAACGCTATTGTCGGCGGTCTCAACGAGTCCAAGTTCAAGAACCTCAAGGTCTGGACAGAGGTCATCCAGGATACTTTCCTCGATCTCTTCGACTCTGGAAAGCTTGACTACGCTACCGCCACATCAATCCGCTTCTCCCCCGATGGTTTCAAGCGCTTCTACGATAACTGGGATGCTTACGCCGACAAGATCCTCCTCCGAAGCCAGGCTGTCTCTAACGCTCCCGAGATCATCAAGCGTCTCGGTGTCATCGGCATGAACACCCCCGTCGAGGTCGACATCTTCGCCCACGCCAACTCCACCTGCGTCAGCGGAACACGCATGCTCAACGGTCTCGGCGGCTCAGCCGATTTCCTCCGCAACTCCAAGTACTCCATCATGCACACACCATCCAGCCGACCCTCCAAGACCGATCCCCACGGTGTATCCTGCATCGTCCCCATGGTGACCCACGTCGACCAGACCGAGCACGATCTCGACGTCATTGTCACCGAGCAAGGTCTCGCCGACGTTCGCGGTCTCTCACCCCGTGAGCGCGCCCGCGTCATCATCAACAAGTGCGCGCATCCCAAGTACCAGCCCATCCTGAGCCACTACTTCGATAAGGCTGAGTCGGAGGGTCTTAAGAAGGGTATGGGCCACGAGCCCCACCTTCTCTTCAACGCTTTCGACCTGCACAAGGCTTTGGCTGAGGAGGGTAGCATGCTCAAGGTTAAGCCTTGGTAAGGGATTGGGTGTATCTAATGAAAGAGGGGGAAAAGAAAGAAAGAGCGGTTGTACTCATATGAATCACATTTTGCGTAGCTTCTTTTGGGATATGTTTTTGTTGGTCTACATAGATGTTTTGGATGATAATTCCCCAGCAATTGAGCATTGAAATCTTGACCATCTGGACTGAATATTGAAGTGTGACATCATTGTTGGATTGTTTGTGCTTAGCGGAGTCGGGGTCAGTTCTGGGTCCGACACTTTTCGTGGTGGCTTGGGCTTGGAGATGGAGGGTTGTCGGGGGTGCGGACAAATGCCCGCTCACCTGATGCACCAGGTGTTGGAAAGATGTGGTCCATCTGATGAACAGATTATAGTTCTGCTAAAAGGCTAAATAATATATTGATATACTGTCCGTCAATAGCGTTCGACAAGAATGTGGTTCGACTGACCCTGTTCCGGTATTTGCTTGGTGATTGATAAGGAAGCTGTTTTTATACAGAAGTATTACCAGACTTGAAGAAATAACTATATTTTCATAAAACAATGGCAGAACTAATGAAGATTTGTATATTTGTTATAATCTTATTTGCATTTCTATCCATTATATACATTAAACTGGTTATTTCTTCTATCGGCAGTACAGGGTACTTCTAGCTAACAATTACTCTCTATCAAGTTCTCGAGATCATAGCGTTTTGAGGGAGAATTAGAGCCTCAAATAGTCATATATGATTTAAGAAGAGGGAAAGTTCTCGTTGTTCTATGCAGCTATTCCTCCGCTTCGCTTGCGGTCGATCTCATTGGCTTCTTTAATACTGCCTTGTCCAACACAGCCTTAGCGCCAAGGCGTTTTTGTCCGCAACACTAGCAAGGCATAATCACATCTTTATGATAACCACTTCAAACAACTATCCTTACTCTACAAATCTAACAAAAACCTCTAATCCATGGAAAACACGACAGAAAACCTCAACCGCTGGGCTCTCGTATCCTCACTCTACGGCCCCGGCACCTTCTGGAGCTGGTTCATCATCGTAGCCTCCGTCTTCATAAGCTGGACCATCAACCCAGTCACAAAACGCTTGGACTCAATCACAAACGACACAATCGCAGCGCTCACACTACCTGTGGTCGCAGCTGCAGATGCACTCTACCAACTCGCGAAATATGACCGACCTGATCGCTCACGGTTGCTTTTGAGCCATTCACCAGAAGATATCCAACTCGTCGCTGCGCTTGAGGCGCCACTTGCTATCTGCGAAGTCTTCGTTGTGCTGGCTATTTTCCTCCATAGCCCTGCGTCGAGGAGATATCAGTGGAAGCGGGTGGGCTGCGTTACTCTTTCGACTCTTTTGTGCTTTTCGCCGCAGTTGGTTATCTTCTTTACATATCCTGATCTTCCTGTCTCGAGGAGCACATTCGCTCGACCGTTTCTTTTCAACTTTGTTCTGGCTTTGGGGTTCATATCGGGGATTATGGCTATCATGACTGGTGTGTCGATTGTTCGGACTGTTGTTGTTACGATGTATCGCAGAGCCAAGCCTTATAGCACTGAAGGCCAAGATTCGTCTAACGAAAGGCGCAGCGGGTTTGAGAAATGGTCGAATATATTCGCAGCAGTTCTCATCGCAAGCATCATCTCGATTGTCAAATATGGGTTTATTGGCAATACACAGTACTTTGCTGGAAGGGTGCTCGGATACCAGACTCGCATAATGAGATTTACACCGAATAGTAACGTCTCTCTGACTGATTTGGATCAGATTGTTGCGCTGGCTGGTGGAGCGTTTACTTTTGCGTTTAGTATATATGATGCTGCGAAGGGGTGGCGATTGTCATCCAGCGCTCGAATTGGAAATCATGGTTAGGCCAGTGCGGCTCATTAGATTAATGCAGTTGTAGAGTTCCTTTGATATCCTGAATCTGAGATAACGTTGAGATAACGTTGACTAGGTCTCGGGCTTACATGAGACGTAGGGGGCCAAAAATCTATTTGGCTTGATATATAAAACGTCACTGTTGACAGAGGCCCAGCCTTCCATCTTGTTCTTTCATCTTCCAAATCATTGAAATTGTAATAGTTTTCTCAGATCCGAGCAGCAATGAAGCTCTATGACGCCCCAGCATCCAACCCCATGGTTCTTCGCCTCTTCGTACTCGACAGAGGTGGCATAAGCCTTGACGTCGAGACCATCGACGTCATGAACATGGAAAACAGAGGCCTTGAATATCGAAAGATCAACCCACGTGGCGAGGTTCCTGCGCTCGTTCTCGATAATGGATTTGTCCTAACTGAAGTTACCGCCATCTGCGAGTATCTCGATGAGATCGCCCAAGGCGGCAAATCACTCTTTGGCGAAACACCCCTGGAACGTGCCGAAACGCGCATGTGGCTTAGACGGATGGATCTAGAAATCGCACAACCTGTCATTTCATGGGTCCGCAATGATCCGGGCACTGCAGACTTTTATATAGGACATCGAATTCCTATCCCGGAGGCGAGATTGGCACAGAAGGTTACTATTCAGCAGTATCTGAACCTGCTGGATGAGCAGTTGGAGGGAAAGAAGTATCTTTGCGGGGAGATGTTTTCGGCGGCGGATGTTCACTTCTACAGTCTGACGAAGGGAAAGACCACAGGTATGGCACCATGGATACTTCATCCCGGGAGGAAGAATGTTGTCAGATATTTTGAGAGGATGGATGCGAGAGAGGCTAGCAAGAAGGCTTTGGAGGTCTTTGGAGCAAGAGTTGAAGCTCAATAGACGAGTGTGATGAAATGATCATGAATTGATGTCCTTACTTTTTAAGGGCCAGTGCATGGAACATATATCATGACCTCAAAGACAACCATTTAGTTTATCGAAATACGAATAATCAATATAAAAAAGGCCCGAGAGTTTCTTGAGATGGCGTGTCAAGAGGAGGCAAGAAAAATTGGAATATCCTTTCCTAAATCATAAAAAGACTCAGGTAAATTTAGTATAGACTGAGTAGACCTTTAGACTACCTAGTTTAGTGCCAAGAGCTTTTCCCATAGCCCCTGATTCTCGACAAGAAACAACAAGTTGAATCTATCGATAACCAGCACAAACGTCTTGGTAGACATTCTTCTCTAGGCCAGCAGCATCAGTAGGAATGTAATTCAGATACGTCGCATAAGAATACGTCCATCTCGGATCATTCGTCTCAGTCTTCCAAGTCCAGTAAATCCACCCCGCCATACCGGGCTTCTCATACAGCTGCTGCTGAGCCGTAAAGAACTTGTTAAAGAAATTCTTGTCATGCCAATCAGCGTTCGAAGTCATACTCCATTCACCAGTGAAAGTAAAGTCCTGGCCGCTAACGAGGCGAGAGTCAGTGCAAGCGCTGTGCATGAGCTTGTACTGATCGCCGTTGTCGTTACCAAGAGCGAAACCGATGTAGTTATGGTCGTCGAAAGCAGTGTAGGGATCGTTGGCTACGGAGGATACGGAGCGGGGGTTTCCGGAGTCCCATTTGCTGGACATGAACTGAACGTGAAGCTTCTTGTTATCGGGGACTTTGAGAGATGCTTCGGTGTCACGGACGGCTTTGAGGGCGGCAGGATAGTACTTCTGAATCAAGCCTGGGTCCTCGCCGGGAGCAGGATAGCGGTTGTTCGCATCATGGCGAGAAACAGGCTCGTTGAGGACCTCGATTACACCGACGGTTGAGTAAGCAGAGTTGGTATGAATACGGTTCGTCATCCAAGCAAGCCACTTCTGCGCACGGCCAAAATTGTAGTCATTGAAGAAACCAGCTGGTTTGTTGTTCTGGCCAGTGAAGACATCCTCCTGCTGGCCTCCAGGAGCACCGTGAAGATCAATGATGACATAGATTCCGAGGTCAGCAGCCTTTTGGACGACAGCGTCGAGGTAAGGAAGCATGCGGTTGCCATCAGCAAAAGGTTCGCTAGCCTTGTCGACGATATCAGTGTAGGACCAGTATCCGATGGGGATCCGGATGGTGTTGAGTCCGACGTCATGGACGGACTGGACAGTTGCGGGGTTGATCCAGTTCTTCCAATGCTGTTCGAAGCGATTGTTGCCAGTTTCGCGGTTTGATCCTAAGTAGTGATTGCGCATGCAGTCGAACTCGGATACAGAGTCGCCGCACTGGAGGACATTTGCCCACTCATCTCGCTGCATCCAGGGCTCACAGACAAGCCAGCCTATGCATATGAGTAACGTGTGCCGGAGGAGATGCCTTTCACTTACCACCGAAGTTGACACCACGGATCTTTGTTACACCGCTGGGCAAGCTTGGCTTGAATCGTTTCCCAAGTTGTTCGTGGCGAGCAGTCTGATTAAACGCGGCCAGGTCGCGCTCATGAGGAAGCCATGCTGAGGCGGAGCCAGCGAGGATCAAGGGAACAAGGGTCGAGTAATGCATCTTGATGAGAAGCTGCTGCAAGAATGGTGAGATGAGAATAAGAATAACTAGACTATCGTGAAGAATAGTGTAGATATATACTGAGAGTAATTTGTTCAGTGTATAGGCTATTCACCTCAGCCTCACATCATGCCGATCATTTCAAACTCCGCTTATCTGTCTCAGCCTACTTTCTGGCCATTTCTTTCCTTCAATCTACTGCATAGGGCCAGCTGATCAGGGCATTGAGCCTATTCGGCCCGTTAAGTTGCATTGAAGTACCCCGGATCATGCCATCGTGGAAGGTCGAGGCCATTGAGTAAGCGGGCATTTCAACTTTGTGGTGATACTTCATGCACTCCTCATGTCTTGAGGATGAACTCATTTCCCGACGAATGGATACGGATTTCCCCTTTTGCAATATGTCGCTGGGTTCGCAGTTTCTGAAATACTCAACACGCCTCGCACTAGTGTATCCCTTCGAATTTCGATCCACGTTTCGAAACGTGCTTGGGTATGTTTATGGGATACTCGATTGGGCTAGCTTCACCCCGGACTGAGCTAAGGAATAGGAGAATTTCAGAGTTTCGGCATTAAAAGAAGGCCATTCATTGGCTCTCATCTCAAAAGTGTATGTTACGTTACCGATTACCTATTGATGTCGTTGAACACAAGCTTGATGATCAGGCTGGGCGGCCGATCCCAGGGGAACTATTGTGTGGAGAGACAATGGAACTTCCTCTTTGAGCGACGATCATACCACCACGATCACCGCCCTGCATGCAGATAACCGAGTAGAGGCCGACGTTACATTATAGCCGGCAAGTCCGGATTTGCTTATAGTGTTAAGTAATACTCCACGATAGCTTTCAAGTAGAATAACAAGCCAATTGACCATTAAGTGATAGAAACGTACAGGAGTAATCAGTCAATGGTTGATGACTGTGATACGAACTACCAAGCAGGACCACTTGCAGAGGCAATGGTAAAATCATGCCACGTATGTCTTGTCCAGATTCAATACGTTCTTTTCAGCCCTAAGGAGAGACAGGGGTATATGGTATTGATTAGGACCAAGTCAGCGGCCCGCTCGTACTGCTACATGCAAGATCAAGACGGGAGAAAGTTCTTGGATACCTGCACTCATTGATATCTTTTTATACAGTCCCAAGGGTTTTGTAGGCTGTAACTATCTGTATAGCTACGGTGGAAGCTTTTCATTGAAGTTGATATTATAAATAAAGATATAATATCTTTACTATTATGTTGGAAGCCTAAAGTTTGATGTTGTAGCTTGCCATTTCTCTTATAGATGATACCTTATTCTGCTCGATACTAAATTGTTCGAACCGATTGTTTAGGAAGGATTGATCATTCGCGGCTTTTGGTCTCGGCCCTGTCAAGACGTTTCAAGAACGTGGAACCTTTGATAGGACTATTGAAAGCCGGGCCTTTATTACCACCAGGTATTCACACACACCGGAGAAATTCTTCATATTCCAAGGAGCGCGACAATGATCATCCAACAGAGTATCATTGTAAATATGTTTTCTTTGCTCCACCAAGTCTCGATGCTACTTGAGCATGGTACTTCTAAGTAATTGTATGCTTCAAGGGTCACAGTCTGTTCCTTTATATCCTTAAAATCTTGATCATAGTTTCATGATGCCGGTAATCACTAATGGAGACCTCTACCAGGGTGCAAGTTGCTACGCCCTGCCACTTAGGTGATCTTTGAAGGGCGTGGCCCCAGCCTCAAGATCTAATCTACTTTCAGCTTCACTAGGCAGCCGCTCTTCAAAGAAATTAGGACCGATTCAAGCAATGTGAACCTGCCAGACAACATCAGTCACATGTAAGCCGAGTGAAGCAAGCCAAAGACACGGAGCTACAAATCAGCGTTCTAGGCAGTCTACGACTAGTCTATTTCCGTGGTATTACCAAAGAACTCTAGGGGCATGCTTTGACCCTCCTATCAAGGTTAAGTTGTCACTAGGTCCAAACACTTCGGCACTTCGGCAGGTTAGACAGACCCGAGACTTGTCGATTATCATCGAAGAATAACATATGGAGAACTCGAAACTAGGACAGGGTGTACTTCGTTTTTATTGAATCATAAACGAGACTCAACTAATAAGAAATGTGTACATCAGATATAAAAGCTTCAAACATTCCCTTTACATTCTGTGCAGGATCAACTCTTAACTCTATCGAATCAGTGATTCCATCGCGCCAGACACAAAGACAGTCATGCATTCTTATTCACTTCTTACCACCTTCACGCTGGGCACAGTAGCTACTGCTTACCAGCTCCCCCAAAACCTAAAATCCATATACGATAACTACAAGGTAACTCTACCCCCATCCCTCATAAGTACGACTCTAATGAGAGCACAGGCTGGCTCATGCTCCAACCGCCTTTCCGACAGGTTCCCCGAGGGTGCTAGATACTGCGGTGATGTCCCAGGGGCCATCTTTCTCAAAGGGTCGAACGGAAACTACGACAATATGGACATCGACTGCGATGGCGCAAACAACCATGCAGGTGCTTGCTCGAACGATCCGTCCGGACAGGGCGAGACTGCATTCAAGGACACTGTCAACCAATACGGCATCCCAGACTTGGATGCAAATGTTCATCCCTACGTGGTGTTCGGCAACGATGGAGCCTCGCCATCCTTTGACCCTCAGCAGCATGGCATTAAGCCATTGAGTGTCATGGCCGTTGTTTGCAACGGTGAAGTGGTAAGTATTCCACAATGTCCGTCATGCATTTCCTTCTAACATTTCATAGCACTACGGCATCTGGGGAGATACCAACGGAGGCACATCCACCGGCGAAGCTTCGATTTCCCTCGCCGAGCTTTGCTTTCCTAACGAGGGCCTCAATGGAGACATGGGACATGGTGAGAAGGATGTTCTATATATTGCCTTCAAGGGCGAGGAGGCCGTTCCTGGAAAGAATGGTGCTGATTGGAAGGCTACGAGTCGTGCCGACTTCTCTAAGAGTATCAGAGCTTTGGGAGACAAGCTTGTTGTCAAGCTGCAAGGCTAAAGGCATCTGCGCATGAATGCACATAGTGTTCTGACGATCTTTCGGAACCATCTAAACCGTGCGATACACTTGATCAGTTGTCAAACAACTTCTTTCTCTTATACTTAAGAGCGATCCCTTGGGTAATCTCAAATGTTTAGTCAACTGTCTCCCATGCTAAATTTTGCCCCGTAAGTGTGTCCATTAACCAGGTATTCTACTTCATACAGGTTGAAGATCTCTAATTCTGCCTACAATAGTTATATATTAATGCTCTCGAGAAAGAATCATAAAAAGCTTCTACTAAGCCCTGAAAACTCAAACCAAGCACTACTGACATTAGATAGGTCCAGCCCCTGATTGTATTTCTTACTAATAGAAATCCTCCAGGACGTAAACGGACCCGGCAAAGCATAAATATGATCCACTGCGTCTTCCACATTTCCGTCAGTGATTATCCTTCCCGTGATTATATCATAGTGAAACTTGATGGTTGATGAGTCATGCGTGAACTTGAGGCTCAGGTCATCAGGTGCCACCATTTCATCTGTCCCACCGTGCAATAATGTTACTTGAAGCTTGTTGCTGGCCGTTTGAACGCCGTCGAGGTAAAATCTCACCCTCGTAAGTCTAACATCTGCGTACCCTGCAAATGGACTTTCGTCCACCGGGGTTCGTTTACGAGCTGCTGGTATGCCCATTATTACCCCGTAGTCTGCGTCCTTACCACCGAGATCAAGGAGCAGAGATTGTAATTGTTCCTCCGTCAACTCATACTTTACTGCATCATTGTCACCCCCAAAGGGTTGCCTCAGTGCTTTGCTCCCTTCGATGGCATTGGCCCATCTCTTAATGATGTCAATCTTTTCTTCCTTCAGGGCTGTCGCGATCCCTTCCTGCAAAAACCCTTGGCCCCGAAGCCTCGTGAACGTTGTGGGCTCGACTGACAGGGTTACATAGGACAATGCCTTCGTAGTTCGGTAGAGCAATTCCATTACGGTAGAAATGGTGGTGATGTAGTTGCGTTCAACAGTGACAGCTAACTGGGGCACTTCGCCATGTACCCGTTCAATGAAATCGCGGCCGAGACTACGCTCTGTTTGAACATAGGAGTCAAGCTTCGATTTGGTTGTGAGCCATAGAACTAGGCAAGCATTGTAATGGATGACAAGGTTGTTCCTGTCAATGACAACCTTCAAGTAGTCATCGAACATTTCGCGAACGACTCGAACCTTCTCACTACCAAGGGTCTCTCGGTACTTTGTGAGAAGATCTTGGATATCAGATTCTTTGGCCATGAGCTTAGCAGCTCCAGGGTCATCAACTGTCAGCTCGCCACCATTGCCAGCTTCGATAGCCTCCTTCAGACCTTCAAGCCCCGCTGACATGACAGTGATCTTGTTGACCACGAATTCCTTTCGTATCTGTATACCCGCGTCATCAGTGATGGTTGATAGTCCGGTATGGAGGAGACTGGCTGCTTGGACCGCCCCCATAGCCAAGCCCGGGGCAAAGACGAAGGTAGAGGCAGCATTCACAAACGACTCCATGCTGATGTTGAATGAGTTCTTGATGTCTTGTGAAAAGGCCCGAATCTTCTCAACTAGAGCCTTACGTTTTGTAGGGAGACCCTCTTGCAATACTGCTATGGAACTTGCGGAAGACTTGAGCTGAGAACGGAGAGTAACAAGGTCTGCCTTGCAGCTCCTTTTGCCGACATCAACTGCTGCACGAGCGTATGAGATACGGTCCTTGGCTTTGTTTTCCTCTCTTGCAATGTCTTGGTATTTGAAGTAATTGTTCTGGATTGATATCAAGTCATTCAAGGCGGAATTCAATTGATCGCGGTAGAATGGGAATGATCCCGACGGGACCCACGAGGCCACATGTCCATAGAAGTCATAACCGCCGTATAGGTTTCTTTCAATAGCTCGAACGTTCTCGAGGCTGACTTTCAAGGAAGCTATAGACGTGGGCATCTCTTCTCCAGACGGCACGATTAACAAATGGCTCTCATTGTCCACGTATGCTTTAAAGAGAGGGTCCTGAGGTGTCAACTGGTCAATAAATGACAAGCGTTGCTTCAGAGTTTGAACATGTCTGATAGCTGTCAGTATTGCAGAGGAGGTTCCGATAAAAAACAAATTTTCCAGTTCCAGCACCGCGATCGAGATTTGGTCAGGATGAACCAAAATTTCCGTTGAATTGGCCACAGACTTTGGAGTCATAAGAGTCGAGTTGAGGCTTCCCGATGGTCCAGACACGCCATTATTTCCTTTCTGCGAACCATCGCCTCCAGTGCCATAAGCACCTCCTCGAACATCGATGCTGATGCTGGCCCTAAACTTGGAGCTTGAACCATCAAGATCATCTTTTAACGCACTGAACTCCTTTTCAATATCCTCGTCCGCCGTTGCAGAACCTGCAATAAGATTTTCAAGGGCTTTGAGACCATCCTCAATGTGCTTGTGGCTTGGAGTGTTTACCAGCTGGTTTCTGGACGACTTCAGCCAGCCCTGGAGCCTAAGCTTCCGTTCTCTAGGAGTTTTGGCTTCATTGACCTGGCGGCTTGCACGGAGTATGTTTCGAAAAAGATCATTATATATCATAGTGACCTTGCCTCCAGCTCCGCCATTGCCACCGTTCCCTCCAGTGCCATGCGTAGCTACTGCGTCAATTCCCTCGTACCCATCTCCACCTTTTGCCGTAATGGAAAAAGGGAAATGAGGGCGAACAAATTCGAACGAGAGCCAGACTCCAGATGCGGCTCGTGCTTGGACGGCAGCTGTTGTAGCTGTTGCGGCATTTCCAGCAACGCCATCAGTAGTAATGCGGAAGCCCTGAGGATAAGAGAAGGAATTCGTATGCAAATGGAAGTCTTGAGCCCGGACTTGAGAGACTGTGGCAGAACAGTCATGTGCGAATATGAAGGTCTCGCGGAACGATGCAAAGTTCTCGTTGCTGAGGCGGTATTCTAGACCACCCAAGATGAGGCATTTAGAATCGGTAATGAAGGACTTTGAACTAGACATTGCTAAGCTTGGAGTGATAAGAGGAAGTAACCGAAGTATGAAATAGCGTGCAGCTTGGGTGATATGATGATATCCTCCTTGTAAGTATGGAGAGTCTTGAACGGAAGCAGCTGTGCCAGGAGTCAGAGTAATGGGACCAACTCTACGAAACTGAAAATGAATAAATTTTAAAATTCATTGCTCATGTAGCGTATCGCACCTCGAAGTGCTCGATGTTCTCGCATTGGTATGTGACACTCCACTCAAATCTAGACCTGGAGCGAAATCTCACCATCAGCCAGCCATGAACTCTATCCCTAACATTCATTTTGTTCCCCGAAGTGAAGATAGCCACCAGTTAAAATGTGATAAAGATCTAAAAGTGGCCATGTCAAACCTCTTGTCCTTGTGATCGTCCGCCGTTGTCAGGACGTTGTCCCAACAACGATCCGGGTCAGGTATGTGACAAGCTTCAGCTGTTAGCCAGCTTCAAACTCAGATAACGCTTCAGAAAAGACAGTTCATTTAGCATTCCAGCTACAGAAAGGATTGCCTAGAATCTAACCAACAGCACTCGCTATCGCCTGTGACTGCTGAATGTCTCGGAAATCCGGCAGGTTACATTGGGACGGTCCAGGCCACACCAGAATCAGAGGACCATACAGTCTTGCAATATCTCACTCTTCCACATAGAGACAAATTATCATGCACCTGAGATGGAGGACGAGGTTTAACTTTCATTATTAGCATATCATGACTAACCATATTAACCGGCAGGTCTATTAATAGAAATTACATTTGCGTTATCACCTTCACTTGACTTAGGCTTTTGAAACATGTTTTAACAAAGGATATAGTTCTTCTTTGCATTCAGCTCTTAGACATTAAACTTTCAGTATATAAGCTTTGTCTCTGCAGCGGTTCATGGCTAGCTGGGTTTAGATAGATCTAGCCGTTATTGGCATTGCGGCTGAGTATCCCCTCATTTCACTGCTCGAAACAGTACAGATCTATGTAATTAGCTCCCAAAAGGGTCATTGTGGTGACCTATCTAGGTAATGGCTTGTTGTGTCAACGCAATGTCGTACGTTTAGCCTTTCGTCGAAGTGTCTAGACTCATTGACACCAATAGAGGTTGAGAAAAACATTAGACCTTTCTAATCAGGCTAAGCAGAGCTAGCAGTATGTGCTCTCCGCGCGAGGTAAAGACCAAGACAGGGTATGTAGTGACCTAGTGATAGCTGGGTGACAAGGTTAAATTCACTTTGGCTATCTATCTCTTCGATGATAAAAGGTCCACCTTTGCTACAAGTTATAGCCGTCATTCTCGTCAATCAAGCTACTCCCCTTGGCTCTGAATATCAACTACCGAAATCATTTTATTACAGTAATGGATTCTTTTCCTTCAGTCGATGCTCTCATTAACGGCTGCAAAAGTGCCACCGGGGTCACATCCAGGTGGGACGTCGTTGTCAGCTATTCCTTGGAATCTCTAAATAGTGTATTGCAACGAATTTGGACCAACTCCATCACTTCAACCACTGTGGAGCTTATTACCACAAGCCTCAACGAAGATGATGAAGAGTACCATACGAAATGGTGGCTCAATCTGGGTGCTCCGACTCTACAGTTCACAAGAGATGGAAAAGCTTCCTTGTGCATGCCACTCAACGGAAAGCGCCAGGTAATGGGAAAGACGGCTGCAGGTAATGAAAGACCTGTGCGTCAGATTCCACTCAACACCTACGCCCTTTATGCTGTAATTCCACTCGGTGTGGTCAGTGCGAAATCTGGCTCGGGCCCGGGTGCTTACGAGTTCAAGGTTAGTACGTCCCATGAGTGATAAAACAGACCAAACGTACTAATATGGGAATCAGGGATCCAGCGGCAATGTTATCCGGTTTGATGAGCATCCGGATGCCGAATTACACATAGTGATCAACTTTGAGACCACCACCACGGAGGGGGCCGCCTACAATGTTGGTCTCACCCCGGAGATCAAGGCTCAGCAAGGGCCAAACACGCCAGCCATCACAGATGACTTCTCAGTTGGTCTGCGTGATAAGCTGGCAGCGTGGATTGCAGATCCCTTCAACATCAGTGCTATTCAATATGCACTTGCAGTCGTCAACAAGACACCAGTTCCACAAGCGACATTCCTCACGCCCAGCAGCCTTTCATTCAGTGTTTACTCGAGTGACAAAGACCCAGCTGTCGCGTGCTTGAGTATCTACATGCAAACTCAAGGATCTGGTTTCGAACCGGGCAATGTTCAGCGCAGCTTCAACCTTCCTAACTCAGGTGACATCAACAGTTTCCCCATTCCAACTGGCTACACTGCCAGCATCATCATTCGTCACGATGTCTTCGCGCAGAAGTTTCTTCGTGACTCTATCTTGGCTTTGAAGGTGCCAAACGAAGATAAAAAAGTCTTCAACTCTGTTACTCTTATGACACCCACTGAAGGTTTTCATTTGACTGCCAAGCTCAACTCTGTCGCTGTAGCAGATCTAGGCAATGGCACTTGGTTTGGTGGGATTGGCGGCGGCTTCCGTGTCACCGATGTCAACTGGGATTTTGGGGCTAATGACTTAACTTTCAAGATCAAAGGTGCCAAGGCCAGTTGGTATTACTACTTCAAGCCGGAGTTGAAATGGAGCGAAAAACCTATGTCAGACCCGAAAAGCAAGCCTACGTATGGTCGAACAAGCTATGAAATGAAGCTCGACAAGTCAGATCTTGATGTGTTTGAGGATGTTTCCGACGAGGGTCTAGCGGCATTAATCAAGGTGAATAGCAGCGACTGGCAAGCATCTATTCAAGCTTGGTCTCCTAGCTTGTGGGAAATTGCCAACGGAGCCTCTGGCCTGGTTCCCGACTCAATCGAAAAAGGCCTGAAGAAAATCAGCCTACCATCCTTTTCTCATACCCTAGCCTTGCATTACTTTGCAACGACCAACGTATTTGCCCCTGGAAAGCACATGCTAAGTATTAGCGGTGCGTCTGCCGTCTACACACCCTACGATGTTATTATTCTCGGCAATGTCGTAGAGACAGTGGCCATGAGTCCTCCGAAATTGGATGGTTGCGGTCGAGGTCTGTTGGGAGCCACGTCAGGAAACAAGAACATCACAGACTTGATCAATGACTTAGCGATTGGCAGACCAATCATGCGCCAGCTTACAGCATGTGTATTGTCGAATTCATCTCCGCAAGAAGTATTGGAGAAAGCCGGGTACAGCGTCAGTGACAACGATATAACAGTCGCTCTCCAGGCAGCAGATGCAGGACCTCAGTTTGACGCCCGTTTCGTAGCAGGGTTGTACTCTTTCAAAAGCCCTGCAGACCTTGCTAGTATCAGAATGGCAGTAGATGGTGCCACTGGAAGGCAAGCTGCAATTAGCCTTTTGATATAAGATGAAGTCAGGCTGACCAAGGTTTCACAGATTCTATCTTGACGGAACGAAATTGAACACCAGTGTTGATAATGAAGGCTTCGTCAGTTGGACCTGGGGCGACTACTCTTACGCCGTTGAATTTACTACACCTTACAACTCCAAGGGCACCGCAGATCCAAAGACTTTCCAAGGCACCAGGACCAGTCTGAGTTCGGCGACCGTCGAGTCGGTATCAGGTGCTGAACTTATCCCCGATCCATCAGACGACTGGTTCACAAACACAAAGTGGGGGTTAAGCACCGGATGGGTAGCAACAATATTTAGCACAGGACTTGCTGTCTATCTTTGGGTCATTCAAATGCGCGCCGATCGTCGTAATGCTGGTCGAGATAGAATGATACAGGCAGCCGCCCTAACGATACAGCTGGCCGAAATGCAAGCCGCGCGCTATCCACTCCCGGCTGAAACGTTGGACAATGTCTTGAACGATTTTCAAGACGGTATAGAACAAGCGGCTCGAGAAAAGGGGCTAGTTCCGAATATCATTGACGACGGGCCTGCCCACTACGACCCTACAGCGGCATCTGAGGCAGCCAAGGAGAGACTTCGAAGTCTTCTCAAAGAAGCTCTAACACCATATCTGATGCACAGACTTGCTCCTATGGTGACCTTCATGGGTCCTGAAGCTGCCAGAGCGGCTATCAATTATCGAACTAACATTGTATTGGATCAGAGTCAAGTCCTTGACCGTTTTAACGAGACTTCACCATACATTGTCAATATCATGGACAGTGTCAAGAAGCGAGAGGAGGCTAGTGAAGCACGCGTAAAGGAGGAACATGAATCTGCCGCAGAGAAAGTTGCAAACGCAGAGTTAAAGACCAATAGAGACAACGCAGCTCTGGAAAGCCAACTCCTCGCCGAACAAGTGGAGAAGCTTCGTAAGACGAACAAGGATATTACCGAGGCTGAGATGATGATTAAAAAAGAGTATAAAGATATAGCGGATAGAATTGAAGTTCTGAAAAAGGCTGAAGTTGAGGCACAGAAGAAGTATCAGGAGGCGTCAGATAGACATGCGGATGCCAAAAGAGACAGGGAGAGGAGGCAAACGGAGATGGAGGTAGCAGATAATAAGGTCAAGGAATCTGCTAGAGACGCTTTTAGGAGGACAAGATAGAATACCCATCCATCTTGCCCCCCCTGATAGAACCAACAAGACAGATCAATGCTTTTCTTCAACAAGATTTGTTAAACAAAAGGCCCAGAGGGACGAACACTTTTATCACATTTCCTTCTTAGCAGTTAGCAACACAACCAACAATGGACATGTGTACAACCACATCTCGAAGAAGTTGGGCAAGATGAATACAAACTTTCGAGTTTCACCAAGTCTTTAAGCCTCGATGTCATTGGTGATGGGTATCTCGCTCTGTAATTAGTATTGAAGAACGACCCGCATAACCAGATTACTGATATCGCAAAGACCCGGCGGGATTGGTCGTAGTCCAATCGAGTTCTACAAGTTTTTCCGTCAGACCAAGTGGAAGAACCCAACCGATGCGACTCACACTGCGATGCACGCATCTTATGAGACTAAATTCCCGAATTGCTTTGGGTATTTAAGATCTATTGGACTTGGTCCTCAGACAAATAATCATAGGACGTGCACCCTCATCTCTCGAACAACAGCACACATACTGATGCTAGACAGTGGGCGGCTACGGACAAGGTCGATTGCCCTGGATGCACCCTTCGCTTTACCCTGTTGAGGAGACTCTTTTCCCAGGAATAGACGGAGCACCTGACGCCCCGCTACTAGTCGATGTTGCCGGAGGTCTTGGACACGATATTCACGGGTTCAAGAAGTTTTTTCCCAGTCACCCAGGAGTGAGTCTCACACAAACCACAGATATAACCACTACTAATAAGATAATCCAGAAATTGATCCTCCAGGACCTTCCAGGTGTGACCAACGACGTGAAGAACATCGATCCTTCGATATAACTAATGGCCCATGATTTCCTGACAGAGCAGCCCGTCAAACGCACAAGAGCATACTTCATCCACTCGATTCTTCACGAATGGCCAGATTACGTATGCCAGAAGATCTTGGCTCGTCTTACAGAAGCCATGAAACCTAGTTATAGCAAACTTCTTATCTTCGAATGTGTTATTCCACGAACGGGAGCGTACTGGGAGGCTACAGCAGGTGATATCCTCATGATGACGCAGCTTTCGGCTCTGGAGCGTACAAAGGATCATTGGTACCAGCTGATTGAAGGAAGCGGGTTGAATCTTAAGATAGTCAAGTTTTGGAAGTGTGGAGTTGCTAGTGTTGCGAATCTCATTGAATGTGAGCTTGTATAGGTTCGCTATTGCTTGAAACCAATGAGACGAGCTTCAGTTATGAAACAAATCAAAATATCGCTTATATAGTGCCCTAATTGTTGACCCTATCAAAACCTAAACTCGATCGCTCCTCTCTACGGGTGTCTTCTGGTCATCATCGCTTGGAATAACCTCCTCACCACGCACCTTGGCAGCTTCTGGATCCAGTCCCCAAGTTACAATATCAGGATATTTCCGCACATAGAACCACATTCCCATAATGGCAACAATGCTTCCAACACTAAATGCAGCAGCCAACGGGAAACCAACAGGATACCTGGGTGAATCACTAACCCGCCAAGCCCGAAGTGGTATCGAAGCATGCCCAGCATAAACAAGTGTAACAGCGATAGCCACTAAAATCGACCTCACTTCCGGCTCTTTCCTCAGGATCTCCGCCAACCACGCAAGGAGAGCATAGCCCCAAGCAGCCGTAGCAAAAGTGAGAAAATAGAAAGCCATGATGGTCTTCCACGAATCAGGCCACCCGGAGAGAACCGAGGTAGCGATGAGCTGTAAAGTGGCGGCGCTAACGCTGACTTGCCAGCGCCAGGCCTTCCAATCACTGAGGGCGTTGAGACCAATGTTGCAGACTATGCTTATAGCGTAGCCACCAAGCGGGATAAGGTTGACTGTGTAGACTGAGTAGCGGGGTGTTCCGTCGTCGTTTTGAAGACCTTTTAGAAAGAGGAGGAAATAGGCGTTTGCGCGTTGACTCCATGCGAACTGTAGATAGCCTGCCAAAAACAGGTATGAGAGTGGGCTGAGGACAAGTAGTTTCATCTTTTGAACCAAAGTCTTGAAGGGTATTATTCTGGAAGTCTTGACGCCGCTGTCGCTCATTCGAAGACGACAAAGCTCTCGCTCAGATTCTGAGAGCCAGAGAGCTCGAGTGATGGCAGGCGAATCTGGAATGATGACAAGACCGACAAGACCCCAGAAAATAGTCATTATACCGCTGATTATGAAGAGCCATTGCCAACCAGCAAGGCCAGACACGCCGTTGAGGTTCCTGTAGAGGGCGGCTTGAACAATGCCGAGAAACATGTTTCCCGCGACGCCGCTGACGCCAAAGATCGCCAATCGCTTTCCCAACTCCTCGGGACGATACCTAGAGGAAAGTTAGCAAGTTTTGAAGCTACAAGGCTGTGATTAGTGGTCGTACCAATTGAAGATCAGGTTCACGATGCCAGGCCACGACGTAGACTCGAAAACTCCGAGGAAGAATCGCAGCGCAAAAACAGTCTTTGCATTTGGAGCTCTGTAGGTAAAGAGTGTGAATAAACCCCAGATGATCTCACATAGAGGGAGGAACAGAGATGGTCGAACGCGAGTCTGGATGAGCTGAGATGGCACGATGAAAAGGGCATATCCGATGGAGAAATATGTGGTGAATTCCACCAATTCATTGCCGTAGAGTTTGAGGTCCTCTTTCATCCCTGAGACATATGCAGCTGTCGTCGCAGACTGGTCCATATCCTATAGAGTCGTCAATATCATCCAGTTCGCAGAAAAGCATAGATAAATACGTTGAAAAGACCGGCAATGAACGCCCAGACCAGCAACAAGCAGTCAAGCTTGAGCACCAAAACATGAGCCGGATTCTTAAAATACGGATGAATCTTGGCCAACCACGACGTCGACTCTACATACGCGACATTCTGCCTCTCTTCAGAGGCAGAATCATTCACTGGTGTCGACATCTTTGATGCTCCAAAGACTGCCGAAAGGTAAAAAGAGGAGTTGAGAAATAATCGACACTTGGGGTTCTCTAGAATATTTAAAAACATTCCTGCCCGCCACTTTTGACTCTAGGCTAGAGACGTTCTAGAGCCCCGGCAAGTATCATTCTAGGCAAAAAATGGCAGCCATGACGAGCTTAGACTATAAATATCGCAAGATCACGAGTCAGTGATACTAAGATCGGAGCCAAGCAGTAAACTACCGTGTTTGTCTTGATCAAGGGTCCGATGTAGCAGAAACACCACGAGATTACCCCCACTGCTTATCTCGAATCACAACAGTTACAATTGGCTCGATCTACAGAGCGGGTACATTCACCCGGCTGACGTCTTCAGCCCTGCAAATAACGAGTCCCCAAATCTCCTCTTCTAGTTAAAACCATCGGACGAGCCCCGATAAACTCGGGTTGCACCATCCGAAGGCGGAGATATCTAAGACGCAGCCTGCACATCCAAATCAATCGCTAACAAAGCCAAAAATGTCGTCTGAACCGCTGTATCCCGCTTATCTTCCTACCCGCTCGGATGGCTACAATGCACCGGTAGCTGTGCCCCTCTTTGAAGCGGAAGAGCCAGGACTTCGGGCTGATCCCGCCAAAGCGAATTTGCTAAAGGGCGCTACGACCATCAATATTACCCCACGTATTGGCACTGAAGTCCGGGGTGTGCAGATTAGTGCGTTGGGGAGGGAGGGTCTCGATGAGTTGGCTTTGCTGGCTGCTGAAAGAGGCGTCGTTGTTTTTGTAAGTTTACTTCATGATGGGGATTGATAGTGCTGACTTTTGGTAGAGGGACCAGGATTTTGCGGATGTAGGGTTTGATAGACAGAGGGAAATTGTCAAGCATTATGGACCGCTTCATCAGCATCCCACGATGGGATATCCGAAAGGTACAGGTCCGGAATTTCACGTTGTCTATGCCGATGAGAAGACGTGAGTTCAGCAATGACATGTCTTCATTGGTGGCCGGCGTATTGATAAGAGTACAGCGGCAACTTGAGAAAACTTCTAGGACCTCGGACGACATATGACCTCTGGCATATTGACCAGACATTTACCCCAAACTTACCGTCGACCACCTTCTTTTGGGTCCTCGAGATTCCTGAATCAGGCGGTGGCGACACTGCTTTCACCTCGCTTACAGCAGCATACGAAGCTCTCTCCCCCGCATTTCGAGAAACCCTTCACGGTCTCAAACTTCACCACACATCAGCCTCCGAAGGTGAAGTACGAAGAGTCGGTCAAGAACGTGCTCTTGCAGAAGCGATCAACGCCACGCATCCACTCGTCATCAAACATCCTGTCACTGGCAAACCTTCATTATTTGTTAATCCCACGATCGCTCGCCAGGTTGAAGGTTTTCTACCAGAGGAGTCAGATCACTTGCTGTCGTTTTTGAAGAATCACATTCGAAGCATGGACTTCAGCTGCAGGGTTAAGTGGGAGAAGGGCACGGTTGTGGTTTGGGATCAGAGGGGAACGGCACATTCTGCTGTGCCTGATTTTCAGGATAATGAGAGGAGACATATGGTTAGAATTATTCCTTATGGCTCTAAGCCGGAGCCCGCTTTCCAGTGATCCGACTTCAATATCATCGAGAAAACATAGCATGGCAAAGAAAAGACAGTTCAAATTCAATCACAGACTAATGTACATTGGTATCATCGCGCTATCGCATCAAACAGAAAACGATCTGCTGTTTGCCAGATCTAGCCAATTCGATTGGCAGTTGTCCAGCGATACGCCGGGTCAACAAGATGGTTCTCGACCTCAATGACAGGCATGCCGCCCATTGTTGAAGTAGTAGCTGTAGTGTCGATAGATCGACGATTGTCGGGTCGGTCGCTCATGACCTTGTTGTATCTCCTGGATGCGGGAGAGAGGGCACCGAGGGAGAAGCGGCGCTTGGAGCTGAGCGAGTGTTAGTACAGACATGCATTTCATAGATGGTAGAAAACTCACTTGGGAGCCATGTTATTATGATAGTGATATGAGATAGTAGTTATGATTTAAGTGCGGATTTGTGAAAGCAGTGTCGTAAAGGCGTAGAGCTTTGTGTTTATGTTCTTGGTTTCGTGTTCGACTTCAGCAGGCTGAAGGCATTGTTATATAGGTAATGGAAGTGGTGATCGATTCCAATCAAAGAAACAACCATATCATCAATTATCAAAAATGCCTTGGCGATGTCATCGATTATCGTTTCCCCCACAAGTCCTCGAAGCATGAACACAAAACACAGCGATTCGAAGTCATCGCCACAGTGACATCAGCTTAGACCCCGATTTCCTAACACGGTACGCCCTAATCAACCGTGCCGCAAAGATGACGCGCCAGCCTGACAGGTGACGAGACATAGATTTAGCCAGATAAATAACCATCCAATGACACCTGTACAAGGTCGCCAATTACTCTTGCCTAATGGCCAAATTATAGCTTGCCTGAAAGATCGACGTTCAATAATGGGAGGTAAAGACCCTGATCAACAGTGTCGCAAGATAGGCGTTGGTATCTTGGTTTAGCGTTAGGAGTCTCAGTGAAGGGGCAAAAGCGTATCATTAGACAGCGCTGGGTGGCATATTACGCACCTCTATTCATTGGTTCTACAAATATGGGATCAGTGTAAACTCTAGGTGTCATGCATCAGAGTGCCCTTTGGGTCATCTAAGAGCTGCGGCGCAACCAAGCGTTATGGTTGAGGTGAACGAAATCAGCCAGCTCTCGTGAAATACCTCAGGGACCAACTTGCTACAGTTTAACAAACTGTGGCTCTGGGATCTCTGAGTGATTCAAGTACCAAGCCTGAAGCGTCCCTTCCATATGCCAATCGATCGCTCTTGAATCTATTAATCGGGCAGTTTCAACTGTCTCTGGCCACTCGACGCCCCATTCTAGATCGCGCCACTTGATCCTAAAAGGAGGCGGACAATCATTCATCTGTTGTGAGAACCTTGCTCGAAAGTCCGGTTCCTGTATTTGCTCATCGCTAAGAGACTTAAGGGCCTCCCAGAATCTATGCCTGTTGGACATGTAAATCTCTGAGCAAGAGTCTGGGCAGATATTGACGTGGACAATGGTAGGGATCCGCGGTTTCTGAGCTTGGGCTGTTGTAAGCTCGGATCTCCATGTAAGAAGCCGAGCTTTTACCCCTTCGGCGTATGCCACATGGTAAGGCTGAGATCGAGACGGACTAGTCAAGTATTCGTTGAAATCGCTGTTTCGGTACCCGGTGTAACATAATGGCCCGAGCCTGTCCTCATCAACTGGTCGGGAACGCTCCCAGAAAGCATATCCTATAGCATCGATATCCTCAACAGGGATGCAAGCGACGGAGCTGGCAGGTGTCTTCACTTCCACAGCATGCGAACCACGGAATGGATAGAGCCAATACCCAAATTCTTCCAGTCCCCAGTCCTCAAGCAACAGCTCGTCAAGACCCGAAAGTAGAGGAAGAATAGACTGAATTTTATTGGCCAATTTGTCCTGATCCGTACCCGTCGAGGGCCTTTCGAGGATGACGTTCTTGACTTGTTTCAAATCATCCACACGGTATTGACCTATATCCCAGTGACAACCTGACAGTAGCAGACCAGGCTCAGGACATGGATATGGCGTGTGAGCCTCTCCTGGAAGGCCAGATCCGTAATGTCTATCATCTGTACGAGGAAAGCCTTCTACTGTATGAGGGATGCAAAGACGGTCTCGGCCAGGGTGAAACCAAGTCCTTGGACCTGTTGTTCGAGTCGCAAAGAAGAGCCGATAGCCCCAGTTAACGAGTGCTTGTCGTGATTCTGAGCATACATGCAAAAACACAGGTATCTCGGCGTCGCTGTACAAGCAAGATTTGCGGGTCAATTCGAATGCGAGTTCAGGATAGTCGACAAGCCAGTCCGTGGGAATGCGTGGTGTTTCCCCTGACGGCTGCCAAGGTTCGTGGAGAGGCTGATTTGAAGTGAAACCGTACGCTTCTAAGCATGTCTGCTTGTGTCCGTTATTATATGATGCCCATGGAATTCTGTGTCGCCAGTTATGTGCAAAGGCGGCCAGGTCGGGGTGTAACTTCGGAACCTGCATTTCAACTAGCATCTCTTTATAAAATTTTTCGAATGCATAGTCGAAATAGCTCTCGTAATCTTGTTCGGCCCAAGCCCGCTTTTCCTTGGGATTAACTGGCCCTTCCTCGACACGAACGACCCGACGAGGGGTAGCGAGGACGTAGATTGAATGCCTCAGATCGTACGGGAGATATCTAAACAGATGAAATTTGTCTAGTTTGGGGTTTGCATTCGATGTATCATCCTGAGCTCTGGAGCGCGGATTTCGTTCAGTCTGAGTCATCTTAGTGTTGGGACGCCTGATTGATTGATCAGAAGGATGACCGGATTGCTTTGAAGACTGAAGATACAGAGCTCGAAATAGATATCTAGGAGTGGATCGAGCAAATTACCATCAAGTGAATGTTGTGCAAAGCAATTTTGGGATTAACAAGTCTGTTCAAAAAGTTATGAGTCTTCAACAAAAGCAGAGGGAGTGAGCGGTAAGCGCCAATCCTGCAGGCAGAAACCCCACTATTTATCTTCCAATCATATAGGTCGTACGGAGGCTCTGATCCAATCGATCCATATGACGCCAACAAACTCGCGACTTTGCATACAGTACTATGCAGAAGTAGCAGGTGATGGTCATGGGAGAAACAGAACCTATTGCGAGAGATTTGACTATTAATTTAAGAAATATTGCTGAAGTGAGGAACTAAGGCACGTTTCCTGTAGCTAGGGTTACCCATCTGATATCCCCAAAACACACGTCCGGGAGAGCATGAATCATTACACACCAAAACAGCATATCAGTGCTTGTAAACAGTCGACGCATAAGTAAGCAGTGCGATGCGTCATTGTGAGACACAACGCTGATGATTAGATGTTCAACGAGCCTGATAAGTCAAGTGATTATTTGCCATCTGTAGGAGGCCGGCCATGACTTATGCGGGAGGCCAACCACTCGGGTGGCAGCTCGGGTATTCACATATAGGCAGCTAGGAATACGTATGAAATTTGGGTTTCTCATTCCTATTTATTCATCCCCTCCCTTCAAACGATTACAGCACTTGTTAAGTCCTTTTGAGATGAAAAAGAAGAAACTCGTTAGTGTCAAAGCTGAAAAAACTGGCCCCTCATCTAGCATATCCCCAAACACCCCACCTCGCCTTACGATGGCGCCTCAAGGAGTTGAGGAATTCCTCGCGTCTCTTAAAGAGCAAGACTATCTACTGATACGTCAGCCATGCCTTCTGACATATGCTTAGGTACCACAATAGTGATGCGCTCTCGGACGTTATTGTTACCTGCGACGGTCAAGAGTTCAAGGCTCACCGGGTCATCTTGTCTGCCCACTCGAGATGCTTCGCCAAGGCGCTGAATGGCGACTGGAAGGTACATCATGCTCCCCAGGTCGATGAAAGGCCTTCCGCTTATAGTATGTAGGAGAGTTCCGAGAGAAAGATCGACATCAAAGATTTCGACCCAAGTGTCGTTGAAGCAATGCTCCGATTTATCTATTCATTCGAGTACAGCAACACTTGTGGGACTTCCTCCATGGTCTTTGACGCCCAGATGTGGCAGATTGCCGACAAGTACGATATTCCTGCCCTCATGACGGAGTCAAAGAAGAAGTTCGAGATTGCGGTAACCACTGGATGGAGCATGGATGACTTTCCAATGGCTGTTACTATTGTCTATGACTCGGCCCTCCCAGGACTTCGTGATATTGTCGTGGAAACTGCCAGTAATAACATCGACAAGTTGATCGGCAAGGATGGCTTTTGTGAACTCATGAGGGCGACGCCCCATTTCACAGCCGATCTTATCCCTTGTCTTTGTGGCAGGTCGTCGGGATCAGTGCACCAGTACAACTGCCCGTCATGCAGCAATATATTCTGGGGAGAATTCTCGGGCGGGTCGTACTATTGTCCGTGCTGTTCTAACCGCCGTTCAGATTGGGATTTCTACCAGGTTAAATAAAGCTCTATGGATCTTATCATGAGCGAAAAGATGTAGACAAAGCATAGCCGAATCTAGAACAACTGTCATGGTGGAATCTGTAACAGTGAAGTCTTAGTCAAACATGAAAGGTGAATGACAATTAAATAGCAAACTCTTCAATAAAAGCAACATTTCAAGCTTCCTTGGATTCCAACCAAATATATTTCTCTTCGCATCAGGGTTCCCCTACTCCCGACGGCGTTTTCTCCTTGACCATTCCGTAGCTCAGCGGACCTTCCACCGACAAACTCATTATAAACTAAACTCAATCGCTGTTTCTCATCAGCTTTGATACCCGCCCGTGAAATACGTGAGCTCCTCTCCAAATGCCCTTGAGCAAGTAGAATTTCTGGCTTATGTGACGCTCTGTCATCTGACTTCTAATCTCCTTCGCCATGAACTCCTCGTCGGCTTGACTTGCCCTTGGAACGTAGCTTCACAATCGTTTCTTCATACCCAGCAAGTTTCCTAATTTGCGTGCGCCGATCGCTGGATTTGGCATCGGAGTACAGTCGGTCTTGTTCTGCACCATACCAGAAGTGTACAATACTAGGCTTCCGACACGCTTGGACCCGAGATTTTCCATTGGTCTTTGTTGAACTAACACTTGTATCCATGTCTCCCAGATACTGGTGAATAGCCTCAAGCTGCGCGTTAGAGATAAGGGCCTGTAAGTCGGCTCCTGAATAGTCTTGGGTCCTCGAAGCGACGTCCCTCAGTCTATTGTCGAGTTCTCCTTCGAGATCCTCATCAAGCCTTAGTTTCTTCAAGAGACATCGAAGAATATCAATTCTGTCGTCCAGGTGTGGCGAATCACATAAGGGCGACTTATCAAGGCGGCCGGGGCGGAGCAGCGCAGGATCTATAAGATCGGGCCTGGATGTTGCAGCAAGGACATAAACGCCAGATAAGCCCTCGACGCCATCCATCTGAGTCAACAGTTGATTGACAGCACGGTCTGTCACTCCAGTAAAATCACTTCCTCGTTTCGGTGCAATCGAATCAAATTCGTCGAAGAGAACGCAGGGCTTTGAGGCAGTTGCTCGCTCAAATAGATTCCGAATGGACTTCTCAGACGCGCCAATATACCTGTTGAGAATCTCCGGGCCCTTGACGGAGATGAAGTTCAGTCCGAACTCGCCAGCAATAGCACTTCCTAGCAGAGTCTTTCCACATCCTGGGTATCCGTAGAGAAGCAAACCAGAGCGTAGTCAAAGTGGGGATTGCGCGAAGATAGGGGCGTACCTTGTCGGGTATTCAATGGTCCCCAAAAGCACTCTAGGGTTTCTGTCATGCCGCCAATAGAGTCAATTGTCGTAGTTTATGTTCCAAGAGACATGTTTCGTAATGCGAACAGTGTAGATCCCTTCTGGGCTTCCTCGAAATGTTCTCTTGTGAGAAGGACACTCATCTTGTTGCCATCCTCCGAACTGTGTGCTATGAGGTGGGCCAAAGCAACATACTTTGCTCGTTCTACAAACAGAACAAGATCTCGGGGCATGTAACTTTCCGTGATATTCGTAAGATCCGCAAAGTCTATATCAGGATTGAACGTGTGCGGAGGGGTAGCATTGGCTACTGGAACTGCCTCTATAGACCCGAAAACATCCATCCATGATCCACTGGAGTTCTCTGGTTGGGTACCGTCAGCTGTTTCTGGGCAATTAGAGCTGACATCCCTTTCTTCATCATCATCCTCGGTAACTGTGCCTTGCTGTATCACCGTCTCCCGGATCTTCCTCCTACACACCTTGTTAGAGACACCCAAAGGAAGGGTTTCACGGAACACATGGTTCCCGATGATGACATTGTGCAGGGATTCTTTCGTCTGGGCAGTCGCGAGCACGGCTACCCCGTCGACCAGCACAGAATGTCGTTTTATGACTGAAGCAATCATTTCAATCATCTGCTTCGAGCGCGCATTATCGCCTCTCACACAAGCTCAGTCTCAACAATGCACAACTTGTCGACGTCTTCCAGTATTACCAGGGCACGGCCGCCCAGTCTTGCACTCAAGGCTGCTTGAGGGAAGGATTGTTCAAGTGTGTCTCTGATAGTAGCAATGCGCTCTTCATTTGGTGACATCTTTGGCAAGATATGTATATGCTGTGAAACAAGTGCTCAGATCTCGATTGATGCCCAATCAATAAACTGACGGAGCTTTTTCCTGTGCCGGGGACCCCTATGAGCAATACTGAAGACTCATGCAACAAGTGTGACTTGAGGTCAGTGACGATGTCCTCAACGCCAGCAAGAACTGGAACTGATTCATCAAAGAGGCTCTTGTTGGAATTCGAATTTGGCGAGGGGATTTGCTTTTCAATTTCGATGGAGGATAATCGACCTGAACTAAGAAACCAGTTACAAAAGGGTGTTGTAGGCTGAGTCAAGGTGGCATCAAATCGGAGTATCCCGCCAGTCCAATCAGGAAGCATAGAGGTCGAAGAAAGGGGACCCAAGATCATGCCGTCTGTGATAGGGTCGTCCAGAAGACCCCGGAAGGTACTGGGTTACTTGTACATGTTGAGGATGGATGTTTCAGCGTCCTGGCGGCCTTGCTTCACGTTGGGCCCAAGCTTGGGAGCGCCTGTCGATTCCGTCGCGCTACCTTTGAATGGGTAAACATGAGCCTTTTGAGTAGCTGAGGCCTGTTCTCCAGGGGCAGCCTCGATCTTAATGGGGACTCCAACCATGCCCTCGGATACCAACGCTACACAGTGAGGAGGATAAAGCAGCGTGACGGTTGTCTGGAGCATCTTGCCATTCCACAACAGCAAATCTCAAGCTCGTTTCTCCCCATCCTGATCCAAACTCACCATTTGTTAAACTGGACCCTAACGCAGAATCATTATTGCACCAAAATGGGGAGAGAGGGGCCTTCTCGTAGCCACTCACGAGCAGGCAGCAATGGCAGGGCCCGTGAAGCCCCCCAAATCAACCTATTTCTCTGAGGAGTTGATCGAGCACGCTGCCCAGATCTGTTTAATCACCAACAAGATGAGAATGAAGGCTTCAAGATCCGGGTAGACAGCAATACGCGACGCACCGCGCTCTTGAAAGGAATCAGTCGGGTATCTGTGTCGATTCTCCATCAACCAACTTTCCAGGCCAAGGTTAATCCCAGATATGGTCAAGACGGCGCGGATGGGTCAAACGTGGCTTGGGTTTCTCCTAAGGTAGTAGCCAGGGTGATAGGGTGATCTGAATGGCCTGAACCCCCGGAGCTATTGTAGCCTGAGTTGGGCAAAGCGCGAACTTGTCTGATCAAACTAAACTCCAAGAAGCTGGCGTGAAGCTCGATGATCTCCCAGTCCTCTCGCGTAAGAGGCTCGATATTGACGGTGTCCACCAAGGGCGATTCCAAATGCAATGCAACAGTGACCTCTTGTCCATCAGAAAGCCCCAAGGTCCGAGCGAATGCGGCATCAATTTCCACCAAGGATGATTCTCTAATGGTTGGCGGCTTCTTTCTCTCCCAAAGCTTTGTCGTCCCTCTGATGCGTAAGATCTCTGTCGACTCTGCAGTCCGGTTTGCATACCTGATACTAGTGCATTCCTGTCTGTCGACAGAACTTTATTGCCTGGCCCACCGCTCTCTAGGAATACATCGGCCTCGTCACTGAGTCTGAGTTAGCTGAAGAGGCTAATAAAACCCTAAATTTGATGCAATAACGAAATACGTACAGAAGCAAAATTGCTTGCCATTTGGTTGCCAGAGCAAAGATCTTCCCGGGGTTGGACTCAACATGCTTTGCCCGTGACCATGGCGACGGTTCCAGCCGCCGATGTCTTTCCGACTCCTGGAGGACCTATTTGATTTTTAGATTGACGTTGTCCGATGGTGCATCGAACTTCCCGTAAAGGAACATAATAAGTCCTTTCCCTTTATCAGGGATGAAATCGTCAATATCAAGACCCTGTTCGTCCTCATAATCTCTTTGCGGGTTCGTTTATGTGTGACTGATAACGGGGTCCAGTAGAAGTATCTTTGTACCGCCATTACCTTAAGGAAAAGCATCAGCATTCGAGGAATGGATCATCCAGATGTTTACTGACCCTTTTTAGACTTAGTAACTTCATCATCAGCCAGCTTGAGGCGGCCCATCAAGTCCGTGCTGTCCTTCTGAGAAATATACTTCAGGAGTGATACCTGAAGTTGAGCCCATTGCTTTTCTTTCAGTGTATACTCAAAGCCGCGAGGTGAGCATATTATGTACTACTCCTCATCCCACTCTTCTCTATTGATACATTGAATATCGTCGAAGTGCGTTCGGAGCCGAGTAAGGAGACTAGGATTCTGGTGGCTGTCAGAATAGAGGCACTCTTTACGGCCAGACGGAATGAGTGACCCCACTTCCGTTTGAACTGCAGTATTACATTGGAGTTGATATGGTGGATGCAAAGCTGCTGCTAGGCGTCTTAAAACTAAACCCCCAGTGCCTTCTTCATCTGGTCATCAAAGTCGGTAATGATAACATCGGGGGTCTAGATGCTATATCGGTCGAGGAGCATGCGTACACCGTTTATAAGGAACTGGAATTCTTTAAACCTCTCGTTGTCGATTAACCCGAATGCGGCGTTAAAGACAGTCCTAAGCAGGTCTGTCCTGTAACTTGGAAGAGTGGCAACTTGAAGCGGTTCGTGTTGTATGCGTTGTCGAAACTGATGACCTTGGGGAAACGCCTCCACATCTGGATACAGTAGGGCAGGCAGGGGGGGCTGGTCTCCCGGCCCCCTAGGGGAGACCTTGCTAACATGCACGGTTGGGGAATTGGGATTTGAACAAAAAAACACGTGGGTTTGGAGGATCTTGCCTGTATTTGGAAGAGCCTTAATATGTGCATAGGCCAGATTCTATGTAATCCGTTAAATTACAGACAGACCATATTACAGTAGTAGGGCAGGAAAAGTAATTAGTGCACTTGCTTATTATGCATCTTGTATTAAGCTAGAAGCATTCATAGGTTTACTTTAATAAGTACAGGATAAAAAAAACCAGAGCCTACAAAGGGGTTCAGCCTTGCTCTATACGACTTTCGTCACTGACAAGTGGATTATTACGCACTGCTCTAGTCCTAACCAAATTTAGTACCATAACCTCAATCTCTGTACTGCTGACCATGGCACGTAAACTAACCCTGAACTGGACGCGGGCCGGATCCAGCTTAATGTTTAGCAAAAATAGCAAGTGCCAATTAAATACTTAATTTCTCAAACGTAAATATCCATTCTGTAGCTAGACTTAAGAACTGAGATAGCGATTTTAAAGCTGGTTAGCCACAATGCGATAATTACTAACTATTCAAAGGTGACCGTGTCTCCTTGAGCCCGAGCCTTCGTATAGCTGACACCGTGGACTTTTCTTCCTTGCGCATTCAGAAGGGTAATGGTACCGCCCAGGTTAGAGAGCGGAGCATGTGGCATTTCCACCGTCACGGTGCCATCGGCGGCAATATGCAGGCCGGATGGCACCTCCTGAGCCTGTTCAGTCGTGTTGAGAACCTTCCACTTGCTGAGGTCCAACTTCTGATTTGTGCGGTTGGTCAGCGTGATGGTTTCTGGGGCAGCTCCCGGCTGTTGATTTCGCCCCGGTGGGTTGACACGAGCCTGGGTAATAAACACCGGCGAGTCGGCAAGGTCATCATCATCCCGGTCCTCACCAGTCCGCCTGGGTGCCAAAAGTCTTGCCCACGTCATGAATCCGGTCCTTGGCAGTGGCTGACCGCTGTCGTCGGGGCCATCCTCGGTATGGACAGCTTGGGATGCGAAGGCAATGAAGACTGCCTCCCAATGGTCCTCGAACCTGCAGATAAGCCCGCCATCCTGGAAGACTCCGTTATCCCGGTTCCAGCGTCGTGAGCTCCCCTGGTTCATGTGTATATTATGTATACCCTCACCATTGCTAAAGCGGGAGCCATAGATATACACCGTGGCATCGGCCGAGATTGCACGATCGAGAATAGGTTTCAACTCATCAAGGATGTCGTTGTCTGGGCCTTCAACGTCATGTTCCAGAATGCGGCCGTCGCTCCGGCGGAAGAGATTACCACGGATATAGTCCAGCGCAAGGCCCCCAGGTCCCTGCTCGGATGTGCCAGCAAGGAGTTGGAAGCTGTCATTGAGCACGGCGAGCTTCTCGGTAATGGGATGAGTGAAGTGAGGGAGCGTCCAGTATGCGAGGCGGGACTCCGTGTGATCGCCAGACTTGATGTTGATAGCAGCGCGACCCTCTGTGCCCTCATCGTCGGTAAAGAAGAGCGACAGATGTGGCGACACCGGATCTTGGTGCCTATCCTCGTAGGTGTAGCGGACGGGCTTTGCCTTCCAGACACCATAGCTTTCAACGGGCATTGCGGCAAGTGTAAATAGTCCAAGCTAGAGAGTTTAAAATATACGCAATGTGATGAGCACAAAATAATTGTTTAACGTTCGTTAGAAGCACTGACAGCCAGAAGAGATATACTTATACGCACACAATATCGTATGTTCTTGACTAGAAGCCTCAGGCATCTCGTTATCAAGTAATACGCTACGTGTAAAATCAAAGGCGGACGATAGGTAACACGTCAATATGCCATCATAATCTCAGCTGACGATGCACCTCAGTCACCAAGCCAAAAGCTCCCATTCGTTCTGGTAGGGGTTTCCCAGGCTATGTTTCCTCGGTGGCTAAATATTACTGTTTCCGCTAGCCCCATTCCTTCCTGCCGGTTGACTGCTCTTCAGTCCTAGGCGGTTGCCGTTTTGACCAACCAATCCCGGTCCGTACGGCGAAACTATGTACAATATGCAGAGAATGACCATCGTCACATTGAACTCGGGCTTGCAACTGCCGGCGGCAGTTATGCATACAAGTCAAACAGACAAGTCCAACAAACACGGTGCCGCGAGGCACAATAGAAGAGCGTCAGAGAAATCTATGATGCACACTGGTTCCGGTACAACTTGTTCTGAAACATATTACCTAAAGGCCTGAAGCTAGGACCCCAGTCCCAGAAGAAGCTGGAGTGCACTGGTTGATTTCTGTGCTGAGTGCACACTTGTACGAAGGCCCGTGACAACGGTGTGTTGTTTACTGTGTGTAATACGGCAGATGCGAAAGCATAAAGGCTATTCAAAAACTTTATCCAAAATACTACACATATTATGGATCTGGCTGAGTGTGGTTGTCTGATTCAGAAACTAGCTGGCCGTCTTATGTAGCCTCGATTCCGCCACAATATAAGTGTTAGGAAACATACTGTAATTTCAGCTAAATAACGCACTTGTACATGCTAGTTAGAGGTGTTGGCCTTTATTCGGAAGGTGGCCGGCCGATTGTGAGGCGTCAGGCAGAAGGCTGTCAATATTCCGTCCCTAGAACCGACTTGCAGCGGTATTAGCCGTCACGATGCGGCACCTTACGAGACCGTCAGCCAACCCTCCAATTCCTCAGCAGACTGGTATTGACTATGACGAGTTGACACGCAGCAGCAATGCTGAGAACTCTAAATCAAGTACGGCATGTGAACGTACTATCCATCATCCAGGGCCATTATGTATTGTTAGGTTATCTGTGACATATGTGATACGAAGTGCTTGCAAAATCGCATTTTATACCTTGAGTCGCGATTTGAAAGGAATTGTTAAAATTGAACTTGAAGGCCCATCGCAAGAAAAATCCGACGTCGCGCCCAGGCGGCGATCGGCTAGAATGTTCAATGAGCCATAAGCGCATATCCATACTGAAAGTTACCGAGGGGGCTTGAATGTGGCTCGCTGAGCCCCCTCAGGTCTCAATATATCGATTCGATGTCCTCCATAGACCCTGGATTTCCAAGACGCCACAGAACTCTCTGGAGGCCAACCCGCAATCAGAGCTCATTAAGACTCGTATTTAAACTCGCAAAATAGTTCCCCAACGTCAATGTCCAATGTTGTGGACCAGTTCGCGAAAGGACAAAGGCTATCTGTCGCACTCAGCGTGCTTATGTTGAACAGGTGCTGGGGCCTCACATGCAACCAGGGATGCTTTAAGATTACAGACGAAATGGTAAAATCTCCAAGGGGTAGAATGAAAAAGGAAAAAAGAAAAAAAGAAAAAACACAACATGAATATATCAATCTGGATCAATGGACCGAATGCACGTAATGTCTGACAACTTAAAGACGTAAAGTGAATATAATTGGAGTCAAAAAACACCCTGAACGGTTCCCGGTTAGTGTTAAAAGTTATATATCATAGGACATGTGAATCTAGCTCCCCCCGGGCTTGAGTCCTAGGAGATGGTGGAGTGGAATTCGCGCGGGTAGTCGACAGAGGCATTTTATTTTGCCAAAATTCAACCACAACGATGCATCCATAAATGCTTATATCCAATGGTAGAGAAATAAGTACTTAAATTATTTATACCCATATAACCATTTTTAATTCATCTCTGGCCAGATAATATGTAAAAGAATGCATCCAACTCGGTGTCGAGACGAAAGCGGGGTCCAAGCTCAGAGAGGCTGCTTACGAAATATCGTTACACCCTAGTCGTTTTGCTGGGTGTAAAACCAATAAGAGGAGGGCTTGGACCGGACGGTATCCCTGTTGGTTCCATAGCATTGTGATCTACGTCAGGACTTGAGCCAATGATATCAGGTTTTGAGCTGGACGGTATCCATATGCCCCAATGTATCCTTCCTTCCGCTTGCACTGCTGACCATCGCCTTCGAGAGTAATCAAGACGTGCTCAAAGTATTAAAGGACCTTATTAAATAAAAAAAATAATAGCCTGGTCCTTCTCCTTAAGTTTATTCTTATCCCTGAGGTAAAGCAGGATCTTACTACTTAACTTCTTTCCCCTTAATACCAACCCCTCCCATTTACTCTTCTACTTATACCAAAGGTCCTCAAGGAAATCCTTTAAGAGAAAGGCACGCTAAATTATATAAAAGGAGGAAAGCCAACAGGTAACCACATTAATAATAACATCTAGAGGTTTCTTTACTCAAAACACCAGATTATTAGACTTGCTATATGCGGTAAGCTAAAGAGACTAGAGGAGATTAGTAAGTCAGTCTAAGTAATAGGTCTAGAAGATAAGGTTATAAAGTTTTCTAACTAGTCCTTTCTATCTCCATAGCTCATAGGCCTTCGCATTAAGGGTCTCGTTCTATTGGATATTATCCTCGAAGGCCTCGGAATTATGGCTAAAAAGTAGTGCTTTAACGGCGAAATTAGGAATATGGCCAAAGCAGCGTAATCGCCGAGTTTTATACTCGAAACTGAGCGCCTTCCCAACCTCTTCTATCGCTGTGTCGTTATTGCTGGCGTTATCGAGTGTGAAATATCCTACCTTATGGTTTATGCCGTAGCTTCGAAGGACCGAAACTTGTCATGGCCTACTAACCACTCGCAAGTGCCTTCGGTTCTGCTATTACATTTTTCGTTGTGATGGCTACCAACCTGTATCGTGCTGATGTACTCCATAACCCTGATTCTCTCGGCTTCGTCCAGCTTTGCAAGCACAGTAGTCACTGTATTATCGATTCTACTCAGCGGCAGTTGTAGACTCCTCAATCTTCGCGGTGCTTTTTGCTTCTGGCCAGATTCACAACAGTGTCGTAAGCTCGAGCGGTGTTTTCTAAGTCTTGCTCAAGTTCTTTCACATCTGAAACGCGTTTCTCCCCGTGACCTGGATCTAGAAGAGCTTCAAGAAACCGCTTCAAGTTTCCTTGCTTCACCTCTTGGTGTACAAGAGTAAGAAACTCCAAACAGGTTTTATACAAACTGACCAGCTTCGTCTTCAGGTCGTCTTGGATAGGAGAAAGAGGACGATCGTGAAGATAAACTTCTTCGTATATTGTGCCGCGCCTGACGAGACACAGAACCATATCCGTGCATCCCATAATGGACGCAAGGTCCTCACACTGGAACACGTTCGCCAGATCGCCATTAGCCGGCCATCTTGTGATTATAGACTAGGAGAAACATAAAGTTGTAAACTATAGGTGACCTTTTCAAAGAAGTCCAACTACACATATTGGGACTCACCTTGAGAAGCACTTTTACAGCATTCCAAACAGTCGGGGACGGTGCAGGAGCAAAGTTGATAGCAATGTCTCCGATTGCAGTCAAGCAAGAGCTAACATTATTCGTGTAATCCCTCAGCAAAATGGGGCGACCGCCGTGCCCAAACTGCCAGGCCTTTTCATCATGTTTCTCTTCGCTGCTGCGAACCAGGTCCACTGGTTCAGGGAAAGGGTTGGTGTTGTCGGGCCACACTCCGACATTCTCGTCAATCCACTTCTGGGTGTTCTCTTCCACCGCATTGTAAGCTTCTTGCCACAAATGCAATTGTGCTCCAAAAGGCTTTGTTTTTAGAGATATCTGATCAGAATTTGGTACGGAGGAACTTGACTCATTAACAACGATTGCAGACGTTGGCCCATCCGTCTTAACTTGTTGAGAAATAGGATCGCCAGTAGGAGGTGGCGTTGAAGCACGTTGCTGCGTAGCTTCCGAGCCCGGGGTCAATGGATTGCTTGCTGCGGTAACAGAGTCTGTCGGTCTTGAAGGCTGAAGGTCTTCTGGTTGTGTTTTGCCCCAACATTTAAAGCAGCATGATAAAACCGCTAGGCAGCCCCCACTGGAGTCTTCAGGAGTTGATATAACGCAAAAACCAGAGTTCCCCTGGCAGTTACGGCACAAGAATAAGAATTGAGAAAATAATATATTTGAAAGAGGGAGATTAGGATGGCTTTTTAAATATTCAATATTTGGATTTCAATCATACTTTTAGAGCCAATGAGAATATACTTATGCGCTGTCTATTGGTTTTAGCACTGTCGAAAAGGGTAATCATATCACCAGCCAAGGAGATTGCGGGGTGCTGGCCTGAGACCTGCATATACGGCAGCACCCAACAGGGAAGAAAATGATGAGGGAAGGGACAACTAGGTAGCAGGTCGGTGACGATTTGTTTCCTAGACGCGTAGTAAAATTTGATAGAAAGAAAGGGACATCACAGATACAGCAACGAACTCATAAATCATCAATTTCATTGCAGCCAATTCAAACAAGCACCGCCATATAAGACTACCGCCTTCTTCTCCTAAATCAGACAAATCATTAGCAATCGCCTCACGCTGACCAAATACATAGTTCATAAAAAGTCACACTACCCTTCCATCTCAGTCCGTCCTGGATGTTCATCATCCCATTCATCCTCAACATCCACATAAGAATCCTCCAGAGATACCGTCTTCCGTCGGTGTCCACCTCCATATAACGACTCAAGCTTTCTAGAGTCGAGAAAGACATTCTGCATCTCCGAGATGAGGTGCTCCTCTTCAGCATCGTCATCGGAAGCTCTGAGGCGGAATCTGACAACCCTCCGCCCGACGCCGGATGTAAGGAAGGGCTTTAGGAATGAGAAGATGGACCAGGCGAAACGTGCAAAGAGATATTCTCGGCTTCCTTCAACTAACGTCTCGACGGGACGGTTCTGATACAAGGCTGTGAACTCTGCTTCCCTTCCGTCAAGTACATGAAGAACATATTGGCTGTTTGCTTCAACTCCATTTGCTTGACCGCTTTGCTTTGGAATCAGAGCAAAAACGCTTTGATCAAAGCATACGTAGAGGTCGGCCTTGAGCGGTAGAATATTGTGAGGGTCATCGATGGTATGTGATCCACCACCGTAGAGACCCATGCCATTTTTGCTGAACCAACTTTGTTCTTCTCTGGGGATCAGGTGCGCCCATGTAAAGGCATAGCTGGTGTTTGTGATGGCACACCTCTTTGCATAGAGTGATGTTCTAGAGGTTGGGACACTCCACCATTCAGGTAGTCTGTCATGGGGAAATTGCCAGTCTCTGAAGCTTGGAACAATTGCATATCGATCTGATAAGTGTTAGTAAGGATGCCCAGTCATATGAGTGAAGGCTTTTCCATTACCATCGCCCTCGACGAAGAACCAGTAGTCTCGCTGCAGCAGTATCGTCTCGTCTTCAGATACTCTATCCTTTCCTCTCTCATCTCTCGCTAGGTACCCTTTCTCAAAAGCATTATTCGCGACGATCTGGCACGCTGTAAGGGCCGTCAAATAGTGCACACCAAAAGCCCCCTCTGTCGTATTGTAGTCGACACGCGGGAGGCAAAAAAGAAGGTTCAGCGGTTTCAAGTAGCCAGGATGATAAAAGCGGATCTGATCTCTATTAAGATCTCGGATCTCGAGCGACGAGACGGCAGATAGTGAGCGCGGCATTGGAACGCGATGCTCTAAGTGGCTGAGATGAAGTTGATGATTGTTGGAAGCAAGAAGACCCATGACGTTTTTTTTTTAACTTGAATTAGCTCTTGATCAGCGAGATCTCAGCCACACGTGAAGATGACGTACATGGATGATGCTCAAAAGTCCACTAATGCAAGCCACTCGGGACGGTTAATATCGGGTACGAAATCAAGATCTGGTGTTGACGATATTCATGGAATAGAAAATGGTGAAAATAATATACTCTGAAAAGACAATCATTTATATACAGTTCCTAATACCCGATATGTTCTCCTATCCTAGAAAGAGTTTTTCCGCCCCGACATACGTGTCAAGCTAGTGGACAGCTGTTTTGCATATGTGCTCCAATAGCTTCACAGCAAGTGGACACTCAGGATCCATATTGAACATCGGTGTTGTTTGATGTTTTTACAAGCGGTGAGGGCCAGGATAAGCAGGAGCCTTGACCGACGAAGTAGATCCAATCTCTCCAATTCGGATGTTGCTGAATGTCACTTCAGGGTTGGGCTGCACCTTGACGATGTTCTTGGGATCGCCCTCAGTGGCGTCACAGGGTCCAGCAACACCCTGATCTAACCAGGCCATGAAATCACCCTCGCTCCACCAAACGCTCATGGCGAGGACCATGCCGCGGGACATGGCATCGCCCATCTGCTTAGTACCGCCAAGACGCATGTACTCGTTGGCGCCGGTGGCAGCGCAGTACTTGTCGTTGATGAAGTTGATCTTGGGAGGGCCGGAGATGTTGACGACAGCTGACTCGATGACCTTGTTGTCCTGGATGTAGTGGCGGTGCAGCTCGATGAGGTCGCCCTGCTTGTTGGCGACGAATTGCGATGTCACGGTGAACTTGCGGGTGCTGTCGACCTTGTACTGCTTGCCGCGGCCGTAGAAGTCGGTCACGTTGATGCGGTTGTGGTTCCAGCCGCAGCCGGCCTTGTCGCATATACCGGAGCTGCCGCACTCGTCTCCGGTGCAGCCGTAGAGACCGGGCTTGTTGCAAGGGTGAGGAGCAATGTGAGTTGCGCGGGAGTTGGCCTCCCAGATGTCGAGCTCGTTACAGCAGACACCCTGTCCCTTGATGTTGCCCTGAAAAGGTCAGTACAATCATTTAATATGGAAAGGGAATGAACTTACGACTCCGTTAATGAAAGGAGTGACGTAGCACTGGGCATCACAGTATCCAGCACCATAGTAGGCGCCAGCCTTGCTGTTTCGGCTCGTGCTCTTACCACCATCCTGGGGCATCTCAGAAAGGTACAAAGCACCATTCATACCACAAGGAAGCTTCTCCATCTCAACATCGAAAGAGAACTCAGTACCGGTGAGGTGAAGCATCTCATACTTCTTCTTGTTCTCCTCAAGCAGATAAACTCGAGGAGAAACAAGCTGGTTGTTGATAAGCTGCTGAAGACGAAGCTTGTTGCCAGAGGTAGTGATACCAGCGTTCTTGTAAGCGTTTGAGTCCATACCACTGAGGATACAGTTCTTGGCGCAGGAAGCCTCATCGGGACAGGCTGTGGCGTTGGGCTTTTGTCCCCAGTCACCGCAGCCGGCGCCGTTCTTTTGGTGGATGCCGTGAATACCTGCGTCGGCGACGATGTAGTTGGTCTGCTTCTTGCAGCCGGAGGCCTTGGTGCAGCGATAGGTCTCGAGCTTGGGGTGTTGCTCCTTGGCCTTGTCGGGGGTCTGAGCAACAGCGACCTGAACAGCCAGGGCTGAGAGGATGAGTGAGAGAGACTTCATAGTGAATGAGGTTCAAAGATCAGGTAGTGACTTGTCTAAGGAATGACGAGATGAAGAGCATGAGAAACATCGTCAAGAGCCGCCGGAACTCGGTTTATATCTATTCTTTCTATCCATCACTCTACGGATAGGGGTCTTCCACTTTCGGCATCACCCCGAAAATCAATGCCATGAAGGTCCTCACGGAAGCTGAACCATACTGCTCCGAAATCTCAGGTCACGACTCCGGCGTTATACAACGCTAACCAATCAAGATCCCTATATCTCCGCTCCCTCCGTTTTCCTAATTCGAAATGCCAAGCACAACCAGTAAAGAAACAAGTACCGAGTTTCAAATAGTTTCGCGGGCTTAACCCATGTTTATCGATTAGTGCGACCGAGGAGGGCGGGCCGAAATACCGCGACGATATAGCCCAGGCTGTGATTGATTAAAATTTCATGGGTTTCAGAATCCTTGTCAAGTCATTCAATGGGGGAAGCGTGTGGAGATTTCTCCAGATTTTCCCACCTACCATTTCAGAAGCGAATATTTGAACGGACGACTTGGCTACGGACCGTCGGGAAGGGATGTATTGAGCCGTTGGAATGGAGAGTCATGTGAATGATTTGGACTTGTCACTTCCCCACTGGATAAATAGAGTCTCGCCGAGACGGAGACGCAGGAGGGTATCATTCCGCTGAGAGAGTTGTCGGGCCGTAATTTATATTCTCGGTAAGACGATAGGTTTCAACTAAGAGTCTGGGCGCAGATGGTTGAACCTTATGGAGATGAAGACGGTCGGTTGCGGATAAAAGCTGTCGTACCGTTTTGAAGTGAGGTTTTGGCGATAGATTTATGACCGATTTAACATTTCTCTACGCCGTAGAAATGTGCTGAGTTTATTTGAGAAGTATGAGTTGATATGTGAGTAATTTAAGCTCATAGATAAGCTATTCTGTTCCTGCAGCGGGATCCTGCAAATACGGGATGGACGACGCTCGAGCCATCCTGTCAGCGTGGGGGAATGCGGCTCATCACCAGCATTTGCCCTGTTCAAACCAGCGTCGGTATCAGCTGAAAGATGAAATTCCGATCGGTTACAACTTTCAAGGAACATGGCACACGTCAATGAATATCCTTCAGCTCCTCGTCTCCTGATGACACCTGTCAGCTTGTCGGGCCAAACTACCCTGTACCCAAGCTACACTAGGTAGGAAGAAGTTAAGAACAGCTTCGAAACGGCCCGAAAAGGATGAATAATGTGATAGCTTGATATTTCATATGCTGAAGCTTAGGGTAGGTACCAGTTGAAATAGTTGTATGTTGACAACGAGTCAATCGTGGATAGTAATAGAACGAAGTTTGATTGAAACCTACCGTCAAAGAACGGGGAAGTTGCAACGAAAATATACAATTGTTAGAAAAAGATACTATTTAAAATTTCAAATGACTTTTATTCTAATGTTCTTATGTAAATACATAAATAATCAATCAAAGGACGTTTAATATGTCAAACTCAGTTTTGGCCATTTCGCTTGTTGGTTGGTCTGCTTGTGCAACTCAAAAAGACTTCATTTGACACGTGATCTTGATGCAACCCTCGCAAATATTTGTCTTCTATTTTTGTCAACTGTCGGTAGTTCATGAACAAACTCAAATCACAGATCCTTTGAAGGATCAGCCTAGAGCGATCTCAGTATCGAAAAGTCTATCCGACAGTCCGTCTCAAAATACCTCTGAATTAGTTTGCGCTCAAACCCAACATTTTGGAGTCCTTTGCTCTAGACCAAAATACGCGACATGGATGACCACCAAGACAAGATCGCCACTTTAGCCGATGGGAGAAAGGTTTCATATGCAGTTTATGGAGCCCAGGATGATGATACACCCACTTTCTTCTATCTCCACGGCTTTCCGGGGTCTCATCACGAGGGATACGTGATCAATACCACTGCAGCCCAATATGGCGTACGCGTCATTGCACCAACGCGACCAGGGTACGGCGACTCGACATTTCAGAAAAACAGAAGAATTCTCGACTATCCTAAGGATATACTCGAACTAGCGAATATTCTATCGATCAAACAGTTCGCGGTATTAGGCGTCTCCGGTGGTGGACCCTATGCTATCGCCTGTCTCAAGGATCTTCCCCCGGACCGTTTAGTTGGCATCGGCACTGCCGCTGGCGTTATGCCAATGTCTTTCTCAACGCAAGGAATGCTTACAATGACACGGCTCATGTTCAACATAGCGCCTTACGCTACAGGAATATTAGGCTGGATCACCGATAGAGTGTTGGGGAACACAGCGCGAGACACCAAACACCCAGAGAAGTTGGAGGAGATGATGGATAAAGACATAAGTGCAAGATCAGCCAGCGACAAAGACGTATGGGAGACTCATCCGGACTTGAGAAAGTCTTTAGGGCGAGCTACGAGGGAGGCAATGAAGCAGGGCGGCTATGCGACTGCGTGGGAAGCACGATTATTTGGAAGTGATTGGGGGTTTAAGCTGGAGGATGTCAAAGTCGAGAAAGGAAGAATGATAATGTGGCATGGAGATTTAGATGTCAATGTTCCGATCGGAGTGTCTGAAAAGGCTGTTCAGCTTATGCCTGGTGCAGAGCTGAGAGTCATGAAAGGGGAGAGCCATATGAGTTTGATGACCAGGGTGGATGAGTTCACAGTGGCTATGAAAGATATGATATTGAGATCACAGCCGGGGCCTAATGGGAGGTCAGAGAACTAAATAAGTTGCTAAACATAGATTGGAGTGATACCAAAATCATATTGCTAAAGCTGGTCTGAACATTTCCGAGTGAAGGACTATTGGCAGTTGACATGAGTACCATCCAACAAGCTTCCAACCTCATCCAACTTTCTCTGCCACGAGTCAGACTCAACCTTTCTATCCTTCAACTTATCCTCATTCGGCCCCTCAGCATCCACAAACACATTCTCACCCAACGTCATCTCTCCCTCATACAAGTGTCGTCCAAGATCATCAAGCAAACCCGGCCCATGAGCAGTAGCATCCTTAGGATCCTTCCAAATCTTGACCTTGAACTTTTGGCCCTGACGGAAGAAGAACTCCTCCGCCAAGTCTTGGTTCCTCTCAGCGAAAGGCTGCATCGAATCCTCGGGGATTTCAGAAAGACCGAGGATCATACCCTCTGCGAGAAGCTCGGCGACGGATTGGCGATGGTTGATCTCGGTAGACAGACTTGGGTTGAAGGTGATGTTGTTGGCTGCGAGGGAAATGTTGGGTGATTTGACGAGCATGTGTGAGCAGTGGATCTCCTTCTCGTTGCCGTAGAGGTAGAAGGGCATGACATCGGCGGGATAGTCAATCTCGCGATGGATGGAGTTGAGAGGGCGGCTCTTGACTACTGAGTTGAGAGTGATGGTTCCATCTCTCTGATGGTATTTCCTGCGAGGCATTAGTAGACTGGCCAAAGTGGGATCTCAAAGATACTACTTACTTGGTTCCCTTCTCGTACATGATGACATCCAAGCTACCAAGTACCTCGACAACATCCTCAATAAACACCTTCTCAGTCGACTCAAGCATCACAATACTATCCTGGTTACCCCCAGTAAGCTCCTTGTGAAAATCCCTCAAGGTACTATCAAGAGTCGCGGACAGGATAATCTGCTGCCGTTTTGTCGCGCTGTGGAACGAAGCCTGGAACGACAGGAATACCTCAGAAGAACCAGGTGTGCCCTGCACAAGGAACTGGACCTTCTTCTGACCAGGGTCGTTCCTCTTCCGAACTTTGTCAACCTCATCGCGAATGACTTCCTCAAACTCGCGCATCAACTTGTCAATGAAGTTCTGACGAGTCGGGAATGGACTCATAACTACGTTTCGAATAACGAAAAGACTTTGGTTAGACTTTCCAACTCCCATTCTCTCCATGAACTTATGAGCGCAAGACCCATAGTCCTCATGGAGAAACTGTGTTGATGTCAGGAAGATGGGGATCTCGGTAGGATCCGTGTTAGCAGAAGTGATGGAAAGTCTATCAACGACTCTTTTCATGAGATAGTTTGCCTCTTCAAGATCAGTGTTCAGATTACCGTCTTTGTCTTTCCAGTTGAGAGCAAAGCAGTTGATGTTGGTGTCTGAACCGAGATCTCGAATGATCTTCATGGCTTCTTTGGAGGCGAAGATGTCCTTGTCTTTCTTGCCGATGATGAGATCGCGGATCTTGTCGCGTTGCTTTTCGACAGGCTTGGAGAGAAATCCTCGACTACCGTTGTTCTCTGCCGCGAGCATGTTGAAGGGGACGCAGATGAAGTCGTCGTTGATCATGGTCGCGTAATGAGCTGAGAGCTAGGAGATCTTAGTACACAAGTAATGGTAGAAGGAGTTCAGAGGCTTACTCTGGCGCTTGTAAAGGTTGCTTCGCCGAGTAACTTGCCATAGCCATGATGGTTGAGGCCAATGGTTGAGTTGGAGAACCATGCTGACATTGCTGAAGCACCGGGTTTACTAGAAGGCGACTTAGTCGTTGTGAGATACTGGAACTGATGAGCAACTTACCTGCCCTCAACGCCATAGACACCAATATTCTCCGCAGAGCCCTGCGAGAGATACGGGCCAGACCATGTGACCAGATGTCTCATCCTTCCATCTTTGTAGACCAAGCTCCCAGCAGGATACGGGATATATCCAGCCTTATGCGGATCAACAGTAATCGAGTCCGCCTCAGCCATAGCCTTGATGTCCTCAACAGTCTTGGGATCGAGGTACCACTCAGGCTCAGGCTTAGAGGAACCCTGGTCCTCAACGCTGTAGCGTCGGTCGGGATTCACCATGGTGGCAAAATAGCCTCCCCAAGCTGCATCAGCATGAACGAGGAACGATAGGCCATGCTCCTCTTGGAACTTCTTACGAAGGCGGAGGATGTCGGTGAGTCTGTCGACTGCGCCCTCTTCAGTGGATCCGATGATTGCTACGACTGCGAAGACGGCTGTTTCGGTCTTGACGCATTCTTCGAGATGTTTCTCAAGGACCTTAATGTCGATCTGCGCAGCGTTATTGACGTCGACGCCGATCACGTTGCCCGAGCCAAGGCCGGCAATGGCTATGAGTGCACTGGTCAGTACCTGTTGATCGTTGAATACAGCGGGGAGATAACTAACCAACTCCTTTTGGCCAAGAATAGTGACGCGTCTTGCTGACGAAATACTTGATCGGGTTCTTGACATGGAACTCTCTCTCAAGTACCTCGCGCCCAATGGTCTGGATGTTGAACTCATTGAGGGCGCTCTCGAGGAACTTGCTGGTAATACCAAATTGCTTGTTCAGCTCATTGGGAAGATCAAGAATAACCTCGGAGCGGAGGTTCAGCAAATCCCATCCTTGAAGATCCTTGAAGAGTGTTTTCTTGGATGCGTGAAAACACCGAGTGGCGTAGAACTTGTCTCCAATGAACTGAAGTTTTCCACGCCGTAATGCAAGGCAGAGACTAAGTGGATAAAACTTGAGGTTTCGAGCTACCCTTGTTAGTATCCATTTCACCACGACTAGGATGAGAATACGTACCAACCCAGATAGACTCAAGATTAGCAATCGTCCCATCACAAGTAATATGACCCCAGGAAACCGGAGATTTCTGCGCATCCGTATTGTACCCGAAAAGCTTACACAACTGCTGCCCAACCCGAAGTTCAACAAGCGTCGTCATCGGACTAGCCTCGAGCGCGACATTGTTCGGGTTATACAGCATGGTCATGAAGTACCCGAGGAGTGACGACATGGTCAGGTCAGTGCACATGTGCGCTTCATAGCGGGGTGACCAGAAGGGGGCTGAGTGTTCGCCAAGAAGTTGTGCGACCTTTTCGGTGGCGAGGCGGAGATCGGATCTGGCTTTGAGGAAGACAGGGGACCGGCGGTATTCTTTGGAGATGAAGGCCTGTGGAGGTTAGCGAGAATGGGAAACAGGGAGGGAAAGGACGGACTTGATCTTCGGGATGGTAGGCTTGACGAGCGGCGAGGAGTTCATCGAGAATAGTGTTGATGTTGGCTCTGAAGTCGGGAAGGTTAGAGCCCTTGGGCCCGATGAAGTATGCGTGGACAGCATCGAACTCCTTGTCCCGGATATCGTCGTTTTCCTTAGGCATGGTGATTTATTTGTTGAAGCTGTTAATCTAGTGATGTTAGAAGAGAGTCGTTGAGCCTAGAGAATGAGATTTCTTCCCACGAGCTTATGTATTCTTCGGGCTTACATCTTCATTGATGGACTGACGTATGCCTTCTCTCCCTTGATGATTGATGAACAAGATCAACATCTAGTACGTAAAATATTGTCTCATCACTTGCCATGGAATGCTGCAAGACTGGGTAGTGGAGTTCGATATGCAGCATGTCTTCACGAAAACTGAGACCTGCAGGCCGGAACGAAACCGGCCGGCGGGAATCGCAGCAAGGGATCCTCAAAGACAGCATTCATGTGAAGTCATTGAGGTCATGATGCATGCCACATTACAAAGACGGGACTGGCCAATTGAAGCATAGGCAGTACAACGCCGCAGGAACTGGAGAACATTCTACCAAATCTATCCTGCTTCCGAGAGACGCAAGTACCCTAACTACTAAAGCGAAATATCAGGTTCTAGGGCACTTATGAACAGCAAGGTTTTGACAGCAACAGTGCATCGGGACCCAGTTCTGTCAGTCTAGCGAGTGACAGCAGAGCTGTGGCTTTCGATAGTTCCGAGCCGATCAGTCCCATGCAGGAAGGTGATCTCCAGGGTGCCGCGGCTTCAGCCGCCCGCTATGACCCGTGTCTCAGATTCGACCAACCACGACACCCGTCAAGATGCAGCTATGTCGAATTCGGCGCCAAGACAGGGAGGCTCTTGGTGAGACAACAGCTGAGGCCCTGTAGTCAATCGTCATGACTGCATCTGTATCACGGTTTGCCTCGGCGGTGGGCAATCATGGCATTCCACGTCAAAGTGGTCGGTATCGAGGGAGGCAATGTGGATTTTCTGCAGCGGTGTTGAGCTCGGCGCTGGATTTGATGTAGCCGAGATGGCTTTGAGAAACGTCCAGAGATCTAGGTGCCAGCGATGCTGCCTAATGGCACATGATCTGTCTGATGACACCAAGAATAGTCAGAATGGCAGTTGCAAGAAAGCTACCGTCACGAAATTGACGGCGGCAAGGACTAACATCTTGAAAGCGAAATGCTTAATCTTTTAGAGCTTCTCAGTATCACACATTATCCCTAGGAATCGTAAAAGAAAAGTCCCTTCCAAAGACAGCCTCCCCATTCTCAAAAGCATCAAGACGAGCAGTAATGGTCATATCAGTTTTAGTCATCTTCATCTTTGTCCAGCCCTTCGTCTTGATAACGATATCATCTCTCTCAAAATCCCTCTCAAATCGCTGCTCAACCTCCGCTGACAACGGATCATCTGGCTTCATACTTGATTTCAAGCCTGTCCACCATCCATATTTCCAACCTGTTTCGTTGACTTCCCACATACCATCGTCCCAGTCAACGCAAAGTGCAGTCTCGTCAGTGTCCCAATCGTTTGTAACGTAGTTTCTATGCTTAGCTGGTCGGAGTTCAGTTTGTGAGAGGGTTCCGTTGACGGCTGGTTTAAAAGGTTTGAGGTGAGAGTCTTGTGGATTATCGCCCCGCTCTGGGAGATCAAGAGTGCTGTGGGCACAGTCGATGCTGAGGGTCGTGACTTCAGGAGATGGCCAGACCAAGGGGAAGTAAGTAGAAGACAACGCAAGGCGAAGGCGACTTCCAGCACCGATTCGCTGCCCAAAGTGATTCAGTTTCAGTGTAACCTCGTAGAACTTCCCAGGCTCTAGAGGCCGCACATCTTCGTGGCCGTGGCGATGTGTCAAGTTGAGTACGCCATGAGATACCTTTGTAGCAGCGCCTTTGGGTAGTACCTCCGACAAGGTTGCTGCTACGAGAGCATTTGCTTTATCGCTCGCAATGCGCAGTTTCAACAGCGGAGCCCCAAGAAAGTCTAAGGGCTCGGTTAGAGGTTTTGAGTCAAACAAGAGACTTCCTCCAGCTTCAAGACGTTGATCCCCTGGCCCTTCCCCTTCGACGCCAAAGATCAGCCATCTACCACCAGCAAAACCGACTGTTTGAGGGGAGCAGATCTCAAGTTTCTCATCGCTGTTTGAGCTCCCGGTTGTTAATTGACCAGACGAGAGACCCAACCTCAGAAAAGGGGGCTTCGAATCAGACCAGCTATCTTCCGCCACCCAGCGGCCTGGGCGATCCTCCATGTATGGCGCTGGAGGCGTCGGATCTTGAAGATAGCATCGCAGCATAGGTTCATGCATAATCCCCGTCTCGCTTCCTTTCAACCACTTATCCCACCATCTAATGGACTCTTGCAGAAAGCCAATCTGCGGTCCTGGGTACCCAAAGTTAGGATATTTGTGACCCCAAGGACCAACAAGGCCCTTTCTAGGCACCTTCAGATTCTCCAACATCCTGAAGATCGTGTTGGTATAAGGATCCATCCATCCGCCGACGAGATAAACTGGACATTGTATGGAATTGTAGTCTTCGCCAATAGACGCATGTTTCCAGAAATCGTCGCGTCGCTGATGCTGATGCCATTCTTCTGCGAAAAGGCCACCTGATTCAAGTCGCTTTAGCCAGAGGTCCCGCCACTGATCACCAACCAGTGCTGGATCAGGAGGAGATGAGTTAATGGAGAACATAGACGCAGCCCAGGTCAGATTTTCTGTCAAGATACAACCGCCCATGTAATGAATATCGTCATCATAGCGCATATCTGTCGAACAGATAGAAATGACAGCTTTGAGCTCTGGCGGCCGACAAGCCGCAACCTGTAGCCCATTGAAGCCGCCCCACGAAATACCAATCATTCCTATCGACCCCGTGCACCATTGTTGGGCAGCGATCCATTTAAGAATCTCCAGAGCATCGTCTTGCTCCTGCGGTAGATATTCTCCTCGAAGGATACCTTGAGAGTCACCTGTTCCTCGCATGTCAACGCGGACACAGGCATAACCATGAGCTGCAACGTATGGGTGGTTCATGGCATCGCGAACGGCAGTCATATCTCGCTTTCGGTAGGGTAAGTATTCGAGGATTGCTGGGACAGGGTGAGACTTGGCGTTTTTGGGTAGCCATATCATGGCTGATAAGACGGTTCCATCACTCAAGGTGATGGGCTCATGATAGATGATGTCAATCGCCGGGAGTTGCATTTTCGATGGCCTTGATAGATTTGAAGGCTTCAGGAGTTCCAACTGTCGCGGTAATTGGCACTCTTGTGTTTACCTCGCTGGTTTCCAATGACTATGAAGAACAGACTCAATGTCGAGAATGAGTAAATCGAGAAGAGTTTACCCCAATTGGCAAATTAGCTTACTCCTCTAGGAAGGCAATCTAATCACCGTCGGCCAACCACCTAAATATCTCAAAGGACAGAAAGTTATCTACTACGCCGAGCGGCCGAGTTCCGGGTTACATCGCGACCGAATATCATGTTATTCCCCGCTCTTCAAACGAACCCCGCCCCCATTGATGCAGATCACGACTCCATACGGATTGATAGTGATTCTTATCGCTGAACCAAGGATAGAATTACCCTTCTGAGCATCGCTTTATCTTGAAATTACAGGCCCTTCGGTTGCACTTTTAATACCCGGGCAGAGTTCGCCGATGAGATATTATATAGCAAGACATTGCTTGAACGCATAAAACCGGCTTATAGAACTATTACCGTCGGATAAGACGGTATTTAGCTTGGTTCTTTATTTCCAGGTCTCAGATAAGATCGCTGGGCATAATATTTCGTGTTAAATTAAAGGTGACCAAGGTATCCGAGCTTTGTCGATCTCTTGATCGTATGTGATACTTTTCTCTCTCGCCATCCCATGCCAAAGAATAGTACCCTCTCACTTTGTTTACAATATGTCAGCTCTTGAGATTACTTCCGCAACGGCGGGTCATGAGCTTGATGACACGAAGAAGGTCAAGGATGAAGATATTCAAGATGTCGAGATCGGAGATGTCAGGAAGCCAGACCTGTACAGCAAGGTCTCTGTTTATTTAACCATGGTCTTCTCGGGCCTTGCCCTTGGATCAGATGGCTAGTAAGCATAACCACCCCATGGTGCTCTTCTCCATGCAGGCTCTGACAAGTTTCAAGCAATGCTGCAGTGATTGGTAACCTCGAACTCCTCTTCGCAACCCTCTACCCCGAAGCCCTAACATCAACAATGCGATCCCGTCTCTCCAACGCCTTCCTCATCGGCATGATTGTCGGCATGATAGGTTTCGGCGTGGTAGTAGACCAACTGGGTCGTAAAACCGGCGCCGTCATGACAACACTGATCCTCCTTCTTGGCATCGCAATGAGCGCCGGAGCCAGCGGCTTAACACCAACGGGTCTGATGTGGATGCTCGTAATTGCTCGTGGAGTAGCTGGCGTAGGTGCCGGAGGAGAGTATCCCGTTTCAGGTGCTGGAGCAATGGAGGCCTCTGATGAAGACGGCCAGTTTCGCAAGTCGAGAGGTTTCATGTTTGCCATGGTAGCTGATCTCTCAGCTGGTTTGGGATATACTTTCGGTGCGCTCGTTCCACTGCTCTTACTACTTTGTGTGCATCAGAGAACGGATCGATATGAGACTGTTTGGAGAGTTGCACTTGCGCTGGGCGCAGTCCCGCCACTGTCTATCTTTTGGTTCCGATTGAGGATGAGAGTCTCTACGGCGTATCGAAACTCAGCTCTTCGAAAACAAAGGACACCGTATGTCCTGATCTTCAAGAAGTATTGGAGACGCATTATTGGTGCTGCTCTGAGTTGGTTCTTGTATAACTGGATCTCGATTCCCTTTGGCATCTTCAGCTCCGTCATTATTTCAAGAGTCAATGCTTCGAACTCACTTGTCCAGAATCTTGGTTGGGGAGCGTTGATTAATAGTTTCTACCTGCCTGGTCCATTTATTGGCGGATACCTCTCGGATAAGATTGGGAGGAGAAAGACTATGGCTTTGGGATACACGCTTCAAGCTGTTCTCGGATTCGTGCTTGGTGGTGCAAATGAGCAGATTCAAAAGGTCTTCCCATTATTCGTTGTTCTATATGGTATCTTCCTCACTCTAGGTGAGGTCGGTCCTGGAAGGTTAGTGCTAGCTTGGTCCACCATCTCAGACCCACCGAGCTAATATCATCGTAGCACTGTTGTCATCGTGGCAACTGAGCCATTTCCAACTTCGGTTCGAGGTCATGCTCTTGGCTTCATCTCCGCATGGTCAAAGGCTGGTGCTGCCATCGGCACTCAGGTAAGTCATCCCCTGGTTTCTTGTTTTATTCAGATGCCAACTTATTCAGGTTTTCACCGCCATCCTCAGCTCATACACCGATACCGTCAAGGGCAATCAGGTTGTGTTCTTGATCGGCTCGGCCTTCGCAGTTCTGGGCGCACTAAATGCATGGTTCGTTGTCCAAGATGGCGAGAAGCATCTCGAAAAGGAGGATAAGATCTGGAAAGACTATCTGCTTGAGCATGGATGGGATGCCAGTTGGGGTGACCATCAGACACAAGATCCTGTCGGAACATTGAAGGATGAGCTAAAGCCAACATCTTGATTTGAGGAAATCGATAGCTTATGGTAGTAGTGGTGTTTCCCCTCTCGACATCCTCCAATAATTCGTCGAGTTAACCAATCCCTGGCAATTCATAATCGTCCACCCCCACTTTAGCAAGAAGTCTGGTGTTATCTCCCAACTGTCTATCAGATGAGGTTCTCCCCATAGAATAAGTCCTGACCCTGCAGAAACAGCGTCCTGGTCACCCGCAAGATTTCTCCTATTAGTAGACATTGGCAGAATCGGTGCCTTGAACAGGTCCAAGTTAATCAAAGTCCCAACTAAATCTCTCAGAAAGTCAACATGGCTAAAATTGAACTCATGGCTGATGAGATTCTCCCGCATTATCGGACAAGGAAGACAATCGATCCAAGAAAAGTGGTTGAGGCTCATCTGGACTTGCGTTGGGGCCAACGAGCCACGGTATTCTGGTGTCTTGGGTAGTATGGAAGAATATCTTGGAAAAGCGAAACTTGTGTCGATCGAGGGACCTGGCGCACAATATGGCACTGTCAAGCTATCCACCATGAATTTGTTCTTCCAGAGGCCACGAAATACATTATACTTGACTAGATGAATCAGATGATCGATTGGGAGCGGGAACCATAGCTCTTGGTTCCGCGTCGCCACGCTACTGCTTTCTTCTGTTCTGGTTTGCGCTGTCGTGTCTGGGGCTGCAGTAGACCCTTTCGGAGGTCTCGGAGGTCTCGGAGGTCTAGTTGCACCGAACTCATCAAGCCTCCAGCGATTGACTTGATAATTGTATCGCGCGTCTCTGGTTTTCGACTTGTCGCCTGTCACTTTACGTAACCCTGGTATACCTAGTCAGCTTCATGAGCTTTAAGTCCTCTGATGGCGTTTAGAGCATATGAAACAGTAAGAGTGAAGGAATTAACGCTTATATCAATTAATCCAAGTGGAATACGTACTGGAAGCTCTTTTATAAAGTCGATTCTGGACTTTCTTTCTTTGTTTGGCCTCTTCATCTGATGCATCACGGAGTACAGACTTCGACCGTGTGGCACCACCAGGCGAATCGATTTTCACCGCTGGAGCTGGCATATTCAATTTAGCGTACGCGTCAGTCTCATCAGAGAGGCCTGAGTTAGGTTCGAAAAGGAATCGAAGGGTTACAGGAGCAAACTCGCGCGTTGGGGAGTTTGTCATCAACATTCGTTGATTATCTCAGGCTATACCGAAAGAGGCAAAATGGTCAGGTTCACGACACCAGAAGGAGTTTGGAGCTAGGCTCAGATTGGTAAAATGGTCAGGTCTTGTAAGATGAACTACGCAAAGCAAGAGACATGTTTGTCGACAATAGAAGTATGAATTGTTATAAAGAGACCATTTAATGCCATAATCGTTTCCATAATCATCAGGCTCATGCTGCATAGGTTGACTCATTATCATCATGTCCTCAGTCCTTGGCTTCCTCCGCCGTAATTGGCAGGCCTACTCTCCCCCGGAACCACCAAAGAACACCAACCCTATCAAGTTCGGAATTCTTGGTGCAGCAAATATTGCGTAACTAGCCATGTTATTTCGAGATTCTAGTCAGTAATACTGACGGTTTACAAGTGCAAACGCTTTGATCGCTCCAGCGAAATCTCACCCGGATGTTAAGATCCATGCTGTAGCGGCTCGTCAGAAACATAAGGCCAAGGCATATGCCAAAAAGCATAATATTCCTCACGCGTTCGACAGCTACCAAGTTACACATTCACAGTAAACTATTATTCTTTATCCAGCTAACTTTGTCTACGTAGCAATCCTCGATGACCCCTCCATCGATGCTGTATATATCCCCCTTGTCGCTGGCTTACACTACGAATGGGCAATCAAAGCAATCGCTAAAGGAAAGCATGTACTACTTGAAAAGCCAGCCACAGTCAATGCAGCCGAGGCGGAGATGCTATTCCGGTCGCCACTGCTACGACAGCCCAATGCACCTGTTCTTCTCGAAGCAATGCACTTTCGCTTCCAGCCGAGTTGGCAATACTTCCTCAGCTTGGTTGACCATGAGAACATACAAACTGTCGACTCTGTCGCAGAGTTACCATCGTATATCATACCCAAGGGAAACTCACAGCTCGAGTATAACTTAGGTGGCGGGACTATGCTTCATCTGGGCACATATCCTATGTATGCACTGCGTCAGATCATGGGTGATGAGCCTAAGGAATGTGTTACGTGCAGAATTAGGAGTACTCCTCCTCCCGTCGATCTCTCCGACGAATCTACTGAGGTCCGTTTTCGCTTTCATGGTGGACGGATTGGAAATGCTGTAATCAATGCGCGAGCATCAGTTACCACTTTGCCAACATTCAACATATTGGTGTGTCATAAGGAAATCAAGTTGGAGGACATGACACTTCCGAAAGGACAGACTAAGTGGACGCGCAGGAAGCTAAGCATCAGCAACTTCCTTATATCATCCTTTTGGCACCGCATTGATATCGTGGACGAGTATACCATTCGGGACGAGACGAATGAGAAAGACTTGAAGAAATGGACAGTCAAGCAGTCCAAGAAGGTCTATACGTTTAAAGACGCCAATGTCGACCAGCCGAGTGAGCCATTTTGGTCATCATTTCGCCATCAGCTGGAGCAGTTCGTGAATCGTGTTCGCGGAAAACAGGGATCTGGACTCTGGGTTGACCAAGAGGACAGCATTGCACAGGCGAGAATGATCGACATGGCTTATGAGAAATCTGGACTGCCGTTGCGGCCAACAAGCAAGTTTAGACTGGAAATATCTACGGGCAATTTATTGGGTTGAAGTTTTTGGCGGTGAAGGCGGCTTGCTCGGGCTTGAGCTGAACCAGTCTTGGAGACTTGGAATGCTCACAGCAGCCACCTTAGACACAAACGGAGCAACGGCTCCGCCAACGATGTCTCAGAAATGTCTTGCGAGATATGCTTAACCCTAAATGGTGAGGCTGAATCACCGAATAAGTGCGTGGGTATTTATTTCGCCCTATTAACTGATTAAACTTGTTTATGATTAAGAAAATTTATCCCTATTATGTTCCCTGCATCATGCACTCCAAAAAGGACGATCGCTCCCCTACCTGAGTCCACTCCCTGTTGCCCGTAAGCTGTTCGTCTTCCGGACAAGCCGTATTTACAAGCAACCATCACCGGCAATTGTAACTTGCTGCAAAGTCGAACGCAAATCTGTACGGCATTTTCCTCATCCATAAGCCAACGTGACATAGAGCCAAAGCAGTTGTAACGTCACAGGGTAGCAAAAAAGGCTAAATCTGGGGGAGCGGGTAAGCCCGAGACCCTTGACCCCTGACACGGTGGATGCCGATGTTCCGAAATAAACGATCTACTCCCCCAGCCACGGCGTCATTAATTGGAACGTAGTATTCAGAAATAGCCCTATTCTGAGCAAGTTTCCCACGCATCGGGACAAGCCTTTTCGATAATCTACGGCGTGGAATGATCGGTGAACAATACGAACAATCACTTAAAGTCCCCCGTGGTTTGCCTGCAAGGGGACTAGGCTCTTGGCCAAAAATAGCTACGGTTCTAACTGGTTGTCTCACGGGAAATACGAGATGTACCTAACCACTTCTGGGTGGATCATGCTATAGCTCCATACAAGATTCTGGTCTTTGGCCACGTGAAGGCTTAACTTGGGGATTTAGCGTGGTAATTCAGGGTCGTAGCTCGGGCGGAGCGGCACCATGGCTTGAATGGACCCTTCGAGATTCTCATGGCTGATCTGTCATGCCATGGACTTCAGAGCCTCAAACTCGTATACTGCGAAAGGTCATATAATTGTCTCATGATTGAAATGTTACATTCCGTGAGAGAAAAAAGTATATAAGGAGGACGATGCACTGCTGGTAAATTGTTTTCTCATCAGCTTCAACTCAATCACTCTTCACTCGCTTCAATCACAATCGCTACCAACACTCAACTACCTTAAGAGTAAGCGATTTCAATCAAGTCTAGCTCCCAGACACTAACATCTTCCAGAACACCAAACAACCTCAACCATCATCATGCAGTTCTCTCTCGCCTGTCTCGCTACCATCCTGGCCACCAGCGTCTCCGCTGCCCCAGCTCCCGCCGTCAACATGATGGCCGCCAGCCCTCAATGGACCATCGAAAACATGCAGCGAAGCTGCGCCAAGGACGACAGCTCCTGCACCTGGAACTTCAAGATCGACACCCACAAGGGTGCTGCCACCGGCTGCAAGTACGTTGTCAAGGGCAGCAAGGCGTCTCAGCGCAACGGAGGACCGGTCAAGTGCGGTGACTTCACTATCACCTCTGGCTGGAGCGGCCAATTCGGCCCTGGAAACGGATTCACCACTTTCTCTGTTGTTTCTTCCAAGCGACAGATCGTCTGGCCTGCTTATACCGACAAGCAGGTTTCGAGCGGAAAGGTTGTTAAGCCTGATCAGTCATATACCCCTGCCAACCTTCCCAACTAAGCGATGGAGATCTTTGACACTAGTACATAGAGCATGGTTTAGATGTGGAGATTCATGTCATTATTCGCGATGTCTTGGATGTTCAATGTCAGTATAGTCATTAATACATAATATGCAAACATCGTTTGGAACAAAAGGAACTCAGTGACAGTTTTATTGTGCAGTGATACCGCAGAAAACAGTAACTTGAAGAAGCTAGTACAGGTCCGAGTTTCTGACTGACTTCTCTGTGGTGATTATAGGCTCTCAGACCTAGGTTTACCTCTGTGTGACATCACGAAGAATTTGCTCCCCCAACTTTAGATGTGGGAGAAGATCATGAAGACTTTCCATCTCCATCGGAAAATTGCTACATTTGACATCGAACCCAAACTGGCCTCTCCTCAACAAATTTCTCCAACTCCTTTCCACAGTTGAAGAGATCTCGCGGTCCTTGGTGCTCTGCCAAGTGATTTGACCCTGGTATCGGTCCAGCCTCACGTAGCGGAAAACGTCAGCTTGACCAGCTTCGTAATTCCAGATCTCCAGAATCTTGACAGCGTGCATCTTCTTTAATGCTTCTGCAGCATTGATAAAGAGATCCTCAGTAGTGTTATGGAAAGAAGATGTAAGTGCGAGAGTCTTCAATGCTTTGAACTCCGTTTCTCTGAGCCGATCAAAGAACGTTCGTGCATCGAAAGCATATGAAAATGCAATATGCTCAAGGCGATCCGCGGCGTGGAAGATTGAGTCCAGAAGGGTTTTGTTGGATCGTGGCAGTACCATTGCCCCAGCCCACTGGTGATATGCGGCATGGAATTCTTCAAAATAGGTCAACCGTTTTGTTGAATGTGGTACTAGAAACCCCGACCGCTGGAAAGCTACTATATGTCAATATCATAGAGGTTAGAAGTGGGAAAAAGAGAAATACATACTGAAATCCCATTTTCTGTCTTGACTAGGATTGCCATAACACCACCTCTCCAGGTGAATATATTCAACACAAGGAGTAGAGGAGATGATCTCATAGAGAGTTATTGGAGAGATGTTTGGATGGTATTTTCTTCGAATAACCAGCTCAGCGATAGCATCAACGTTAGGAAAACTCGTGGCCCCTCGTTGCGGCAAGGAAGTTCGGTCGAAGCTAAGAGGTTCTCTCCCTAGGTAATACTGACTAAGAATGCCCCAATATATGTGAGGATTCACATGGCGTAACGAAAGGTTCGCAAAAGGGTCGAGGCGATTGTGGCTGGAGCCGACTTGATCATCCAGCTGCATGAAACTCCTTGCTGTAGGAGAGATGATGCCCAGCTCCACTGTAACATGGTTTGTCTTCCATCTTGAGAGAATACGCCAAAGAGCGTGCACCGCTTTCGAAAACTGTACCTGGTCATCATGGCCACCATGGGGACAGTTATATAAGACCTCGAGAAGAATGTGCCTGACAAGTGGTTTCCGATAGGATCGAACATGACGCTTGAATGAGTTTAGATCGCGTGATGTGATTGTTATATGCTTAAATGTTTCCTTCTCAATGACAGTTTGCCACGTTTTGGATACACGAGCAAAAGTTGATAGGCGAAAATGAGGTTTCTCCGATTCCTTGTATGTCTTTATCAAAGACTCGATGATGTATAATTGGATATCGAGAGGGAGCCTCGTGCGAGGTGCTGTATCGTGCACAGCGAGTGTTGTGGGACAGCTCATGGTACCATGTACTGAGAGTATCGGGGTAAAAGGATGGGTATACTGAAAAGTGATGAATAAGAAAGAAGGCTGTTACTCTTGGATATCGAGTGGTTTTATACTAGAAAGGATTGATCGTTTGGAAGGAGAAAAGAAAAAGAAGCTGCAGGTGTTTGGTAGGATACTTCTCAAACACATTGCGTGAATTTATGCCTTAAGTGCTCTGTGGTGATATAAGCTCTCGGACACAAGTCTCAACTGCAAATAACACATCTGGCGCACATTGTGACCTATGCAGACTATTGGAGAATGCCTATGTATATATCCATGACACCTATAAAAGGCCTCCGAATAATCCCTTGGATGACTCAGATACACGTGTCATAATATCTTTCCTTGAGGGGAGATGTGCTATTCGCCGTTAAGATATATAACTGAGAGTCTATCATCACCCAACAGAACTTAGTTTTCTTGAGGGGGGCAAATATATCAGAAATCAACGTTTTATCAGCCAAGTTTTACGTGGTGATGATAACTCATAAGACCTTGGCCACAGACCTTTAATGCGCCGAGAGGGGAAAAAAAAATGAAACTAATGTTGTGACCTTTATGTGGCACGATGTCAAAAATGTGTTTGTAATTTGCAGCTGAGATCTACGGTTGAAAGCTTATGACTGTCATGCAGAACTAAGCTACCAGCGAACCAGACATCTGGATCACATGTCGCATAACAAGGCCCGTTTCCTGGATACATCACGCAGGATCTGCTCTTTTAGCATCAAATGCGGGAAAGTTTTGGTAAGCTTCATACGAAGGTCCTGGGGCAAATGATGCTCCTTGACCTCAAGTGTGCGGCTCTGCCTACCAGTCAAGACATTCTTCCAGGCGTTGCGTACGCATGCAGGGAGCCTATGATTCCCGCTGCTCGTCCAGGTAATCCGACCCTTGCCCTGGTCGAGCTTCTTGTAGCCGAAGATATGAGCTTCCCGTTCGGAAGATGCACCTCCCAGTCTTGATATCTCGCACTTCCATATTTCCAGCATCTCGAGCGCGGGCATTCTCTTGGCGGCTTCTGCAGCAGTTATCAGGAGCGCATGGTCAGAAACTCCGTCGAAATGATAGGTCAGTGCCAGGGTTTTGAGCTCTTTAAACTCTACTTCCGCTTTTTTGCAGTGATCAAAGAAGTCGCTTGCGCTGATAGCATAAGACACGGCGATATGTTCAAGATGGTCCGAGGCTTGCGAGATGTGGTCCAGTAGCTCCGTATTTGGTGCTCCGAGATTCATTTCGGGGTACTGACTAACGCTGTGGAAATAGGAAAGTTGTTTCACTGAAGGTGGTAACGTAAACGGTGTCGAGAAAGCTGTGAAGTGTTGGCATAAAGAAAACTAAGAGCTGAGGAGGGAAATACATACCACGATTACTGCAGATGCCAAATCCACTCCCCCATTCCTCTATGTGTATAGACTTAATAGCGGTAGTGGACATAATTACGCCAGAGAAGAAATCTGGCAAGATAGTCCAGTCGACGGACCCGGGCCAGGTGAGGCCTCCACTGACTCTGAGGATGATGGATTTGACAAAGGGTCGCCGCTCTGAGTGGACATACTTTTGGAAGACGGCAAGGTCAGCTACAGTTAGTCTCAAGTCCTGAAAATTATGCTCCTCCACCAAGCGTTGCCATGTTCTGGAGACAGTGGCCAAGTGTGCCAGTCGTTTGCTGGGGTGCTGGGCGTTCTTATAGAGCTCGATTAGGTCATTGACTATACCGACCTGGACGTCGAAATGTAGACTTGTGTGTGATGTTGGGATCCACAAGGCTGTTGTATCTGGAAGGGATTCCATGGCATTGATGTTGTCTCGCAGGATCCTTGATTTTCCTGGTGCTGAGTTGGATCGTCTTGGGGGACGGATCAGAGGCACCTTCTTATACCCCGTGACGGCGGGCGATTGAGTCATCTTTTAGGTTTTTATAATATCAGTTTTATACTATAGTAATTGGTTGGACATTTTGGTATAATGTCTAAGTTGTGAGCCAGATGTCATTTGCAGTTGAGACTTGTGGCCGAGAGCTTATATCACCACAGAGAACTTAAATGCAGTGATAGCCGATGGGGGTTGGATCATGGAAGTACGTCAGAGTTGAGAATAATGGTGAAGGACGGAATTAAATTTTGCTGGACCATCGTCTGGCTTTATAGCCCGCATGGGATGGTTCAGAAAACTTGGATGTTCAAACACGTAGTCCACGTGCACATAGTAAAGTTCCTGCTTGAAGTGCTCAAGGGTTTTGATGTGAACTTTGCATACTCAGCGAGTGCATTCTTAGAGGAAGTTGTGATGAAATCATGGAGTAAAACTCGAGTTCACATCCGTCAGCCAATTGAAAGTCCCCCAGGAGGCCTGTGGCACTGGATGGCTAGAGGATAGCTTCTGGAACCCCCTCACCTCTGGGCTACTTAGATCAAGACCATAAAGATCCATTCGCTTCCCCATTTCATATGCTGATAAAAGAAGATCCTGGCCTAACTTACCCTTTCCATGAGAGAAGCACCCTAAGCTAAAGATGTTGATGGCTGCTAGGGTCGTCAGACTATCCGATAACTTCTCCACACGGTATAGTCGCTCCGAGTCATTGAAGAAGCTGTGTGCGAGAGTGGCTGCTCTATCATCGGACGCGGTGTGAGCAAACTGCTTATATGTTAGTAAGGGAAAACAAAGAGACAAGAGAGTAATCTTTTAAGCTTACGCAAGCGAGGTACAGTATTGAGCTAACGAGAAAAGCAGAGCAGAAAGTCGGGTTATGCTGTACCAGATCTGTAAGGAACAAATCTTTGTCGATGAATCCAACAACAGAGTTGTCTGTCTCGAGAAACGTGGAGATGAGCGTCGACGCAGATCTGTTGCTTATCGGCACGCGTGTCCAGTACGAGACGGAAAGCTCGTTCAGACGAAGATCGCAGTGCTCTTTGGGACGAGCTTCATTGAGCAGGATAAGATCTGGTTTCCCGTCTTGGGAGAGCGCTAAGAGGCCTAGGATAGCATCCTTTGGAGAAGTAGGCGTATTGATGGGGGGTGAAGGAAGGGAATGGGGAGGCATTGAAGCGTGAGTAGGTAGCACGATGGGGTCGACTGCTGCAGAAGAAGCAATCGGGTTTCTGGGCAAAATGCCACGTATCGTCGTCCATTCCGATGGCCGTTGTCTTGCAAGTAAATTTGGCGACGGGGATCTCTTGCGCTTTCCGAGGTCTCGAGCGTGCTCAATGACCGTTCCGAAATCATCACCAGCCTGTATCCTCCGCAATATCTCCTGATTCGTTCCTCCACCTGGCTTCCTCAAACTCTGAAACAAAGCTCTAAAGCTTCTATTCTCATCCTCCAACTCTTTAACCCTCTTTTTAAGTTGGTTTGAGTGTGTTTCGCGGTCATTAGCAATGTCAGCGTAGTGGCATTCGCCTCCACGGCGCTGACACGCAGCACATGTCGGACACTCGCCTGTGCACTACATATAGTAAGCATAACTTCACCGACTCGCGGAGACGGACGTACCCTGACTTTCCGACTCCTGCACGCGTCGCAAGCTACTGCAACAGCGCGTCTTTTGGGTGCGGGAGTAGGGACTGCTTCGTTTGATAGACTGGTTGGAGCGCGGGGTAAAAGTGCAGGATAGTTCATGGTAGGATCGCAGTGATTACTCGATAACTTAATGCACGGACTTATTGTGTGCTTGGTAGGGTTTCATGGATGGATTTGTTCGTGTTGAAGGGGGATTTGCAAATTGTTGCGTCATGGGGAGATGGGTTTGTTAATGTCGATCAGGGGCGGTACCGCGGAGTGACTTCCGGGTCTGCTGATTGGTTGTATATTTTCGCTAGATTTCTCGCCACAAGACGATATCACCGGGGCGGATCAACGATATATCCATTTCAAGCTTGTTTTATGCGTTGAAGTACCTGGTATAAAGATTGCTAAAGCGGCGGCGCTACAGAATTACACACAAGCCGCAGCTACATAATATCATCTCCGCCTCCCCTTCATCAGGCGACCGTCTAAATTGAATCCTCACTTTATCCCAGATCCTCAACCACGACGCAATAATTACCAATTTACACTGCTCATCTAACTCCTTCACCATCTCTAAATCCGTAAACTCAAATCTCGTAGGTTTATCCGAGCCCATATTCAAAGTACCTATCGCCAGCACTTCAAGCCTCGAACCCATGTACAATTTCCATCCTTCGCCATCACCAAGATTCCTCCACTCAAAACCCGTTCGCTGTGGGGTGTTGACGTTGAATGAATGTGTTGCGTTTCTATCGCCCAAGAGGCGGTAGTACATGGTGATATTTGAAGGAGGAGATGTGTTGGTGAATTCTAGCTCAGCGCCGTGGCGGGAGTATTTTACTGTTGCTAGTGGCGATGCGTTTTCATCTGTGCGAAGGAGAAGGTTTACTCTGGCTTCGAAATCGTCTTCTGTGTTTTTGTATGTGCATGCGATTGAGAGCGGCGTGCTGCCGGAGTTGCCGCGTATGTTAAATTTAACCTCCGAATCGCCTTGCTTATGGATGGTGAAAGATGTTGGCATGACAAAACCCTCATCTTGGTTTGAGGTTGAGTAGCCTGGAGGAGGGGGGAGGACCTCCAAACCGACTTCATCTTGACCCATGGCGACGATGTAATTTGAGCCTGTGTAGTGGAACAGTAAATCCGAGTTAAGGTAGTGCTGAGTCTTGGCTTTATATAGTGCGGCTGAGGTCATGAGTATATACAAATGGACGTTTGTGGTTGCGCCACTGGGTAATTTCTTTGTGTCGTAGTGCCCACGTGTTTCAATCTCTTCGTTTCGTAGGTCGCTGACGCCTAGGATCACCAGATAGGCTTTCAGCTTAGGTCACAGAGCCAACTGGTGCCACTTCGAGCTTAGCGTGTTCAGAGCGCCTCTGGCTAGGTGAATGTCGTATAAATAAGCATAACTTAAGCTTAAGTTCAGCCGTTGAAGTTCCTCTAAAACCTTATGAAAAGTCGTTAGAAGAGGGATTTATATCATGTTCTGCTGTCTTTGTCGGGGTTCGACGGAGATACGACAGAGGTTAGCGTACATCACCCGCCAATAACCAATTTTGAACCTATTGTTGGACGCCTGGAGATTCAATGGTACATCAGAGGCCACTAGGTAGACATGGCGAGTCTTGTCATCGCTGCGGTGACTGTTGCTGTAGGCGCATAAACGACAGTTGCTTTTTACCTGTCAATTATAGGCAGGCCCTCGGCTCGTGGGTGGCGTTTCTTGAAGAATGCCCAGCATTCCATACACGGCGTTTGACAGCCGACTTATCCATTAGCTTCCCGCCCTATATAGTCACTAGCCAATCACCTCAACAAACTTCATATCTACCTTCAACAGTTCCCCAGAGACTAAGAGCTATCAATAGCGCCTAAGCACTGTTTATAGTTTCAACTTATTGACGGCGCAACAACGATTTACATCAGAGAGACTAAGGGGATATCCTGCTACGTTTGCTATCTACAGAATTACAGATAAGATCTAATAATGACGCTTCCCAGAGAGGAGGCTAGCCAAACACCTGTCAGAGTCTCTAGCGATGGAAGGCAGAAATCGTGTGAGCTCAGTCCGATAAATCCGATCCAGAACAGCCATTGCGCAAGCCAGAGGAAAGGTACTCCCATGGCAATGGCCATGTGAAGTCGTGAATGACGTCTCATAGACGAATCAAGAGACTCGACTTCGGCTGGAAGGGTACCGTAGTTGTGACCTTCAGATCGCGTATGCGACTTTGGTAACAGAAGTTCCTCCTCCTTTGGCCTCGCCCACTCCTTTGCATCCGCGCCCGATACACCATCTTCTTTCTCGCTAAGCTTGCCGCGAGTTCGTACCATCCGGATGACTGGCACAGCCATCATCGCCACAACGAACAGCCATACAAGTGCACCGCCAAACATGAGTGCCGCAAATGGTGATCTTGTCGCCCCTGACAAAGCTCCAAAGTAAAGGTCGTGAATGCGACCATAGTTCACTGTCAAACACATGTGGTAGAATGACAAGGCTTGGAGGATCGCTTCTGCAAACATTGCAGACATTGAGGAGGTCATGTCCTGGAATCCTGAGTTCTTGGTGCCGTGGGCCGATATAGGAAGCCAAACGAGGCGAGGGAGTGAACACCAAAGCAACATGAGCTGGATGGCAGGAACGTCCTCGTAGCCAGGGGTGGCCTGAATGATAGTTGCGTTGGCCAAATTGGCGAGCAGGTGAATGCACCCGAGAAGAATTCCTCCCAAGATCCATCTTACAGGATTGTAGAACAGCAGACGGGAATTGCTGCTGTCACTCTGTCGTGCCTTGTTGGCGTGTAGTATAGCAAAGAATGTTACCAAGTTGACCAAGCCGATACTGATCAGCTTCCATTCATTAGAAGGGCATTTGGCATCGTCTTCTGGAAATCTGGGGTAAATCCTCCATCGCCATGGGATCATATCACGGGGCTGAAGGCGCGCCGGCTCGTGCCACGTATATCCGCAAGTTTCGTTCATCCATTGCCGCTGTGTCTCCAGATCCTTCGGGCTCGAAGTCGAGCATGGTTCTTCGTGCTGGGGCATAGCAAAGGTGTTGCAAAAACAGGCTTTATCGAAATACTCTCCCGCAGGAATGTGACTGCTAGTCAGGTCGTAGCTTGCGGTATCGAAACTGAGAGATGTCATAGAGTTTCGCCGGCTGTTGTATTCCCATGGACGAGCTGCATTGCCAGTATGTTGTGTCGTGGCTGTGAAGCTGCAGGAACCGATGACAAGGTCGAACGTCTCTTTAGTTCCTGCCGAAGGCGACTCTCTCAGGCACTCTGGCGCTTTATTGGCAATACCTATGGATGCGTATCCATCGGTCAGACTTTTGGGTGATAGGCTTTGTAAGCTATTCGTGTCTCCAACACCAACAAGCCAGTTTCTACCAGTTGTCGTCTGAATCCAGTGATGGAGTTGCGCCTTGGCGAGGATAGATCTGCTACAGTACTTGCTGTAGCGCTTCACAATGCTGGGCGAGAACTCAGCGCTCAGACAGCTCAGTTCAGTAAGCCACTGGTAGTGCGTGCAGAAGATAAAATAAGAGGTACATCGATGGCGAGTGCACTTCGTCATGGCATCCAACCAAGCGGACTGATCCTGTTGCGCGATACACTGCGGCATCGGTGCCAGGTCCTCTGGGTTAACCCAACCTCCTCGGTTCTTCAGTATGCTCGGGTCATCGTCTCCGCTCGAAGCATCGTGGGTCGAATCTGCTGCTATTGTTAGCGTTCAACGGTCTCGATATAGTGGGGCATAGCGCACTAGTCAAGGGTTCCCCAGAGACTCCAGCGATTAACAGCGCCTGGAGCACCGTCTGGAGTTTCATGTTATCGACGGCGCAACAGCCTTTTTTCCTCGGAGAGATGGCGAGAATAGAAACAAGAGGGAATTTGTTTCTCTTGGTGTTTCGAGGTCAGATGGTCTTGTTAGCTGATGCCTGGTTGCTGAAATTGCGGGGAAGCCGCGTAAGTCGGAGAATCAATCATTCCGACCAACCAAGACCGGTTTTCAATCCTCTCACGAGACTCTATTCGTGCTTCTATTTTTACTCTTCAGAACTGTCCTAGATTTAAGCATGAATACCGGATCTAAATAATTCCTAGCCCTTTGCAGTAGTGCGATGTTCCGAGACTCAGTATTTGTTTAGAAACATGGGAATATGACCCTGCATGTTTTGTCCAGTCCCCTTTCAGACATCGTGTGACAAGTTGCTGTTTGTGGCTAGGAAGGACGCCTAAAAATAACACCGGCACTATATCAGCCATTTCGAATCGGGATATGTTGAAACGGGTTACTGAAACAACAGCAATTAATGGCTGGAGTTTCATATTTTTAAGAATATTCTTATCAACTTTACTAAGCTCCATGGCCCATGTCCTCGAGCTCCAGTATTTTTGGACATGATGCTTGTCTCAACTTGTGAAACGACTGAAACCTCACTAATAAGGCTGATCTCAACCGATTTCTACAAACTCTTTGGACTCTTGCTAATCTTTAGCTTCTATAGATAGATCTATATCTAGCATAAATAAGGCTTTTCCTCTCCAGGTCAACTTCCATTCATTCCAACTCAGATCTTTCAACAGACTCAGCTATCAATCCCCTAATCGAACAAACTCATTTCACAATGCATCCTACAATTCTTCTCGCGGCTCTGGTCGCCTTCGTTCCTGCTGCATTCTCCGAGGAACTCAATGCAGATGATGTACCTACTGCTTGCAAGACAATCTGCCAGCCCATCGTCAACCTCACCAACGCCTGCGACATTGACCCCAAGGGTCCCGAGAAGCACAGCGACAGAAGACGAGACCTTGTTATTCTTGATCATGAAGACGAAGATGAGCCCATCGAAGCGGCTTGTATCTGTACGAATAAGAGCTTCGATGTCGAGGGCGTGATGGGACTATGCGCGAGCTGCATGGCGCAGAACAGCAAGGACACAGAAGGTAAGAGGTCGAAGTGTGATATGACATTGGTCTCCTAGCTAACATTCCGTGAAACAGACATTGATAAAATCATGTCGCAATGCTCCTTTTCATCAACCTCTTATGTGCGCGCAGCGACGAGTGTAGTCTCGGGCATCGAGGTTAAGGCTACCAAACCGGCTGCAACAGTAACTCCTGTAGCTACAACCAGGGCTGCCGCGGCTACAGCGACCGAAACGGTTGGAAACAGCGCTGGGAAGGTCACGGGTTCTATTATGGCGGTAACTTGGGTTACTTTGATGTTATTGTCTATCCTGTAGATTTGCAGACTCTCTTTACCTCGAAATCCAGCGTCAGACACCAAATACAAATATACCTATCTTTTTATTTATGTCTTCCAGCGTGCTGTTTTGCGTGTCGTCACAGCCAAGGAAAGATCACGGGAGGATGAATACCTTGATATTCAAAGCATCTTACTCGAATTTATTGCAGGTCACTCTCTAAGGGATCTCATTGCTGCACCTTGTGCCCCTGTGACCAAAGAAGAATAGTCATCTATCCTACAGCGTGCAGTCGACTCAGCACAAGAGATCAATAAGTGAGGCATAGTTCTCGGCGATAGAGCCCCTCGCAACGTGGTTGTTGACCAAACCTCACACCATGTTTTCCTCGTTGACTTTACCCGGTGCTTCTTCAGGGATACAATGTTTGATCCTTGGGACGAGGATGCGAAGGACTGGGATGCTGACGCCGAGTATTGCGAGGCCGTTAGAATGCGTGATAATCCTGCGGCGATTGCACTCCCTATGGTGAGACGACTCCGGGAGATATTTGGATGGAAGCTGGATATCGTCTATCCTGAATCGGATGATCTGCTCCCGAAGAGCAACTGTCAGACGCCGAACCAGCAAGAATGCCATCTAATTGCTGGCTCTATCGGAGTTCCTGACACTGAAACCTGATTCGACCTACAATACATGCTCACTGTTACGTGGACAGACAATGACTGCAGCTGCGTCTAGTAAGCCCTTTTTCTCGCCAGCTCCTACCAAGTGGCGGCGAACTGACAATCACCTCATACGGAAGAAGATCGAGATTCAATCCAGACAAAAAACAACCCTGCGACTACATTACATGAGAAAGTTGGATTGGCTGTTATTCATGCTGATGATGAAGATGGATGTCTGTCTAGTATAACATGGTTCTGAGCGGACACGGTGGGACTCGGTGGCTTCCTTGCGAGTTACAGATATTAATTTTCAAGTCTCTCGTATCCTTGTTCTCTGCTTGGTGCTTGATAGTGGAACAACCTGGGAGATTGGAACAAAGAGATAGCAGACACCCAAATGTATCATACACATCGAGTATCAGAGAACGAACAAGTGCTCTCTAGTATCAGAGAATCAACAGGTGTAGTCTAACAAGTGAAGAAAATATGGGGTATGTGTGACTGAACACTTGTAGAGTTTGAAAATCCGTAGGCGGGCATGGATTACGCTCGTCGGAAGAAATGAAGTTTATTGGACACGGCCTTTCTTGGACCATATCAGTTTGCCTTATTTTCCCACGCTTTATTCCGACTAACAATCCGATGACCGCCAAGGAAACACCAACGTGACGGCCAGGAGTCAAGGACTCGTGGCTCATTCTCCCACCTTACCCTTATAAAACTCAAGTCTAGTTACACGCCTGTACCCTCCTGCGAATCCTGATGGCGGTGCTCTCCCTTGGGATTCTATATTCCCACATCGTCTTCATCGGAGGCTCCTCAGCTCCAAACTCCACATCATAATTCATGACCAGATACGCTAGAACGACCTTCATGATATGCGAGCCGAAGAATCGCCCGGGGCATGCGTTCTTCCCATACCCAAACCCAAGAAAGCTCTCGTCAAGAGTCACAGCAGAACGAGACGTGGAAGTTCCATCCGCAAAACGAAACGGCTTAAAAATACCTGCATCTGCATAAGAGCTATTGTCCATGTGTATACTATGCATCGGGACCTCAATATGAACACCAGGCGGAACGTGAATACCATTGTCGAGAGTTATACCGGGAGAATTGACGCGACGTGGGAGGGCAAAGAGGCCGAAATCAGACCAGCGCATTGATTCACGAATTGCTGAGTCGGCGAGAACGAGTTTAGAAATAGTGGCGCGATCCCAGGTCTTGTTAGAACCCAGAACAGATGACGCTTCATCACGGAGTTGCGAAAAGGTCGAGGTTGCGTGTTTACCGTTGCATATATCGCTGAGAACGGTACTGAAGGGAATTGATCCACCTTGTACAAGATTGAAGTTGAGGATCATCATTCGATGGCCTATGCGGTGGGCATCGAGTTGAGATGGATCGCCAGTTGCGGCGCTGGCTTCTATGATCCATTGGAGGATGTTGATCTGGATGACCTTAAGCTACAGTCCAACTCCGAAAATAAACAACTTACCGGCTTTTCTTGTGTAGGATTCCGATTAGCTTTCAGAAAATCTTGTATAATCGGAGTACAGTATCTGATGCCTGCCTCTGTATCCCGTCTAGCATTCCATGATATCAACGGAGCAAAGATTGGCCTGAGGACTTTCGGAACCAATGTGATGAATAAACCTTGGAATGGCATGTCGATAGCAAACCGCCGCATAGTCTCGAGGAACGCTTCGTCTCTGCCTGGGTTTCTGAACGTCAGTAGCCGGTCTTTGGACGGTGAATGATAGCTCACATAATGGAAAGCCCACAAGAACTCTGTTCAAACCCCGGGTGAATATCCTCTGCACAGCTGGCCAAAGCTTTACCTCTCTCCACTCTTGACTCATGCCGAACTGCTCATCCACTGCAAGGCATAGTTCCTCCTGCAACTCGGCTGCAAGTTCGTCGAATCTCTTGGTAATCCACTTGCGAATCACATCGACAGTGTAATTGCTCGGGTAAACTTCTCGATCGCGGATTGTCCATTCAAATGACAGAGCTTCTGAAGCTGGATCGTGGGCTTTCAGCTCATTCTCGCGCTTGTTGTAGATAGCTTTTAGTTGGGCGGGAGGAAGAATGAGGACTTTGCCTTTTCGGAATGAAGGAATGATAAAAGGTTGGTTGTTTCGTGAGTACTTGTAGAGGTTAGCTAGTCCGTGTCTTTATGCAATGTGTTACTTGCCTTCTCATATCCCTCCTTCATCCACTCTTCTGTTTTTGAAAAGCTACGTAGTTGTGCTCTAGTCCAAGCAAACCATTCATCTTTTCGAATACCAACGCATGGTATTGTTTCATAAAAGCTGTTATTTTTCGTATTTCTTTGCCATCCAAACCATGCCATGACAAGCAAGAGGGAGGCTAGAAACACCAAGATAGCCATATCGCAGATCAGAAATCCGCAGGATATTCGCGGTTGAAGACAACAAACAAAGCCTGGATAATCTTTAGAATTAGAGGGAAGATTAGATGGGAAGAAGACAAAGATGTGACAGAGGCAAGCATTATAAAAGTGACTGCAGGATGAAACAAATGTAAGCGCTAGTATTCGCGACCAATTGAAAAGTGATCGACAGACCTAAATCATAGCCTGTAAGTTATCCAGGCTGTGTATTATTATCCCACAACTTTCATTGGCTACCTCGGTCTGTAAGACTCGCATTTAATGCATAAATATTCGGATTAAGAAGCGCCAAGAAGCGAACTCAAAATCTGTGCCTCACTAGCATATCCAGAAGCTACGACAGCCACCCATCCACGAAAGCTGACAGGCACTCGGCATTTCTCGTCAACGGACTGTGTATAGAAATCTTCTGGCTGCGGTATCATATATGAATCCAGCCGAGGCATTACTCACGTTTTCTGTGTGCATGTACTTGTGGCGCTGCCATCGCCTTCATCATCTCTCAGAACATAACATAGACGTTTGGGAGAGGCCCCAGCGTGTCTTGACTCCAATAAAGCTAGCTGCAACAGTTACTGCTGGGTGTATAACCACTGCTCTCGTTTCTACTGTGACTAAAGCACCTGTTAACGATGGCAGAAGGATAAAGGTTTCTCTTATGGCGGTTATAAACTCAATTTAATGTTATTATTTGTCCAATAGTTATACGGATATTTATACTCTTTATGAAGTTTGTGCCAACTATCCTTTGTAGCTTTGTCTTCTATTATAGGTTCGAAACTTGGTACATAATGAGTCGTGGATTTTATTCGTCACCAAATGGACCAACGTAGATACGGGTCTTTGTGGGATTGGTAGACATTCCGTTGGTAGATAGCCCTAATCCTTCCATCAACCTTGTCGTCTCGGCTAGTGGATTTTTATCATGTTGTTTTTCAACCACTTCCATTAATTCCTGGAACCTTCTTAGTTCCTCCATTCTTTCAGAGGATTGATCATACTTGACGCCCTCAATAACGAGCTCCTCATCTTGGTCTAAGATCAGTGTCTATGCATTCAACAGCGTGCTTTACGTCCCGGTGAAGAGGGAGAGGAAGGCATTCGCCATCGCCGCATTATCAGCCTGTCGGCTTTGCAATCCCAAAAACATGAGTGCAAAGGGTACAAGAAATTGGTCCCCGACACAATCTCGGGCCAGGAAGATGGCAGTACGAAATTGCTTTTGATCGGCAACTTTGCTACTTGCGATACCTTCCCGAAGGTCGCAAACAGCCTTTGCCCAGAATCTCCAATCATTTTGCGGCTTATTAACCAATGCAGGGCATATAACCATGAAACGGCCCCCATCAGCGAGCTGCTGCATTGTCATCTCCACACACTTGCCTTTGATATCCAGAAATCCTTGAGTGAGGTATTCTCCAAAGTAAAACCGGCCATTTCTATTGTTGTAGAGGTTTCCGAGGTCAGGGTCTGGGTCTTGAAATAGCCACTCCAAGGCATCCAGATCGCGAAGGAATGTCTGTTCTGGGAAGTCCCGGGTATCAATCATGATTATTTTGATATCCGGGAATTTTGGCTTTGGTTCAAAGTCTGTTGTGTGACGGCGCAAGGCATATTGGAGAAGGAAGAGAAGAGAGCTAGACCAAGACATAAGATTGCAAGGACTCATGTCGGGACGAGTGCACTTCCAACGTAGATGGTTTCTGAGTCTTGAAGTTGCCACTTCAGTTGGTAGCTGCAAAAGACCTTTGCCGCACGGCCACCCATCTCTATGATATGCCATTCGCCCGACGAAGCCTGGAGCCATGACACGCATGGTACTCGTATCGCCCTTTGAGCGTGGGACATTAAGTCGAAAAAGATAAGTTGGGGTTTTGTCAAATGTAAATAGAGTCTCTTGACCAGGTTTTGGTTCAAAAGCTTAGGCATTTTGTAAGGACTCCGAAAGATGGAGTGAAACTGATCGATGTAAAGAGTCTAAATGCCACAGGTAATGTGGGGGATGAGTCTATACAAACACCAAAGTAAGGTAGAATGCAAGAGAGGAGTAGGAATTTTGAGGTGCTCTGTGATCGGATTGGACTGCGTTATATACCTCAGGGCCACGGTATCAGATCCGTGGCGCGGATTCCTGGGCAGCCAACGAGGCTGACAACACTGAACTCTCTGATTGCGTAATATGGAATGAGGTCGCATCATAACATGAAATTCGAGTTTTCTCATTGGTCTCTTGACTGACTTGTTGGTTGAAACGCCAACCAACATGATTGACCCATGCATGGGGTGACCAATCAACTGTGTATGTAATTCAAGAATGCCTAGCAGACGGCCGAAAAGTGTATATACTACAAGTTCAGGGAGGCCTACCAGAGTATCAAACACGCAGATATGGACAACCTTTGAACGCAGGTGCGGTTACTGAATCGTGACTGATTTTTGAAGTCTGCGTTTCTGTTCCAATACCCAATTTGATTACGATACAAGCGTGGCGGACTGCAAACCTTACATCTTGTGATTCTACAATGATCTCATGCATATCTTGATCTTTCCCTGTCGGACTCTCTCTCTGATGTCTTTCAAACCCACCAGTTCTGTCTAGTCCCCTGGCATCGAAGTCTGCTTGGGTTGAGAAGCGGCATAGGCCCTATATTTCTGTTATCTATCTAACAAAGGCTTTTGCTCTTGGGATATTAGCACAATGCTCTAATCTCCATGACTTGATTATCGCTTATGAAATACCCAATGTTACACAAGTTTCAAATAACGAGGATGTAACCAGCCGTGCTACATATAACACTCATCTGATTCCATCTCGTCTTGAAGAACATACCCTCGCAAACTATTTCTGGACGGGACTTTGGCAAGCATGTCTTTTGGATACGGTTTCGGCGACGTTATTGCCGTGTTAGGCCTCTTTGAGCGTGTTGCCATCGAGCTACGTAATTACAAAGACGCTCCTATACAATTTCAACAACTCCGTGCCGAAATCGATCTCCTGCGGGGTACCTTGAAACAGGTCCTGATACTGGAGCCCGAGTGTAGTGCAGAGTGTGAAAGCATGGAACAGATCAGAGCCATCGTCATCTACTGTGCGCAACCTTTACAGTCCATGGCTGACAAGATGAGGACCAAGGAAAGCAGCTTGGGCCACTTCAGAACAGCCAGAAGCCTTAGCAGTATTGGGACAAGGCTTCACTGGTCTATGATCGATCAAAGCGATGTCGAGGGACTAAGAAAGATTCTTCTGTCCCAGATGGCTGCCATCAATACACTATTGAGCGTTCAGCAACAGTTAGCTTCTCAATAAACTTCAGACAAGGTCCCAAACAACTGACTTAGAGACAGGGCTCGGCTCAAACGACTTGTACTACAACTGCAGGCTAGCGAGACTCGTCAGCTATTGGCAATCGAAAGGCATGCCAACGCCATATCCGGACACACTTCGAACATCTTAGTATTACATCAAGAACACAAAGTGCAATTGACGCTTTGGCAGTGAGTACTAAGATGCAGAGTGAAATCCATTCAAAGCAAGAAAACGATATTAACCAAAGCTTGAACGTCATCGAGCAAAACATGCGTCACATGACGCTGAAGACTGAACGCGGCACAGACATCATTTGTCGCCAAACTGCCTTCTTTAGTCGTCAAGTCGAGACCTTGTTTCGTCTCATGCGAGACATGAAGAAGCTATTTCTCTTGTATTTATCCCTCTCAACGGGCAAAGTAATTTAGTTTGCTGACTCGCAGTCTCGCAAACTGCTCGAAAGAAATGCTTAAAGCAGTCAGTAAAAACACGTAGGGTCCCCTGACAGAAATAGCATGCCAGGTTACTGACAAAGATCTAGGCAAATGCTGCTCAATATAAGTGGCCAACTAAAATACATTACACGCGCTATTGAAGCAATTCCACTTCACCTCGCACTCGACTTCGTGCGGTTAGATGATGTCCATGGGGAGAGCTGGGCCCTGCCATTTCAGGCATGTAGAACTCGGGAAGTAAGTCAAACCCATATCAATCACTGAGAAGTTGTGATTGAGGGTCAAAGTCGTTTAGAGAAATGCTTCAGTTCATTGTGTATGCGAAGAAGAGGCCCGGAGCAAACTACATCACACAGAATCTCTTTGCACTGACGCAAGCGAAAACTGGCAAGGGAGTCGACCAAGAGACGTGGGAAACTATGGCCAAACCAGGCTTTCATGTTGAACAGGCGGTTATCCTCAAAGGGACTTACTCATCCAAAAGATGTCTGAACCCAAAGTGCGCCGGAACTCTTCTGGATGAAGTCCTCGAGTTCGAAGAACGCCAAGTTTGGTGAGCTGCATAATTGAAGAAATCCGCATTTATAGACCTTCGACTGACCAGAAAATTGGACAGCAATGTGTGTTCTCGATGTACCAGGACAGCTTTCACAACAACGCCACTGATCGGCCTATACAATGAGGCTCCTTACTCACACCACCCCGTTAAGCGATTCACAAGTCGGACCAATGCCAAGAGAAGGTTCGGGCCCCAGCTACCTCCCATAGCTATGGATGAACAAATAGGAACATTTCTCAGGGTTAAGTTCTTGCAACCTACCGAGCCTATACAGAATATCGAGGAAGCCTACCGACGATTAAACGAAGATCCTAACCATGTCATGGCAAACGCATATGTCGGCCTTGAAATACTTCTTGCTTCAGAAGAAACCTTTTCCCAGGATCAAATTGATAGGGCAAGAAATCATTTGATGATTGCCGTGGAATCAGGTAACAAGACCCGGAATCTCCGTACAACCCGAAATTCTGAGACCTTTTAGATAGCTCGATCCCCGAGAGCTGGTACTTACTGAGTCGAGCGTGTATGAGGTCCGCAGACTACATAAGAGCCTACCAATGCCTACAAACCGCGATATATCTCAAACCTCGGTGTCCTTCGTTCTGGATCACACTTAGCATTTTATACTTTAGAACCGGTCAAAGCCGAGATTCCCTCGACGCATTAACTAAGGCTGTAGGTCTGAATGCTCATATCTGGGAGCCTTGGTATAATCTCGGTGTATTGGTGTGTTTTCGTTTTCTTAGTGTAAATATAAGTCTTGCTAACACGGGGTGTAGTATGACAGCTGCAATGGGCAACATTCAGATGCCGCTGATGCCTTCTATAAATGTCTTGAGCGAAAGCCAGACTTGTCCAATGTCCACGCACGTCTCGAAGCCCAGCGAAGTTACGCTGAGGACATTTGCAATGAGACTTTGCGCGCATACTTGATTCATGAGATGATTGATTCATCCTTGGAGGATAAATATGGCATTATAGACGAAGCTGGCGGCGAAGATATCATGTTTAATCCAGTATATGGTGCTCGGGAGCAAGACCAAGATGATGACAAAGATGAAGGGGAGTTTGAAGAAAGCGACGTTAGCGATTCGGAGCAGAAGTATGCTTAGCATTTACTTTTGGGACTATATATCGCTTTCTTGTTTTGTATACACATCTTGGATACAAGAAGAATTGACAGCTTTGGCTTTGATGTAGAAATGAGCGTGTTAAATGTGGCTTCAGCTGAGGCAGAAAACCGGTGGTGGCTGAGTCTTGAAATAACGCCTTCCCGCTGCAGTACCCAATCATACTCAAGATGCAAGCGCTTTGATGGTGTCTGTCGCGGCCTACACGTGAGACCTCTTATCAGGCTGTGAAGTCAGATCTCCTACTTGCACATTCGTCTTCTCACATCGACATAGCATCAGATGCCTTGCACGCGACATTGCAACTATGGAGCTTTCCCGAGCCACGGACTCGCAAATTGTCACCGCTGCTCGACCTCGCGCTGGCCAGGATGTTTCAGCCGCGCCCGTCAGGGAGCTTGAGAAAACTATCGCGGGGTTTCAAGCCATCTTGACCGACGAAGACCGCAAAAAGCTGCAACAGCTCAAAACCACGTCGCACGACTCGCAAAGCATCATCACTTTTACAGCCGAGTTGGATCTGCTTGACAAGAACAGGCGAGGGAAGAGTGTCGCCTCAAGACTGGCTTCGTTCTTGCAGACGATTGAGCAGTTTACGCCCATAGTCGACACTTACATCCAATCGAATCCCGATATCGCGGGGATTATCTGGGGTTCTATCAAACTAACCTTTTTGGTACGTGATGCCAGTGCAAGTCTGACGCCTGTCGCACACCTCGTGACGACAACGCTGTCTCGACCCCAGGCCCTTTCCTGACCATCCGCTTTCGGTAGTTCCTCGCCAACTTCGCATCTTACTTCCAGTCGTTTGTTGAGCTTCTGCACGGATTCGGTTCACTTTGCACGCGATTCGCCGAGTACCAGGTCGTTTTCAATGAGTCCTCGCGTCTCAAAAATTCAGTCTGCCAGTTTCACACTGCAGTGGTTACTTGCTGCCAGCAGATCGTCTTGGCGGTTCGACGACCCTGTGAGTATCGCCAAGTAGTCGACTGAAGGATGCACTAATTGTTCGCTCGGTATAGTAAAGAATCAGCTTCTGAAGGCAATCGCACAATCATTTCAGTCTGAACTCCGAAGCTACGTGGAAGACATAAGAGCGAAAGCAGAGGAGGTACAAGGGGATATACAATTGGTGAAAGCTCAATGCGACCGCGAGGAACAGCAACAACAGAATACAGAGCGACAAGAGGCTACCAACTACCGGAAACGAATGCTCGCTTGGACTTCAAAGTCGACTACCGAAATGGAAGCCTTATATGTGCAGCAAAGACGAAATGCATCAGGTTCGGCATTAATAATTCTTTGACGGGTACATGGCTAATACTCCTTAGAGCAGAAACGACGTCGCCTCCTTGAGGAGCTATCGTCATTCAACTTCACATCTGCCTTCAATAGCACACGAAACAAACGCCATATTGGTACAGCGAAATGGGTCTTTGACACTCCAGAATTCCAACAATGGGTTGGAATCGATGGGCCTAACGTTCTTCACGTCACTGGCAAAAGTGAGTCGTCTGCTACACAGAAGAATGAATGACTAGAGCTGACTACGGTCTGAAGTTGGGTCTGGTAAAACAGTCTTGTCGTGAGTAGTCACCCTGCAGGTACTCAAACCCACAGGCACTTACCACCATCGATTCTAGGTCCTCGGTTGTTGAGAAGCTTTCGCAGATCCGGCCGCCTCAACAATTCGTGTCGTTCTTTCTTATCCGATTCGATGATCCTCTGAGCCTTGATGCGGAGACAATCATACGGTCTTGTGTTCAACAATTACTATCAGCCATCGTTATGGATGATCTTGACCAGCAGTTGGCTTCTGAACTTGACAAACACCTTTCTGAAGCCAAGTTGGCTCTATTCTCGCTCGACCAACTTTCAAGACTCTATTCATCTGCTGCTAAAGCTATTAAAAACTGGTTCATAGTTCTTGATGGGCTGGATGAGTGCAACACTGGTCAACAGTCAAGATTGTTGAAATTCTTCCAAGCGGTTGTCTCACGGGCGGGTGCATCCAGCCATATTAGCATTCTCCTTTCGTCTCGAGAGACTTGTACCAACGCCATCAAACGAAACTTTCCTGGATCTCGACGATTAGTTACTGGCCTGCAGAATACTAGTGCAGATATTGGCGCATATGTTGACGACATCATCATTGAGAAACTATCGACTGGTGAACTGGTTGTCAGCGATCCCAGCCTGATAGATGAGATTGTGAAAACCATTGCTTCCAAGGAGCAGGGAATGTCAGTAGCTTCTCACCTACTCGAATCTTACCCGACTAACATTAGAGCCTTCTGATTAGGTTCTTATGGGCGTTTCTTGCTATTGAGGATATATGTTCTGGAAAGTCTGACAAGGAGATTCGACAAGCACTGAAAGACATTCCGAGTGACCTTCCTACAACATTCGACCGTGCTCTGAGCCGCATTGTCCAGAAGCGCAATCAACAGATTACTAAAAAGGCCTTCATGTGGACGAAAGCAGTATCACAACCATTGACCTTGTCACAGTTCCGCGAGGCACTTTCTATCGAAATTGGTCAACATACTCTGCGCCAAGAAGATCTCATCAGCGGGATAGAGCGATTAGCCGTGTGGTGCGAAAGCCTTCTTTATGTGGAAGAAACAGATAATACAGTTCGATTCAGTCATCACTCCATTCAAGAGTTTCTTTTGGTACCCGATTCGGGTGAGAATGGGGATCTTCACATTGACTCGGACCAGTGCGATAAGCTTGCTGGTGAGGTCTGTATTACTTATGTCAATCTTGACAACTTTCAAACGGCGCTAGCAGAGAGGAAAAGGGAACCTTTCAGTTCATCTGCTATAAAGATCGACCCAAGCGGGATAGCCGAGCAGACAATACAGTCCGCCATACAGGGTGGCGTTGGAACTCGCGTCGGTCGTCTAGCTCGCCAATTTGTCAAGACGTCAAACCCAAAAAAGATATCAACACAGCGCGACTTTTCCCTAAGTTCTTCCATTTCAGTTACTAGTAAAGCCCAAGGGAACGCAGATTACCCCTTTCTCGAATATGCTTCGACGAAATGGTTCAAGCATACCAAATACATCGACGAAAACGAGACGGAGATTTGGAGGCTTTTCGGTCAATTGGTCCAGAGGCCCTTTCAGCACTCACAAGGCGAGCCTTGGCATAGCATCGAATGGAAGAAGGAAGCCATGGCGGGGTTTCCAAATCATGACGATTCAAGATCAGAATGCTACTGCCGTGTGATACGGACTATGAGCAGTGGCGAGATACATGAGTCAGACAACGAGCCAGACGACGGCCCAAAATTCTCTCAGCTCTGCCTTGCTTTCATGTACGGTGAGTTGAATGGCTACTACGCGCTCGCATGTCGATCCTTCCAGTTGTTGATAGTATTTCCTTGGGTGGTATCTAAGTTTGAAAAACTTGTTTGCGTTCTAGGAGCCAACAAGAATTACGAAGCCTGTCAAAATGATTGTGCAAGTCTGATACCAACACGTCTCAATCATCACCTACTCGTCGCAGAGCTCAGGAAATCTATCGCCAATGGGATTTCATCCTTCCCAGCATTGCCAAATTACAAGTCACACCCTCTATGTGACTGCGCAGGCCAAGCTCCTCATGAGCTGATGTTGGATATTTGCCAGGTGTTAAAGACTGGCTATCGCCGAACGATTCAACCGCACTTACAGGCTTTCGCTATTGTAACAGAAGCTCTTGAGGATGAGAGACATGGCGATATGCCCGGCATCTTGGACTTGAGCCTTACGTGTCGCGAGGAGGCTTATACTTTGTTTGAAGCCAAGAACATTCACAGGATGCTTTTGATCGATGTGCTCATCCAGGGGCTCCTATCAACTGAAACGTTGTACAAAGGCATCGTCTCAAATTCCATCGCCAGTTTTGTGGAATACGAGACTACACCGACCTTCAGTTTTCATTCCCAGATACTGGAGCCACCAAGCTCGATGCCTGAACACCGTTTGATAGCTTATACCATCTGTTTTCTGGTTCTTTTGGATGGAGAGCGTCCTCCTGCACCGGCCCCAGATATAAGTGTTCTTCGTGAATATCGTCGCTTTAAAAAGCTTATGAACCTACACGGCGAAACTATCGCAGCAATATTTCGAAGACTCGTTATCCCTGCACTATGGCCGACTTATATGGCATCCTATATAGTCCAGACTCTATTCGGGGAGTTCCTAAAGTATGACGTTCAGCACATTGCCCATGCTCACGAGGACTCATTTAGAGAAGCTGTGTGGAACAATAATTGGGACATTGCGGCAGCTCTGCTGGAGCTTCAGCCGACTTCCCTGGATAAGTTTACTGGCCGTGGTTATTTCAGCTTTATTAGAGAAGCTGTACGCTGCCAGAACTGCTGGCGATGCACGCAAAATGTGGTCAGGCAGCTAACTTCTAGCGAAATGCATCGGTACTCCTTTAGGCTATGTGCGAACCATGTCAGCGATTTCAATAAGATTGCTGGTTTGCTTGGGGGCATATATGATGCTGGTAAGGGACAATTACTGTGCCCGGGACATAGTACAGATGCGTTGCCTGAACGAGAGGGAAAATTGAAGCGGCCAGGATTTTGATTTGTCATAATATATAACCGAATGTCCATCGCCTCTTGTCTATCATAAATTCTTGGCCAGCACTGAAACTTACTCATAAATCCCCCCTCACATCCTTAACTTGCTTCGTCCTCTCAGAGTCCGTCTGATCTCCCGTATTAACAGTCCCCTCCCTTTCCACCATCATGATAACAGCATTCTCCGCCACAGGCTTATGCGTGACTCCCTTTGGCACGACATACATATCCCCCTCATTCATAATAACAGGCTCTTCGCCTTGAATCTCCATAGTCAATTTTCCAGAGAGTAGATAGAAGAGCTCTTCAGAATCTGGATGAGCATGCCAGATAAATGAACCGTCGATCTTGGCGACTTTGACGTGATGGTCGTTGATTGATGCGATGAGACGTGGGGACCATTTTTCGGTAAATGAGGAGAGGATTTCGGGAACGGATGTTGTTTGAGACATGGTTTTAGAGTTGATGATGTGAATGGTTTGAGTTTGGGTGAGATGAAATTGTATTTCGTGATTGGCGTCTTATAGAAGGCTGAGCTTATGTTGGATGGTCTCCACTATGTCGTATACAAGGCGTAAGGGCGTGAGATTTGTGGATGGGAAGAGGGTCCCGCTAATCTTGGCTGACATTTCGTGCTTTGCTATTGGTGCATGCTTCATTGAGGCTCGTTAGCGATAGCTTTGACATTCTTTGTGAATCTATAGACTTTTGGATTTTATTTCTTTGTCAGCAATTTTGAAACATCAATGAAGCTCATGCTCACGAAAATAATTCTAAATTTTAAGCTCATTATCGCGAGTCAGCCAGCGCTCATCTCGTCATCATCTTCACAGCTCTCCAGTCGGAACTATCGATTTGTCTGGATATCACTTGTAGGCCGCTTGATAAACTTTTTTAAGGATAAAGCCAAACAACTGAAAGCATGAGGCTAACAAATTGAAATAATAAATATACTAAGTGCCGCGTCACATCTCGAAAATGATCCTGCTCCTGTAAACATACCTGCTCAGCATGGTGCGTTACCAGCAACTCGAGCGCGATCCAGCGACGCAAATTCTCTTCAACAACAGAATCACGACACTGAAAGGGTTTCGCGAAGTTTTCGAGAACTCACATTTTCTCGCACTTGACACGGAACATGTTGCCATCACGAGCAAGGGAGACCGTGTTCTCCACCAAGTTGGACTGGCGTTCACCAGGACACTAAAGTCTAGACATCCTCCATGCCCGGCGCGCAGCCTTGGAATGATAAGACCAAAGCGACGCCTTCGTCATTTCTTCGAAGATAACGAAATGGAAGGGCTCACTTTGAAAATTAACACGAGGAAGGAGCTGGGAGACCAAGTTCTTCGCGTCGGCGGTTTCAAAGGCATGCCTATTCGTCGCCCCCATCGCTTTGGCGAGGAAAAGACTGTCGACATCGAGGATTTGGAGGCTTCTGTTGTGGAGTTCCTCCAGGATCTACCTAAGGACAAGAAGCTCGTGCTCATCGGGTTCGGAATGGGAGCGGAGTGGACTTACCTATTGACAAACTTCCCAGCTGCCATACCCTTCTTCTCAGCCTGGATAGATCTTGGCGACATCGTGACAGACATCACCTCCTCATCGCTTGCATATCTTCCAAATCTGCTATTTTTGATACAGACCTTTGGCTACTGGTGGAAAGATGTCAAGCCCGGGAAGGGATACCACAGCCATGGTAACGCTGACAATGCTGGCGACGATGTCGTGACAACTCTTGCTTTAGCACATGCCCTTCTTGACGAGAGGAACCATAAAACGCTCCTATTCGATCATGCATGTTTCAGAATAGCAAGTTCTGGCAGGGTCAGGCCTTTTAAGGATCCAGCCAAATGCTTCATTGCAACTGTCAGAACCGAAGAACAACTCCCGATCAAAATTTCCTCGTGTATGAGGCTTGCGCGACGATTCTTCGACTTCCACCCGGTAGGCACTGGGCTGATGTCTAGTGAGATTGGATTCGCCACTTTTCGGAACCAAGAGGAGCTTGACTATTTCATCAGCTGTGTCGATGGGATGGTGTTATACACAGGCGAGACCCTCTCAGCTGAACGCTATATCCATGTTAACCCAAAGAGGCCAGAGGACGAGAAGTTGAAAGAAGAGAAGCGGATGCTTAGAAGGATAAGGAGGGAATCAGATGATGAAGAAGTTGTGGAGTTGGGGGATCTTTTCTCCTGATTTTCCGTCACGTTCAATATCACGGAATTCAGTAAGAAACAAGCATATCTAATAAATAATGTTACCTTCTGTTATTAGTCTTGGGAACTCTTATAGCTGGCTTTAGATTTCTGTGGAACCTATTCCGTGGGTCGTAGATTACTCTATTCTTTATTGCTCATTCTACAACATTTAGAAGGATTCAACTATCATCTCTGAGCATTTGTATCGTGGATGGTGACCTCATGGAGGTTTTCCATCGTGCTCATGTTCACTTTTAGTGGGGATATGCGCTAAGCTTCAATGCCCCTGCAGTAGCGGCAGGAGGCAATTGGGCTGCTGATCGTCAACGGGCTTGCCATACCCCACAGCATCGAATTTGTCTTTTCATCTATACCTAACGAACCGAGACTACAAAAAGTCCATAGCAGTTGACACTGGATTAAGACTGATCTGTGACTAAGTATCTGCCTATTTTAAAATTATTTTAGTCATTTTAATGACAAAACCCATTACAATTTGCTTTTTCTCCTTCAACATATTGAGATAAGATCGATAACATGAAGCCGTCTTGAAATCTTACTCCTTCGGATTGAGCCTTGAGCAATCCTACTCTCTCGCTGTCCAAATATCTGTAAATCAATTTCACCTCAGCAACGCCACAATCGCTGGTGTCTATTGGAGTTCCAAGCCGCGTTATTACAGACGTGTTTGTTGTCGGTTGCTCAGTGCATTGGCAGGAGATTCCAGGTGAGAAAACGCCTCATTGGGCAACCCTAGCCAACTTCAGTAAAGCTTCTGTATTGTCGCGATAACCAAAAAGAAAACCCGGGCCGCAGAGCGTCGCTTAATGGGAGAATCTTATCGCGTCTCCGGAACATAACGGACCGTCGCTCCCATGCTCCACCGAGCAACGTTAGTCAGGACATGTTTGACGTCAAGACACGACGGGATGGCGGAAGTTTCTGATCCGATAAATGTTCCCATGAGACTATTGGGCATTTTCAACCTTAGCTGAGCTTGTGAACGCCACTTAATTTCTCAACCAAGGTAAACTCAGGGGAAACGGCGCCTAACGGAGGGCGGCGTTGGGGCTGGCCCGCAAAAGAAACGAGCCAAAATCAATAGTCTCTTCCTAGCTCTATGCGCTTAGAAATATCCATCATAGCCGCCGATCCTTTATTATTGCGATGCGCAATGTTTATACAAAACCCAAACGCGCTCTCTTTTGAGAGGTTTCCTGTTTCTTCATCAGTCATCCTTTAGACCAGTCACTCTTTTACCAAGATATCTTTGATATCACCACGTTCGTTACAATGATGTTCCCCAACTTCACTGCTGGCCTTGTTGCCGCTCTTTCGATCTCCGGTGTAAACGCTGGTCTCTGCCGTCCTAGCTCTCAGACCAGCGCGGTGGTTTCGTCTGGTAGCACTACAGCTAAGACTGCATCTGAGACTTCAGCCACCGAGACTGTCGTTGGTACCACTACCACCAGTGTCGAGACTGGTTCAGAGACTACCACCAGTGTTGAGTCTGGCTCCGAGACTACTACTGCCGAGACCGGATCTGAGACAACCACCGTTGCGATTGTTTCTGACACCACCACCGCTGAGACATCTCTCGCCACTACTACCGTTCTCACCACCTCTGGTATTGATATCACCACCGAAGTGACCACCTTCATCACCTTCACCGCCACCGACACAACCACTTCTGAACTCGCTACTACTTCCGCTTTCGTTCCTGCCGACCTCTTTCCCTGCGTCACCAGCGACGACTGCGATGCCTTCATTCAGCTCTGCGATGCATTCCGCTGCGGCTGCATCAACCGCAACTGTGAGCGTCTCACCGACACCACCACTGCTGAACCTACAACCACCGCAGCTGTCGACGAGGAAACCACCACTGCTGCTGAGGCTACCACTACTGCCGCCGCCGAGGAGAACACCACTACCGCTGCACCTGAAGAGGCTGCCACCACCACCCAAGCTGAGGAGGAGGCCGTCACTACTCAACCTCCTGCTCGTCGTCGTGCTCTTGCCGACCCTGTTCCCGAGGGCGCGCACTACTGCTATGTTAACCAGGACTGTGACGAGAAGACCGACATTGATGGATACAGCTGCGAGACTTTTGAGTGTACCTGCCTCGAGAACTCTTGCGTTGCTGAGATGCCCAACCTCTAACTAAAGAACGGACCTAGCTCAGCGTACTTTGTTTAATTATTGACAATATACGTCAGGCATTTACTGCCTTTCTTACCCCCGTGGTTGAACGCGTTATGAGTTGCTACAATACGAAGACACCGTTTCCCATTATTGCCATCAAATACTTTCAATGTCTAGCGTTTTGACGAATGTTGATACGGGACCTTGATCCTTTGATCGGTTTGGTTCGCCTGCTTTCAATGTGCCCACGGAGAGTGTTTCTAACTTCATATTCCGGCTTGACTCTATATGTTAACTGGCTAGAGAAACAATGGCAACTTGATGTTCTGTGCTTTCATGATATCATGACATTCTCTTGCTAACTCCCTTCCCTCAGAAGATAAAAGGTGCTCATCAAAACTGATCTCCAAAAACGACTTCTTCCAATGTTGCCAATGCTCAAACATGGTGACTGAAACGTCATAATACTTACCAGGCCGACCTCTCACCTCCCTCTCAAAGAACTTGATCTTGTTCGAATCTAGTGTTTCCGCCATTTTAGATCCCGCAGTCTGCAACCAAGCGTGAATCTCATGGATGACAAACTCGAGGTCTTCGGTCTGTACACAAATAAGGTTAATCGTTTTGTATCCCATAAACTCCGTTATTCCTGGAATCCCGCGGAGATACATCTTTGCTTCTGCCTTTCCTGCTCTTCTGTAGTAATTCTTGTCTACCGAGAAACTTTCATCTTCACCCTCGTGACATTGACATCGAAGCGATTCATAGCAGGATTGCCAGACATTGTGAAATGAAGGTAGTTCACACAACGAGTCGCTGGGCTGTGGACCCGTCACCCACCAGGGATTACTATTCATTGATGGTAGCGTTTGAATCGCGACGAGTAGATCAACTATCATGTCGCAATCGTCTTCAAAGCGCAGGAGAGTAGATGCAAGAAGCTCCCAAACTTCATTACGCCGCCTCGAACCCCCATACGCAACTCCTTCTGGATATCTGTCCAAGCAACCGGCAGTGATGGCTCTGGCGGCCGACTCGGCGCTCATCATCTTGTTGAGATAGTTGCAGAGAGCTAGACTTTCATCGAGATGGTGGGTGCTCCTGAAGTGTCTTTGGCAACTGTATGTGTAGCTTTGAGGCTGCCTGAAGTGCCTTTTTGGAAAATGTTATTTTGAGTTAAAAGACCTGATAGCTGATGCTTGCATCGCGCACCTTGCCTCGCCCTCCCTGTCAAGGTTAGGGTTGACTCTTGAAAGGATCCATCCATCTCGAAAAGACACACCAAGCCCAAGTGGTAACATTTTCGGGTCCGATGAGAGATATAGGTGATAGTATGGCTGAAGGGCAGACGCTTCGTGCCAAACGACTTATCACCCTCGATAATGAATGTTGGTGGCCAGATATTTCTCATGCGCCTCCAGTCTGTGGAGAGGCCAGCTAATCACATCACGTGATAATACTAAACTCATGTTATGGTTACATAATGTCCAAGAAACGACTTGAGCAAAGAACAATTTTATTTACAGCCTTGGAAGCTCTTTCGCACTCAGATAACATTTAATGTAATAATATGATGCCTAACTCGGACTTTTACGGATTGGCAATTAGTCTCACAGCACTGCCATTGACCCCGCAAGCCAGCGTAGCCAGCCCTACCGGTATTTCACCAAGTCTCCCTTGCGAAGTTGGGGGCCATGCAACCTCGCTGAAATGTCTCGCGTGAGAAAGTGTTGTAACACCACTGAAACATTTTATTCGCTGCAAGAAGCCTCTTTCATCAGAGCTCTCGATAGTTGGCTATCGATATGCAGTCAGCCATATCCATGATCCCATAGTTCAGCCGCATCAGCTCAGGATCCGAAGACCTTTTCCCGCAGTGTGCGTATCTTGCGTGGCTTCCTTGGTGGCTATGTTAATGCCCCTTTGGCCTCAGATTAAGCTTAGACTTGAGGAGGGTTTGAATGGTTCTAAAAATACTGCCATATCTGGCAGCTGCACGCCATAAATTAATGAATTCTCTTTTTATAGTTGACCTTCTGAACTATCAATATTCGCTCAGCCGCAGAGCCTACCTTAGCTGACAAGCCATTCTGCAAGCCTATCACTCCTTCACAAAAACTTTCGGTATGAAGTAACACGAGCTGCCGATAAGCTGTACCACCAGCTCCCGTCGTGCTCCGCCACGTCAGCTATTCGCCATAAAGCTTACGAGTTCATAAACCACCCAATGCTGCTCTTATCTCGCTCCCCGTATGTCTCAGTTAATCTACAGTCCCTACCATGTCTCTCAACACTCCCGCTGCAGGGCAATCTGCCCCGGTGAACAACCCAGAGGCTGTCGCGTATCGAGAGCGTGATGCGTTATACAACTACTCAACTGGTGTTGTTGATGTTCCACGGGGCTACAAGTATCGTCAGTATCGTATTTTCGGGTTCACGTTGCCTTGGTATGCGTCGCCGAAGATCCAGTTGGGTATGGTTGCTTTTGTATGCTTCATGTGTCCTGGTATGTTTAATGCGCTTAATGGGATGGGCGGAGGGGGGCTGAAGGATACGAAGCTTGTGAATGACATGGTGAGTAGCCATCACTGACTGGAAACATTGTTTACTAAGTAAAAATCGCAGAATACTGCCTTATACAGTACCTTTGCCGTCGTCGGCTTCTTTGGAGGCACTTTCGTCAACAGGCTCGGGGTAAAACTGACACTAGCTTTTGGTGGTATTGGCTATGGCATCTACACCATTAGCATTCTGCTCTATACGCACTACGAAAACGACGTCCGAGCTTTCAACATCGTTGCAGGCGTGCTTCTTGGTGTATGCGCAGCAATGCTTTGGACCGCGCAAGGAACTATCATGATCTCGTATCCCCATGAACATCAGAAGGGTCATTACTTTGCCTGGTTCTGGGGCATCTTCAACATGGGAGCCGTCATCGGAAGCCTTGTACGTCATTTCCTGGCCTTATTTCCTCTCATCCTTCCTCTCTCTCAATAAGTGGCATGCCATCTTCGATAGAAGCTAACAAACTTTGCAGATTCCCTTGGGTGGCAACATTAACACTGAAAACAATGAATATGTTAGCGACGGCACATACATCGGGTTCATCGTCCTGATGTTCTTCGGAGCCGCATTAGCCCTCCTTCTCTGCAACGCAAATGATATAATTCGAAAGGACGGATCATATGTTATTCTGATGAAGAACCCGACTTGGCAAAGCGAGTTCCACGGCTTGTATGAGACTATTCGCTATGAACCTTTTGTCATATTCTTGTTTCCTATGTTCTTCTCATCTAACTGGTTCTATGTATATCAACAAAATGTCGTCAACGGTGCATACTTCTCAACGAGGACCAAAGCGCTGAATAGCCTCTTGTACTGGCTGGCGCAGATTGTAGCCGCGGCGATATGGGGGTACCTTTTGGACTTGGAATATCTTCGTCGATCTGTACGAGCCAAGATTGCACTGGTTGTTCTCTTTGTCATGACCTTTGTTGTTTGGGGAGGAGGTTATGTTCATCAGAGAACATATACCCGGGAGATGTCAAAGGCTGAGGACTTTGACACGGATTGGAGAGACGATGGGTATGCTGGGCCCATGTTCCTTTATATCTTCTATGGATTTTATGATGCAGCTTGGCAAGCTACTGTTTATTGGTAAGTCCACTATGAATATTCTTCCGATGGCGACTAATAGGATAAGGTTCATGGGCGCTCTCTCAAACTCAGGTCGTCGTTGCGCAAACTACATCGGCTTCTACAAAGGCATTCAATCAGCCGGTGCAGCCATATCAAATAACCTGGACGCAAGAAAAGTATCATTTGAAGCGCAATTCATCAGCAACTGGGTACTCTTAGCTGCGTCATTAATCATCGCATCTCCTGTTATTTTCCTCAAGATCAGAGATCATGTCGCCTTGGAGCAGGATCTTGAAGGGACAGATGAGACTATGGCAGATGTTGCACCGCACGTTGTTGTAAACTCGAGTCATGCTGGGGATAACTTTGAAAGTAAGGAACCTAGACGAAGAGGTCCTGGGTTTACTGCAGTCTAACTGTCATTTCAGTGGAACTCGATGAGTTTGATGTATCTACGAAACTATTACGTCGGTGGTGATACAGGAGCGGTACGTGATGGGGATATGATTGTTTGGATACCTTTTTGAGATTTATTTCTTCAAGGTAGATGGCGGCAAGGCTGTCTAAGAAATGATGAGATGAAGAAGAAATACGAAATCTAGTGCATTGGGCCACTTGTGCTAATGCCTTGCTGCATAAGATGTATCTCGTTTCTACCGTCTAACGTCATCGTACTGGACGGCCACTCTCCCGAGAGCCTCAAACACGAGCCCATGCCCGCCACACTTTATTTCTTGGTAACAGCATATTCCAAATCTTGTGTGACAAACAAATCTTGCCACAATCTCGATTCTGTCTATTACGTCTCCTCTCATGCATCATGTCCCGCCAAGACCACCTTATCTTAACAAGCACTACATATTATTTCAAATACGAATAAATCTGCCCGAAGAAATTCGGCTCCCGAATCTTAATAATCTTATCTCATAAGTCATATTATGCACAAGTCCGTTGCGGATCATGCCCAATGTGGCATCTCTGCTTACGCCGCGTCTTCCTAGTCGCTCTCGCTGTCTCGCTTTTCGCTGCGCGACAACTCGCGAGATGATGATCTTTAGTGCTGATGATCCTGCAGAATTTGAAAAACTTGTAGTATTTGGAAGAAGGTCTTCCGAAAGAAGAAGGCAGGTTCAGGGATATAGACAAGATTGTCGATGTTGAGGCCACGTCATGGGAAGTGCCAAGACTTGGAGGAGAGTTATATAATGCCTGAAGAGAAGACGTCTCAAGCTTGATATCCCAACCATTTCGAGCCTTTACAAAGCTTTTTCAGTAATACTATTGTTGTTCAAGATGAAAGTCTCATGTTTCTTGTTGTCTCTCCTTCCTCTGACGGCGGCTGCAACGAGTATCCCACAACCTCGGGCAGTTTCTGCTCCTGAGCCAGCTACCTCCGCCGAATGCTGCCCCTTCACCTATAAGCCAACATGTACCAAGAATCTCGAACGTGTGTTTCACATCAAACTCTTCTACAACCGAAAGGAAGGCATCACTCCTGAACAGTTCAACGCGTACTGGGCCAACAACCATACCAAGACTGCGGGAGACTTTCACTTGCGATTTGGGGTTTACAAGTACTCACAGGTGAGCAACCCAAAGCTTAAACTAGTTACATAAGCTAACTTGTTCCGTAGTACCACTCTACCCCTGAGCTTCGAGACCTTCTTCGCGTCCCTGGCGCAGCTCCCGTGCTCGAGTTCGATGGCGCTGCGGAGTTTTGGGTGCCGACCATGGAGACCTTCCAGGCTATGGGATCCGACCCATTCTACAGAGATGTGATTACGCCTGATGAAAACAATTTCATTGATCATTCTTCTATGAGGATGATTGTTGGTTTTGATTATATCATGGTGGATAACCAGAACGCTGTCACGGAGCATGGTCGAACCTTTCAATAGACCATGGGTGAGAGACAATAATATTCATGGGACGGAGGCTAGACGAATGACGGGATATCGGACTTGATTAATACCATGCTAGAATAGACCGAAGATGAAGGCGCATATTTGTTACAGATAGACAAGCATTGTCTAGTTCTATGTATATTCAATATGATATCTTATTCACGCATATATCCTGAAAATCCACGTGACTCGGACCGCTCTACTCAAGTTTGATCTCAAACTTTCCAGAAGGCTCGGGCTTCGAGAGTGCCCACTTGATTCCATCCTCCATAACCTTGTCCCATCTCCTACTCTCGGCTAATTGATCTCCAAAGCGTCGGAAGCCATGCGGCAGACCATTAAAAACATGGACATCCGTGGGAACTCTGCTAGCTTCGTCAGATTGATTCTCATATACTGATACTCGACAACTTACCCTGCTTCAACAAGTTTCTGTCCATAAAAGAGAGCTTCATCTCTCAAAGGATCCAAGCCACAAATACCGAGCGTCGAGGGCGGCATGTTCTTGAGCTGCTCAACAGTCGCAAGGCCAATATTCAATCGAACATCCTTGGGATCCGGGTTCTGAACCTTCAACAGCCCAGTGAACTTGTCGAGCGCTGCCTTGTTGATCATCGGAGCTTCCGCGTTCTGAACATATGAAGACAAAGAAGGTTCCTTCATCTGCTCCATGATAGGTGCGTAGCAATCAGGGTGGACCAGAGCAGGAATCATCAAAACCTGACCAGCGAGCTTCGGTCGTGAAAGAGCATCGGGAGCGATGTTTTGTCGAAGCGTCAAGGAGGCTGCTAGTTGGGCACCAGCTGAGATTCCGCCAACTACGACTTGGCTAGGAACTCCGAGAAGTTCATCGATGTGGTCATGAACCCAGTGAAATGCGTCGACGGTGTCTTCCCATGCTGTGGGATAAGCATAGTCTGGAGCATGACGATAGTTCAGGTTGACGACTGTGACGTTTGTCATAACTGCGATGCGAGTACAGATGGCATCTTCGGAGGGGATGTTTCCAAAGACATAGCCGCCGCCGTGGAGATGGATGTAGATAGGAAGACGCGCTCCTTCTTTGGCAGAAGCAGGTCTGTAGGTTCGAACCTCTAGAGGAAAGCCATCTCTTGAAGTGACGGTGTAATCGTTCATGAGAATAGGGTAGTCTTTAAGTTTCTCCATCTCGCTCTGGGCCAGTTGTTCTCGGTACATGTTCGTAAGGCGCTGCATCTCCTTCAGGTCCAGATGACCTGGAATGGGCGGCCTGCTATCCGTGACGGCGAGCCATTCTGCTGTTGCATGTCCGTATTGAGTAAAGTCAGCCATGATGATACGTGGTTGATGATCCCATATGATATAGGGTATTGAAACAACTTTTGCTAAAATCTCAAGCAAGATATTGGGAATTTTGAGTTTTTGAAGCTATCGTGGGAAATGCCGAGGAAGAAGTCGTCGCATGATGTCCGCGGGTCCAAAGTTGTCGCCGAACCCCTCAACTTCGCCGAACTCGGTATAAGTGAGTGCCGAAGCATCCACATAAATCGGCGAGAAGTCCGAATCCTTATAAAATCATGACATTTCAAGATTATAATAATTTCTCACCATAAGTCAAGCTTTACCTCAATTCAAAGATTGTCAAGAAGTTGAATGTCGTTGTAAATACGTGGCTTGGGCACTCGGCAGTGACATTCATAACCAAGAAGTGCTCAACTTTATTAAGCGCGCCAATGACGATAGCTTCACAAGGCTAAACCAAGAATCAAGCGAACTACGTCACGATATTCATAGTTTACAAAAGGCCCGACAATGTCTCAACGTTACATAGAATCAGGGTCGAGTGCAACTATCCCCCGCATTTTAAGCCAATACCGAACAAGATCTGCATAAACTTCCGGGCCCGTCGGAGATGAATAGAAACTTTAAAGCTTCCTTGGTTGCCATAGTTAAAATGAAGTTTTCCTCCTTTTACATCTTGAATTAGTCAACAACAGTGCAAGATGAAATTCCTCAGCGCTGTGACTGGTGCGATAGCTCTTCTTCAGAGTGCTGATGCAGCCTCTTGGAAGGATTACAAGCCTCAGAGTCGCACGCCAAGTTCTTGTCCTGATTATGTCGACTATTCGCAGAAATCGCACAAGCCGCTGTCTTCTGGCAAGTTGAAGCTGCCGTTTATGAGACCGAGTGAAGAATGCAGGACTTTCAAGAGCCCCGCTGTTGAGGTGCGTTTTCAAACGTCTTGACATGAGGTCGTTCATGGCTGACTTGATGGTAGAAAGTCATCAGCGACATCAAGAAACGCGTCAAGAATCCTGATCTGGCTCGTCTCTTTGAGAATACCTTCCCATCGACGCTCGACACGACGGTCAAGTATTTCGATGCCAAGAAGAATCTAGCTTTCATTGTGACTGGTGTAAGTCTCTGTACTTTTATCAAGAGAACATTGGCTAATGAAATACATAGGACATCACGTACGCAAAAGTCTTCGTTTCACAGATATTCACTAACAAAGAATTGAAGTGCCCAATGGCTACGCGACACGGGCAACCAGTTTGCCCATTTGTATAAGCTACTTCCCCAGGACAAGAACTTGAAGGCCCTCGTCAAGGCTATCATCAACACCGAGGCGAGATACATCTCCGAATACCCTTATTGTGGTATGTGCCATTCTATTCGACCACTGAGTGACCGTGACGTAACTAAAGGTGTCAAGGTTCCTTCCAGCCTCCACCTGAGAGTGGTTTGAGCCCTTCGGTCAATGTATGAACCCCGAGGAGATGTTATATCATGACTGATCTGGCAATACCTCGTGTATCAATTTCTGCTAACGCGATTAATAGGACTACGCTACACTTGTTACCGTCAATCCGTGTGTTCTACCGAAAACCCCATGTTCTTCATATAGCCAGACTAACACCAGTGGTTCTTAGACCAGTCGATAACCAAACAGTATTCGAGTGCAAGGTGTGTCACCACCCTGACATGCTACCATACCGTTTTCTAACTACTTTCAGTACGAACTTGACTCTCTGGCTGGTTTCCTCAAGATCGTGCGATCATACTATGATAGTACCAAAGATGCTTCTTTCATCAACGACAATTGTGAGCTGATGGACTCCTAGTGTTCCTACATTTATACTAATAATCGACAGTCAAATCTGCGATGAAGCAAATCCTTCGAGTCATCGATGAGCAATCTCAAAGCACCTGGGCCGAAGACTGGTCGTACCTTAGCTACTACAACTGGACTGGCCAAGCAGGATCACTCTCACCACCAGTACCTAACAGCGGAAACGGCGAGCCCAAGCTCGCTAATGGTCTTGTTGCGTGCAGTCACCGTCCGTCAGACGACTTGTCCGTCTTCAATTACATCACCTCGGACAACGCCATGATGTCAGTCGAGCTCGATAACGTTGCCGACGTATTGGATAAAGTTGGAGGCCAAAAGAGCCTTTCTACAACGCTACGTGGTCACGCCAAGATCATTCGACAGGCAGTTTGGAACCATACTCTCACTTCGAATGGTATTTTCGCTTATGAGACTAATGGGTACGGCGGTCAGTACATCATGGATGACGCCAACGTTCCGAGTCTTGTCTCCCTCCCGTACCTAGGCTTTCTCAAGCGTGACGATCCGACATACAAGAAAACCAAGTCTGCTCTGTTCTCACGAGCAAATCCATACTACGCCGTTGGAAAGACATTCAGTGGAATTGGTGGACCGCACGCAAACGCTACTAATCCATGGCCTATGGCACATGTCTCAGCTATTTATGGAACAGATGATGACGATGAGATTATTGAGCGACTTAACATGATTTTGGAGAATACTTCTGGTCTGGGACTGATTCATGAGAGTGTGAATATCTACAATTCTTCTGTCTTTACACGACCGTGGTTTGCTTGGGCGAATAGTTATTTTGCGGAGATGGTCCTGGATTTGGCGGAGAGAAAGCCTGGGTTGATCTTCAAGGATGACAAGCCGTATGTCGTATAGAGCGAATCGCCTAGAGATGTGATAGAACACTCCTTTTGTAACCTGCAGAAACAGCTGTTCCTTAATAAATTGCCTCTCATGGCCATCGTGCTGTCTCACTGTCAACCTAAGGAACCTAAACGATAGAAAGGAAGTCGAATGCCGTCATGTCCGAGGTTTCCTTGCGGGTTTAAGCATAATAAAAAGACTTTAAACAAGTCAGAACTTTCACCAGGGAGTAATGAAGGTCCACAGGAAAAGTCAGACAGCATAACCAGTGCAGATAAATACTGAAGTAAGAGTGAGGCTCAGCAGTGGCCATATGCAAGATAACCCAACGCACAACATTACTAACAGCTTACAGGGCCTATGATTGGGGTCCATTCGCAAGGATAACTGCTTTGTCAGAGTGGACCTATACCGATAGCGAATGGGATCAGTGAAAGAAAACCAATAGAATGCGACTATCCACGAGGCGGCCGACCGAACGGCAACAGTGGCCAAAGAGATATCTCAGCTGGCATCGCTTAAGCTATTCTAGAGCAGTCGACGGAGACAAACGAAAATGCATCATTCTTAAAAAGGATGGTGCGGAAGAAACGCACCGTTGGATATGCACGCACGAGAAGCGAAAACTCGTATTGGTAAAAATCATATCAAGTTCCTTCACCGACAGCCCGACCTGCCATATGTCCTCAACTATAAAACCATCTGAATATGCCATCATCTCACAACAACTCAAGCTTCTCGAGACTCAGCTCCAAACCAAAATCCCACCGACTCCTACAAAATGCAGCTCATCAACCTCTACGCCCTCACTGTCTTCGCCACCTCGGCCCTGGCAGCAGACTGCTTCGGCAACGGTAACAAGGACGTCGGAAAGTTCATCACAGCTTATTGGGATGCTCGCGAGCGAATGTGCAGTAACTCCGGTTGTACTTACCAGGAGGCTTGCACCACCTCCGGATCTTATACTGTCAAAGGCCTTGGTGTAGACACTATCTTGAATGTTGAGATCAAGCGCAAGAACACTGGTGGCAAGAAAGGATTCAAGGATTGCTGGGTATGTATTCCAGCTTTGACTGCTGAGCTATGCTAATCAATATTGTGACCAGGACGCTACTGAGTATGTGACCCGATATTACATTTGACTTGTCTAATTCTTCTAGGGACATCATCAACCAGTGCCCCAAGGGTGGCTCGAAGCAATTGAGCGGATCGTGGGAGGCAAATGGTCAGCTGTATCAGATCAACGGATATTTCTCGTTCAACTGAGAGTCGACCAGCTTGACTCTCATCGTGAAGCAGCTTTGGGGAGGTGCAACATAGGAGAAGTTGATCAATTTTGAAGTAAAACTTTGCAAAGAGTGTTGTCTCAATGGATGAAGGTCGCAGCCAAGGCTCCATTCTGATAAATACCCTATCGGAGATGATTGAATTATATACCCCAGGTGAAACCCTCCGAGAAACTCTATTATTTAAGCTTCACATTCTTGAATCTATTTTTAGTCGCATTCTTCCTTGTACATACGTCGCTTATCAACGGAGTTTTGTTATGCCTACATGGAGGAATAATAAGCGTAAAGCCAAGACAGACGGCGCGCACGGCCCCTGCAGTAGGTATCGATAAGAGAGTTCAGGTCCGCAAATTGCTCTTTTCATCTTCATGTCGGTCCCTGTTTGTTTGTTGCATATCGCAATCTGGCTTCCGTTGCCTTTCCCCTCACCAGTACCAAAAGACTCATCTTAGCATTCTCACTCACGAGTGGTATGACTATGCCCGACTGATTAGGTTAAATTCCGTATGCGCGAACCGACTCAAGTTTGCCTGAGTACCTCTAGACAGATCATATGCGATGATCAGGCCATCTTCGTCTGGCGGTTCTCCCTTTACGGCTCGTCACGCATGCGAGATTTGCAGGCAAGTCAAGTCAATCCAAGCCGTCTGCGGATCGATATGCACTGTGTGCCGTTTCCGACTGCTGAACTGACGACTCAATTCGACGAGCAGAGAGCGAAAAGTCCGGTGTGACAGGGCTTTGCCAAAATGCAGGTTTGTTCCGTCCATCCCATCCCATACCATACGAGACCAAGCCAGTTCAGTCTGGCAGCGTATCATAGGTGAACGCACGTACGTGGCTATCGAAATGTGGAGCTGACGCTTTGGCCTATGTCCTGCAAAGACGATGCGAGCGGCTCAATCAACCTTGCGGGTACAGCCCAATTTCTCAGCGTCGTACTCGCGATGAACAGCTGCAGGAGCTCCAGGAGCGATTGGCCAAGACTGAAGCTCAGCTCGCTCTTGAGACCCCGCGACCAAGGACAGGTTCCATGACCTCACATTTACAGCCACCTTCCACCACTACTGCGCCCGTCTTGCCATCACGTTGGCCTGATGCCCTTGGCTCTATTACACCAGACACAAACACCCAGTACCATCTCGCGACTACGGCACCATCACGCGTCTCTAGTGTACTCGGATCTGCAGGTCCGTCAACTGGCCGTAACCCCATGGAGCTAGACTGCCACCGAAACATGGGCACGGCCATCGATCTGCCGACTAACAGCTCACCCATGCTAGATATTGATCTGTTCAATCCAGGGGCCGACTCCAACATGGCTTTCGACTGGTGCAATCAGCTTACAGCCCTGGAACCACTGGATAACATACTCCTCACTCGCCTATCGCCTCGATCTTTGGCTCATAGCGGCACCGAAGAGGAAATCTCGCACGCAGAACTAAATGCACTGCACAAGTACTACTTTGAATCTATTTACTTCTCCTTTCCCTTCCTGAACCAAGATCGATTCGCGGCAGAATCAATGGGAGGCGGTCTTGCTATAAGCGCCCTCATTTACGCAGTTGCACTCGCTGGATGCGCTCACTCATCCACTTCCCAGAACAAAGAGTCTGCTTGCTATATATTAGCAAGGAACTATGCAGAAAAGTGCGAAAGAGATGGCCAGTTGAACGAACTTAATTTGTTACAGGCCCTACTCTTTATCGGGAGATATGAGGCTATGGCTGGGAAGCTCGAGAGGAGCTGGATGACACTGGGGCGTGCTGTCATGCTATCCAGGCTGCTTGAACTGCCCTACATGGATAAACGAAATGAAGGCGATGGATTTCAAGACTCTCAAAGACATGATGGCTCTGGCCTGAGTCTGCCTGAAACGACTGATCAGGTTCTTCTAGAGGAACGAAGAAGGACCTTCTGGGCTTTGTACATATTGCTCAGTTACGTCAAAACACGTACCGGATGGCAATGCATGCTGGGCGATATAAAGGTAAGATAACCCTCGTCAACTTTCTCAGAGCGCTTTGACGCTAAACTCAAACCATCCAGAAGTTTCACATCAACCTCCCATCACCCGGGTTACTGAGATCCGATCTAGTCCCGCTCAAGATGCCCTATCTCTCAGATATAGGCCTCGAGCCTAGCACCGAGATCTCATCCTATGCAGGGTGCGTCCTCATGGTAGAGCTAGCCCTATGCTGTTTTGACCACGGACAAAAGCGGACTTCGAAGAGCTTCTGGGATGGCTACTGCGATCTTGTGAAGAAGACAGATGTGCTTTTCGGAATGCTGAAACGACACCTCAACGCTACATCTATCCGCGAGGACCCCGTTGCCTTCAGCCTGTATCTAAACCTCCGCGCAACTGAGATCTTTTCCCATGAATCAGCTATTGCTCGGAGCGAAGAGCAAGGTCTGCCACAACTGATGACGGCCGAGAGTCAACGTCGTGCTACGGCAGCTGCTTTTCAGATATCAACCGCAGTGCGCCTGAACCTCCCCTCACCGTGGAAGGCCGACAGCGACATCATTATGCTACAAGCCATATTTATCGCGTGGCCGCTGACCATGGCTCTGAAGGCCTTCCATCGCGAGCTGATGCATGGCGGTAGTCGCGACAGTATTAACGGCGTTGTTGCATCTTCGAGGTTACTGTTTGCCGCTCTGGGCCACATTGAGGAGTCGGGCGGACATTGGCATCGAAGTGTTGCACAGGTTGAGAGGAAGCTTCAGGAATGGGAAGAGAAGAATAGTTTTAACTCGCTTACGTTATGATGAACGAAGTTCTGGTCTCGGTTGATTTCTGGTTTGGGGCGCACTAATACTTTTATAGGGCTATTATACTTAAGCCTCGTCCGTTAAGCTTAGACTTTATCGCATTACATATAACAATTTTATGTTTGGTCTCTGGAAACCAAAGATTACTGCCAAGAGTCGAACTGGGTCATCTTGCTTAACTACAATGTATGAGTAATTAAGACAGTCTAGGCGGAAAATTGAGGAACCATGTCAATAATATTTCAGACAAATGGTTTTAAACTCCTTTGACAGCGCCCCGAATAGTAGTAGTTAGTGCCCGAGGCTGAACTGGATGCGGTGTTGTTACTAATGGTGTTGCGGAAAGAATTGAGGAAAAGGCTTGTTGTCTAAGTTCGTAAGTGTATTACCTCTATAATTCTATCTTGCTATCACACAGCTTGCACTCAAACTTTCACAGTATACTCTGGCTACCCAGGTATGCTGTTAATGCTACTCTCCCTCGAGACTATAACATGTTCTGTGAATGTTATCCCATTTATGTTGTTCAGTTCCGTCTCACTGCCAGCTGAACCTTCCAGATCCATGGGCTCGGCATGCCTTTGATGGTTCTTTCCCGTCCCCTGCCAGTAGACTCCCAATCCTCCAGTAAAACCTCCGAGTTCCCGGGAACGATTTAATAGTATTGCTGGGACACCCGATCGGTCTTCACTCATCAGTAATGTTGTTGATTTCAGGTTGGTGAGCTTTCGAAGAAGAGGTCGGACCGCCGTGAGAGCAACGACTATGACAGAGATGCAAATCTCGGCAGTTGCCCAAATGCCTAAGAGTATGTTAGATATAAGACTGAGGTGAGGTTGAGATGACTGACATATAGATATGGCATTATCAACATAGACCATGGTTACAAATCTACCAACGCTGACGGCGATTGTAATGACACCAAGTCCGAAAATAGCAGCTAGTCCAATCTTCTTACGCGTTGAAGTCATCTTGGGGGTTGCCAGTAGTGGGATCGGATATGCAACATTTAATTTGGGGTCAGGAATAGGAGTTTAAAGCCCAGCTAGGCCACGAAACTTGAGACTTACTCAGCACCTCGGATATAAAGTTCATAGACCACAGAAGCCGCATAAGAGTCATGGATGTGAAGGATGTACATTCCTGCTCTCCTTTTGCCCTAAATATCCCGTTAGATGTATCCTAGAGTTTTCCAAATTATGACTGACCAGTTGATCGAAGGATCAGGCCCGCACCAGAACCAATCACAGAAGAAAGTAATGACTGCGAAAGAGGTAGTGAGACCAGCTAGACAATAGAGCGCAATGCGCATTTTTGGCTGTGAAATCGGCACGAGGTTGAAATAGAATGCGATGATGCTGAATTTCGGAAAGTATATGCCTGTGTCGACGAATTGATTTGTTGCGAATCGGATCTGAGCAAGAGGATGGGATCAGTATATACGATAGCTGGTACACCGAAGAGCGAAGAAATGCCACGAATATAGTTGCATTTTATGCTTACCTTTTTAATAGCCACATTATCTATTGTGAAATCATCCATTGCATCCATGGAGTAGGTAATAGTGTCACAGATCAGCAAACCCTGGCAAGGCAACAAGCCAAGGATGAGCCAGTAGTAGGCTGAAAACAATCGTGCTTTTCTCATGACCAGGCGGACATAAATGCGGCAGGCGACTGTGATGTACGCGAGGGTCATGAAGGACCACTCAAAGCCCTGAAAGATCAGCATTCTACTATCATAAAACCAGGATGTCAACACGTACCATAACAGCCCTTCTGGATATCATATTGGCGATATCCCGTAGAAGGGAACCTGCGATTAGAAAAGGAAATATCCAGAAAACACAGTCAGATCACATTTCGCACACTTGAGAAAACAGGAACAGCTTTCCGACAAGCCAGCGAGGGGCACAGAGTGAGCGCTTATTATACAGACCATTATAGAGCCTGACATCTGGTACAAGACTAAGCTAGCACATCAGGGCGCACGCCACCGTAAGCAGGAATAGAGTTACCTGGCCCCAATCATGGAATGCCCAAACCGCGTTCGAGCGAATATTCCCCGCTATAACCGCGGACGAAGATTACGCCAAGCAACGAGTGTCAAAGCATAGACACCATCAAAAGACAATGGCTTTCTTCTTCGACGACTTGTGCACTATTGATTGTAGATAGCAAGCATATTTTGGCTGGTGACAGGGAACGAGGCACGGAGGATTGGACCATATCAAATGCCGATATTGAATATCTACCTATGATGCATCTACGGGCGAAATTCAGGCAGCGGTAAAGTCAAAGCAGAGCCTTAGTTACAGTGATGCGACCTCCTTGAACCCGGCCGTCCACTAGTCACTCGGGAGAATGCCACACACTCACGCTACTTGTCGATCGCACGAGGCAAGAAAAGTCAAGTAAAGCGTGCCGCTTGTGGATGCCAAGCTTCTCTATTGGACTGGCGCAAGCCACAGCGATGTGATTGACCCAGGCTTTCCGAGTCCAGGGACTGGGAACTTGAAGTGGCATATTTAGTGATGGACAAGAATGATTCCGAGGGAAGGGGTAATATAGTCTCTCATTTACGTGAAGGAATTCCGTCTTTACAATTTTTTCAAGGTTGTCTATCTCTATCCCATCATCTATGCCTACATTATCTCTTCCTCTATACAACATCCACAAAAATACCTTGAGAAACACAGATAAGCTCAGCGAACTTGGTAATTGTTAAAGATGGGCTCAGAAGTTGCTGGAAAGCAATATCCAGCCCCAATTCCTTGAAGATCCAATTCCGTAGCTCGGCACCAATCATGCTATCAATGCCGTGACTCGCGATCGACCGTCCAGAGCTTTCATCACTGAACTCCTCTACGTCGAGAAGAAGCACCCTGGCCAGCTTGGCGATGAAATGGTCGCGCACCAGGGAAGCGGCTTGCGCTGGTGAGTCGGCAGCCTTGACCCGGGATAGAATTGAGCCTGCTTCTCCATCGCCTTGATTCGCGCCGTCGAGTTGATTCATACTGTCAAGGAGGATAGAGAAACGCTGGTCCACGGCCCAGAAAGCATCAACATCACCGTCAGCCTGTTTTCTTGCCCTGTGGAGCTCGGCAGGGTCAAGGCCGACGACAAGATGATCAAAGCTGGCGCCATCATCTTGTTGACGCTGTTGCTCCAAGATTGACACCTCGAAAGCGTCCAGTAGAGCCTCCTCGTCAATGCCATACATACCCTTGCGAGTGAGCGAGTTCTCGAGGTCCAGATTCTCAGCAACTACTCCCACTCCGAGAACCATGGGGAGAATGACTGCACACGCAGGTTTGCCTTGAGAGCGACGCAGGCGAGCAAGTGCATCCATGTAGGAGTTTGCAGCCGCATAGTTACCCTGAGCTGGGGTTCCAAGGATTCCAGACACAGAACTAGTCATGAGGAAGAAGTCCAGAGGCAAATTGGCTGTTGCTTCATTAAGGTACTTACTACCGAGGACCTTTGGCTGAATGGACCTTGTCCAGCTTTCGTAACTCATGTTCTGGAAAAGGCCGTCCTGCAACAAGTGTTAGTTGAATCGATGAACACGTGAAAGTAATCACAGCTTACTCGCAAGACCATGGCAGCATTCACGATACCACGGAGAGGCGCATCGGATGGTATCGAGACTAAGGCTCTTTCGACATCTTCCTTGATAGCCGCATCGCCTCTGAAGACTTGCACCCGGGCACCTCGGGCTTCCAGGTCCCGGACGCAAAGGGCAGCCTGCTCAGAATCCGTTCCCGAACGAGACAGAAATGCAAAGTTCCGCGCTCCTCGCTTCATCATCCACGTCGTGAGGCTACGCCCCAGGCCACCGAGACATCCCACGAGGAGGTAAGTGGCATCCGAGTGCAACTCAAGGCGTGGAGGGGTGCGGGTTACGTTTACAGTGCTACCCTTTGTATGGGTGATGATGGTTTCGCTGCTGTTGAGAGCAGAGGAAAGGACGATTGAGCTGTTGATGTCCGAAATACTGCTAACGGTCAAAGGTGGGACAGGGAGGAAGCCGTCCCTATGGAGTCTCATAATACGCTCAAGGAGTCGACCAAGAACCTGAGGCCGCTTGAAGAGGCCAATGAGGTTGACTGGTAGGTAGCTTGCTCCGCGGGAGGCAGACGCAGAGTCCAAGGACGAGCCTACAGGCATCTTGCCACAGTTCACAAATCGTGACAAGGCCGGCATATTTCTCCACGACTCTTGTGATATTGCTGGCTCGACTGAACTGCCCGAGAACACCACGTCGATTTCGTATTCGTGAAGGAGCTCAGGAGTATAGTGAACCAAAATCTGGTCTCTAGAAAGGCCAAAAGAACTCTGCACCTCTTCGGCCTCGGTATCGTTCCCGACTGCGACGTAAACTCGACCCCTGAGCGCTTGTGTGACTCTGATCGCGGCTCCTCCAAGGATTCCTGAGCCGGGAAGTACAAGAACAGACTCCTTGGGCTCGAGCTTTGCAAGTGTCTCGAGACCATAGAGAGCAGGACCATAGTACATCGGGAGACCTGCAGTAGCCTCATGGTCTTCGGAACCATGGAGCCCTTGTACAAGATACTCCGAGACGCGCTGAAAGCTTGACAGCCTGCCTGCACTGAAGGTCACCACACGGTCGCCGGGCGACACCCTTGTAACGGCATTCCCAACCCGTGTCACGATGCCAGAGGCCTCATGGCTGAAGTCAGGGCCGGGAGAGGAGCCTGATATGACAGCTTTGTCTTCATCGGTAAGACCTGTTGCTATGACTCGGAACTCTACCTCGGTGGGTTGCAATGCCGCCCCATCGGCGTTACAGTGAGAGAATACAACCTTTCCAGAGTCAATCTTACCGTCCAGTCTAGCTTCTGGGTCAAAGGGCTGGGGCTGGGTCTCCTCGTCAGTGAGAGCGTATCTCTCGTTGATCCTGTCTAATGGAACAAGTCGGTTGATGAGGAGCTGGCCGTCTTTGGAAATGTACTCCGTCTCCAGTTCTTGCCCACCAGTAAAGAAGACCGATGCGAGATCTGATGTTCTTGTGCCAAATGCATCAGAAGCAAGGTCATCAATGGAAAAGTCCACAAGTGTTGCTTTAAGAGAAGCTCGTTCAGAACGAAGGGATCGCAGGAGCCCTGCCATCATCGCATACTCGGGGCGAGTCGTATCCTTCGATGCATCGCTGCAAGACATCCATAACACTTTGGAAGCCTCACTTAGGATCTTCTGGATGTGCGAAAACTCGTCTTTCGACATCCTGGCCATAAGAGGGGCTTCAAGATCAACCAAGGCGATCACATTGGCTCCAGCTGGGCAGGTCTCGCCTAGCCTCAAGCGCTCAGTCTTGAAACCCACCTCTTCAAGCTCACGCTCCAAACCATATACGCAGCTTGGAGGATCAGTGTGATATAGTAGCTGGATGGGTGCTGCTGTAGGGTTGCTGGTCTTTTCGATACGAGTGACGAATAAGGACTCTCCCAAGAATGATTCAAAACCGGAGAATCCGGCGTCTCTCAGACTTTGTTCTGTCAGAGCAGACATATCCCCTCCTAGTACGGCGCAACCGTCTTCTGAGAGAAGTTCGGAGATATTCTGAAGCTCATGGAGAGACGTGCTAGGGGCAGCGACGATGTCAAAAGAGCACTTGAGCTTCTCCTGAGACTGCGCCGTCAGATCAGCCGTCAGCACCAAGGGTTCCACAGATACGGTTGTGAAACTGCTCAGCTCATCAGTGACATCAGAGGTATGAGTAGCATCTGTGGCTACTGTAAGGCAAAGCTCAGGAAGTCTTGCCAGGAAAGCTGTAGCAGTTGCCGGGTCCGAAGTCAACACCTTCAATGCCGGTTTCTTGAACTGAGCGAGTTCAATAAAGTCGGCAAGTGATAGGTGGCTCTGGCTACCTCTGAGAAGCGAGAGGTCTGGCTTCGAGACAATCTGGCTATAAGGCTGTGGGCGAGTGACGTCTTCTAAGCTCTGCGGTATGGCAGCCTCGTAAGCAGTGCACTGCATGCTCTTGATCTCCATTAGGACTTGCCCGTCGCTTGCTAACAGCTGATTGTGGGCATTAAAAAGCCTCTGGCCACGGGGGTCAATCCAGGAGAAGGCCTTCGCACTGGAACTCCCATCTAGCTGAGCTTGCGTTGGCTTCCAAACAACGATCTCTTCGGCGGTGACGGGAACAGCGCCGAACTTCATCGCGCTGGCTCGACCGGCCCAGATGGCGACGATCATGAGCTGGAGGCAGGAGTCAAGAATGGCTGGATGAACTACGTGGCGAGACTCATCCTTCATGACAGACGTCTTGATGTTGGTCGTGGCCTGAGCACAGTATGAGATGCCATCAAACGTGATGTTATCCATATCTTGGAACGTAGGACCATAGTTGAAGCCAACCTTTTTCAAGGCTTGATTCCAGAGCTTTCCCGAGGCGCGCTGAGGTAGATTGGGTACAGTTCTGGCGAGGGCTGGACGCTTGTTCGTGTTTATGCGGATCCTGCCAGTCATATGGTTCTTGACGTGCCCTTCGGTAGATATCGATGAGGTGTTGAAATCCCACCATCGCATGGTCTCGTCTGTGCTGAGCCTCGAAGGCCTCATGTTAAACAGTGTCTCGATACCGTCGTCGTCATCTGGAGTCACGAGGGCTTGCTGGATACTGATATCCCTGAAGATGTATGAGTCAATCTCTAGCGGAGCTTCTGACATTTCATTGAGCTGCGTGATGGCTTCCATAGACATAGAGAGATAACCGGCCGCTGGGAAGACTGCTTCTCCGCCCAGGGAATGGTCGCGGAGCCAGGGAAGGTCCTTGAGACGCAGCACATTCCTCCATGTTGGCTCTTTCAAGGAGCTACCGATAGTAAGCTGGCCAAGGATGTCATGACGTGGGAAGCGCGGTGAGCGGTGCTCCTTACTCTCACGAGATTCAGCCCAGAACTTCTTGGCTTTGTCCCATTGGTAAGGGGGAAGATCCACAATGAGATGACCTCGTCGCGAGGTGATCTTTCCAGACGGAGATAGCTCCTCAATTGCTGTGATGCGATGCAGGTCAATGGGATAGTCACGAAGGAACAGTTCACCGGCGAGCTTGAGGACCTGCTCGGCGCACCGGGCGCCCCGGATGAGCGTTGGGAGATATTGGACTTTGTCAGCGCTCAAGTGTACCTTGATTTGCCGTATAGGCCCCGATAGAGCAGAATGAGGACCGATCTCAATCAGTGTGTCGATTGCCATATCCTTACGTGCGAGAGCAGTCTGCACAGCCTGGTTGAAAAGCACGGGGCTCGTGAGGTTGGCACTCCAGTACTTTTCGTCAAGTACGGTATTCTCTTTGAGGAACGAGTTTGTCACAGATGAGACCATCTTAGTCCTGTCAAACATGAGTCTAGGAAGGCCGTTTTCCCTAGAGTCTCGTAGGAGTCCTTCATATCTGTCCACTGCTGAGAGCATGTGGTGCGAGTGGTAGGCCTTTCCGTTGGTATGCAGGATGCGGGCAAAGGTTCCCTCGGCTTTGAGATCCGCCTCTAGCACCTTGAGCACCTCAACGTCGCCACTCAGAGTGACACCTTCAGGCGAGTTGTGGCATGCAATGACCACCCTGGGCTGGTGAGCTTCAAGGTATGGTGTAATGGCTTCAGTACCAAGACCAACAGCCATCATGGCACCTGCTGAGCCGATGCACTTGACAGCTTGCCCACGGTAGTAGGCTGCTAGGATGGCTTCACCTTCCGAGATGTATCCGGCTGTGAATGCAGCAGCAATCTCGCCTGAAGAGTGGCCTATAGTCACTGATGGGTGAATACCCCAGACCTTGAGCAGCTGTACCAGAGCGACCTGAACAGCGGTGCAAAGAGGCTGCGAGAACTCAGCCTCTCCGACACGAGAGGTAGGTTGGTTCTCTAGCAGACACTCCTCTAGTGTCCAGGAGGGGGCGTCTCCCAGATCCTCAAGTATCAAGTCCATACGACGAATTGCCTTGAGGAATGTTGGGTAGAGCGTGATAAGCTGCGCACCCATGCCTGCCCATTGCGCTCCTTGGCCGGTGAAAATGAAACCAAGCGTACGTGCTGTCTCATTCTTCTTCCCGACTATGAAGCCAGGCATATCGTCGGTAAAGGTGTTCTGCAAGGTGCTGGGTGTCGTAATTACCATGCCTTTGCTTTGGAATCGCGTACGGTGGTTGGCAAGAGTGAAAGACAGGTCGAGCAGACTGTACTTGGCGGCAACCTTGCCATGAGCTATGGCATTGCGCTTCAGAGCTCCAGCGTCGTGGGCTGAAAATACCAGCAGGTATGGTCGGCTTCGATTGACTGCTCCTCGTGCCAACTTGGTCTTCGTGCTCTGGCCGGGCATCGAATACCTGTAATTTTGGGGAATACTGAGCAGAGACTTGGGGCTTTCGACAATCGTGTGGGCGTTTGTACCGCCGTACCTATAATGGTCAGTGGTGGCTATGGCAGCATTGAAGTTTGTACGTACCCGAAAGAGTTGACACTCACTCGCATGACTGGCAAGTGTCGGGGCATAGGAGTTGCCTCTGTAGGCACATGAACCTTCCATCCTTTCCAGTCAATCTTGGGGTTCAACTCAGTGACACCATGAGTCGGCGGTATGATGCTTCTCTCCACCATCAAGATGGCCTTGATGACTGCAGACAGCCCACTGGCCGCTTCAGAATGCCCAATGCTCGTTTTAACGGCGCCAATGTTCAGTGGCCCATCTGCATCTGTCCTTGTAGCGTTCATAATGTCAGATACTGCGTGGACTTCGAGTGGATCGCCTATGGCTGTTCCGGTTCCGTGGCACTCGAAATACCCAGTGAGCATAGGGTCCAGTCCGCTGCGCTGATAGGCGTGTCTCATGACGTTTCTCTGTCCATCAAAGCCAGGATATGTAATTCCTACACCTGCTGCCTTTCCATTATTGTTAGTAGCACTTGACCGTATGACTCCGCGAATGGGGTTACCATCCCTCACAGCATCGCTCAGGCGCTTGAGGTAGATGGCGCCGACACCCTCAGCACGCCCGTAGCCGTTGGCGTAGCTATTAAAAGTGTGACAAGTCGATGTTGGCGACAGCACGCCCAATTTGGCTGTGTTCATGTGCTGGTCGACAGTGAGGATGAGGTTACTGCCACCAACGACTGCAGCGGAGCACTCGTGGGTTCGGAGCGCGTTGCATGCGTTGTGCAGAGCGTAGACAGAAGAGGAACACGCCGTGTTGACAACAATACTAGGGCCTCGGAGGTTGAAGACGTGGCTGACTCGGTTGTTGAGAAGACCGGGGTCGACACCGGTAGCTGCCAAGCTGTGGCGGAAGGAAGGCTCCTTGAAAGACATCTGCTGGAAGTCGGCAGTGAAGGTGGCCATAAAGCAGGCCGTATCGGATCCAGAGAGCTGGTCGAGAGTCAGACCGGCTGACTCGAAGGCTTCGTAGACGACTTCGAGGAGTTTTCGCTGTTGCGGATCTGTAACACTTTTAGCCAACATATTGGAGGAGCATTCCCAAAAGAAAAGGCGACTCACCCATCCATGTAGCTTCAACTGGTGTGATACCGAAGAACCCGGGATCGAATTCTTGCAATGTTTCGTTGAGAAAGTAACCGCCGAGAACGCCAAAGCTACCAGGACGATCATTATTCGGATGGAAGTGTGCATCAATATTGAATCTGGACGCGGGAACCTTGGGCGTCTGGCCGCTCCTCTTCTCCATCATCAACTTCCAGAAGTCAGATGGAGAGCTGACATCGCCCGGGAGACGGCATCCTGTAGTCAAGCAGTCAGCAACACAGGCGCATATCGAGGAAGCGATAGAACTTGCCCATTCCCACAACTGCGATAGGCTCAAGCTGCTCGCTCAATAGTGGCTCGTCTGGCGAAAGAGCTGCATATTCATCGTCGCTCACGATGCGTTGATTGGAATTATGTGGATCGAGATCGATACCCGTGGTCGACGAGCTTGAAGATGACTCCCGGAAGTGAGGCATTGTCTTTATACCGAGCGGATTTGAGATGCGATGTCTGTTCCAAGATGTAAGCGAGTGAACAAGGGATCTGAAGTAAAAAAAGAAGGATCTCTGACAAACTATTGATAAAGATGCACAATTCTTTGCTTGGTAGCTGATACTGAAAGGTTGATTATGAAGTACTTTCTGTTGTAAAGTCGAGTATCTTTTTCACATTTATATTCGCAAATGTCGTATTCAGCCCCCAAATTCATTCTCACAACACTCTTGGCTTTGAGCACTGGTACGTAGCCGAAGGCCCATCACGTTTCACTCGTCGGAAAAGACCTTATCGACGGAATTGAATATTACTGAGCCAGATTCGGTTGCTCCGATGGCGGCCGTTTGAGAACCGCTGCACCGCGGCCGATTCGGACGAATCCCTTCGGCCGTCCGTAGGGTAGATCATGAGCGGACCCGGAACGGGCCGGGCCGCCGGAATCAGAGCCAAGAGATAAGCAGGCGGAGTCTTGTATGACCAATACCTACTAAAGACAACTTATCGTTTCTTCCACTCGGGACCAAGTTCAAGGGTTTGCAGTATACACGAATTGCATTCTCGACTTGAACAGCATGACGATGAACCAAAGTATGGAGATGTTTGATGTTATTGTGGTTGGTGCAGGTAAGGCGTTGACGCAATGCAAGCTTTTGATCCGACTAACAGGACGTAACAGGATGGTATGGGTTGATGGCTGCCCGAACATTTCTCGAGCTTGCTCCTGAGACGAACCTCCTCATCCTTGACGACGGCAAGACAGTCGGCGGAGTATGGTCCAAGGAGCGTATCTACCCCAGCCTCTTCGCTCAGATCAGCCACCCTTTGTTCGAGTATTCCTTCTATCCCATGCCAGAGGAGGATGTATCACCCGATGGGTTTGTATCTGGGAAGACAATACAGAAATACCTGGAGAGCTTTGCCAAAGACCATAACCTGATGCCTCGGTTGCGTCTCAACACCAGCGTTGAAAAGGTGAAGAGAGGCCCCGAATCGGATGGCTGGGTACTCAACATCAAAGAAAAGGAGCCCTTGGCGTGTCGAAAGCTCATATACGCCACGGGTGCCAACTCGAGTCCCATCATCCCTCAATGGCCACGAGAAGACTTTGAAAAGCCTGTTATCCACTCCCTCGAACTTGGAAAGTACCAGGGTTATATAAACGACAGCGCACAGCATACTGTCGTCGTCGGCCGTTCAAAGTCTTCATACGATGCGGTCTATCATCTGCTATGCGCTGGGAAGAAGGTGGACTGGGTGATGCGTGATGGAGAATCTGGCCCATTTAGCATCTATGCGCCAACGTTCATGGGGCTTTGGAATATTGCTGACCATATCTCAACTCGATTTGCCTCGAGCTTCAGTCCCTGTATCATGTCTACCTCTGGAATGTGTTACAACTTCTTCCAGCGTAATGCCTTGTGACGTCTTTTGACCAACGTGTACTGGCGAACTGCGAACTATATCTCAGTATCTCACGCAGACTACTGGAGAACACCGAATGCCGAAAAGCTGCGACCTAGGCCCTATAGCGATGGGTAAGACATTAGACTCCCAAGATATCACTGTTGTAGTTGTTTGACTGACATTCCTTCACTGCAGAGTATTTTGGGGGAGTGGTGGTATTGGCATCGCTACCGCCCCTGACTTTTGGGAGACGTTCCATAACGGCGACGTTACTATTCATTCGACCGAGATCGATACTCTTTCCCACAAGGATGTCGTGAACCTGAAGAACGGATACTCCATCGCGAGCGATATCGTGATTCACTGCACGGGTTTCGATAAGGGGTACGATGCATTCGAACCTAGTCTCAGACGTGAGCTCGGTCTGGAGTATGACTCCAAAGAATTCTCCCGATGGACGATGCTTGATGAGAAAGCCGAAAGGACTGTTGACGGGCTTCTGCCATACCTTCGTGATGCGCCTATCCAATACGGCGACTCCAAAGCAAGTAAGAGAACCGGGCACGGCCCCAACAGACATTACCGCCGTCTAGTGGTACCTGAGCTGGCAGCGCGGGGTGATCGATCGATTTTGTTTCCCGGGCACATCCATTCCGCATTCACGCCACTTGCAGCTGAGCTCCAAGCGCTTTGGGGCGTGACATGGATGCTCGGATGGCGAGACCTGCCACCAAGAGAAGAGATGGAGGCTGAGGCCGCAAACTTCAATGCCTGGACGAGAAAGAGGTATCTTGATCAAGGCAAGAAACATTCGTATTTCATATACGACTACATTCCTGTAAGAAAACTTTGGGTGCATGTCCGTGTCACTTCATTTTACTGACGGCGAGTAGTATATCGACACTCTGATGAAGGACCTCGGGCTCAACCCGTTCCGTAAGAGCAACGTTTTTGAAGAATGGTTTGTGAGATATAAGCCAAGTGACTACAAGACTATTCTGGACGAGTACATGAGTCTTCGACGTCATCAACACGAGATTGAGGGAACAAAGGCGGAGAACGGAAAGGCTACGTAGACAATATGCTGTGAAACACGATGGAACGTATCCAAATTAAGTCTGGGCCCTAGTTACTAAGTTTAGACACGACACAATTGCATTCTTTTCTTCTGACAGGCAAGGAATTAGTTTCCGAAAATGCTTAGCTGTCGTGATCAGAACAATGCTGGGCAGTGCAGCTCCCATTGAGCTCTCTGAACTGATACTCCTCCAAGCATCTCATTTTGCAATAGTTCTTCGGATACATTCCTGCCATATTTTGAACTCATCCTTGGCGGTCAGTGCTAAGTCGCTGCTGAGCTGTAGTTCGGCGTCACACTTGGATATGACCAATCGGCTGTCTTCCTCGGTGTCGAGCGGACTAGCGCAACAAGCGGAGTTGGTATTGACCAATCGCAGGTCTTGTAGTGCTCCGTCAAGACGGCCCCACTCTGTCCGCGTCCGCCCCGTGTCCGTCCCTGCTCTCGTATAATCTCGCTGCAAGTCTTCTACTTGACAAAAATGCTCCCCTTTCGTGCGGAAAACCAAAAGCTACCTTATAATTCTTCACTATCAAAGTACCAAGATCCCACCTGAATCCACACAACCATGAGTGATCAAAGTACCGAGAAGCCTGCAGGTGCAGCACCAAGAAGCCCGCATACTCCCGGCGACCTCGCTGGTAGTAGCGACGCATCTCTCCATGAAACCGGACAGCGTAGCATTCAGGGATGGAGAGTGAGTGCTTCCGGAAATCTTGGCCTTTCAAGCTATCTTGCTAACATAGGATGACTTCGTTTAGTGGGCCGTTGCCTATGCAGCAATGCTGTCTACAACGCTCCTCTTCGCTATCGACAACACCATCGTTGCAAACATCCAGCCTAGTATCATTAACGACTTCGGCCATCTCGAGCTCATGTCATGGATCGGTACGGGTTTCGCTCTCGGCACCATGTTCATTCTGCTCTGGGGCAAAGTATATGGCGTCTTCAACATCAAATGGGTCTACATCTTCAACATCTTCCTCTTCGAGGCCGGGAGTGCTGTATGCGGTGCTGCACCTAATATTCAAGCGCTCATCATCGGCCGTGTCATCGCTGGTATCGGTGGTTCTGGAATGTATTCTGGCACTTTGACATATGTCTCGGTCCTTACCAACCAGCAAGAGAAGCCAGCTTACCTTGCTGGAAGTACTGTTGTGTGGGGCATCGGCAGTGTTCTTGGTCCTGTAGTAAGCTCTAACTCCCAACCGGCCGTTGACTTTATGCGGACTGATCATTCTCGATAGGTTGGTGGCGCATTCGCAGCAAGCAGCGCGACCTGGAGATGGGTATGTATCTTTAGTTCTTTCTCTTATTCAACACTTACTTACTCGATACCCAGGGATTTTACATCAATCTTCCCATCGGCGCTGTTTTTGCCCCTGCGTACTTCCTTCTATTTCCCAGTACCGACCCCAACCCTACTAAAACTCTCGCGGAGAAGCTCCGCCTTGTCGATTGGATTAACGCAGTCATCTTCCTGGCGGGATCTGCTTGCTTGACCGTTGCGCTGACCTTCGGCGGTGTCGTCTATTCATTTCACTCAGGGACCATCATTGCACTCTGGACCGTCACCGGCGTTCTCCTGGTGGCCTTTATAGTCCTACTTAAACTACATCCTCTAGTCTCCAAGGAAAACCGCTTGTATCCCTTGCACTTCTTCAAGAAGTGGATTCTGATCAACATGCAGCTCCAAGTCTTCCTATCTTCAGGCATCATCTTAGTAGGTCACTGAGTATCGAAAGTAATACTTTGACTAACCAAGTCCAGGCCATGACTTACTTCGTCCCTCTGTACTTTCAATTCATCAAGGTAGGAGTTCCGACTGTATTATGAAAGATTCTCACTGACATCTTCAGGGTGACGGAGCACTCGAGACTGGTGTTCGTTTACTTCCTTTGATCATGTTTATGGTTGCTGTCTCAATGCTGAATGGCTTTCTGATGCCAAAATACGGACTGATTCCTGTTTGGTACATCGGAGGTAGTGCCCTTGCGCTCATCGGTAGTGCTCTAATGTGTAAGTTGCTCATCATTCTGATAGTCTGTTCTAACACCCTCCAGACACCATTGATGACACCACATCTAATGGCAAGGTATACGGCTACAACATACTTGTTGGAGCCGGAGCGGGATGCTATATCGTCGCTGGGTTCGCCATCATGCAGTCACTGGTTCCCACCCACGAAATTGCCAATGCAGTTGGTGCCATGACGATTTGCAAGTCTCCCCTGGCAAACTATTCGGCGTTGTCTCCAGCTAACCTTGACTCTAGCCCAGGATCTCGGAATGGTACTCTTTCTCGCTATCAGTGGCAGCCTGTTCCACAACGTCGCCGTTGACAAAGTCGGCAACGCCTTGCCAACAGCCTCCGACACTGACATTGGCAACTTGATTGCGGGCACCAGCAGCGCCGTGTTCAAAACTCTCTCTGAAGACGAAAAGGCCGTGGTCATCCCAGAGATCGCGAGTGCTATGAGGAGCATCTGGGCCTTTTTCATGGCGGCCGCTGCGCTCAGTTTCGTGTGCGCTTGCCCACTAGTGGTAGGTGTCTCATTTCATACACATGTTAGTTGACTGATACTAACCCGCATCAGAAAGCTAAGCTTGGGGGAAAGAAGATGGAACCAACCGCGATAGCCTAAAGCGTGGTGAGACCTATTGGGGTATTATAGATGAAGAAGACCGACTTGAACATCCATTATGTCGGCGTGTCTAGGATCTTTTGTTGCTTGGAAGATAGTTGATATTCTCTTCTACTTTGACTACAAAATTGTAACAACAGTCATACAGTAAAATAAACATTGGTTGTAATAAGAGATGATGTATAATCTTGAGTCAACCCGCATTACTTGCCCAGATTTGACTGCTCCCCGAAGATGCTGCCGAGTAAGCGAGTCTATCTGTAATACTTATGGATTTTGAATAGAATACCGTCACAAGGCTCTGCAGGTGTGTTGATTCAACCACCTGCATGGAAACCTCTTGATCCCACGCATTTATGGCTGATCAGTCGGTAGTTACACCTCTAGGGGTAGTGAATAGTATGCGTGAACCTAGATTCGATTACTAGTTCGAATTCGAGACAAAGAAGCAGAGCTCAGTAAGGCTTCCTCCAGCTCGTGTTGAAGGCTTCGACAAAACTTAGAGTGTCCCTCCCAAAGCCAGGCACATGGTCCTCAGAAGCGATGAGATGAAATAACCACAAGGCCAACCACAAAATTACCAAGACTCCCGATATATGCGGGAAAATAGCTTCAAATCCGCCGTTCCAATTACTCCAAGACATTCCTGTCTTCTCCTTCTTCGCCACCTTGCCCTTCATTGCATGCTCCTTCTCCGCCTCCATCGTGTCTTGCCAGCCCAGGATCCCTCTTCTCTCTTCAAACTCGACATAGTTCAGTTTAGGCGCTGTAACGCATAGACCTGCAATCTTCTGGGCCAATGTATCGAGTCCTATGACGGGCGTCAACCATCTCTGGGTGATGTATGCCTTCCATCCGTCATAAGCTTGCTGTCTCGTCAAGACACCTCTGGCTTTGACTATGGCGCGAGCACGGTCTACTCGCGTGTCTTGATACTCCTGTCGCATGGCATCTTGTAGCTCTACGTCACTGGGCTTTTTGTTTGGGTGCCTCGCCAATAGAGCATGGAGCGTGTTCGCGATTACGACGGCATCTTCCATCGCTGTGTTGCCTCCAAGGGCCGAGTTCGGGGTGACCTAGATAAGTCAGCCCTGTCAAGATACTAATAGAGTATCTTTCATGGGAACGCGTACCTTGTGAACAGCGTCTCCAGCCAGAACAATTCGGCCGGAGGTCCAATGCTCCAGAACTCCTTCTTCAAGTGATATCATTTGTGCTTTCAGACGTCGCTTCCACAACTCCCCAAAGACGACAGTATCTGTGACAGGACGCTCAGATATCTTACTCACGAGCGCCTCCATATCGGCCTCAGTATAACGTCGGCGCGAGGGCCACGTACACTGCTGATCTTCAGGGAGCTTGTTGTGCACAATGATGGATATCCAGTCTGGCTGGCAGAGGAGGAGAAAGGAGTACTTGTCATTGGAAGTGATTTCCATGTCGTGAGAACCAATACCTGGGACTGGCGAGCTTGCCATTACAATGGCATCGTATTGAGTGACCATAGCTTCAGGCTGTGAGCAACTAAGAACGTCTGCCATAAGGCGATATATACTTACCTCTCTTCTCATCAACTGTGATCATACCAGGGCGCAGAGCGTTGGCTTTGTCCCACATGATTTCACGGACTTTGGAATGGACGCCATCAGAACCAACTACTACATCACCAACGAACTCACGACCATCAGCTAGAACGACACGGGCTGACGAGTTCTCTTCGATAATATCCTCAACACGGGCCTTTTCGTAAACTTGAGACTTATCGGGCAGCAGTTCGTAGAGCTGACGCAGGAATACTTGGCGGTCGAGTGTCCTAGTATCATAACCCGCGCTTCACATGATTAGTGAGTGAGCCCTAGCTAATATGCGATTGTACTTACAACTTTCGTACAACACCAAAGAAGTCGTTAGAGGCAAAGCTCTTGCCGGTGGGATCACGGCAATGCGCGCCGCCCATGGTATCGCACTTCGCAAGCACTGCGTCCAGGCAGCCTAACTGGTGTAGAATTCGACATCCGTGCGGCTGAAGCGTGATAGTGGTTCCGAAGCTCGGCGCCACTACGCCCTTGTCCAAGAGGACGAAGTCGATGCCTGCTTTGGCTAGGCAGTGAGCAAGCGTAAGGCCTGTGACGCCGGCACCAACGATGATGACTTTGAACTGCGAGTTTCCCTGCATGGCGACAAGTATTGTTGGAGACTGGAAGACGTTAGGATTTTCTCATGGGAAATTTCCTTTAAGACTCAGAGTTGTCGTCACTATGAGACGTCCAAACCCATTTCGATGATAAGTTGAAGACGGGCCCGACCGGAGGACCGGCGCTTCGGTTCCGAGCGCGGTGGGTGGAGCGCCGTAGCCAATAAAGCGGGAGCGGCCGTTGGATGCCGTCCCGATAGCGCCGATCCGCCAAAGGAAATACGCACCGAGTGCAACATCACATCCCGTACTATCCACCAAGTTTAGCATAAGAACGCATACATACTTAGTTAGACATCTGACCGTCCTTCCCAGCAAGAATTATATCGTCAACTCCTCTTTATCAGACCCAGATTCATACCATGCTTCAGACTTCAAGAAATCAGCTCCTCTACCTCAGTGCCTTGGGTGTATAGGGTCTCTGGGGTTATGCCTCATTCAACGGCATGTTCCACCGCCTTGACACACTCACAAAGTCACTCCAGTTCCCAGACGGTAGACCCCTCCGCTCCTCGTACACAGGCCTTGCACCACTAGATGCCCAGCTTTCTCTCGTCACGGCATTCTACGACGTCCTCACAAACTCTCTCAGCTCCGGCCCACGCTTGTTGTTCTTTGACATCAACTATGCCGTCGTATGCGCAAGCCTATGGACGCTCATTGAATCTCGCCGTCGTGGCGTGCGTTCCAGGTTCCTGAGGTATCCAGCGTGGGCAATGACTCTCTGCAACTTCAACGGCGCTGCTATTGTGCTACCGCTGTACATGTATCTGCTCTGCCGTAGCAAGGCACGCTTACGCGACTCTGGCGTACCGTTGCACGACGCGGTAGCTATGCTCGTGACAGCGGTGGTGATGCTGCTTCAGCCGCTGCTCATTTTTGCACCAGCGTGGTTGGGCTTCGATGGGAGCGAAACCCATCATTGGTTGATTGCCCTCTTTCAAGTGACCCCTATCCTTGTTCTTGGCTTCTATCTTGGCCTTTCATCAATTCTCCCTCGAGGGCCCGTAACACCAACATCACCCAAAGAAGCCAAAAGGTGGATTGTTGCGTCTCTTATACTTGCTGGCATCGTCGCTTTGGCCGTGCACATCTATACTGTGATCGGCGCACTACGAACTCACGATAGCGATGCGTCCCTCACAAGACTTTTTGTTCCTGCTTGGGGCTTTACTGATCCAGGCACGATCCTCAAGACTACTGAGGAAAGATCTGGAGAGTATGCCGCGCTACTGGAAAACCTTCACCTGTTTTCCCAATGGGATTGGATCGTTGTTTGTCTGGCAACCATCGCCTTTGTCCACTTGTTTCTTTCTCGTCGGGATGGACTCAAGGTAGACAAGTCTACATCGCCACACGAGGTGCAAGAACTGGTCTATCTTGCAGTAGCTACAGCAGTTCTCGGGCCTGGAGGTGCTGGTTCATTTGCACTTGCCATCCGAGAAGCTAGGATCTGATTTGACGAGTACTTTGAGACCATACCTCTCACCGGATACTCAGAAGTGCTCCTCAAGAGAAGTGAAAATAGTCAGGACTTTTGCAAACTAGGATTTTATTTCTATCCTGGCTCATATATATGATATACGTAAGACGAGGATTATCTAGTCGAAATCACCTCTCACTTTCTTTCAGGGCGGAAGCGATGCTGTTGGTCCACTTGATAAAAAGGGTTGAACTTCTAAAGCTGGTGATTCCACTTCTCTGAACCCATTCTCACCTACTCTTGTCATCTCCGGCAATACTACCCCCATCAACAACAACAATCAGCCTAGTGGCAAAATTAGATAAGTCAGCCCTCTCAAGATACTAATAAAGTATTCTTCATGTTATTACCAGCAGCGATCTAATTTCTGTTCGGAAAGACTATTGGATTCCTTTAATATTGGTATCAGAATTTAGCATACACTTTGAGCATATACACCGAGCAAATTTCTTTTAACTGACGACTGCCTTCTGATATTTATCACAACCTCAGAGTTTATAATTCCTACTTCTTCCTAGAGAATGTTTGGACCTTGATAGCACAAACGGGGCCTGGGCGATCCTCCACAAGTTTCAATGTAAACTCCTTATCCGACGACCTCGTTTTCCCAGACACAATGACGGAGAATGACCCTCCACTAGGCAAGAAACGCCTGGAAGTTGAAGTCGGATCCTTCTGTGGCAGTGGCTGCAACTCGTACTCGTATGAGGTCACCCCACCAACTCTGCCATTCGGCTCGTGTAGCTTCGTCTGGAAAATATCATCTGGACCACTATAGGAACATTTTCCGTCCTTGGAATCGGGGGCAGTGCTGAAAGACTCGTTGCTTAACAGGCACACGGTGTCTGAGCCAGTGGTGAAGCCAAAATTGATAGAGAGAATCTCAGTATCGGATGCAGATTTCTCAGCATTAGGCGTAGAGATGAATTCGATGCTCGAACTCTCGGTGTTCTTGCCGGTGATTTTGAAAGAGAAATCTGCATCCTTGGGTATCTCTATTGGTGTGATGGTATAATCGAGCGAAGTCGAAGGGGGATCATCGATCTTCTTGAGCCAGCCATTGTCTCCTCTCATACTGTCGACGAACTTCTCTCCTGGCGTCTTTTCTGGTTCCGGTCTGCCATACACCATGTAGAAGATCGAAACAACCAGACCAATTACCATAAGTACTTGTCCAGTGACAGGGATCAGGGCGCAGGTAGAGAACAAGCCAATGATTCCAACAATAACGGCCGCCGTCTCAATAGCGATCTGTGCTATCGCCAATCCTTTACCAGTGCCGGAAAGATGATCCCATTGGTTGCACAGCTCCCAGATCAGGAATGCGACGACGACGACACTTATAGCGATGCCAAGCCAGCGTATGACCCTTGATGAAAGCGAAAGCCTTCCTCTCATTCTTCCAAACCACGTGGTCTCACTTGATGTCCTTTTCTTTCCTAGCTCGAGAAAATCCTTGGCGTCAGCTGCGCGAACGTCGAATTGAAGATCGAGATCGTGGGCCTTTCCAAGGGCATACCCGGGCAACTTCTCGCCACATGTCTGGTTAATCACCTGGCACTGACCTACCAGCTCCCTGACATTCTTAGCTTCTGGTCAGAGGAGGAAAGGTGTGAGGATGTCGAAAACGCCCTTTGTTACGTCCGTGGTAACTCTTCCTATTTGCGCTGCGCTCATGTCTTTGCTTCCCATGACAATATTATAGATACTGAATCCGAGGAGAGTCATCTAAGTGCAAATTCGTTAGTCGCTACTCCCACTCGGTGGTCTCTGGGGACATTTGAAATTGGCGTACCTTGAACGCTAACCCAAGGCCTTCCCATCCAGACTTTAAATTTACCTCCAAGAGGCTCTGCCCCTTCAGATGGTCCCAGTTTCCAAACTTCACACGCCTCCACGAGCCCATTCCTATAATCATGGCTGATTTCAATCCCAAATCTGCCCAAACGAGGATGTGGACCATGTCAGCGTAGTTCTTGGCTACGAATTCTTTCCCGTTCTTTTCGAAAATTTCCCGATGAGCAGCCATGAAGGTGTCCAGCTCCTTTCTCAACAGATCTCTCACTTCTTTGTCGATTCCCTCGTAACTCTCGTTGAGGATGGCGTCGATGAAGCTTTTGGTCATGTACGGCAGCCAGTCCATCACTGCATCCTTGTTAACTCGCTGGGTCATGGCGAAACCGAGAAACTTGGTATATATCGCGTCTCGGAAACGCTCATGATAGTTTCCATCTGGATACAGCACCCAAAGGATTGTGGTATATCTATCTAGGATCCGTGAATTGCTTTCCATATCCTCCACGATATCGTCCATCTTGACGTTGAGGAGTTGATCTAAGTATGCTTGTGCCCACTTCTCCCCGCCGTCATTGATGAAATTTTGCAGGACGGGGAAAAGCTGTTTCAAGGCTTCTAGGAGGCACAGACGATTGAGAGTCGAATTCTCTGGGCATCTGGCAAGACATCTTGGACCTTGTCCTTGCCAAAAGTACAGAATCCTCTTCTTCTCATCGTCTGTAAAGTTGGACCGCCATTCTCGAGTTTGCAGACTCTGGGCAATTTGAAGGCAGGTATAGGCTGGGCCAAAGGTCTCCTTTATCCACTTGAATAGATTTGATGGGAGATTGCTGCCGAGATGGTCTGGTAACTGTCGAGTGTCCTTGTCCTTTGAAGAGAGTAATGAGGCATGGCTCTGATCCATGTGATAGAACATGATGTTCTGGAATATTTGATCGCTTGTTGTTTTTACCTATTATCAAAAGGAACGAATATTAGTATTCTGATCAGCACGCCACGCTTAAATACGCCCCCTACGGAATTGCTTACCGTATCATCGTTATATTTTGCGAAGATGGCATGAAGGTTTTGCAGTGCCAAATCGCTTTTGCCGACCGGTGGCTGGAAGATCGGCTCCTTCTGTGGCGTTGTCTGCCCCCCAGTTGGCCCTCCAGTAGGTATTTCTCCTACGATCTGGCCTTGACTTATTCTAATCGGTACTCTCTGTGAAGCAGAACCCGGGCGTGACGTTATCAGGTGTCTGTTACATCAGTCAGTACCGAGAACTTCATACGCAGTTGATCAATGCATAATTACCTTACGCCTTCAACGCCCTCTCTTGAAGGGTCTTGGTTATACTCCCACAGTATTCCAGAGTCAATTTCACTCTTGTCGTCTGAAAAGTTCAACTCCAGCCTAGCAAACAGCAAAGGCAGTTTAGCTTCTTCTCCGAGCTCGTCCTTGAACGTTAGAGTTTTGGAAGGATCCTCGGCGTCCTTTGTGTCTTCTAAACTCTTCAAGTTTTCCAAAGTCGTCGGTGGAATGGTGACGGTGGCCTTAAGTCGCCCATTGTGCATCACGGTCGCCGTCTCATACAACCGCGAGATCTTCAAGGTCTCGTCGCTCTGCTTGCGATTCCATAAAGCCAAAATGGTGTCCAAGCTAGGGATCGCGATATCAGTGAATAATATTCCCGGGTTTCCATCTGATATGACTCGCTGAGTTGTCAGTTGTATAGGGCCGAAGTCGAGTTGTCTCTGAAATTGTACTTGGTCCTTTTGTAGGTGCGCTTCGTCGTAGACAACGTTATGCATACTCCCGCGGCTTTACTTCGAATCTGATATCCACCGCGGGAGCAGAGGTTCTGGGGACTGTCTCCGCGCACTTCTGACGCCCTGATCTCGTCAACTGTTGCTATCTTTTCTTCTTCCATATCGAAAGACTTGAACATCATCTCACCGTCTGGAACTTCTATGGGCCCGTCTATGTTATCTTCAAGGGGCTCAAAAGATGCTGCTTTGAAAATCAGCTCCTGTTTTGTGACACCTGCACTGAGAGCGTCCATCTCGAGCTCGCATTCAGAACCATAAGTCATATACTGAAACACTGGAAGCTCCAACAAATCATCTCCGTCGTAGTCTGTACTGTAGCAAATCCGTCCAATGCCAGAATGATAACGTGGGTCTTGTATCGATAAAACGCCATGTTCAACTATGTTCTGGCTGATAAAACGAGACCATCTCACTTCGCTGTTGGCGTTATCGACACGGCCATACTCGCAGACGACTCCATTTACTAAAATAACTCCATCGAACAAAGTTACAACAGGGAGTGCGTACGGAAGCTGAGAATAGTCCACAGTAGGTATCTCCTCTGGATTGAAGCATACCGAAGCATGCGCAAGACCAGCTAGCTTGTTTTCGGTGACATTGTACATCCGCGCAGTCAAGTTATTCTTTGCTGCGTCGACTTCGCGCTGAACCATCTCGGAAACAGTTGCTATTCCGAATCGTTCAAAGAGAGGATTCAGTTCTTTCAATAACTGCAGAAGGCGCACTTGATCCTGCTGTGAAAATGTGGCAAGCGTGGAACAAATTCGTTTGAGTGTAATCTCTGGGTAGTTAACCATGACCAGGTAGTCATTGGCGTGGTAACTTCCCCGACCCTCGCGAAGATGGACACCGTAGACCTCAGTGACCTCCGGCATCTGACGCCAATTAATGCCCAGAATGGGAACTTGGCCGTATGTCCTCCCATCTTTTCCCAGGCGGTATAGAATGTGACCAGCTGAGAGTCGACCGACTTCTGCCCAGGGGTTTTCCTTCATGGCGAGCTCTGCATCGAGAGCTCGGAAGCCAGTAGTCGTGTGAAAGACGTGACCGGCGGTGAAGAACGGAGCTTCGTCATCTATGCTGCATTAGAATTTTGTCAATGATTTCCGAAGGAGATAACGCAAACTCACTGAACCCGTAAATGATAGGTGAGTCTACTGGGATGACAACCCTTTCGTCAGACACAAGACCCCACTCGTCGTTGGCTCCGTTAGTCAATACCCAGTCGTTTTCTTCGAGGTCTTCGATAGGCTTTTTTCCAGATTTTGTAATGATCTTTGTTCCAGCGACAAAACATGTGCCTGGTCCATTGTTTGAAGGGTGTTGGTGTTTGTATTGGCTCAATCGCCCAGGTCTCTGCACAATGAAATCGGCGGACGAGCCTGCAAAATGTAGTCAGTCTCCAGCTTTATCTAACTTGGCACAGTTAGTACTTACAATTCTTCAAGTAGCAGATGATAGGCATTGCCTGTACTCTCAACGGTAAAACGTGCAGCAAGGGGTCTGCTGCCAGATCTTGCCAAGAAATCATGCTGTGCGGGACTGTGTCAACACTGCGAGCAAGGTTCTCCGCTTCTTCTGAAACGATCTGTTGCTGTTTTGCCCAGAGAACTGTGAGCTCATTGGTATGGGATTGCCATCCCTCTGCACCCCCAAGATCCTGGATCTGCCTGAGGATTTCTTCCGCTTTCGTACCAGACTCGGGGTGAAAAGGCATGTTTTGTAAGAGACCCAAAACCTCTTCACCCACAGGTGGTCGAAACGCTTCATTATCGAAAATACCATATGACACAGGCAGAGCTCTCAAAGCACCAAGTGCTACACGGCCTGCCAAGGGTGATCCACTGGCTTGTTGAATACATTTCAAGGCAATATCGCCCACGGGGCTTTTCCATATATCGTCGCTTGACAGAATTTGTGGTCGCTCCGGTTGGTTGAAATACTGCACAAGGAACAAAGATGCTTCTATCCATGTGGCTTCACCAAGACTCATATGCTCAGTCATATAGCTTGAATACCTGTTAAAGTCTGCAGATTGCTTGTTTCAGAACCAATAAGGGATGATGAAGCCTTGGATGATCTCTCAATGTTAAAAGAGAATCGATCATCCTGGTCGGTGATTCGCAAGAAGGCCTTGTTCGTATCAAAAAGCGGAAGAGTTCGAAGTGCTGTGCCCAGACCTTTGATGGTAACATCAGGTAGGCCACGATGCAGAAACGGCTTCTTGGCCAACGAAGAACTCATCGTAGCGTGCAGTGGAGCGATGAATAGAAAGAATCGTGAAGACAACGTAGTAAATTTCTCTGAATTCATAAAAACCTCGAGATGTGAAGACCGAGGCAAATGAGCTGTTAAACACCTCTCTGACTATCACCAGCCTGTCAACGTGCGCTGATAAGCGCCGAGGCCTAGCCCGAGGAGGTCTAGACACTTGTAAAGCTGGGGCTACGCATACCAGAAAAAGAACACTTTGGGATAATTTGGGTTAGATTTCGGGGATCTTGCAGAATCTAGATTATTCTCTACAAATTGAAAAGGATTGTGACTGGTGGCTGAAAGTCAGAGTTCAAACCTTCGCCAATAGAGCTGAAACACACCTGGCTAGTCAGGCCCTGGTCTTGAAAACTCCACCAGACTAACTATTCCTATATAAATGCCGTATCGACAGAACCATGTGAGCTGTGGCTTTTGGGTGCGGCGTTTTTCGTAAAGCCGGCTTAGGGCCAGATTCCCGTGTACAAATACTTCGTCGAGAAACCATAATTTCTACTCGATGCTTAGAAGTACTCCTGTTAAATGAGCATGAAAAATCAGGCGTCTCATAAACTCGAGCTAGATCGAAAAGCAGTGTTGTTTCCAAGCTTCCTAGATTATATTAATAGGGTATTGACCAAATCTACCAAGACTGTAATCTATCAAGGTTTGGTATGTGCTCTACATGAATACATACATAGAAGAATAAATCTGTGCATCCACTGATCCGCTGGTTCCTTGAGATTCAAGCTGGTAAACACGAATGTTGTCTTTTCTTAGACGACGCCGTAATGGCCTTGGTGGTAGTGCCCTCAGTAGTTTGGCTCTTCCAAGTCGCAGAAGCAGTCCATGTCATACCAAATATAGTCCGTCTGTTGATCAGTTACGCTCTCGAGGGTGCCGCCATAGATATAGCAAGATTGACCAGGAGTGAAGGCAAAGTAAGTACATTCGCTAGTATCGTGACAAGCCGTACGGCAGGACTCCATCGTTTTGACATCGGGTGGACTGCCCAGAAACTCCATGGCGGTACCGTCGTAGATGCCATGTTTGTTGCAGACCTTGTCGGATGGGACGGGGCTCCTCTCATTGTTAACGCAGGACTCGCCTGGTGCAGTGGTAGTGGTTGTAGCAGGAGCAGCCTCGGTGGTTGAAGTGAGTTCGACAGATGAAGTTGTCAGTTCGATAGATAAGCTATTTGTGGTGGTTGAAGACTCGTCACAGAAACAGTCCATGTCATACCAAGACCAAGCCGATTCACCACCACTGGTACCCGTGAATGTTCCAGCCCACAACGCGCACCATGAGCCAGGCTGCAGGGCAAATGCAATACACCCGGGCATGTCCTGACAAGACTTGTGGCAGGAAGCTAGCGTTAATGTATCCGCGTTGCCCATTGTTTGCAGGTCTCCTTGGCCACCGCCCTGGGCATTACAGGCCTTGCCAGCAGGAGCAGGGTTCTTGAAGCATACATATTCGGCCGGGCTGATGGTAGTAGTAGCAGCTTCAGTGGTGGTGGTGGTGGTGGGCTCTCTAGAAGTGGCGATGCCAGTGATGGAAGTGAAATCGGTGGACGCAGTGCCGGTCGTGGTTGTCGCTGACGAAGGCTTGCATGGGCCGGCCTGGGCGCCAACTGCAAGACCAACAAAGGCAGCGAGAATATTGTGGGCGATCATGCTGAAAGAGTGACTGGCTTGTAAAGGAGCCGGTAAGACGAGTGACAGGGAAAAGTAAGACGTCTGAAGTGGCTTGGGCAGTACAGCGTTATGTTTATGTTAATATAGTCTCCTTTTTAAAGCGTCTTTCAGAAGGAAGCTAAAGCAAATTTCCACTAAATGTGGCCATAGCGACACTACACAGAGGGGCCAATATAGGGTCAGGGTTGGAGGACGAATCAGATCTGAGTATTTAATCCAGCTATGTTTCTGGCTATTAAGCTATTCAGGGTCCAGACACCAATAGTTAAGCATAATGGAGAGTCTTCTTAGTTTTAGGCGCGCTAGTGTCGATAGCTTGGCAATATCGCATATTACTGCTCCTCTAGCTTCCAGTCAGCTCCTGATTCCACGTGAACACTTGTATTTTTTTCTTATCGCCAAGTCGATATTGATTAAAGTTTAATTTTCTAAAATACCTATATATAAACTATCTAAAAGTCAAATACTTATAAAACACAAGCTACGCGTATTTCAAACAATCTTGATTTGAGCCTTGCTGCTATCTGGTTAAACATGGTCCTCTAAGTTGAATACTTGAGGATTCTCCTCTGCATGTAGTTTCAAAAAAGAATGTAGAAGGGTTAGACGGTTCCTCTTCCTTCCCCTGCCCTAAAATACAGAAGCCAACTCTCAGGCATACACCCGTACGCAGCTTCCTCAAGACCAGCGCCATATTGCAACCCAGTAGAAAATAATGTTTTGGCCATAGGCGCCCAATACACCCGGTTTTTCAACGCCAGGCCGTCTTCCTCAAGCCTGCAGCTAGCTAGGGTTAAAGTATTTCATGTCTGAGGAAGTATTAATATTTTGAATAGTCCACGCAACCTTTTGCTTGGGATCTTCACAGATTTTAGCTAGTAATAATGCCACTTTAAGATTTAAATAGCGAGTCTTAACCTCTCTATTAAATACTTTAAGAAGAAATTAGACTTTGTACCAGCTTCTTAGTAGTACTCCTACCTAAGTGAGGAAGAAGGATTAGGCTTTTTATAAGCTCATGCTAGACTAAAAAGCACCGTTATTCGTAAACTTCATAAATCATCTTTGAGGTTATTGGCGCCTTTGCAGCCACAGCTAGCAATTCTTTAACAATAAGCACCTGTGAATCCTTGATCCTGAAGAGTGTTTTGGAGAGTCTTATCTCGGGTTGAGAGACCTGGTATCTGGTACTTGCATCGCGCATCTTCTCTTGATAGTCCTTAATCATTGGTGTATCCACTTCTGTCAATATCCTTAGTGACTCTTGCAACTTAGTTGATTGCTGGCCATGGGGTTAAACTTGAAGCTCACTGACTCTTGTCATCTCCAACAATCCTACCTCCGTCGACGACAACAATCGACCCAGTAGCAAAAGAACACTTCATCAAATAAACATAAGCCTCCGCCAACTCCTCTGCAGTCCCAAGCCTACCTACAACAGAGTCCTTCTCCATAGCAGGAAAAATAACGTCCCTAACGTCTTGCGGAAACCCATCAAACAGAGCTGTATGCACAAAACCCGGCGTGACGCAATTTACACGCACAGGCTTAAGATCAATACACAAAGCACGAGCCATTGGCTCGATTCCACCGGCTGCTGCTTTGAGAACAGACCAACCCGCTCCAGCAGGACGAGAGTCAGTAGTTGTTCCCGTGATGGTAAACGAACTGCGGTTCGTCTGGTTGATATAACTCGAGAGATGCTTTGCGACAAAAAGAGCGCCCATAACGCGGACCATGCCGATTTTAGAGATGACACTGACAGTCGCTGAGTCGAGACTTGGCGAAGGATTAAAGTCTCCAGCCGTGAAGACGACATGGTCGAGTTTTCCGTCTTGAGAAGCAGATTCGAGTAGTTCTTTAACGTTGGCCTCGATTGTTTCCGGTTTGGCGAGGTTGCAGACTTTTCCAGAGATCTTCCTAACTGGAAGGTGGTTGTTGTTTATGTGAGCTTTGAGGCGCTCGATGGCAGAATCGATTTTGGATTGGTTGGAGCTGCTGATAACGACATTTGCGCCGTGTTCGAGGGCTGCTTCGGCAACGGCGAAGCCAATACCTGTTGAGCCACCGATCACCAGGACGCGCTGGCCATTAAGCTTGTTGATGTATTTGGTAGACATATTGAGGAGGTTTGTGTGATCTGTTTCATTTGTTATTTTCCCACATAATTGCGCACGTCTTTAGGTCTTTTATATCCATCCCAATGATCTCATGTCAGCTACATGTTACTATGATCATCAAAAGTCCGCTTCTCCGTAGGATTCAACACCTTGTCCAACTTTTCAACTCCATTTCCTTCAAAAAACGCGAAAATGTTATATTTGAATACGTGAAATGTCAGGTGTTCAGGGTATTCGAGATGTGAGGTTACGCTCGTCGCGAAATGATTCGTCAGGCCAGGTCCGCTGTTCGGCCTTCGGTCTCCGCAATACCCCGAATCTTGAATCCCGACGCGTCTTGACGCGTTTGAACGCCAAACGACGATGGCAGTCGTAAGACTAAGGTAGGCATTTCAACAAGAACGACCTGAGAATTATCGCACTTCCAATAATACTCTGAACTATGTGGAAGAATTGTCACACGAGAGCGAACATCGATAAACGTGTTATAGCACTCTGATAAATGATATTGTGCTTGGGAACATCAACCTCCGACCAGCAAAGATAGGGCGAATGATATAATAACGATAGACTTTAGCTAAACGTCCTTTTTTCAGTTTGACGAAGTCTTGGATTTTCTACTCTGTGTGGCGTTCATTCTGCGCTCGAAGTAATAATTGATTATCAGCTTTAGGGTAACTACTAGGTAGACAGATTTATGCTTGAGTAACTACCAGCACTACAAGGTTTCCAACGTTACACAATTAATGATTCATGCAATAAAAAATCACTATAATGATTTCAACAGTGTCATTATGCTTAAGCAAAGTTGATCAATGCATCTAGCTGTTTAGATACGGGCTGTAGACCATGCCCTGTGACTACCACTCTATAGCCACTCTCATTTCGATGAATAGTCCATCCATCATAGATCAAACCCGATGAGATACTAGTGATCACAATTTCACCGTGGCTATTATTGAGCAATAAGCAAACGGTAGATCACGATAACCAGACTGACTGTTTGCTATTGCAGATCCCAGCTCAGCTGGTAAGCGGGACAGTTATGGGTCCGGTGACACAAGCCAAACGACGATCGCCATATTATTTTCTTCTTCCATGCGTGTCTGACATGTACGACACTCCCCATCACATCGGTTATTTATATGAAACGGACGTTAATCTAAACTCTATCGTATATGCCAACTGTCACCTCCCTTGCCCCCATCGCGCCCAAGGAGCATGAGATTCCACATACGGCAGCTCAGGCTCATACTTGATCTCAACAGTTTCCCAGGGCTTCACAGTCTTTCCTTCTTGATAATCACCACCAGCAGGTCTCCACATCTGTCTAAATGTCATAGGACCTAATTCATCTTTGACTTTATGCCATTCTTCACCTGGGTTCTCTTTCGTAGGCTGTATGGTGTTGACGTTGACAACTGTGAAGCCATGTTTCTCATAAACAGGTACGCCCTGCTCTGTCGCATCAAGCCACAGCTCAACACCCATCTCATCAGCCTTCTGCTTACTCCAGTTCATAATAATATTCGCCACGCCTTGGCGACGATGGTCTGGATGTGTAAAGACGATGTTGACGTCTAAATCGGGTTGAGTCTCATTCCTCGCAATTATCTGAATAAGAAACTTACAAACTTGAGGTCTAGCCCCCATCCGCGCTCTAGGTGCATCGAATTGCTTCAGAGCTTGTGTGATAAACTCTCGTCTCTCCCCTTCCGGCTGCCAATAAGCGTAGGAATGATCCTCATCTGTATCGAACGGATTCTCAGAACAAATCTTCCATAAACAACCGCCTACGATTTTGCCATCATCGTTGACGACTTTTGCCCAGTAGCTTGTTGGGTCTTCATTGTGCCATTTGAGCTGAAGCGCTACTGACTCTTTGAGGGACTCTGCGTGCGTTGAAGCGTTGAGAGGACAAAACATGCGAAAGAATGGTTGGAGGGGATTTTCGTAAGATGCCCACTGACATGCGATGAGCTCTTCGAAATCGGTGGCAGTGTCTACCTCGATGAGTTTGAGGGTCATCTTGACGTTGTATTGGGTATGTGCCACGGCGTTTGGGATGGTAGCACAGAAGGATAAATCAACTGAATTAAGTCGCCTTCAGTGGCAGAGAGGCCATAGCTCAGTGGCAGAAAGGTCATAGCTAAGTGGCAGAGAGGCCATAGCTAAGTGGCAGAAAGGCCATAGCTAAGTGGCAGAGAGGTCATAGCTCGGTGGCAGAGGGGCCATTGCAAACAACCGACCCGAGCTAATCAGAGCATCCATTACCTCCTGTGGAGCCTACAGTGAAAATAAGCAATACCAGTCAGCCCATCAAAACTCGCAATCCAAATCCTTCCTCTCTACTCGTACCATCAAAAAACGAGCAGTCGGAGGCTCGATGCCTTTTTCGGTTGACAATAAAGCCGCTCACCGGAGAGTGCTTGGATTTCCGATGTACCCACGGAAGACGGTTGGTCAAAACGCTCAGACACCCCATGTCCACAGCGATCTTTTCCTCTTTAGCAGCAAGCCACGCCACTGTAGCAAGTTCACCATGCAGGCGGAAATCTCTGACGAGCAGTGCATAATTCCATTAAGCGAATTCGAACCAGAATCCTTTTTTCCTCTTTTTCCTCCGGATGATCCGCCCGAAAAAAGGTCTAAGCAAAGTTTGGAAGGTCGTTTTGCTTATTGTAACCCGCGGATCGATCTCCGTTCGGATAGTAGACCCGTTGGGCTTAACGCGCGGACCCAGATTCAGGGTTTAGAAGCACGGACTGGTTCGGTGACGATAAAGGGAGCTCCTCTTCACATGAAGACCTAGACTAACAGGGGGGCGTAACGTAGCTCTAGTCTGAGGCTCACTTAGCCCTACCAATCGATGTAAAGAACCTCAGCCGTGTTGATGATTTGTGCCACGATTGCACAGTATTTCAGGTATTGCGATCTGCAATAATTCACAGATTTATGTGCAGATAAACTCCAACCAGTGGAAATTTCACCGGAAAACCGGCTGTTTCGGATTGCTCATGTTGCTGAGCCGCTCAGCTGCATAATTCTCCTCTACGCGATATCAAGCATCATTGGCGCCTTTTCATGTCAATAGGACCACGGAATTATAGCGTAGAATACAGGGGGGACTACCCATGTTGAAGATTTGCTTTTTTTCCTTTTGCAGACATGGCCTCACAGTCAGTTCCAGGCTGGCCTGAAGAGGGGGGAGATGCCTACGTAATTGTGGTGTAGATGCATTCCTACCATTTATTGGTCCTCATGTCCCGTTTCACGAAAAAGGTTCCAAACTGCTTTTGGGTGGCAATAACCGTTTAAATCACCGTTTCCGGGATATGCCCAATACCAGTTTCCTGCCGCGCCTGTACCTGTACCTGTACCTGTACCTGTGAGATTTCCTTCACACCATGATTCTGAAGTACCGAAACCGTAACCTTAGCTGAAGCTTCCCTTCCCTTAATCTACACTCCACTGTCAGCTGTGTCTTAGCTTTAACCGTGATGCCAATTTTCGTCTCTGAATTCATCGTTGTTTGACTTTTATATACCCGTGATCCCTCCTTTCTGTTTTCGTAATATCTTTCTGCTCGTTTTGCGCAGCAATTGCTGCATTCATCGGCCCAATATGAGTTCGAACCAACGAATCATCACCGACAATAACAAGTCGCCGCTTGTTCAGGTCTTGTCGTTAATGTTTCTCGTCATTGCGATATTGTCGTGTTCAGTTAGGACTGGCACCAAGCTTTACATGATCAAGACATTGAGGGTCGACGACATTCTCATCATTGTCGCAACTGTAAGACATCTATCTCACTTTATGCATTCCAACATGCTTATATTTATGCGCGAAGGTGCTTGCGGCTTGTCAGACTGCGATTGTTTTTAATGCGTGCGAGCGTGGCCTTGGTCAACATTTCGAGGTTCTCGGCGCCAGCGATCGAGACACCTTCTTCAAGGTAACACCCGACAGACATCCCCGCGACAACAAACAAACAACTAATACACCCTCGTACAGAGCCAATATGCTACAAACACGATGCTCATTGCCTCACTTCTCTGCTGCAAGTTATCGGGTACAATGAGTCTACGAATCATGGCACAAAAGAGTCAGAAATGGATCATCATCGCTTGTGAAGCCGTCGTCGGTGTCTGGGGCATCACGGCGCTCCTCGTCAACTTCTTCCAATGCCAACCACCGACACCATGGCTGTATGGCGATAACGATAAATGCATCAATCTCAAGGCATTTTGGACGTACTACTCCACCGCCAACATCATCACCGACATCGTCATCGTCATCATTATGGCAGAGAACGTGGTCAAGATCCAAACCTCGTGGTCAAAAAGGATTCTTGTGATGAGCGTTTTCGGCAGCAGAATATTGTACGTACTGCGTGGTTTCGTTTTATTTTATTATCTGCGCCGTGGCTAATAACCTTTTAATAGTGTAACGCCGGCAATCGCAGCGCAAATCCACTACTCTAACAAGGCATTTGACTCTGCCGATCACTCGTTTAGCATCTGGCCCGCCTCCATCGCCATCCAGCTAGTGCAGTGTCTCGCCATCCTTACCGTATGCCTGCCCAACTTCAAGCCCTTCCTCGACAGCCTCGAGTCCGGGCAGATCCGGGTCGACGATCTTCGACGACAGGGTAAGTCGAGTAGCAACGGGTACCCTACATACAGGCCCGGCTACGCGGGGTACAAGTCAAAGACAGGGCAGAGCAGCAGATCGCGGGATGCGTCCAAGACACAGCGCAGTGAAATTCACGAGATGGAGGACTTTGCTAAGAAGCCGAAACACGACCAGGAGAGGAGCTGGGATGCGCAGAGTCGCTCGAGCCACTCAAGCCAAAAGATCTTGATCCATCAGACGTGGCAGGTAGACATAGAGAGCACGCATGATGCACCACCCCGACAAACATGAGGCAAGGTAATTTCTTTTTTCCCAGGCATGTTTATTTTCTCGGTTATTTATCCCTCCGAGATTTTGGTTACAGCGCAGTAACGTTTTATGCAAGCGTACCAATTTAGAGTAAAAATCATTCGCTGTTCTAAATACAGAACGTTTTGTATCAGGAGCTGCAAGCACTATGAGAAAAAGCAAGATGAAATGTTTGTCAGGCATGCATGAATTTCCTCTGACCAATAGCCTAAAAATAACGTAGGACCAATACTGTGCAAAAAAAAGAAAGGGTACAGAGTAAAGAGAAAACATTTTTCTGACATACAGGGGCTCAGTGGTTCGCTCGGATGCATATGATTATGATACATCACCATAACGAATAGAGCAGGTCAGCCATACAGTACGTAACAGCATGGACCCTTGCACCCAGGCACCTGGAAAGAGGAAAATAAGCCGGACCTGATCTGCCAGATCTGGTGGCTCGAGAGTTTGAGCACGCCCGGACCCCTTTCCGCTCTCGAGCACTTATTTCTCATATCGTCGTCTGTGGCGTTTATTCAAGTCTGTCCGTGCGCTTATAACGAGCTATTAATCAATAGAACTCTAAGCCAATGAACCTCACCGGAACGTCTGTAGTCTGAAAACGGTCAAAAGGAGGGGCGACGATCTTATTCGCGGGGAGACACGGAAAAAAAGAAATGTTCAATTTATGCTGACAGTTTGTGTCGCAAATTACTCCCCGTCAAACGACTGTCAATTTGGCTCGTTGATTGCTGTTCCCTGTAATGCCGCTAAGTTACTGAAGAGGCATGGGGTCCCTGGCCCTACAAAAAGTCCGGTGGGAGGGGACCCTTGTTAGTGGGCTTTCCGGGGGCATCGGTGCATTCTGCCGGATCAGCAACAGGAGGGGCGAGGATGTCCGGTATGGTACGGGACAGATAGCGGAGCAACGCAAAGCAACGTCGCTGTGGAGGTAGACTCATACTGAGGCGATTAAGTTAATCTGTTACATGTCATACCCAGACTTATTCCCAGCCTCGGTTGGTGGCGGCCGTCCCCAATGCGACTCTACCGCAGTCGCGACCTTTCCCAGGGGTGCAACCACCATTCCTGTACCTTTTTCCCCTTCCTTCTCTTCCTGCAGTCCCTTTTAACTTTTTGTTCTTCTCTCCTCAATCCTTCTCTTCTCGAATTTTCTCCCGTTGTTATTCCCGACTCATTTTGTACAACGTCATGGAGAGCGTTAACAAACCCAGCTTTGAGATGGGCAACAATGCCACCGTCAAGGCAGCAGACAATGTCAATGTCTCGGCAAAGGCTGAGCCAGATTCTGGACGCAGCTCGGCGAGCAATTATCATGATAAGGATCAGTTGGAGCGGATGGGAAAGAAGCAGGTGCTTCGGGTACGTTACACCGTCCCTCACTGAGGTACATTCACTGATAGTGTTGTCTTTCGCAGCGCAACTTTGGGTTCATGACGATTCTGGGATTTAGCTGTACCATTCTCATCACCTGGGAAGCTATCACTGTTCTCTTCGCCCAAGGCCTCAACAATGGTGGCACAGCCGGTGTCATCTACAGCTTCCTTGTCGTTTGGGTCGGTAACTTTAGTGTCTTTGCTACCATGTGCGAGCTGGTCTCGATGGCACCTACATCCGGAGGACAATATCACTGGCAAGTCACGTCATCTCCATCTCTCAGACTCCAACTAATCTTGTGTCCAGGGTCGCTATGATGGCGCCGCGGTCGTGTTCCAAATTCCTCAGTCACCTCACAGGCATGCTCACGGTCGGCGGATGGCAAGGCTCTGTATCATCCAGCGCCCTGCTCACGGGAAACATGATCCTGGGAATGGCGACTCTCAATTATCCCGACTTCCAGCCCGAGCTTTGGCAGGGAACATTGCTGTTCTGGGCCATCTTCGGGTTTGCCGTCTTCATCAACACGCTCGTCAGTTCGGTGCTGCCCAAGTTTGAGGGATTGATCTTGATCCTTCACATTCTGGGTTTCTTTGCCATTCTGATCCCGCTTGTTACCCTTGGACCTCATGCCTCTGCGTCGGATGTCTTTGGTACCTTTGTTAACAACGGTGGATGGTCGACTAATGGCATCTCGTTCATGGTTGGTATGATGGGTAATGCGTTTTCCTTCGTCGGCACTGACGCTGCTTTCCACGTACGACTTGACTTCTCACGTTCATGAACTTTCACTGACAACTTCTAGATGTCCGAAGAAACCGTCAACCCCTCCGTCGTCGTCCCAACCTCCATCCTTCTCAGTCTCTGCATCAACGGCGCTTGCGGTTTCGCCATGGTCATTGCCATGGTGTTCTGCATGGGCAACCTCGACGATGCGATGGCTTCAGGCCCCGGAATGCTCGGCTTCCCCTACATGTACATCTTCCAGCAAGCGACAAACTCAAGAGCCGGTGCGACCGTCATGTCCGCCATTATTGTTCTTCTTGCTGCTTGCGCCACTGTCGGGATGCTTGCATCTACCTCTCGTGTCTTCTGGTCCTTTGCCCGTGACCGAGGTCTTCCTGGCTGGCGCACTCTGTCAAAGGTCAGCGACCGAACCACTGTCCCCTTGTACTCAGTCTTGTGCACTGCCGTCATTTCAATCCTCCTGTCACTCATCAACATTGGATCGCCTGTTGCGTTCCAAAACGTCACTTCTCTTTCTATTTCTTGCCTCTACTCTTCATATCTTATCGCCGCAGGTCTTCTTCTCTACCGTCGCCTCACCAAAGGCTTCGTGCTGCCCGGCGCTTCAGATCTCCCAGCTCTGGCCAACACCACCGGCGCTGAGCTTGTCTGGGGTCCATTCCATCTCAAGGGTGCCTTTGGCATTGCCAACAACATCTTCGCCATGTGCTACCTCATTGTTGTTGGCTTCTTCAGCTTCTGGCCTCCCATGGTGGATCCTACCGTGGATATGATGAACTACAGTGTCGTGGTCACTGGGGGCCTCGTCATTTTCAGTGTAATTTACTACTTCGCCTGGGCGCGAAAGGAGTATAACGGACCTGTTGTCGAGAACTAGATTGATGGTTTTGTGATCAATGGCGTGGCATAAAAATTTGTTTCAGTTGGCGATGCATAGTAAAATGTTTTTTTTTGCAAGAGATTGTATAGACTCTTTATATATCCCACTTGGATATTGAGATAGGATACCACAATAATACAGCTATCTCAAAACTCTGGAGCTTTCGCTGCGTCACTCATTCTGTCATAAGTGGATGGACTTGATCGAAACCTCAAATCACTCGACGCTGCATGTTGATCATGCGGTCTTCTTGGCATTCTTTCGTCGCGATTGCTATGTCGCATATGCATCTTCAGGAGTGTATTTCCGTCGAACCGGCTGTAACCCCAAAGTCCATCCAGCCCACGAAGCAACAAGTAGAATGAGGTGGGAGACCACTATATCGATGTTCTGTAACAGGCTCCTCGATCTATTACCTGATACTCGCGAAAGGTTGGGCGCGTCCAGGAATACAGGAATATTGTCCAAGGTTCGAAAAATAATGAACAGGTTCAGAGGAATCCATATATCAAGGAACAGCCCTTGCAGCCTTGATGGCAACCTGGATACCACCGAGGTCTCATCACTCAACATCTTGGGACTGTTGAGAATTACGCCATTGAGATTCCAAAAGAATATGGCCATGTCATTATCATCCGGCTCTGTCCTCTCAATCACGACGACTTCTTCGCCCTCTGGTGCGGCTCGCTGCCATTCATGCCACGCGTAGCGCGGTACTTTTATCTCTGGCTGATTGCCATCGGTAGCGCTGATAACTCGTCGCGAATCTCCCAGCCGGACTCGAATTGCTCCTTTCACCACTTTCAAGTACTCGTCGTGAGTTTCATGCCAATGAAGTCCGCTTGACCAGGCTGATGATTCGGGAAGCGTAATGCGCACTTGTCCGACGGTTGACATGTCATAGATTACGCCATTAGGAAGTGGGCGCTCGATGACGCTTGGGATCCTCTGATCACTCATTTGGATGCGCCGGGTTGTAGAACAACTATCACAAACAACTCAAGTTTGAAAGTTCAAGTGCTTGTTGATGTTGCTCCTCACTTGAGATATGAACCAAATGACATAAGCTGCCGAATCGGGCAGGTCACGAGAATAAGCAGACTGAATCCTTGATCTTTCAGGTAGTGACAGTTATATGATCTCTTGATGTTAAATTGAGATAAGGTAAATAGCTTCAATTACATTGCATTGAGTGACCATGGGCTTCTCAGTCAAGAGGCTTCCAATCTTGAGAGGGGACATTTCCAACATCTTCAGTGAAAGAAACCGGCTCTCTACGGGCGCGGTTCACTTTGAGATCGAAAATATCCAAGCGCTGATATCCACCGACAACATCATGATACTGTTTCCCTTCGATGCAATCCTCAGTATCAAGATCAGCATAAAGGATGCCTTCATCATGCTGCAGGAAGTCATTGGCTACAGCCTCTCCAGTCTCACTGTCGATAGTGAATCCCTTCAAAGGTGCTCCAGTCGGATCAAGAAACTGCGTCGCTCCACGCTGTGACTGCTTTAACACCTGAGTCAAGTGAGACGATCCTCCAGCAATAGTTTGAATAGCATCATCTCCCAGGACACCTGAACAAAGAACGCCGAAACACTTCGCTTCGAAGCAATGAGCAGCTGCTCTGGTTCTGTTTGCCGTCACATTATCATAATTCGGCTTATTCGATGTATCTTTAGAAGGTTCTGAAGAGTCGTCTGTTGTAGGAACCCGAGTTGGCCATATGGGCGGCCAGGTCGAGATATGAATGTTCTCCCCTTGAGCCATAAGACTATAGCGAGCCAAAGGATTGGTATTCTCTCCGCAAATCAAATTCCCAATCTTGCCAAACGGCGTGCCTGCAACGCGCAGCCCGTATCCATCTCCAGGAGCCCAAGTAAGCTTCTCAAAAAACGTAGGCATTAATTTTCGATGATGAATCAGAACCTCTCCCGAAGTTCCAATGAAGATGTTGGAGTTGTATAAAGTCGCGCTGCTAAAGCGAACTTTTTCAGAAAAGCCTACGCTGACCATGATATTTGCCTGTTTTGCAGTGTTGCGAATGGCGTGGATTTCATCGCCATCAGCAAAGATTGACTCATGCGCCATTTGCCTGAAAAGATCGTGGTTCTCAGTCGGAGGCCGTATTGAACTCCATATCGGAAATGCCGAAATGTATGTTTCCGGGAACACTACTAGATTGGCTTTATTCCGCGCAGCCTGTCTGATCAGGTTGATTGCTTTCGAGGTTGTATCCTTCGCGGAGAGGAAGATGGGAGAAACATGACATGCGGCAACTCGAATTGCAGTCATGATTGGTAACAGAAAACGGGTTCAATAAGGCTCAGAGTCGTTAGTGATAGGACCCGAAGTGTCTGAAATGAAAGATATTAGATCTTCGCAGTATTTGTGTGCTTCCAGATGCTTAAAAGGTGGAGGAGCGGCTATATCGGGTATCACGGGATGATTGCGAATATACTCGGGACTTCTTTTAAACGCCGTTGAAGTTATAAGATAAGCATCAAATGCCATGTCACGTGCATATCAACTGTATAAAGGTAGCTAGAAACTGGCTGTGGCGGACAGTTCTGAAACGTTGGCCGCCAGAGAGACTATTTAAAGCTTTGACACGAGCTTTCAGTCAGATGAGTCAAGCGGCGTGGCTGAGCAGCTATGACCAACACACTGTTAAATAGAGTGGAATCCCCCATAAGCAGAATGGACCTTGCACAATAAATTACCACAGAAAAAGAAGCTGTCAAAGATTGGCCATGAAGGAATTCGAAGCCATCGGCGACGAGCTAAAGGCTCTTTTGTCGCAGCATTTCCAAGTTGTTGCCACCCACTCTCAACGTCAAGATCAATGGTACAAACGCTCTTATCAATCCTTCACAGCAGAAAATGGTAACCGTGAACCACTTATTCTTGTCCCACGCGAATCCCGAGAAGAATGGGTTCCCCACGTACGACGTTTCGCAATAACTCTGGCTGCTCAGGTGATAGCTGCGGGCGAGGCCCAGACTTCTCAACCAAGAGTTAATACCTCAGAGTCGAAGCTTTTCTCGGACAGAGTTCTCGACGCGATTCATATCCAACCTCTTAGTCGGGCTGTCAGGGGGAAGGGACAGCTGCGACCAGTTGCGATGCAGATCACGCGGTGGACTTCTACGAATGGATATGTATTCAGCGGCACTGAGCGGATCACGGGCATCAAAGGACTCATCGCATGTGGAGAAGTCGATGTACTGCTCCAATTGGCAACGCTGCCACAGACACATCCACCGAAAGAACGTGAGATAGATGCTTCGCGGTGGAGATACCTGAACAGAGACTGGCAGGATGTCATCGATGCTATCCTTTCGATCATGTGGTTTCTCGGAGCTATAGAGTCCTTTCCCCAAGACTTCGTCTCTGAAGATGGTTATAAGTACTGGGTCCCCATAGCATTCCACAATTATCTTTCGCGATTCCAGCCATATATCGAAGCCCATGACGGCAAGATACCAAGCACGGCCGAGGCAATACAGAATGAGATATCTGAATGCATCAAGGCTCTGGTTGCAGGTCAAGCTTTCTCCTCCAAGGCTGGTTTCGACCCTATACAGTGGGAAGACCGCATCATGGACAACTTTCTGTACATTCTAGGGTTTGAGGCCTGGAATCGAAGCAGAGAAGGGGCAGGCTATCTGAACTGTGATCTGAATGTCACCAAGACTGCAAAGTCGCTTCGCAGTATCAGCAATGATGGTGAAGATGATGATTTTACAGAACAGATGGCTCAAGGCAGCAAAGGGGCTGCTGCAAAGCCCAAAGATCCTCTCAAGCTGAGGGAACCGAAGAAGGAGATGGCTCCTGAAGTGGACGAGGAGGAGGAACAGGAAATGGAGAAATTGGCTGTTCTGGAGACTAACGAGAAGTACTATGGACGGAAGAGAAGTATGAAGTATATGACGAAGCACAAGGATTAATTCATGACTCTGTGTTGCTAAGTTCTGTGCGATACTATTAGCCCCAGCCGAACCGGCTCGAAAAGTACGATTCAACCGAGTGTCAAGAATCTCAGTTAAAGCAAGGGTTTACCAGCCACCAAATTGGGTATTATTGTGGCTTATACATGCGGCATTTTACAATGTCTTTGTTCATTAGGAAACGCCTCCATATCTTCCTAAGCTCTCAAATGGTATCCCGCGTGACTTACTCCTATATAGACGCCACTTAAGTCTCCCATCGTAGCCAATCGGGACATTACTATATATAGTATGAAATAGTCTTCAAACAGTGGCGCTGGACTGGGGAACACAGTGTATTTATAACTACTAGACTCTTCTCTCATCTAAAGCCAAAGCTAGGAACGATTCTCAGCAGTCTATCGCCAGTCACCCTCCGCAATCCACTGATTCTGAAATGCCCTAAAGTGCTTCTGCTTCCCCATCATCGAAATACCTTCAATTTCCTCAGAAGCCAGCTTAAAACTCCACACATTCGCCATATAGCTCTTCAACCTCTCCTCACTCGAGCTCGTCGTGATAGCCACGATATTTTGATCAATGCACCAACGCAACGCAATGTCCCCCTCCGTGACACCATATTTCTTGGCCAGGTTCGCATAAAGGGCATCTACAGGACCTGGTCTAGCGCGGATAATAGCTGTTAACGGCGCATAGGCCGATAAAGCTATGTTGTTCTTGTGATGGTACTCTATAAGATTACCGTGCTGTAGATAGGGGTGGTATTCAATTTGGTTGATGGCTGGTGGGATTTTAGCTGTGGCGAGGATGGTCTCAAGGTGCTCCTGTATGAAGTTAGACACACCAATCGATTTAGCACGTCCAGACCCTTTGATGGCTTCAAGGGTGGCCCAAGCTTCCTGTAAATCTTCAGCCTTCTCCGCGAAGAACGGTGCATGGATGAGATACAAGTCCACATAATTAAGCCCAAGTTTCTTCATCGAGGTATCAAAAACGTTCTGTACGTCTTGCTTCTTCCAGCCGTTGAGCTTGGTGACAACATAGAGCTTCTCTCGCGGCACGCTGGATGCTCTGATAGCTGCACCGAGTTCTTCCTCGTTCCCGTACGCTAGGTACATGTGAGAACAGTTACGAGTGCGTGAAGCATTAGAAAAACATACCTGAAGCCCCATCGAGGTGATAAAAACCACTCTTTATAGCAGTCAGGGCGCAGTTAAACGCGTTTTCGTCGTAATCTGTTCTTCCTCCCTTCTTGAAGTTTGCAGTTCCTAGACCGTACGCTATCTATCGGAGGTTAAATCGAATTGTATAGAGTTTGCGAGGCAATAACTGACCATTGGGATCTTGTTTCCATCGTTCAGCTTCATGGCGGGTATAGCTGAAGCAGTATTGGTGGAATTCATAGTGTAGTCGTCGATGCTTAGTTGGCGCTGGGTAGCTTCTCGTAGGTTCTGGGAGGTGGTGTGATATCAAAAGTAATATAATGCAGTGTATATATCCCTCGTCGATCCCTTCTCTCTATCCGTTCGTCCGTTCAACTACCGATATCACCATCCTCCGCCTCTCCGCACGAGGAAGCCCCGGCTCGGGTGTCCACCTCCTCCAGGAGTGACATATCATACGTGGGACCGAAAGGCCGAGAAGGATTGTGTACGCGTCTAGGCGATGTTTTGGTCATCACGCATACTGCATGTCACGTCATTTGGGTCACAATATGATATGTCACGTATGGTACTGCCGGGAATTACGAATCACCAAAGATGGATGGCTTGTGTAACCCGAGTTCCGTCTCCACACTTAGAAGTTCCTTAGACTATCTACACTTCCCATTAAACCAACTAGACCCTTACTTTAGCACGTATTACTCTCCTCTTGACTCCCCCAAAGTCCTCCCACTACCCATGAAACGGAATCTGTTAACTGATCTATACTCAATATCAAAGTCCTCCACCCTAAATGTTTCAAGAATTTCTAAGACAAGTGGTTAACACGAAATCTCCAGCGTAGGGACTTAAGTTGACATACCTCGAAAGTGATGCCGGCTTCCACCGTATACAGCGGTAACATGTCCCTCTTTCTTACGGTTCTTGTACCAACTTCTGCAAGATCCAGTCCACACCATTCGTTTGAGGAGCTCTTGCAGGTAGACGTTATAATCATCCAATGCCTGCTGTTTCACACAAACTGACCTATTGTAACGTCAGCGTATTCGATCACATCATGCAGAGTCCGTGAGCGGAGTATACTTAATATCTTCCGTTGCGATCTTCCTACACCACTTCAATATCCATTTTGCGACACAAAACACACTATCAAGAAGCGATCCATGACCCACTGCCGACTATCAGTAATGTAACCCAACTGCTTTAAGGTTCACTGACCTGGACTATTCGGTCCAATGAAGATAAAATAATTCGGCATATTCGCCGTTGCAACCCCAAAATACGCTTCTGGCGACTCCCCCCACGCTTCATGCAGCTGATAACCATTCCGCCCCTGCACGGTCCACGAGCGGCGGAAACTAGCATCGAACCCGGTTGCGCAGACGATAATGTCAAAGTCAGTATGGTCTTGTATAGTTTGAATCCCTGACTCGGTGATCTGAACGATTGGATCAAAAGTGACACGCGTATTCTCCTGGCGCAGAGCTTCAAGGTAACCGTCGCCTGGTGTTGGGCGTCGACATCCGTATTCGTAATCTGGGATTAGCTTTTCGCAGAGCTCTTTGTCGTTGCCGAGACGTTCCCGCATACGGTTGTATGCATTCTCGAGTGCGGCTTTCTGAGCTGCTGTATCTTTGAAGAAGACGTTCCAGAAGTTGTCTTGGCTGTATGCAATTCAGTAAGATTCTCGATATCAGTGCTGCTACAAACCTGTTCTCAATCTCCTTACGAAACTTCCAGAGCGAGGCGGGATTATCTCGAAATTTCTTCTTTTCCTCTTCAGTAAAGGCGAAGTTTGTCCCGTCTTTTGTAAGCTCAGACGCGTAGTTGGCAAATATCCATGTAGGCGTACGAACATATGTTGTCAGTTGAGCAGCAGTCTTTTGCAGATGCGGAAGGACTTGAACACCAGATGACCCGTTTCCGATGACTGCAACCTTTTTGCCAGCCACATTGATAGAAGGGTTCCTGGGAGCCTGGTGTTAGAGAAAGGACGGCAAGGTGAGTGGAGAGATGTACCAATCAGCGGTGTGGACGATTTCCCCTTTGAAGTCATGAACACCAGGAATATCAGGCCAATGCCAGTTACTAAAGCCGTCAGTTCGCGATATCCTGATTGAACTCGCTGTGAACATACTTGAGGAACCCCGACCCGTCGATCAATATATCACATTCGTCCTCCTTTCCTTCGCCATCTTGAAAGACCTTTAGATTCCATTTACCTGCAGCCTCATTCCAGATCGCCTCTGTCACTTTAGACTGAAACCTGACATTTTCAGCTAAACCATACTTGTCGGACGTTCTCTTGATATAAGCCCATATTTCTGGCCCTGAAGCATAGAAACTGGACCAATCTGGGTTTGGCTCAAATGGAAAAGTGTAAATGTGCGCTGGAACATCACACTGAGAATATGTCAGTCAACTATACCTGTTGAGTCTATTCATAGGAGAAACGCACTGCCACACCAGGATATCGATTAACGAGCCACGTTCCACCAACATCGTGGTTCTTGTCATAGATAGTTAGATCAATGAACCCTTGGAGCGATTCGTTGTACTTGGCTTCGTAAGCTAACATGAGGCCTGAAAAGCCGGCCCCAACACAAACAATGTGTATGTTTCGGGGCTTGAATGCGGGCTCATCTAGCAGAGGAACCCAGTTCCTCGTATTGTGTGAGTTGGTTTCCGCGGTGGCTTGGATTCTCATTTCGGCGTGACTTCAATTTCATATAGAATTATGTAAGTTGAGTGCTGTTATGCAAATTGTGATATTAGGACGGCCTGAGCCAAAACAGGCAAGATATTATATAGTTTGTGCCTATCTTACAAGGCATCACAGAGAAGCTGACTATGTAAGAGACCCAAGATATATGCTGTATCCGGCTAGAAAGGCGACATCCGTGTCTAGTCCAGGCCACACCGTCCTTCTCTGTCACGGGCGAACGGCGCGGGCCGAATGCCTCGGCTCCGAACTACGCGCCAACACACATCACATCACGTCTATATCAGGAAATAGCTGCAGCCAGAAGGATTTCGATCCGAGAGAATAAAGTTTAGACAACTAAAACCTGCATGATCGGCGGAGAATAGGTCTTAGTGGGGAAAAGATTGCGCGGCCACTTCTAAGCGATACGAGTCTAACAGGGGGCGGGACGGCTCGCTCGGCCCCCCATTCTGCGCATTAGTGTGAGCCAAGGCTAATCTATCGCCGCCTAGGCCGAGTTGAAACTGCCCTTTCTTTCTAATTCTTTAACTTGGGCGGGGGAATCCGGGGAAACTAAGGAAAACTAATTGTCGATCTTTATGAGGTGTTGATATCTTGGCTTACTACTATAGGTAGGTCCATATGCATGACGTCGTGTTGGTATGTTATCTATCATATTCTGAGTCATGAAGATACCTGAGAGATAGTATGTATTAGAATATGTCAGAAAATCAAGGTTCACAATCCTATGTCAGTCACAATGGTTCGTATAATGGCAGCAATTGAGGGGGGTCTACTGTTCTCCATGACAATGATCTTAAAAGACAGCTTAGATACTGATAATCTGTATCAACTCGGGTGTTCACTAAAAGTGATCCCTTGACAGTTTGAGGAAATAACTGATACTGGGAAACAGCATGAGCTAACAACTGCCAGCAGTTGTATAGACTCATAATGCCACTGTAAGTGGTGAATAATCTGAAACATTTTTAAAACCTGGAACGCGGAACCGCAATGATCTGACACTTTCCGACAACAACCATTACGATGCCCTCCATGATACCATAAGCATCATAGTTCAAATGAAATTTTAAGCGGAAGATGATCTACCGAAGATGATCTGATTCTTGCCGATAGGTATCATCGTGAAAGCATCCTTGATGGGATCAAGGTTGCGGCTCAAAACACGGCTCGAGCGGTAGATGATATTCCCTTTATCCACAACAACCCATCATGAGACCCTCCATAATCCCATTATGGCAATTATTCGGGCCATGTCCGCGCGGTAGTTGAATAGAGTTTTCCTGATAGTAATCATCACGGCTCCTGTATCCCTCAATGAGAGCGCGGGGAGAACTTCAGGGGTTGATACAAAGGGGGTAATTGATGCGAATTTTACGGCACGAAACATCACGAGGCGCTCTATGATACTCAAAGTAGTAGAAGCTTGCGACACGGCTCAAGCGGAGATACGCACCTATTCGAGCATGAGAATTCTTGCACTTGTGGAGACTATTGTATGTACGACGCTGTTGGGATGCATCATGTTCCAAGGATCAACATCCTCCAGTTAACGGAAGTTCCTCAAGATGTTGACGACGTTGAGAAGATTGATAATCATCATGGTGATGGTGGTATGGAATCCACTGGTATAGCATCAATTTCACTGCGGTAATGGCGGAACAAGTCGAGATGGACGTCGGCAAACAGATCAGGAAATGCCTTCTATGCGTCCATGAGATTGAATGAGGGATGTAAATGTGTATATAAAGAGCTCTAGAACCCAGGTTAGCTACTCCTCATCATCAACAACAACAATTCCATCATCGTATCCAATATCACTTGACTACTCTTCTCACCGTACAAGGTGTGATCTTTCAAACTTCATTACTATCAAACCCAGTGCGTAAAGCTTCACACAATACCATACCCTGAATCTCCCTATTAACCAATATCTCAGAGCCAACCACCAAAATGCAGCCCCGTCTTGAACGTCTCCAGCCCATGCTCGGCAACCCTCTCTTCGAGAGCATTCTCTGGGGCCATGAATACGACCTCTCCAGACTCAACACCGATCTCCGCCAGAGGATCGAATCCGGCCAGTTCAAGCGTCTTGTCTTTTACGGCATGGGCTGCTCCTCTGTCGTCTCCGACATCGTCAAGGGCTTCTTCCTCAACGAGAAGATCCCCCTTCACGTTCAGGTCATCAACGATTATGATCTCGACTGGTTTGTTGACCGCAATGTCATGAAGGACCCCACTACGCTGGCTATCATTGTCTGCTACAGTGGTTGGTCCGTTGAGCCATGTCTGTTCTTTGAAACTATGCGCGAGATGACGGGGAAGAAGAACCTGATTGTTCTTTCGGGCGGTGGCAAGATTGCTCATCTGTGTGAGGAGCACAATACTTCTATCATCTTGTACAAGCTCCGCCATGCAGATCGCGAGTATCCTCTGTACCACGTCCAGCAGTTCTTCTCCATCTTCCTAGATCTCTTCCACAAGCTCAAGCTCACGCCTTCTTCTTACCACAAAGAACTCCAGGATTCAGTCAACTTCTTGAAGACTGAGTTCAATGAGGCTACGCTGAAGAAGGCTCAGGCTATTGCGGAGAGGTTAAAGAACAGTCGCATCGCGCTGCTTAGTACCGCTGATTGGTACGTCACGCTTCTTAAGCAGACGACTATGTTCTTTAATGAAATCGCCATGGTTCCTACGCACCGCAACCTCCTACACGAGTTCTCTCACACCGAAGTCGCGGCTTATTCCAACCCCTCTGAGAAGCAAGCCATCATTACCTTCCTTGACTCCAACGCAGATCAATACACCAAGGACAAGGTCAAAACTCTCGAGGGTCTATTCGGCAGCAAGGACATTCCGCAGAACAAGAACATTGAGTTCATCAACATCGATCTCAACTAGGACAACTTCTTCAGGAAGTTCTTCTACGGACACTTTTTCACCGTCTACGTGGCGTATTACTTGGGTATTCACTCCGACGTGGAGGGACGAGATTTGATCTCGATTGCGGCGAAGAACCCGTGGTGGAGCCAGCGCAACATTGAGCTGCACCCCAAGTGTGTTGATATCCCCGCTGAGCTCAAGGGCTAGGTGGACCATGTCCTGATGGAGCTGAGTGCATTGAAGGGGGGGTGGATACGCGATGGTTTCTCACTTTTCAACAAAGAGGGAACTGTCAAACAGGAATTATTTAATGTCTTCTGCACAGCTGTCACACTCTGTCATTCTCTTTGGTAAATTGAAACATGTATAGTCGTTCCTTTTAACTAGTTTCAATACAGTAATGACAATCCTTTCACTCTGAGATATTGACTGATTTATCACACCGAGGTCTCTTTAAGGTAGTAGGGCAAAGCCTAGTGCTTTTTCCCTTGTCATATTTAACAATCAACGTATCCATCTCAGGTAGAAAAAACTGCATGGGATATGTTTGTGGACAGAAGATACCTAAAATTTAACCTTATATCCAGTAAACACTTCTATAGAAAATCTCAGACCTCGCTATAAACAGTGTGGCCGAGTCGAATGGGAAAGGCCAGTTACGCGCTGGACTTGCGTTCCATTCTCTATTTTCTACAACTATCTATATAATGCGCTTCTGAAATATCGACTTCATATGCAAATACATGTCCATCAACCACGCTGCAAACACCAAGATAGTCATAATAGTGGCAACCCAGGATATGGTGCTGGATTCTAGTTCTTCCCCGATATACACCGTAGCAATCGTGAACCCAACATTCGGGAAGACAATTGCCCACCATGGAAGCGCAAAACTCATCTGCTGCCGGGACTTATCCCCGCGGAGTTTTGAAACCAAAATGGGCACGTGCGCAACAGCGGCAATTGCAAAAAGCCAAAAGGTGAACAGCCAAAGAAATATTCCTACCCACAATGCCATAATGTTCAGCGTCTCTGCTGCAGTAGGATGCTTCGCGAAGTAGCCGTGTCCATCTGGGATCGCTTTTGCGCAGCCGATCAGGGCTATGATGGTGTAGCCTGCAGAACCCACGGAAATGAAGAGGCCTGGTCTTAGGTTAACGGGACCTAGACCGTTGACAAGGAGGTTACCGACAAAGTGGGGAAGAAAAAGGAGACACAGGATCCAGCCAAGACCCTCGAAAGCAATGCCGGCAACGATGATTGGCATTCGTTCTGATGGAGGTTGATCCGCTGCGATTACCGAAGCGACAGTTCCGGTAAGCATAGCGTTGTAAATCATCAGAAACATCGGAGAGCTCATGCTACCAGGCGCAAACGGCGCGAGAGAAAACATAACCACAAAGATAACAACGTTATACGTCAGCGTGATAGCCCCGTAAATCCAGAAGAGAACCCGAACGGTATCGACGAGCCAGGATCCAGCGTGAGGAACACCAAAACTCTGTATCCCCATGATAATCGTCGCTATCGAAAGCCACAGCGAGCCTGTAAAGTACGCTTCAGGCGGTTTCGTCACCGATTTGAGTAAACTAGCCGGTCTCCGTACGAACCGGCATACCATTGCTGTGCAAAAGAGAATAAACAGAACGAGGTTGAGAATGAACACAACGACGCCAATGGTATGTAAACCGCGAAATGAATAAGGGCTCTTTGATAGCATCAGGGCCACGCCGCCTGTGGACTGCGTGCAGGTGAAATTGCCCCATGAGAAGCGATCGACCAGTGAGACGGCGCGTTCATTCTTAGGTTCAGGATTGTTCGGCGGAGCGGCGTTTTTGGGTAGCTCGTCTTGTGGCATGGCGACTCTGTGGTAAACGAAGGCAAAGCATGAGATGTTGAGAAATAATGAAAGATAGAGTTGGAGGTTGGAGATTAGGAGGGGTAGCTTGGCGCGTGTATTGAAGTGAAGTGAAGTGAAGTCAGTATTTATATCCGTGCCGGACCAACATGCGAGGGAGCAGTATTGTGGGTCCAAGACACCGAGGCATTTCAGATCTTGATTTTGTTACTCAGCCAATCGGGTTTTTAGAAACAGTATC